TTTTCACCTCCATATGTCCATTACAATATATAATGCTCAGAGTGTTGTTGGCTGAACTGGAGTTTTTTCTTCAAGACTTGTTGCCTAACTCCTGCATTTCGGGGTTGAGAAATTCTTAGATTTTCCTTTGAAGCTCATGGGTGGAGTAATTAATCACAATGGTCTATCATGATTGAGGTTGAAGGCCTTCTCCATCTCTTTTGTTTCCTTGTCAAGTTCCTCACCCAGATCACGGTACTCAAAGGTGAGCAACAACACCCATACTGCCGCTACTGGACCTCATTTCAAGTTGCCATTGGTGTAGCTAGCTGTAGACTTCTTTGGGGTATTATCCTCATTCACTTGGTTCTTATCCTTGTTGTCCTTTCTGCTTTCTCATTTCTCGTTCCTCTCCTTTCTGGGTTTGTCTGCCTTTTCTTTACTAGGCTCTTCGCTCTGAAGTCCGCAGCGTATAGTAACTGCTCCAGTTGATATATCGGCTTGTTTGGTGCCCGAGATATCGTCTTGTGGGTTTCGTATCTGTTACCAGGGAACATTGTTTCGAATGATTATGGGATGGATGATTGGCCTTTAATTGGGCTCTCTTATACCGGATGGGTCTCCGAACCGAACCATTTTGGTAAGAATGATGCTTATTGCCTAGGTGTGCATGCGCATACAGCATCGTTCGATGTACAAACATCGGCGCAGCATTGCAAGTGTATGCCCCATGAGTTGTGCTATACACCTCCTGAGCCTTGTCCAGTAAATATCCAATAAACACATGGTGAACCCCGCAGATATGGTCCACATCCAGGACCTGATTTCAAACTAGAGGCTTGCATGCATATTTATAACGGATTTCCGCTCCGCAGAGGCTCCAGACCAGCTCCTATTGCAAAGAGCGGGACGATGATATTCGCGTGAGCCGAAGCTGGGTCTGACGACCAACCTTGGATGTGTGACATGAATAGAGGCGTGGAACTTGAAATCTGACCAAGGATACTTGGCTCTCACATTGATCTCTGGGAACTTTTTCGGGTCACTTGATAGGTCTGGATTCATATCAGCGACTTCACATATGCAGGCAGCTGTCTGTCATTGGCTGATACGTGCCCTGAGCTTCTACCCGTGGTCGCCGGATCACTATTGAAAGAATTTGGCCCAGTCGCCAGTTGCCAGGCAACCTGTAACTGGCATGCCAACCTTTCCAGCAGCTTAGATAAATCATATTTGAGTAGCTTCATGGTTTCATTCTCGACCCGCACACATCTGAAGGCGTGTGCAAGTAGACGCCTCAAAGACGTTAATCATGTAAAGAGACGTAGTGAATATTTGAAATGACCTATGAGGGAAAGCCACAGCTACATATGCTGTGAAGTCTCCGACAGCGAGATTTGTACACGGTCGCGGAAGAAGTGTTCCACTTGAAAGTAGCCCCATGCTACTGGATTTGCCATCCATCCATCCATTACTCATCAGCGCTGGAATGCGGCGTCCAGAAGGCCTCGTTCATGATAAGGTTACGAGTCAATGGGTCCCTTCAGCACTGTCTGGTGCGAATCCAGGCGCCTTTTACGGTCATCATGACACAACCTGGCACCTCTGTTACAGGTGCAAAGATTCTTCAGTGAGTTGCTTACGAAAATGAGGCTTGGCGGCGAGCGTTGGTCTCCACGTATTGTACGAGTACAAAAGGCGAGTGCGGGAAAGCTTTTCTTGCCATACAGTGACTCAATGTATCAAACGTGTGGGAAGGGAGGAAACAACAAGAACCATACGCGCATGATGAAGCTTATTCACAGCAGTCATGAGAACGTAGTGATACCCGGGTTTCTTTCCGTTCCCATTCTGGAAAACGCCATTGAAGCATGTGTAAGGTTCGCATTGGAACCCAGGAGGTACGAAAGCCTCGCCGGAAGCTTATCTGGGCACGTAGACAGCGCGTAGCTCGTTTATGTGTTAAGAAAAGGAACACTTATACCCCAACGACTTGTCAGCTGCTTTTGTTGCTGTGTCACTGACCTTGTACTCCGTAATGTAGTGTATCATCATCTAGGAGCTTATCTGGAAGAGAGAAGCTTTTCAGGTCATACTGACAGCTCTTGGGGGCGACTGAGTTGCTGCAGGCCCTCGTCGAGGACCATGGAGTAGCAGTCAGGCGACTCTAAGCCATGGCACAGACTTTTGTGTTTTCCCCACCAGTTGCAGTGAGGACTTGACGCTGCTTTAGGATCAATGACCAGGTAATGGTAACACTGACCAGTCACAGCCAGTGGTACACGGTTGCAGGACGAAGTGCATAGCACTAGTACCGTATGCCAGTGACGCGCTGCCCTTGGACAGAATGTCACCCCGTGACTGGCTCACAAAGAGAGCACCTCGTCGCCCGGCCCCCGTTCAACAAGAGACTGATCTAGACCACATCTAGACCACACAGCGGGCGCCCCAGACGAGCCACGGAGCCAACGGGGACCCAGTCACGGGAATCTACAGCCCGTCGGCCGGAGCGTCCTGGCGTCCCACAACCGCGGGGCCGGCAGTCTGCGCTTTGCCCGGCTCGGCATGGGGTTTTGTTTTTGGGAAGGTTTAAGAAACGGGCCTAGCGCCGATGCCTAATTTAGTGTAGGGCGAGTGTCTGGGCGACCAAGTACCCGGAAGACGGGAGGACGAGATGTGTCCCTGCGTCGAGTTGCCGGCAGATGGCGGTGGTGCTTGGGCTGACCCAAGCCGTGATGTGAGGTGGTTCCCTCGTGCCAAGTTGGAGCTTGGGGACAGCCACATGTCCGGGACCTAACCGTGAGCCTTTGTTGGACTCACGTGCCCGCATCTGATGTCCGTCGCTCGCTGCCCGTGGCTCGTGGCTGAATGGCGCTTGCGCAGGTTCGACTCTTTTCACAAGGTTCACGTGCCCGTGCTGGTGTCCGCGAAGCCGGGCCCGGACCGCGAGGCGTGAATGGGGGGGCATGGGGCGGGTGTCGATGGCTATAGAAGTGGTTGCTAGTTGGACAGAGTCAGTGAGCACGCGTGTGGGCCGTGCCTCGTGTGGCTTCCCGAGACCTAAGGTGATGCTGGCTGGCTGGCTGGCTGGCTTGCTTGGGCAGGCCGTTGTCAGTGTCGTGCCGTATAGACAGCAGTACTGCTATTTCGATCACAAAGTGGGTGTGCTGGATATTATCTGCTTGCATGTTCTTGTCAGCAGCGTTAATGCGAGCGCGACTCTCCGTACAAGAACAAAAAAAAGTTGGAAGGATCATGTCTCGGGCTTTAATCGCCCTTGGACAGGGAGGGCAGGGGTACAAAGATTGGGTGGGTAAGGGCTTCATGCGAGGCCCCACCCTGCTGCCACATGTGTACCGAGAAACAACATTTGATTGTTTCAAGTCTGGGAAGACCCCAGGCAAAAGAGGAGCCGCGGAAGGGGAGAAAAGCATACCGGCTCAGCATACCGGCTCCCTCCGCAGAGGACAGCAGGACAGGTCCACTTTGGCCGTTGCACGTCAATTTCTCTCGACCAGAAAGCATGATCAGGGCACAATGACCTGAATGGTCCCCGGCCTCGTAATCCAGCCTGCATGTGCAGGTTTCTTTGGTTGCTGGGGTGGGTTCGGAGATACAGTTGCAGGGTCAAGGTCCGTAGCTGTGCGATCTTGCTCTGTGCGGGCAGTGGGCACGGACGAAGGACTCGGGGAGAGCAGGTTGCAGCAGTCTGAGACCAAGTTATTATGATAGACTAATACGGTGTACGGAGTACCTAGGCAGTATACCAAGGACCTGTGCAAGCTGTGGTACTCGTCTGCCTTGCAGAGGCCTGTTGTGCCACAGCAGTACAGGCCCAGGCCCGAGCCCGTAATACGACCGAGCCTGGTTCGTTGCTCTGACAAACATTTCTTCAGCTGCAGCTCAGCGAAATGGTCGATGCCGTCAGATAGTCTGGTTGTTTTGTTCATTGCTGTCAGGCTGTTTGGTTTCTTGACTGACTGACGCACGTGCCCATTGATGGCCCAGTGCCAGTCAGACTGCCAGACTGCCACAATCCAGAGACAGCCAAGGACAGCCCAGTGCCTTTCAGCCCGTCCCGGGCGCCGTACCTGCGTGCCCACGGGATGGGTAGTGGGCCTTTGCTGCAGGTCGAATTGGCCCTGACCCACGGCCACGGGCGTCCCCATCCATCCCCCCATCCACCCACCCACAATCGGCCCCCATCAGCTTAGCTGCAGGCAGAGCTCCAGCAACGCTCCGCCGTCATCATAGCTGCGCAACAACCTTGGAACCAATGGAACCAGCGCCGATGGACTAACTTGTGAGGGGGCCCCGAGAACAGACCCTTTTGAGGAACGGGTCGAGGGACAGTAACCCGTGGTCGAGACCACACTTTGCCCGTCCGTCTGCCTTTCCTATCGTCTCGATCGAGGCTATAGTCGACGGCCGGCGCTGCGACGGCCAGAATTCTAGCCTGGTGCCGAGAGCGTTGGATCTCCAGCCCCAAACCCGCCAGTCGACCACTCCTGGGCCTCCGTCCCGTCTCTGTCACGCAAGCCTGTCTTTCCAGCCCAGTCTCAGCGCTCCGCAACCCGCCCAACATAACCCCTGAGCCTTGTTCCATGCTCCTCCCGCCCCTTGTTCAGCCCAGTTCTGTGCCCGGCAAGCCAGTACCAGCAGAAGCAGAAAGAAGCAGAAGCAGAAGCAGAAGCACAAACATCACCAGGCGCACGCTCAGAGGAAAGGAGCACCGCACCAGCAAGAACAGCGCCCACAAACTAGGCTGGATTCTGGCACGCCCGGCTGTCTGGTCTTGTCTCCCTGCCTCAGTCAGAGCAATCAACCGATCCTTCTTCCTAATTTATCCATCTATCCCTCCCACCTGCCAATCCGACAATCAGTCAGTTGCAATCGCTCGGTTGATTCAGCCACCCCGGCAGTCACAACAAATACGATCATCAGACGCATAGCCGTCCCCATACCGCCTGCGCTGTTCATGCTGTCGCTGTCGCTGTCGCGGCAGATCACACCCGTTCAACATGACAAGACCCGAAATTATTCGTGCTGGTATGTGGCATGTGCTCGGCACGAGCATGACTCTCTCTCAGCCTCCCAAGCCCTCCCGCTCCCTCACGTCGCCTCGCTTCGGCCACACTGCCGCTGCTTGGGCCATCTTGCGAGTTTGCCCGTCTCAAAGGAGCCACCACCCTGTCGCACCCAGAACCCACGCCCCCTGCGCCGCAACCACCCCCGATCAAAACAATGCTGACTCTCTCGCTCCATCCTTCATCCAGACTCGATTGATCTCCAAGATCGCGAAGCACCCTCCGCAAAGAACCACGCTGCCCGCCCCAGTCCCCTCAACACCTCCCAGTCCGCCGCCAACGGAACCGCCCCTCACCAGGCCGAGACCCTGCGAGAGGTCGCTGCCGGACAAGCAGAGGAGGAACTTCACAGCCCCCGAGTCTCTTGGGCCAACGGCGGCGAAACTGGCGACCTGCAGAAATACGCCGAAGACCTCGCCGCCGGAGTTTCGAGTTCCCTCAACGCCGACAACATGGCCGCACGCCAACAAGATGACCTCGCTGTCGCACAAAATGGGGGCTTGGAAACAGAGGACGCCGACCTGGACGGCGACGACGGCGACCTGGACGACGACGACATGATGGACAAGATCTCGAGTTCGCCTTCTATCGATGATGGTGCGTCTCCATCCTGTCACCTGCCGCTGCTACAGTCTTTACACGCTTGCGCTTCGCCGTGTAGTTCTCCGGCTTCAGCATGCTTCAGCGAGGCGAGGTCCTCTTCCCCATACCTCGACCAACCTGACTACTTCCCCTTACAGACTGCGCATGGGCCCGCAGACAAGTCGCCTGCTGTGCTTTCTAGACGTCATCATCATCATCATCATCATCCTCCCCCCCGTGGTTCACCCCCTGGACGGCTTGGCGCACATGCTAGCCAGGGGTACACGGCACCACAAGGCAACGGACCTGAGAATCTGAGGAGCAGTGGCTTCCCAATTGGACTACACGAAGTGGAATGCAGACTATCAGATACAGACGACGGCGATCGCTATGCCCTGAACGACCTGCTCGATGGAATACAAGCATTACAACAAGACCTCCAGGATGAGCAGGAGGGTATCGACGAGGCCATCGGAATGGAAGATGATGTCTGCAGTACCGACGACCTGGTAGTTCCATACGAGGATTTCACCGATGAAGATGATGATGACGACTATTTCCTTGAGTCTCATGACCCCCGGTTCAGCGATTCTGGTTGGGGCGGTGAATGCTTACACGATACAGAGGACATCGATTTCGAACTCGTCTACGCGCTGCACACATTCATTGCAACCGTCGAAGGGCAAGCGAACGCGACCAAGGGCGACGCCATGGTTCTGTTGGATGACAGCAACAGTTATTGGTGGCTGGTTCGGGTGGTCAAGGACAGCAGTATTGGTATGATGAGCCCCCAAGATATTTGCTGGCTTTCCTGGGGCTGTTTTGGCTGACGCGCTCGACCAAGGTTATCTGCCGGCTGAGCACATCGAGACACCGACTGAGAGGCTTGCACGTCTGAATAAGCACCGGAACATCGATGTAGGTTGGAGAGGCACAGTTATTCCGAAATCGAGACTAACGCGCTTAGTTGTCGGCAACTATGCTGGGCGATCAATCCGACAAGGCCAAAAATCCAATCAAGACGGCGATGCGCCGGCGGAAGAAGAATGTTTCCTTCGCTGCTCCGACATACGTAGACTACTCTGATTTCGACTACGACACGGAGGAGGAAGAGGAGGCCGAGGCAGAATTTTATGCTCAGCAGCAGCAGCAGCAGCAGCAGCAACAACAACAACAGGCGCAGCAGCAGTCCCAACAACGAGCAGCCGCCGCCAAGCAGACTACCGCCGAAGACGCTGCGGCCAGCGAGGAGGCGGCAAAGGTAGCGCCACTCAGGCCACGGGCCCAAAAGTCTGTACAGATCGTGGACCCCGCCGATCCAGAGTCAAAAGAAGATTCACCCACTTCGGGCAAAAATCGAACCAGCGAGGAGATCTTTGAGACGAACGGCGTGGAGGGTCCGAAGAGGAAGGCCGACGGCACGGTCAGAGATTCCTTCTTCAAGGACGACACGGTGGAGACTAAAAAGATCACTCTGACGCCTAATTTGTTGCGGGATGATGGGACTGTCAGGGCATCAACTGACTCTGACAAGGGCCCAAACAAGCGCCCGAGCTTGGACAGAATCGACAAGGAACTAAGGGAAGACCCCAAGAAAAGCAAAGATAAGAAGGAGAAGGAGAAGAAGGGCGGTTTCCGGGGCCTGTTCTCGCGCAAGGACAAGAAGCAGAAGGGTGGTGACGACGATTCTCTTGGGAAACGATCCATGGATGTGGTTGCAGAGGCCCCGGAGAGGGAATCCGAGGACTTGGACGACCAGGAGAAGGCAGGTGCCTCACCACAGCGCAACCCGAGCAAACTGCATAAACAGCAGCCGCGTGTGGAACCTTCGCTAGCGGCGATCAAGTCTGGGACTGCTCCGCAGGGTAACGGCATGGATCTTTCAACGTTCCTGAACGAAGGGAAGTTGAAGAATGTCGCCAACGTGCCACCCGCTTCGATGCGACTCGTTGAGCCAGATGCGCAGGACGCGGAGGACGACGATGAGTCCAAGCCGGCCGGGTCCAGGCCAGCGGCTTCCCGGTCGGAGAGTGTTGAGGACAGCCCACCTCAGGCTACGACTGCAAAGTCACGTATGCAGATTGAGGATTCGGATTCGGAAGATGATGATTACAACGAGACGATCAGGCAGTTATCAGGCTCGAGCAAGAAGACCCAGGAGAAGCCCAAGCCAGAGTCACCAGTGCAGACTAGGGACCAGCCGGAGAAGACACAGCAGGGAGAGCCACAACAGGCCGAGCCACAACAGGAGAAGCCGTTCCGGCCTACGCTTCCGGGGGCATTCCCTGACAGCTACCTGAGCACGCAGTCTGCTCAGTCCAACTCGACCATCACACCAGAACGAGCCGCGGAGGCCACTCAGCGCCAGGACCGCTTGTCAGAATCGCCAATCGAGGTGTCCCCGATCACGCCGAGTGGGGACAAGCCTCCCGCATTGATGGGCGACACATCAAGCCAGGAAGACCACTCGTCACCTGTGTCGTCGCCGTCACCCGAACTGATCGACAGGGAAGAGGCAGGCGGCACACACCGAAACCAGGATTCCATCACCACTTCCACCTCGACAACGACGGTCTCGAACTGGAATGACACGAGCCTCCGGGAGTTCTTCGACTCGGGGACTGACATCAGAGATCTCCTTGTTGTGGTCTACGACAAGACCGATGTTGAGCCAGTCGGACCTGAACACCCGGTCGCGGGCACACTGTTTAAAGAACAGAACGCCAAGTTGGCAGAGATCACAACTGTAAGTACACCAGACTCAAGGATGCAAAGACGTGCAGAGCATTCCACTAACCAATGGCGAACAGCAACTCGACCACATGCTGGGCGACTGGCTCGCGCGAAAGCAGCGACTGCGAGGAACCGTGTAGTGGCCAGAAACACCATATACCCCTTCTTTTCAGCATTTAACGGACCACTACCGTCCTCGCCATCTGATCTACCTTTACGACCTACGCTATCGCTTGTACAACATTTCCCCTTGTTCACACCCATGATGCATCTATGACTCTCCCAAAAGGTCCATGTTGCAGGATACCCTGCTTGTAATGGCCTCGTTACATATTTTGAGGCCCGGCGTTCTTGGTGAAGGAGGGCTCGGAAGAAGAGCGGAACGGCTTCATGAAAAAAAATGTAATAATACCAACGGAGACTGGGCATATACCTCTACTGCTTTCATTTCATTTGTCCAACGTGTTGCAGGGCGGACTGAAGGAAGACGAAGGACGCCCATTGCGCTGTGTGCTCGTCACCTGATGTCTGCCACATCAGCCTGGCGATGGAATCTCGCATCCTTGGTGGAGTGAGAGCCAGGGGGGAGAAGGGGGGGATTGGGCGATTCATGTGTGCCGATGACAGGCCCTTGCGGCATGAATTCGAAGGCCCATTGGCGCTTTTAATACTTATGACTGAATGACCCTGACATGGCTGGCTCCTGATCTAGCGTGACTGTTGGCCGGGCACAGAGCTCCTTGAGGCCCTCTGGCCGTACTGAGGAGCCATGCAGCATGTGCATGGAAAGCCGAACGGGGCAGCGAGCGAGGCTGTGGAGACGCGAGCTGCATGCTTCCCAGCAATGCAAAATTTCCAGAATTGCATCCAGCCTGCCAGCCTTGCGTTGCTCGGGCACGTTTTTGAACCTGCTTCCTTTCATGACGACATTCCGCATTCACTCGCTCGCCGACTTACTCGCCAACTCTCTTTGTAGACTGTCTCTCCTGACACCAAGACGCCAATCTGCACCAACACACCCAATTAAGCAGGCGACAGCTCTCGCTTGTGTTTTGTCCCGTCCCGCCCCTTCCCAACTGCTCTGCATCTGCCTGGCGGCTGCAGACCGAGCGAGCGAGCGAGCAAGCTTGAAGCAAAAGTCATACCACCCCCAGGGCAGAACACAACAGACGTAACAAGCCCATCCCGTCCCCTGCTGCAGAGCAGCACAGCAGCAGAGACCCGACAAACGACGAGACGCGCACCCTGCACTGCAGCACCGACGAGTTGGAGAAGCTCGTGCCTGTCCTTTCCTCGCTCGATATCGGAGCGCCCTGACTGCCCTTGGGACGCGCTAGCCACGAGCTACCCTGGAGCTCTGTGCCCGCCGCCGTCGCAACGCCCATTCTCACCACACCCGCGCGGGCGTCCAGGCAGGAGGACCACTGCCTCTACCTCACCCCCCGCCCTCGCTCACACACCTTAAAAAAAAGGTCCAGCCCAGCGCCGTGCTCCCCCCCTCCCTGCACCACCCCATCACGGCTGCCCAGCTTCGCCTACTATGTCACAAAACTCCCTGCGACCACCACCCACTAAACTCAAGATACCGAGGGCGGCAGCTACCTACACACCAGCCACAATGGATCCCGATCTGCGCTCCCAGCTCAACATGCTGCTGATCAATGGCGGCCATGACAAGAAGTGAGTTGCGCGCATATCATCCCCTGCCCACCCAAGCTGCTACATACAACACCCACCACCAGCACCAGACCACAATTCCTCACAAACAAGTGCAGCCTGCTGACCACGCCCGTCTCTCCTCTCCCGCAACACAGGCTTCAAGAACAACTCCTCTACACCCTCAACGCACACTCCAACAACTGGCCAACCCAAGTACAAAACCGCGCCCTCGCCCTCCTCCGCAGCGGCGAGGTCACCACCTTCCCCGTGCTCCTGAAACAGATCCTCGACGAGGTGCGCAAAGAGACAGCCGCGGGCCCCCAGCCCAAGGGCACGACTTCCGGCTCGTCATCGGCAAACGGCAACGCTGAGTCGTCCTCGGCCGGCGGCAGCACAAACAACGGCGCCGGCACCACCGTGCAGGTCAACGGGTCCAAGAAGCACGCGGGGCCCGGGCCCGGAGAGGCCTCCAACCTCAACAGGGAGGTGTCGACGTCGCTGGCCGTGCCGGCCACCGTCGTCGAGGAGGCGCTCAAGATCACGAGGGACGTGCTCAAGGAGGTTGCCGAGTTCGAGGAGGAGTCCAATGGTGCCACTTGAACAGCGGACCGACTCGCATGATCCGAGGCTGGCTTTTTTTTTTTCTTGGGCCAAGCGCGTCTTCGTCTTCTTTCAGCACGGCGAAATATAGAGAAGAGCGGGAGAACGCGGAAGAGGGGAGAAGAGAGGAAGACGAAACACAAACACACACACAGAGAGAGACACGCAAAGAGCCCTCGTTGCCTGAGTTCCGCCGTCCCCGGAGCGCTGCAATTATGGAACCTTGCAGGGCTGGTCACGAGGAAAATAAGTCGAGGGGATTACCATGGATACAGAGACTCAGCGCACGCACAGCGAGCGCCCTATCGAAAGAAGGCAGCCACGCTCCCGAGTTTGACGAGCCCGGACCAGGCTGGGCAACTCTCCAAAACACAAGCAGTCGCCGAATCGCTGATTGCTACACATAATAATGCCCAACAGACAGTCCTGCGGTCCTGGACAGGCGGGCGGGAACGACGACGACCCAGGATTCCATCACCCGCTCCTGAGTCTTTTTCACCTATCTATTGTGTCGTCCTCCCCCTCGCCCACGGGAAGGAAAGGTGTTGTTATTTCTGGTACCGTACATACTGGGGCCATCGTTGCATAAAACAACCGTACATAACATGGCCTGATGTCAGGACACAGTGGCCCGGGGGCAAGGGGGCGCCTTTACATGATTATTATCATCAACACCACCGTCACCAACCTTTACCATCACCATCAGTCATCATCCAACGAGAAAAAAGAGAGTCGGGGCAAGAGGGTCGTTGCTAGATGTTAAAAAAACCCTTTAATACACCTGATCCTGTTTCGGGGCTTCAACAGGCACCACTACACTTTTCTTCTGATTTCCCCTCGTATCCTGTCTTGATCGTCTGTGAGGGCACCCGGAGGCTTCATGAGAGCCCATGGAGCATTCCTTGGGGGGGTGGGTGGATATGTGCGCACGCACTCGTAGAACCCACGACAGCCCCTTTTGAGCTCCTTCACGTCGGCCCGACGAGACCGTCCAAGCTTCGAGATCTGACTCCACCCCCCCCCCCCCAGAGAAACCGTCTAGTCCTTTCCCCTCCGCACGTGAGGCTCGTCCACTGGGCCTGCTACATGCCTCCTCGGTGGTATCTGAGCCAGCCACCGTTCTCGTGGGCCCTTTCCCGACTGCCGCCCCCAACCATCGCCCTCCAGCATGACGAACGGAACGAGCGCAAGGGGTTATTACGCGGGCGGAGGATAGACGGGGCGGAGACCTCACTGATATCTCGTACATCCCGTTGTCTTGGGGTGGTTGGTGGTCACGGTCATGGATATCTAATGTATATTGTATATATATATATATATGGCCCCCTCGCACCTGAAGGCCTGACCAACCCCCCCCCCTCGGCCACTCCACCACCATTCATTTATATCCAAGGGCAGGTGATGGTTACATGGGACGGTTGCAGAAACGAACGTGTTGAATCATAGAGAGGAGAGGAGGGAAGCGCGGCAGGGAATAAGAGGAAGTAAGGCGCATGCCCTCCAAGGCGAGCAGGCGCATGCCTTTTCTTCAGCCAGGTAAGGACATGCAGACAGGTCAGCAGGCGTTCCACGGGCGTGGAGTCGTCCAGTCTTTCTTGATCTCCTGTGGCTGCGAGGATGATATCCATATTGTCCATCCACTACCTCGGGGATAGATAGATGTTCCACAGTAGTTGTTGACGGGATTCCTCGCCAGCTCGTACGCTCGCACGCCAGATAAGCTTGACAGTATTTACAGTCAGCGTGATGAGAGAGAGAAGCTGGCTGAACGAGTGAATGCCTGGAGGCGTGGCAGGACATAAGATCCGGCGAGGCAGATAATACAGACGGACGACATAGACATACGAGCATATAGGGACGGGGTCCACGACAAGTCACAGAACCCAAAAGGCAAAGTTTTGTGTAGTTCAATTTCATTCATAAAAAGCAACTCTCTCATTAAGGAAATCTATCGTAATCCAGATCGCCTGCGCCAAGGCAGCCAGAAAACTCCCAAGATCGCAGTCTATGTGTGGAGCCGTCGGCTTCAGTGGCAGTGGGGCACTTTCACTAAAGGACGTCGCGAGTCCCACCCCAAAGAGCTGGCCCTGACCCAGATAATCCTGCAATGGGGATGATTTCTTCCATTTATCCGCCTGAATCGATGTGCGAGATGGACGACTCGTCTCGAAAGCCTTGAACCAAGCAGTAGCTCCAAAGCCTCACTTCGATCGCACCAACCAAGGAGACTAAAATACAGACGGTTGAGGTGCCATACAGTGTATGCACTATGCATGCACTTAGTCGTACAGACCATCATCGTTGCCAGCGTCGCCGAAGGAGTCGGCCGCGTTGGCGGCGGCGGAGTCGGCTTCGGGGAACTTGAAGTACGCGCCAGGGCCGGCGTTCTTCATCTGCTGGGCAAAGGCCTCGTATCGGCGGATCTCGACGTCTGTAACGGAACGACGGGCCATCTGCATGGCCTCCTCAAAGTGGCGCTTCTCGAGCTCGGGCACCGGGTCCTCGGCATCATCCTCCATGTCGACATCCTCGCCAGCAGCCTCGCGTGCCTTGGTGCGCTCGATGTCGAGAGCGATGGACTCCTTGATGGCCAGCTTGACAGCACGCTGGGTGATGAAACCCAGATCGGCACCGGAGAAGCCGTGAGTCTTGGACGCGATGTAAGGAATGTCGATGTTGGATGACACTGGCGTCTTGCGGAGCTGAGCCTGAAGGATACCAAGACGACCGGCCTCGTCGGGCAGAGGGACGTAGATGAGGGAGTCCAGACGGCCCGGACGGCACAGTGCAGGGTCGAGCTGCTCCGGTCGGTTGGTGGCACCAATGACGAAAACGTTCTTCTTTGAAGTCATGCCGTCCATCTCGGTCAGAAGCTGGTTGACAACACGGTCCGAGGCACCACCGGCGTCTCCAACGGAACCACCACGAGCCTTGGCGATGGAGTCAAGCTCATCCAGGAAGACAATGCAGGGCGCGGCGGCGCGAGCCTTGTCAAAGATGTCTCGGATGTTACTCTCAGACTCACCGAACCACATACTCAGTAGCTCGGGACCCTTGACGGAAATGAAGTTGGCCGAGCACTCGTTGGCAACAGCCTTTGCCAACATCGTCTTACCCGTACCGGGAGGACCATAGAAGAGAACACCGCGAGAAGGAGACATGCCAAACTTGAGGAACTTCTCGGGGTGGTCCACAGGGTACTGCACCTGCTCCTTGAGCTCCTGCTTGACGCCCTCAAGGCCACCAATGTCTTCCCAGCGGACGTTAGGCACCTCGACAACGGCGACCTCACGAAGGGCGGACGGGTTAGAAACACCAAGAGCAAATCGGAAGTTCTCCATGGTAACTCCAAGAGAGTCAAGAACCTCAGCGTCGATGGTGTCCTCGTCGAGGTCGATCAGGTCCATCTTCTCACGAATCTGCTGCATGGCGGCCTCCGAGCAGAGAGCAGCAACATCGGAACCGACGTAACCGTGGGTCTCGGCAGCAATTTGCTCCAGGTCGACGTCGTCACCAAGCTTCATGTTCTTGGTATGGATCTGCAAGATCTCGAGACGACCAGTTGGGTCGGGAATGCCGATGTCGACCTCACGGTCGAAACGGCCGAAACGACGCAGAGCTGGGTCGATAGAGTTGGGTCGGTTGGTGGCGGCCATAACGACGACGTTGGACCGAGCCTTCATGCCGTCCATGAGTGTCAGGAGCTGGGAAACAACACGACGCTCGACCTCTCCGTTAGTCTTCTCACGCTTGGGGGCGATCGAATCGATCTCATCGATGAAGATGATAGCGGGCGAGTTCTTCTCGGCTTCCTCGAAAGCCTTCCGCAGGTTCGACTCGGATTCACCGGCCATCTTGGACATGATTTCAGGGCCGTTGATCAGGAAGAAGAAAGCTCCAGTCTCGTTGGCGACAGCTCGAGCCATCAGTGTCTTACCGGTACCCGGGGGACCGAACAAGAGCACACCACGAGGGGGCTTGATGCCGATGGACTTGAACAACTGGGGGTGTCGCAGTGGAAGCTCAACCATCTCACGAATCTGTGCCATCTGCTTGCGGCATCCACCGATGTCATCGTAGCCCACTTCGTTCAGGTTGTTCTCCTCCTCGTCACGCTGGATCGGCTCGCCCTCGCAGTGGATGACTGTGTCCTGGGCGACGATACCGTACTCGGGGGGGTCAACCTCGACGACCTTGAACTCGACTGCTCTCATACCTCCACGGGCGATGAAAAGGTCGCCTTGGCGGACTGGCCGGTAAGCCTCTCGGAAATATGGGGCAAGGAAAACGTCGAATAGAGAGCCGGTGAGACCTTCGACTGTGTCGGCGATCGGCAGAACCGCGATTCTCTTGGCCTGTTCTCGTGTGTTAGTGACTGATTGATGACGTGAAATATGGACTGTATACTCACATATTTGATATCGGGGCAGGCGTGGATGGTGATAATATCGCCGTGCTTCACACGGAGGTTGTGTCGGACCACGCGGTTCAGACGACAGCTGCCATCATCGAGGTCATCATCACCGAGGACAACAAGCACGGTGTCCTTCCTCTTCTTGCCTCGGACAAGGACGGTATCGCCACGGAACAGCTGGAGAGCGTCCATGGTGTTGTTTGAGAGGGCGATGATGGAGTTGTCATCGTTGACGGCATCGGTAACCCTGTGGGATGTCAGTATGCTGTTTTGACAGAAAAGATGCCAGTTCAAGGTCGTACATAAGCTGGTTGGGCTTCTTCTTCTTCTTGAGGATGGCGGTTGCGGTGTCATCCTCTTCCTTGCGCTCGGCGCCAGAAGCGTCCCTGCCAAGAGTCAGTCAGTTTGAAGTCGCAGAAGCGGGGCGAGCGGGGCATCGTATACGTACATCAAATGGCTCTTCTTCTCGGTGTGGTCTGGGTTGGGTTCAGGGGCCATCTTGACTGTTTGCTTGCAGGAAGATATGGATGTGCAAACGAAGGCGTGGTTTGTTGAGAGCTCGGGAGATGTGCTGGCGGTTTGCCGGTAAGACGTCGGTAGCTCAAGGCCAAGCGACGGTCCTAATGGAAATGGTGGTGTGTGTGGGAGATCAAAGATTCAGAATCTTGTTGACCTGGGGGAATGGGATACGAAGGAAGGGAGATGGAGATGGAAGGAAACCTGAGGGCCGTTTTGCAGTCCGGAGGTTTTGGGAGATGGTTGAAGGTGTGTTGTCTCGATGTTGGAAGGCGATGGCGGCGAAAGCTAGGTTGGACAAGCCCCGGCCTCCCTACCCACTAGGCAGCTTCATGACGACAATTGCCAGCCGGGGTTGCCAGACCCACTTGAGCGCAGAGAGGCCCGAGCTTGAGCTTGAGTCCAAGTAGACCCTGACGAGCTTGAGCGGTTGGAACCTTCTAGTTTTGGCCCTTGCTGACTGTATGTACCCGGATGGCAAAATGCACCCGCCAGAAACCCATCTTATCTCCAAGGCCTGTGGTCTACGCAACAATTCTCTATGCTTTGGAGGCAAAACCCCCAAAATCGATTTCTCAGCAGACTCGATTTTGCTGGCCAGGGGCGAGCTGAAGACTATTGCCTCGGCAATTCCAGACACCACTGGCAACGTCTACCAACACTACCAACACTGACACAAATAGCTTGAGATGCAGGCTGAGCTCCGGTGATACTCCTCTGGTTCCTTTGTTTGGCCGTCCTCGCCAGAGATTCCAACGAACAGCTGCAGCTGAGATTCCCCTCAGCTGAAAAGCCAACCTCAGAAGCCTCTCCCACACAAGTCTAGCTTCAATCGTTCTAAGGATCATCCGCCTGCACCTGGCCGAACCGCGGAATCCCTGTGGCTAACAGCACCCGAAGCTGGGAGGTGTAGGGTGCTTTTGAACAGTTTACTGCATCTGCAAAGATTATTCACTTGCCCTATCGACTCAACCTCAGCATCAAGTTCCTGAACGAGCACTGAACACATTAGCCATCTTGGATCATGACGAGACCGCAATGTTCGGTCTAAGGGTCTAAACATTTGCGCAGGGCGGTTCAGAGTGCTGACTGCCCAAAACCGCGGGAACGTCATCGAGGCTCATCGTTTTGACATCTCTAAGGTTGACATGCCCTTGGCAGAAAGCTCTTTGGCATGGACTCCCGTGGGACATTCTTCTTGAGGGCAGCATCCCATGGGTTCCACCCTTCACGGGATATCACCTTTTCCATCGGACCGGTAGTTTCGTCTTGATGAGAGCGTTTACTACTGGCGTGGTACTACTAGGCACCGAAATGGTGGGGCACACTTGCGCTTTAGATGGACATAATGATGGCCGCAATGTTGATTCATTTCCGGTTTGTCTGAACGCATCTCACGAGTTCGAAGGCAACATCCAATCGCGAATTCCCTGGTTCAATCTGCCGAGTTCGCAAAATCCCACTGTCTCCCCGCAACTCCCTCAATTATTCCAGCCGGTTATGCTACCAAGTCCCTTGTACTTCAAAGCATCCTGCTTCGACAACGGCCACGTCGCTACCTTGGGCCTATACCCGAGGTACTGGCCGGTCTCGTCACGGACCGGCGTGAAGTCCGCCACGCCGTTGAGGCCGGGGGAAAGGTTGATGTAGTGGTCCAGGAGGCCCTGCGCGACCAGCCCAATGCCCGTGCTAGGGCTCGCCGTTGCGATACGCTCGTGACGAACTGATGTCGACAGCCAGTTCTCTGTGAGCCAGGAAATCCGCGGGTAACCTCTCCCCGGGGCCTCGCGGCAGACACGTTTCGGGGGTGGGCCTCTGCGTGAAGCATCAGCGTGAGCTCTAACTCCGCCGTGGTTGCTGACTTACTCTTCGTGGGATACAGAGGATCTCTTTTCAGATGAGGATGCGTCAGGGGCCAATGATGAAGAGGTGTTGACCATTGTGCCCTAGTAGACGAGATTCTTGCTGTGCTGCTGTCGGCACTCGAGGAGTATCAGGTATTGGTTATCGCTGTTCGTTCCGGAGCTAGTTCGCTGTTGGCTTGAGATGCGCGATGCATGATTAGCATCGCCAACAGACGACCCCTATATAGCCTTTGGCTCTTTATCAACCACACGCGGCTGCCTCTTCCTTCATAGCGCGGCTATTACAGCACGACCAGCAGAATATCATCTCATGTTGGTAGAAGAAGCATAAAACAGCAGAATCGGGTCCGCAGCACTGATGAGCCATCATCACATAGACGGTTGGGGTCGAAGCTGAGCTCTGGAGTGGCTTGTGGGTTGGGTCGGAGCAATAGTTTAGTTGCTCAGCCCCTCGCTTGATGCGACCGCTGGCCGTCTTTTGGGCCGGGCATGACTGGTTTGACGATGAGCTTTGGGCGAGAGTCTCTATTACCCATCATATTGCGTCAGAGAGGAGTAAATCCATTTACTGCGCTTCGTAAAGGCTCGTCTAGAGTGGTTGACTCTCGACCTTATCGGCGTCTAACACACCTCAGTGCTTGGTGCGGATGGTGCACATCCATCCAGTGTTGGCGGTTGTACAATCCCTGGAAGAGACAGTGCAACCCAGCAGCCGGCTATGACTATTGCATTCCTTCAGTGAGAATCCCGTCACGTATGAAGCCGTGTCAATGAATAATTTTACACAAGACAGGTGTGGCAAGTCCAAACTTACGGGGCACATGACACAATGCAGAAGATTCGGTAACCGTCGTTTGACATGTACGGAGTACAGTAACCCAAGAGACTTGCTTCCACACGTGCGGGCGCTGCTATGCGCAGCACTTGAGCAACTCAGTACGCGCTCGTTGTCCGCCCAGCTCTTGCAGATCATGGGATCTCACAGCATTTCCGTGGTCCAGAGGTTTACTACGCGGTCAACGGCTGGTGTGCTGTACACACATGCCCCCATCTTGGCCTGACCCGAGAGATCCAAGTGTGCCCCGGGGGCCCGCTCGGGGGCCGCACTCTGCATAGCCAACGTCGACCTGCAGTGTAATTAATGCACGACTGGGTGCGACGGCTGATCTCACACGGCATCTGTGTCCCGACGACGACGTTACGGGTTGCTGCTGCCGCCGCTGCCCAGTGCTAAAAAGCTGTGGAACTGCGTCTAGGTGACTGCCTAGTGTTGACAGAGCCGTGACCTACTTACCTCTGCAGTGCTACGCCTTGGGTTCGCCGACGATCCAGCTCCAGCGTCATCCGCGGTGCTTCTGAGCATTGGCTTCCAAGGCAGCAAGGTAGCTAGCTGGGTGGGTGAGTCCGGATTTGTCTCTGGACCAAGTGCAGATACGAAAGGACGATCGTCAAGTCTTGCGCAGGTCAAACCCCGTTTCGGGCCTTGGTGTTTGGCCAGCTACAGGCACCCATACGGGCCGCGCCATCGTCGACGATCCTGTGCGAGCCCCTCTGCCCCTCAGGCCCATCCACACGCATCGTGGCCCCAATCCCGCGAGCTCGACAAGCGACCCGGATCCCATATCGCCACGGATTAAGAGGTGGCGGCACCGCGAGGCCGAAACATTCCCAGCCCAATGGGCGATGGGCAGGCCCGACCACGACAGTGACCAGAACGTGCATGGTCGTGAGACACGCCAGCAGACAAGCGAGCGCCGGAGCTCCCCTCCTCAGGCATGTATGTATGTATGTACGTACGTGGGTATGGATGTAGCAGGCCAGCATGTGCGGCGGTTGATGCTGCCCAGCTTGGTGCCGGCAGGCTGGTCGTGTGAGAGCCTCTGCCCTGGTTTCGCCTGCCTGTCACGGCGTCCGAGGAACAAAACTGCGCGGGGCAATTACGGTATTGCATGCAGAGAATACCGCGTACCGCAGTACGTACTCTTTTTTTTCTCGCACACACAACTGGGGAAGATCCACGCCCGAGATGAGATCAACGGCAGACGGGTTCAGGGCACGGGGACAGGCCCCACGATCCCGCAACGCCTGTATCCACTTCTGGCGCACATGGCAAAGGCCCTGAATGAAGAAGTAGCTGCACTCGCAGCCTGTCTGCCTGTCAGGTTCGGATACCCGGTGCGACAGTAGTACGTCAACGTCTCGTCCAACCCTCGCCCCTCCCCACGATGGGGTACAGATAGGGACGGTTGGCTGGAATTGGGTTGGTCGGGTGGGTGACATATGACGAGGCTGCGTTCGATCTTCCTGGGCGCTGTCTTTTTTTGTTCGCGAGGGAAAACTTGCTTTAGGCCTGGCGGACCGTCACCACAGCCGATTGGAGGCCCGCGGATGGTGACCTCGCAGCTGCTAAAAATGGAGCACCTGCGGGAGTCACCCATTGGGCGACCGGAGACCTGGGACATCCATCCAAGCCATCAGGCATGGCCAGTGGCCGACCACGCATCAATCCAGTTCACACTGGCACTGCAGGCGACCTGAAGACCGGGCGTACCAAAAGAATTGTGCCCTGCGGGTGAGACAAGGGTGGAGGGGACACGAGAAGAAGAAAGAGAGAGAGAGAGTTCGCGCAGGATCTCACGAGTCCCTGTCCGCACATCTCCCGGCCGGCGAAACGCCCTGGGCCGCACAACCTCCACTAAACCAGCCCAGTCCCTATGCTTGGGCCGCCAGAGCGGCAGCCTGGCCGCTTCTGCTAGAAAGATAGGTTGTTGTCAGACGACACAACATCAGGCGGATGGGCCCTCGAGCAAAAAGGGGTCGCTGACGGCTTGGTTTGGGCTTGTCCCCCTTGGGGCTTTGGCAAGGCTCGCCTCTACCGGATGCAGCATTTGTGCGTCATTGGCGGTCTCGACTTTTCCTTGGGGCCTCTGGGTGGGATGGATTCCCTTACCCACAATGCCAATCACTGATACCTCCGTACAGAGTGATGGCAAAGCTTTGGAATAGCTCCCGGGACGATCCCACGTTATTGGGCTCGGTGGCGCGGCACTGCGGCAAGCTTGCCCAGGTATCGTCACCTACGCTACCACCACCCTGGGTGCCTCAATTTCCCCTGCCCGCTAGTAGATAAAGGGATCTGGAACATGTGCAAAAAAGCAGTCACGATCGGAGCGAGCATACCCAGCCCAGCCCGGGGGTATGGAAAGCGCTCACGATCGTATGATTTGCAGACAGGACTGGTTGGCCGGATAACAGTCAAGGGCTGGGCCATGGCACGACGTGCGGCGCTCAGCAAGCAACCAGTTGCGCCTCGACCGGTTTCGACGGCACCGGCCGCTGTCGTCATGCCGCAACGAACAATGAATGCGGAGGACTTTGGCCGGGGGGCACGTCGAGGCGCACGAGGCTCGGCCTTAGCACCCTGCTCGAGTGTCACCGCATCGATATGTCTCCAGGGGTGGGAATGAATCTGGACCTCTTCCAACGTTCTAGGGCTAGGAGGGAAGTGGAAACACAGGCTGTCGATCTCCTCCCTACTGCTGGAGTGCTGTTGCTGAGCAAAGGTTTTCTCATCTCATCTCGCGACTCACCGTTTAATATAGCTAGCTACCCTTTGGCGTATCGAGGGACGCGCCGGCGGTCGCTTGGCAACGGAATGAGGCAAGAGTGTTGCTGTTGGACGACGCCACCAGATCTGAAGAAATGCTCAGAGTTGTGGGCACACGAGTTGATCACTTATTAAGAAAATGAGTGCGTCGTCACAGAAGTAAACATTATGATTTTCCGGGATCCTTGTGAACCATGCTGTATGGTCAGCAGTCCTCGAGCGGCAACTGACAGGTCTCGCTGTCGAATTAACCTAAATTTTAAGCAGCGATTCCATGCGTAGAAAAATTGGGGATCGGCATCAACGCCGTCACTGCATGCTGGACGGAGAATGGCACAGTGGTGATGGGAGAAATTACCGATGCGACAGCGCCTCGCCAGCCAGTGATGGAGCCTGCTGTAGTCCACCACCTCGACCGGATCGAGTCTGTACCAGACTGTGTCTGCGTGTCTGCTATAGACCGCAGACCTCGAGGATCTCATCTCCCTACTCCTCTTTGGCTGTCAGTTGCAGCCACCGCCAATCCCAAAACGCTAGTGCAGGTACCTGACCATCAAAGGAAGAACGGAACGTCGGCAGAGGTTGTCGGCTGTCCGTTGTCCGTTGTCCGTTGTCCATTGTCCTCTGCTTTGTAGATCCTGTCTGCCAGTACGTGGGAGCTGCTGGCACCCTGCGAACGGAAACTGCGGACCGGCATCACCTGGTGGGAGGTTGGAAGAGGATCTGAGGTGGTCAAGCTGCAAGCCAGCTCTGGTGGTCCCTGCGTTTGTGTTTGTGGGGTGTGTGTGCTGCGAGTGTGTGTGCACGATGCAGTGCCAGAGAGACTGAAGAGGATTAGCCGGGGTGGCATTCTAATAAAAGAGAAAGCAGGGAACAGAACTCCCCCAGGGCGATCCTTGGCCGGCCAGAGTCCAGACAGAGGGGATGTGCCCATCTCGCAAGTCATACTGTACTGTACAAATGTTTGTGCCTGCGTGTGAGTGTGCGTATGTCTGGAGGGCTGTGCAATGCTGTGCTTATTAGCTGTCTTGTCCTGCTCGAGTCAACTGCAGGTACATAACCTTTCCTGCCTTTCCTGCCAATGTTTTGGGTTTGCAAACTTGCTTTCTGAAGCCGTCTGATCTTGGCAAGGAAAGGCTTGAACCAGACTGTGATTTCATACCTGCAGTACCGAGTACATTTGCTGGTTGCCATGCCAGGGTAAACATATCCAGTGTAGCAGTAGGGGACTCAGGGTGATCAGCCATCTAGTGCAGCCAAGCAGCATGTCAGCATGTACACCACTGCCGCTCGTACTCTTGTCATCTACCTGGGTGCCCGGGAGCAACGGTGCAGCCCCTGTGGAGCCCCTGTGGGCCCCCAATCCACCAGCCCTCTGCCCTTGGTGCTGGCTGGCTGGTCATTCGGACCTTAGGAGGACCCCTCCCACCCAGGTACCAGTCTGCCCGTTCATCCCCCCTTCAGCACCTGGTCTAGGTCTGGTCTGGTCTGGTCTGAGCCTAGCCCACCTGGCAGCCCTGGCACTTGGGCGGCCCATCAAAACACAGGGGTATCCAAGTACCCCAGGCCCCCAGAACACCCATGGACGTCACACATCACTGCTCCAGCCTCCAGCCCGCCTGGGTCCTCCCAAGCGCCGCAGCAGCAGCAGCAGCAGCAGCAGCAGCAGCAGCAGCAGCAGCACCAGTGGCAGCAGCAGGGCAAGCAGCAGGCAAGCAGCCAAGTAAGCAGCGAAGCGAAGTGCAGCAAAGCGCAGCCAGAGAGAGAGCACAGCAAGGCCCAGCCCGGTGGTCTCCCAGTCCAGCCAGCCCAGCCCAGCCCAGTCCAATCCAAACTGAACTAAACGTCGTTGCCGCCCATCTCCCTCCACAACACGACTTGCACTCGGTCGCTCATCTTTTGTGACCACAATCCACTCCTTTCAGCCCAGCCCAGCCTGCTGCTTGCACCCCCGCTGCCAGCTCAGATCGAACGCTCTCGTCCCGCTGCACACACCACATAGTCGGAAAACCAAACCACCTCTGATTCAATCCTGGCTCCCAACGCTGCGACCGGCTTGCCTGTGTCCCTGTGCTGATCTACAGCACTGCCAGCACGGTCGTCCTTGCGTGCCGTACCCTCACGATGACGTCCGCCGCAAACCCTCCGAACCCCCCCAATATTCACCCTCCGACCACTGCAGCTGCTGCAAACCATGGCGGAGGGCCAAATACCCAACCACCAACCCCGACTGCTTCTCACGCCTCCCCTCCCAGCAAACGCGACCTCAAGTCCTGGTGGAAAAATTTCAAGCTCTCCAAGCATGAGGAGTCACATGGTGAAGATCCCTCTACTCCTTGCCCTGCTCTTCTAGAACAATGGGTTTCTCTTGCAGCGGCATACCATGGCAGCAACCCAGATGACCTGCTGTCCCTGGAACATGTCTCGCAGCAACATCCTCACTTGCCTGGCCCTGTCACACCTCTGCTGCTCAGGCCCTCCCACAGCTTCATCTCCAGCCCTGGCTGGTTGGGCAGGGCCTCACAGCAGCAGAGGCGCAGGACGCGACTCGGCGCCTCCCTGGGCGCGCATCTGGGCGGAAGCCTGCGGGCTCCTCCTCTTTGTCTTTGCACCATTGCTCCACCAGAAACCGCCCCGCTGACTTGTGCAGAAACGAAAGCACCCGGTATCTTCGGCGTGCCGTTGCGACAGAGCATCGTCTACGCGAACGTCGCCATATCGCTAGTCGACGACAACGGCAAGAGCTACATATACGGATACGTACCCATCGTGGTCGCGAAGTGTGGGGTTTACCTGAAAGAGAAGGGTACGTACGCGTGAAGTCGCCCCCTCGTCGTAACGGGACTCCGTGCTGATGCGGAAATACAGCAACGAACGTCGAGGGAATCTTCCGTCTCAATGGGTCCGAAAAGCGCATCAAGGAGCTCAAACAGGTGTTTGACTCCCCGGATCGCTACGGCAAGGGCCTCAGTTGGGATGGCTACACAGTCCACGACGCAGCGAACGTGCTTCGGCGGTACCTAAACGATCTTCCGGAGCCCGTTGTGCCCCTTGAGCTGTACGAGAATTTTAGGGGCCCGCTGAAAGGCGCGACCAAGTCGGCTGTTGGCGACGCCGACGGGCCTCAGTTCATCGACGAGTTCGACGTCGAGTCCGCGATCAAAAAGTACCAGCGCCTCATCACGCAGCTGCCTCCTCTGAACCGACAGCTTTTGCTCTATATCCTCGATCTGTTGGCCGTCTTTGCAGCTAAGGCGGATGAAAATCGCATGAACTCGCAGAACCTAGCAGCCATCTTCCAGCCCGGCATGCTGTCGCATCCCAGGCACGCCATGGCCCCGGAGGAGTATCGCCTCAACCAATGCGTCCTCATTTTCCTGATTGAGAACCAGGACCACTTCCTGATCGGAATGCAAGGCACGGCTGCGGACGAGAAGACGGTGCAGGAGGTGCAGAAGGGCACCCCCGTCATCAATGCGCCTGTAACCCCCGGTTCATCTCGTAAGTCCGGCGTCCACAGATCTGCATCTAATGCCAGCGCCGCGGCGGAAAGCATATCCCGAGATGGGGCCATTCGACGAAATAAATCTACCAGCTCGAGGCACTCGCGCGCATCAAATGGTGCCCCGAGCCCTGGTAGCCCTGCCCTTGCGTCAACACCATCCAGCGGGCTCGGCAGGAGCAATACGGTTCCGTCCAAAAGGTCGCCGGCAATCCAGTCTGGGAGGTTTGCGCACATGAGGAACGAAGGGGCCGGCGCGCCTGTGTCACCACTGACACCTGTGGTAGCATCTTCTGCGAACATCCCGGCGCCTCCCACAGTCCAGGAGGTGGAGACACCCGAAGCCAGCGAGCAATCGGATCCACTGGCAAGCAGTAAAGGAGGCCTGACGCCTGGGTACGCACGTGAAAGGAGCCAGGAGCGCCTTCTGGAACCCAAGACAGCTCCAGAGGCCGCGACAACCCCGACCAAGGAGCGGAACCTGAGCAGCCTATTCCAACGGTCGCCTACAGAAAATAGCGAGAAGAAGCAACCCAACAAGCTTCGGAAGAAGCGCGTACCGAGCACGAACCCCAGTGCAGCAAGTTCTGCTGCGTCTCTTGCTCACTCCAGCGCGGTTTCGCCGACTGTCGAGTCTTTTAACCCGATCGAGAGGATGACGGAATACCCTCAACAAGAAGCCGAGGTACCAGCGCAGGACTTGCCGAGGCCGGACGCGATTGATACCCCGTCTGAGCCCACGCCACGGGCCTCGCAGATGCCGTCAAGTGGCCACTTGCCAAGTGAAAATGCCGAACACGGGCTGAGAACGCATCAGTCACCACCCACTTCCCTGCACAGTTCTTTCAACGAAGGCTCTGATGCCGATCGCATAGAGGAGCCAATCCCGTCTATCGAGCAGGTTGAGCATGGCGAACAGCAGGACAGGAAACGACGATGGCGACTGTCACGCAAAAAGGACGACTTCCCCGAGGGTCCAGAGCCTGCCGTGACATCGCCCCGGAGGATTGGGTTCAACAGGACGGCCGAGACCAGCAACAGCTCTGTTGGCACTGACGTGAACAAACCTCGGCACAGTTTCACGGGAGACTCGTCCGAGCCGACCCTGGAAGCTCACTCCAGTATCGACTCTGGCAGCAGAGAACATGGCCATAGCAGGGAGGAATCAAGAGGGCTTTCTGGATGGATCAAGAACAAGATGCGAGAGGCCAAGGAGAATGCTGGGCGCACCAAATCACCACCTGGTGATCGTGGATCCCTCAGCTCGGCACTCCCCGTGCGCGGAAAGAGCCTCGATATCAAACGGCCGGCCGAGGCAGAGAAAGATGCCCCTCAGAAGGCACCAGAAGCCAACGCATCTCAGCACTGATGTGCGAGCTCATTGTCCCATCGATCTGGCCATGAACAGGATATTAGCAACAGCTGTGGATGTACAACTACGATGTACGATTTTAATGCCCCCTCTTTGGTTCCCAACTACACCCGGAATTACAACCATCGGACCCGATTTTATTAATGTTTTCAATCTTCAACTTTATGGCGGTTTGGTTTTGGGAATCGCCAGACCAAGGCAGGCAAATTCATGCAAGAGAGAGAGAGAGAGATCAAGACAGCGACTTCGAAAGAGCAAAGACCACACACGGCAAGAGAGGCACGGGGAGAGGGGTGGCTGGCTCTCATACTGAAGGATTCAATACGAAGGGATGGACAAGATGGGACCAGCTTTTGTTCGAACCTTGGGGGCCCAAGCTTTCTCAAAGTCGTCCTGTCAGGAAAGCTTTGAGCGAAAGCGGTGGGCTGCTACTGTACGGTAACGGCATATGTTGATGTTACCTGTCGATGATTCTGCTGCTGCTACTTGAGGATACCCTGGTTTAGCTACCTGCCTATACGCGGTTTGGGAATGAGAAAAGAAGAGTATTAGGGAACATAACCCCTGGGTGTGATAACTTCCCCCGCTTGCCACATTGCTACTGAAGCTCCATTTGCTGTTGACGGGATGCCACGCGGGTTTTTCTTTGCTTCTCGGTGACGGGCGGCCGCGTGGCCGGGTCGGGACATGAGCGTGGGCGCAATCTCGCCCGTGTCACGTAGGAGCCAGGAGCCGGGAAGAAGAAAGTCAAGAGGAAAAGGTCTCAGGAATAGTCTTTCCTGCGGCTGTCGTTCCGATGGCCGTGAGACAGCCGGGGGTTTACAGTCCGACTGTGTTCTTAATAGAGTGCGAGCAGTAGGGTTTGGTGGGATTACTGCTGTCCTAGAGCTCACACTGAGCCAAGTCCTCGTTCTGGACCGGGTGAGGCTCAAATATCTAGAAGACTTCACAAAACATGTGCATGATCGATCCTCAGGGCGGCCGGATCCTGCCCGCGGGCACCTCGCTGGGCAACTGGGCTCGCCTCGGCTGCTGCTAGGACCTGGGCAAAAGCGGGAGGGTCTGGGGTTTAGCTGCAGTAGCGCGGCCGCTTCCCCAGGGGCTAGGGCCGTTTTAAGCTTGAATCTATGGGGACTTTTCCCCGAGTCCCTGGCAAATGTGAGAGCGAACTCGGCGCGCCGTGCCCTTTTTTTGCTGGCTGTCCCTCTCTCTGTTACTCACAGATTTCGAGATTGGGATCTATATCCCGGTATGTACACCTTGGATTCCCCCCCCCCCTTCCAGATTCCATAAATGGTATCAAAATGGTTGTTTCTGTCCCCCCTCCCAAAACCTTGGAACTCCAAATCGCATTGTGGCGGCCGCCTGGGTGCAACGCTGATATGACCTGGAATAACCAGAGGGATCGTGTACTGCGCAAGACTGATGGCGTGGTGCAAGTGAGAAATTAGGCCCAGCCACGGGCGAGCGAGCTGCCGGCAACCAACACGGGCGGTTAAGGCCCGGGATGATGACTTGGGGATGCCTGTGTCTATGCTGCGTGTCTCACTTTGGAAGATTGTTTTGTGTATGTGCCACGGAAATCCCGATGTTTCTAGCGGTATTCCCTCGCCCACGGTCGCACCGCGGCGCACGAGGCGGAGACATACCACGAGATGGAAGCTGCAGCTGCCCGTTTCTGTGCGTAGGACCAGGACGGGACGGGATGATGGGGAGGGGATGCGGGCCTTTTTCCCCTGGTGGACGAGATCTTGTCCAATTGTTCCTTGGTGCTGGTTGAGGCCTCTGGGAGGCATTCAGGTGTTATGTGAAGCAACACTTGATTTGCTGGATAAAAAAAAAAGTAATTACATACATGTGTACTGAGCTCAGTGACATATTATTCAAGAAATACCTAGGCATCGTTGCTGTGGGGAGCCCCAGACTCGATCCGGTATAACGCTGGGGTAAGCACGCGCCCGGGCTGGGGGGGTTGGCTCCGATCGGACGGGGTGTGCCTCCCGGAGAGGCGAGCGAGAGAGGACGTGTGTGGATCAACTAATAATCTGACCAAACAAGTACTGTGTAGTGAGGTGACTCGTCCTCCCCAGCCCGAGGGAGATGGAGGCCCGCCGGGGCGGATTTAAGGGCAACCACATGCAAGGTACCTCGCCTCTTTTTTTCTCAGTAAGCTATTTATCTGCTTCTCGTCATCCCGCATCGCGCCTCGCCCTCTGTCACCTCTCCCTCCCCCGCCTCATCCGTGGCTGCGAGTTATAGTGAACCGCCTCTGCGCCGGCTTCTCCTGCTTGACCTCGACGTCGGACCTGAAGCCAAGGCTCTGTTAGCATGTTCACCAAGAAGTCCCGTAAGTGCCGAAGCTCGCTCGTTTGCTGTCGTTGTGCGATCACCAAGATGCGTTCGTTATTTGGGGATTTGTGGATTACTCATACTGCCTGTCTGTCGGTACATGTTGTACCATCGACTCATTCGTAAGAAAGGATCAACCTGCGGGAACATGAACTAACTGAAACTCACAGCTCCAGCGCCGGCCGGGGACGGCGGCATAGACGTCCACAGCGATGGGGCCGGTGTCAAGGAGGGCGGATCCCCAACCGGCATGTACGCGGGGGACAGGGAGCCGGGCTACTCAGAAGACTACGACGAGCTCGGCGTCGCCTGCCCGCCACACACGACCGAGAGGAAGCTCATGACCCGCGTCGACTTGCACCTCCTGCCCTTCATCAGCATCCTGTACCTGCTCGCCTTCCTGGACCGCGTCAACGTCGCCAACGCCAGGTCCTTCCACCTCGTCGAGGACCTGCGCCTGGGCGGCACCGAGTACAACACCATCTTGGTCATCTTCTTCGTCCCCTACGTCTTCTTCGAGATCCCCTCCAACATCCTGCTCAAGAAGCTCTCGCCCAGGGTCTGGCTGTCGCTGTGCGGGATCGCCTTTGGCCTGGTGACTGTCTTCCAGGGCTTGACGAAGAACTACTCTGGCATTCTTGCCACGAGGTTCTTCTTGGGCATCTTTGAGTGTGGCATGTTCCCGTCAGTCTTTCCGTATGCCCCTACGTCCCTGCTGAACACGCCTCTTACATCCTTTTAGTGGCTGCTTTTACCTGCTGGGAATGTGGTATAAGAGAAGTGAGGCCCAAAAGCGCTTCACATTCTTCTTCGCCTCGACAAGTCTTGCCGGTGCGTTTGGCGGGCTGTTGGCGTCCGCGATAGGGAAGAGTGAGTCAACCGTGTTGATCGTCTCGTCTTGGTTTTCAGAAACATTGGCTGACACGCTTTCCTCATTCCTCAGTGGATGGGCTCAGAGGCTACCATGGTTGGAGGTGGATTTTTATTATTGAGGGCGCCATCACCGTGCTCGTCTGCATGACCTTCCTCTTCACATTCCCAGCCTTCCCGGAACAGGCCAAATGGCTCACGGAGCCGGAGCGCGAGTACGTCAAGGCGCGCCTGCGGGCGGATCTGGGCCACAACGCCGCCGAGCGCAAGATCACCATCTCCGACGTCCTCACCGTGCTGCGGGACCCAAAGGTCATCGTCGGGGGCTTCATGTACTTCGGGCTGATCGTCCCGGCCTACGGCTACGCCTACTTCGCGCCCTCCATCATCCAGGCCTACGGCTACAGCCCCATCGAGACGCAGCTGCACAGCGTGCCGCCCTGGGCCGTGGCCTTCGGTTTTAGCATGCTGGTCGCCTTCGCGTCCGACCTCGCCCGCCACCGCTTCCTCTTCACCGTCGTGCCCATCTGCATCGCCATCAGCGGCTTCGCCGTCCTGCTGACCGTCCACGACCGCACCAGCGTCAAGTACGGCGCCCTCTTCCTGGTCGTCATGGGCACCTACTCGGCCATGCCCGTCATCGTGTGCTGGTTCAACATGAACCTGGGCGGCCACCACCGCCGCGCCATCGGGTCCGCCTGGCAGATCGGCTTCGGCAACATCGGCGGCATCATCTCCACCTACGCCTTCCTCGCCAAGGACGCGCCCTTCTACAAGCCCGGCTACAGCATCTGCATCGGCTTCATCTGCCTCAGCCTCGTGAGCTGCTGCGTCTACGCCGCGCTCATCACGTGGGAGAACCGCAAGAGGGACAAGACCGTGCGCGCGAACCTGACTGAATACGAGAAGACGGAGCTGGGTGATTTGAACCCCGAGTTTAGGTATATGCTCTGATGTAGTGTGTGTGGGGAAATATATGCACCACTCGCCGCCATGTCGCTTTCTTCTTAGTATAACAAGACACGAGGCATGTCTCTGGCATCATGCGCATATTACATTTGAAAAGTAAATACTAGCATGAATCAAAGATCAAAACAGCACACCAGTTCCATATTACTTGGGTAAGAAGTCGTTCCCAGGTGAAGATTGGCTTTCAGCCATATCATATATGGATTGGGAGAACAGCTTTCAGTCTCTGATGTGATTGTAGCATTCAATTATAGTGAAACCACCCCACGGAAGATGCATGCTATTCTGGATATACTCCGGTATCCCAAACAGCCAGATACCCTTCTTTCCTCTCATCATCGCTAAACAATCCATTCCACCCGCTCCAAACACGCTTCAATTTCCACCCCATGTCTGCGCTGTCAAGAAATCCAGTCAGGGCCACCTCCATGCTCTCAAACCCAACAATATAGCGCGGCATCTCGCCACCTCGGCCTCCAACCTTGGACTGATCCCCGCCAGTTGCCAGCGGCCATATTTCCTCCGCTAGGAAGCTGACGCCCCACTGGTCGCTGGAGCCGAACCCGTCAAAGAACCTCTTGGTCTCGTCCATGTACGACGCCCGCTCCACGCTGCCAGGCGCTGTGTGCAGCGGGGGCTCACAGGTCAATGCCCTCGCGCGGAGAGAGGGGTAGACGAGGTGTGAGCGCCAGGGTGTCGCGTGGCATGGAGTCAGGAAGAGAGCAAAGAGCTCGTCGGTGTCGTTACTACCATCGACAGGTGATGGCTGCGTGAGGCTATGATGGTGGTTGAGAATGGGATGCTCGAGGTGAAGATTGAGACGGTCAGGGTGGATGCGCTCGTATTCATGTCGGAGGAAGTGCATGACGGAGATTGGTGCAGCAACGTGGAAGAGGGAGAGGTACGTTGCTATGATAAGATTGACGAATATGAGACCGGCAAGGAGAGCGGTCCTGCCCTGGGAGGGCTGGCGGCCTGGAGCGGCAGAGAAAAAGGAGGCGAAAGATGGGGCCGCGAGGATATGCAGAGTTGGGAGGAGTGGGTAGATGAAGCGGACTTCCTTATGCGAGACCGCAGATAAGACCGCAATAGTGCTAATGACCGTGTAGGCCAGTGTTCTGAGGGCGTTGGATTGGGTCGCCGTGGCACCTGAGGTCGACGACAACGCGGACCTGTATATACCAACGAGCGCGAATGGCAGGAATGTCATGGCGAGCTGGGTGATGCCTTGGGAGAGGTAGTAATGCCATGCCATTTCCCCATAAAAGACAGCAAGGTCCTGGTTCAGGTTGAAGTGAAGCCAATGATATGGTGGGAATGTCCATTCGCCAAAGTAGAGACGGTCAGAGATGGCAGACAGTGCCAGACCGGCACTCCCACACAAGACAGCCTCCCTGAAGAGGACCAGGGCTACCCGCAAACTGATTGGGCTTTTCCCACGTAGTGTCAAGCGGGTGAAAGCCACCAGAACTACAGTGCCCCAGATAAAAACGTTTGTGGGCCTCAAAAGAACCGCAATCGCGGCAAGGAAAAGGGAGACCCGGAGGCTGGCAAGACGGTTCCGTCTCGCGGGGGAGCCACCATGAGTCTCGGCAGCGTCACCCAGCAACTCCCAGGGCCAGTAGTTCAGGGCCGCTATGGTGAGTGTCATCTCGAGGGAATTCGAAAAGGTCCTCGCGGAGCAGTACCACTGCCAGGGGTTGAGCACGGTCACGCACAGGGCGGACCAGGCCGACCTGCTGCCCTGGCCGTAGACCTTCTCGGCGAGCTTCCAAGTGTACAAGTCAGCCAGCGCCGCGAGACATGCCTGGACCAGCTTGGGCAATGCGACCAGCACGGAGGCTCTGAAGGCTGGCAGGCATGACAGCACGCTCATGACCTTGTCCGCGGCAGCATATGCGAGGGCAAACAGGGCTGGGTGGAGGGAAGACCTCAGATGATATTGCCATTCCTAGAATCACCATCAGTCGTGGGGTTTCACCAAAGGCTTTGAATTCATCCATAATTATGAGCAGACTCACCCAGGTCAACCAGGCACCGCTATTGGGCCCAAACGCGAGGTTCCATGCTGGTTCGAGAGCCTGGAAGTACTCGTCTGGCTGGAAGAAAGTGCGCCCCGTGCAAAATGCATTGAGGGTACGCAATAGGACCAAGCCGGTCACGACGTATAGTGGCGGTATGGCGAGTCCATGTTGAGAATGAGGCTGGCGGGCCTCACGGGTGGACATGATCAAGTGGCTTGGTAGCTCATGGGAGCTCTCAGTCTGCCTGTCTGTCTTGCTTGGATGTCAGTCAGCCAGTCAGTCAGTCACCCCTTTCCCAACCCTGAATACAAGGGTTGAGGACCAGGAGGGGGGAAGAGGGGGGGTTGATTGTTGTCAAATTGATCGTCGTTGATTGGCAGCGACCTTGTCCACTGGCACCTGCCCCTGCAGCCGGAGCCGCAGCGCAGCGTGGGGGACATTGTCACCCCTCCATCCCGCTATCGGGGGCCCAGCAGGAGCAGCGCCGTCCTAGTTAGACTACTGTATTATTTGTCGGTACTGGTCTACGGCGTAGGCTGGCCCCCAAAAGTGATGGCATCGGTTGACACAAGATGGAGGGCATTCCCGGACGATGCTCACGATCAATTGATCAATTGAAAAAGAGACAGACGGCTGACCGCTTGAATGATTCGCGGGCAGATGCAAGTGCATCTCATTATTCATAGCGGCGGCTTGTCTCGGCTCCTCCACAGTGCGCTGCCTATCTTGTGACCGCGGAATGACAAGTCGTGTGTAATACCAAAACCAACCTCGCGGTTATACTTGCACTTAGGGGTCTAGTGTGCCACTCTTCAACAATCCAGTCCACCGCACAGTCAAGAGGATCCGAGACGGGGCTGCCAGGCCTGCTAGGAAACCTGGCCTCAAGACGTCTTACGACTGACTATTTTAGCCCTGCCGCCCCCTCGGCCCCCTTCCTCGGACGCCTCGTCTGCTTTGTTCTCCTGTTTCTCATAACCACATACTTTAAGGTCCCTCCTTTCCCGAGAGCGGCCACGATATTACCCGAGACCAATACAACACCCTCAGCCTTATTCATACTGCATACCTCCTGGTCGCTCGTCCCGCCGTCGCGAACCCACGACAGGAACTCTCGAACCACAGACCAAAGTCATCATGGCGCCCCACGCAGACAAGGACGTCTCTGCCACCAATGGCGCAACCAGCGGCGCATCGGGCTACCATGCGACCTCCACCAAGGCTGCCATTGCTGCCGAGAACCAGTTCGCCGCGCACAACTACCACCCCCTGCCCGTCGTCTTTGCGAAGGCTCAGGGCGTCAACGTCTGGGATCCCGAGGGCAAGCACTACCTCGACTTCCTGTCCGCCTACAGCGCCGTCAACCAGGGTCACTGCCACCCAGAGCTGATCAAGGCCCTGACTGAGCAGGCCGGCCGCCTGACACTCAGCTCGCGCGCATTCCACAACGACGTCTTCCCCGTCTGGGCCGAGAAGGTGCGCTCCGTCTTCGGCTATGACATGGTGCTGCCCATGAACACCGGCGCCGAGGCTGTCGAGACCGCCATCAAGATTGCGAGGAAGTGGTCATACAAGGTCAAGGGGGTCCCCGAGAACAAGGCCCTGGTGTTTTCTGCGACCGAGAACTTTCACGGAAGGACGGTGAGTGCTGCTTGCGGCTGAGCAGCGTGGCTACAGTCTCGAAACTTGTCACAAAAAATATACATGGAGGCACCGCGATCTAATCACACCAAGTATAGATGACGGCAATCTCGCTGTCTGTTGACCCAGAGTCGCGCGACAACTACGGCCCATTTGTGCCAAACATCGGTGCTTTCTGCCCCACCACCGGCAACCCCATCCGCTACAACAATATCGCCGACCTGGAGGCCGTTCTCGAGCGCCACGGAAAGGAGAGCGCGGCCTTCATTGTCGAGCCCATCCAGGGTGAGGCCGGCGTTGTTGTGCCGGACGACGACTACCTGAGCAATGTCTCCGCTCTCTGCAAGAAGCACAACGTCCTCTTCATCTGCGACGAGATCCAGACCGGCATTGGCCGCACCGGCAAGATGCTCTGCCACCAGTGGGCCAACATCAAGCCCGACCTGGTCACCCTCGGCAAGGCCATCTCCGGCGGCATGTATCCCGTGTCCTGTGTCCTTGGAGACAAGGACGTCATGCTCGTGGTCGAGCCCGGTACCCACGGCTCCACCTATGGTGGAAACCCGCTGGGCTGCGCCGTCTCCGTGCGCGCCCTGGAGCTCATCGAGGAGGAGGACATGGTCGGGAAGGCCGAGAGGCTGGGCAACGTCTTCCGTGACGGCGTGGCCGCCTTCAAGTCGCCGCTCGTCGCCAAGGTCCGGGGCAAGGGTTTGCTCAATGCCGTGGTTATCGACGAGTCTGCCACCAACGGACGCACCGCGTAAGTCGAACCCCTAGACCCACAGGAAAGGATCATCGGGCGATTACTGGACCCTCAAGGGTCCCAGTACGCGTGCAGTTCTTCCTCCCCACACTCCCAGCTTTGAAAGGAGACGACTAATCGTGAACAGCTGGGATCTTTGCATTCTCCTGAAATCCAAGGGTGTTCTGGTAAGTCATCTCCCAATGTCCACTGGTGGTCCATCCATTTGTCACCTCACATGACAACCCGTCCCACTCACCGCCTGTCCCGCATGGACCGCTGCGACGGACGTACGAAGCCCACTGTCACAATGAACAAAATACTAACAGAACCCAGGCCAAACCGACGCACGGTAACATTATCCGCTTCGCTCCCCCACTCGTAATTAGCGAGGCGGAGCTGCGCAAGGCGCTTGACATAATTGGCGAGGCCCTGAACGAGCTCCCCAACGCACAGAAGGCCGAGCATTAAGTGGAGACAAGCTTGGAATCCGGGGGTGCGATGGAGCCATTGGTCTGTGTGTCTTCACACTAGACCCCTGGCTCAGTTGGCCGGACGGCAACATCGTCATCCAGCCAACACAACAGGACATCAATCCCTACGGGCACCGCTTACCGCCCCACTAGCTGATGGGAAGGACTTGAAAAGAGGAGGAAACCATTTGGGCGAAAAGAACGTCTTTCTCAGCGGTGGGGGTCGAGGAAGCGGTTAGGGTGTGTGCGTCAGCCACCTGCGGCTCTGCCTGGTGAGGGTTCCACCGGGAACTTCCCCGGGCAAGGCTCGACAGGCAGCAGGCGGGCCCCCTAGAGCTTTGATGACGCGAGCCTAGATCAGGCCCGTTGTTATAGGCAACTGGATTTGGGAGGCTGGTTCGTGGTATTCCAGGACGGCTTGGAAACAGGCAAGAGCGTATCATGGGCCAGACCTCGTTCGGTTGTGGGTGATTAGCAAATAGACTTCTCAAGAATTCTAGATGATATCACCAAATTTTAGTGCAGACCTGCTGTGATGAAATAAGTGACAAGAACTTGGGACAGCCTCAGTGGCTGTGAACAACCTTGGAGCGAATCAGCCCCGAGCGACTCTGAACTCGGGTAAAACTCGATACTTCTGGTAGATCTGAGCTGGGCCCCGAGTCGGTTGAGAAGCCACTCACATGGATCCTCGCTGCCTTCAACTGTCTAGTTGCCGCAAATACCGGTTAGAACTTTATCGACGTCTGCCAAATTGCTACTATCGACCAGCACCCAATGTCATATACCGTGCAGAGATATGTAATGGTCAATGCTTTTTCGATTATGATTTCGCGCACTCTTCAAGCATAATGTGCTTGCGCCTCTCCAGGCACAAGCATATTTAACCAAACATCACCCAGTATAGTCTCGACTATATTGCCTACGGCGTCTATGTCTAGCCTATGATATCTTTTCAACTTAAAGCTTGTGATAAATTGAAAAGAAGCCCTATCAAGGGAAGTTGTCTCCGGCACTTCAGGAGCCCCGTACATTATCTGTGTCTCGGTTTCTGTTGCTTGTCATGGATTATTGCAATGTCACTCTCCGAATGGCAGGAAATGTTGTAATGTCAGTTCATAGCCAGCACCTATGCCGAAATTTGAGACCGTATATGACCCCAAGCAGATTAGGTAGTTCTCAAATCATGACATTTCGATACTCACTCTCGTTTCCCAGTTTCATAGCACCACTGTCTGGACCTTGGAAGAGCTAAAATCGGTCTGACCTCTCATTCATAGGCCAACTGAGTGAGCAGACTCTCTTGTTGAGCCATTTTGAACTTCCAGAGACCAGTAAATTGCCAGTGATTCATTGTCTCGCTGGCCTATAAAAGTCGCCAAACTTCCCGGGCTCGTACAATTCCACAAATCCTGCTCATCAGTACCAATCAACAATCAAGAACTTCCAAGAAAAACAAGTACTCAGAAGTGATCCTCAAGACCAGACAAGATACCAAGGCAGAGCCAGCTCTGCTTCGCAACACCGCACAACCACAACCGAAACGCAACAAGCAACTTCTCATTCCACAAACACAGTCCGCCTCGAGAAGGATATCCTCATAGCCACCGTTGAATATGTCTAGCAACGGGCAGCCGGTGTGCTCGAACTGCGGTGGGCCTCACACCGTAAAAGAATGCGCCGCGCCACCGAAGTGGAATAAATAAGTACTGGACGACGCAAGGTGAGAAGCTGTCCCTTCCCTCGGGCGTCCTCTTTTTCTGCGGGTGTATCTATTTGAGGCGGACTGGGGCCTTGTCGACCACGCGAACCTTGCTGACTGTGATGACGCACGCAGGTGGCGTCCGGCTGCTCCTCGCGCATAAGCCCTTTCGACTGTTTTACTGTGTCTGGAGATGGATCGGTTACAACCTCATGTCCGGGCTGGCGTCATGGTGGAATGAGCTATCTGTCCAAGGGGTTCAGGAGGTCATGCCTCAGAGCAAGGTCCATGTATAATGATTAAGACTTTGGGATCTTCATAGACCAAATTGGGAGTATCCCTATTGACGTGATATCTCTGGTGACTGCCCAATACTGTGAAATCACGTACTTTTGGCGTTCCTCTTACCAAATGTTTCTCCCAATGTATAAGGCCCTCACCGCATAAAGACGTCATGTAATTCCTCAGATGTATACGGAATAGAAGCGAAACCAATATAAGGCTCGACTCGAGTAGGTTGTTATTGAAAATGCTCATGAAATCCTCCAAACATGAGAGATTTGACACACAATGATTGTGTTTCTTGACGTAATTAGGCTTGTGTCTCAAGATAGGCATCACTTCATAGAAACACTACCCTAGGTTAGGTATGGCATGTGTAATTCTTTTTAATATTCTATATAATCGAGACGGGAACATTAACCAATTGCACATGTGCGCAATAGATGGCCCAGCTAAAATACTAGAATTATAAATGGCTTTTCTTTTCCCCTATCATCCAGCGGTGCCAAGGTATGCGCGGCCGGGTCCTTCGGGGGGGGGGGGGGCGCTCCTCAGGGGTAAGGAAAGACGCAGTATGCAAGTCATTACTAGCGAGAAAGAAATGCGAGATAGTACCACACACGACCGTGAGCAGGCCCTCAAGGAATCCCAGAGAAATCTCAAGGACATTAAGACAAGGAAATCTCAGGTTGAGTTCCTTCGTGGAATTTGGCCCGACGACCCCTTCCTCAAGAGCTCCCTGGACGCCGTGAAAACGGGTTCTGCCCGATGCCGTGTGGGCTGTGGAGGGAATCGTCGAGCGATACAGCAAGAAGTCGACCACCGCCACCAACACCACCAACACCACCAACACGTCCTTCATGGACAAGGTCAGACACACCTTGCCTGGAAAGAGCAGAATCCCAAGCCGAAAGACTTGGCTCCGAGCAGCACTTAGTTGGATTTGGTAGGCCATGCCGCCATGACAGTTGTGTCTTATGCTAGTAAATGTTCTGTGATATGATATCTTTGGTGACTAACTACAAGATGATAGACCAGGGAATAGGAATTTGCGCTCGCGATAACCGCGTTCATGATTCATTTGAGACTGCCACTCACCTTCATCTTACTCTGTGGCAATGCTATCTATCGTCCTTTGGGTTACGCACGCAGGTGCTGGATTGTATTCATCCCGTCACTCGCGAACCATCTGATTAGCCACTCTCTGCTCATCACTTCGAGTGCATGTAATACCAGATCAGACTGATGGCAGTGCTGTATTCCAAGGCTGGATCGTCCACATATATAAGTCACGAAGCCTCGAGGCTTATCTCCCCGTTCTTGTTTCCTGGCCATCGATTTCAATCAACAGTCAAGAACAACCCAGCATTTCAAACTCAAACTTACAGAAACAATCCTCAAAATCACACGTCCAATACTGACACAAGATAAATTCTAGCTCAAAGCATCAGACTTCGCAAGACCCATCGACCTCGTCGAAAATGGCTAAGCAACAAGGATGCCTGCATTGCGGAGGAAATCACGCCACAGGTTCATGTCCCTATCCCAAGAACTAGCAGCAGCTCCCGAAGTGTTACCAATCTCTTGACATAGAGTAGGGTCTGCCACCCCCCTCACCTTGGGACTTTTAATTAAGATCATGTGAGGCACATTGGTACAATGGGTGGCCCTGATCTATCAGCCTTGTGAAGAGTATGGGAACCTCAACACACAAAACTTTTGAGTGGGAATTAGGTTTTTACAACTTCATAGCAAAACTACAAACCACTTCTGGTAAAGCTACCGTTTATGAATAAGCTTCCCGTTCCACGTAACCGTGACCCGGTTTAAGTCAGTTGGGACAGTGTCAGACTGAAGCATATTTCAGTATTTAGGAAAATCTGAAAGTCGTGTGTTCTCCACACAGGCCGCATTTGTTTTTCGGTTTATTTTTTGAGCTTTGGCCACAATTTGTTATTTTTGTCTACCTGTGTCCTATGTGTTTATCTATTAGTCGTCTTCTCGGCCTCTGGACTACCTACTAGTAGGTTATGCTCTGTATGTAAAGTTGATAAATACGTAATATACATTTTTTATCATTTCTTTTTTTTTAACCCGAATAAAGAGGTATTAGCTTTTCTTTCAAGTCTTATCGTGGGTGTCACGTATGCACACGTAACGGGCGGTTTGGCTGGTTGAGTTGTATTGTGTAGGAAGAAGTCTAGCCTCCATTTGTGGTGCTTATCGAGAGATGTGAGAGATGCAAATGAGGGAACTCCTCTGAAGACTCGGGTCTCTGCCGAGAAGGTTTCATTCGAATCCATGAGAAGCACCTGCCTTTGTATAGCCAGGAACGAGCATGAATTTCTTTTTTTGACGATCCATACAATCACCTCGTGCATTGCCAAACGTCTGACAGCAGTCTGCGCGTAACCACTCTGGCTGTGGCAATGCTGGTTCAACGGTACACCATCTCGTAGTGCTCGAGTGGCGCAGATAGAGTTGGAAGGATTCCGTGCGATAAGCAACGACCCGCCAGAGCATAGCCAGTCAGCACACCATCGGAAGTTGTAGTTGTCCGCCAAGGTGCAACCTGTTCGACCGCAACCAACCAACAAGCCTTTGGACAATAGCAAGGGGCATACCGGTTTGAGCATTTCCCGGGGAACCGCCGCATTCACAAGCCAGGCAGGCAGGCAGGCAGGCAGCAGGGCGGGCCCAAGCTCCACTCTGGAAGTGGAATAACTCGATTCCCCAAGCTGCAAGCCTGTGTTAGAACCGATTTTCGAGAGGACCCTTTCCAATATCGATAGGCAGACAAGGTGGTGTGTATATGTGTGTGAACGACTCGTCACATCGGCCTAGCTGCATATTACAGGTACTGCATGTACACGCATACGCAGATGCGGCAAGCGGCAAGCGGCAGGCTGCTCGCTCGGCCTATTATCGTCGATAACAGGCTGGGCTGGGCTGGGCTGGGCTGGCTGGCGCCTGAACCTTTGCGGACCCTCCACCGGCGTTTGACATTGCTGTGATGCATTTTATGCATGCAGATACTTGCTTGTCGCTGTGCCATGCAGGCCAGTAGAGGAGGCCGGGGAACGGGGGTGCGCTTAACTAATCATGGTTGTGGGGGATGAAGTCTGTACATTTGCACTTCTGTGGTGCGCTTATGAGTGCTTGAGTGTGCCGTATTTACGGTGCCTGTGCGATGGCTCGCACTAGGGACAGTAAGACAGACCGCTATCCACCCACCAGCAGCAGCTGGTAGCAGGAGCAGCAACGCAAAAGGCCGCTTCCTGGCTGATACCACGTTGACATCCAGGTCCTGCAGGCGAGGTGGCTCCTGGTTGGCCGGAATTGTTGCCGTGAGTCTTACCAGGCAGCTTGACAGTTCGCCAAGCTGGCCGGTACCTGTATGGTCCGTCGCAGAAGCATTCGGGAGGTCGACTGCCTGGGCGGGCACCTGAGGTGCCTGCACGGAGGGGCCGTGGAGGGTGTGACTTGGAGCAATGGAAAACGAACACATATTCAGGGTGCAATAGGGTGCAATAATTATATGCGGCATGGGCAGGTAGCGAACCTCGCGCTTTGCCAGCGGCAGCGGTTTCTCGTACCGGCGGAGCACTTTCAACTGATGTCCAGGACCCACCCAAGGTCAACCCCGTCGATCATCTCAGCAATCCGGCCTGTTGTTCAGGAGGCGAGAACTTCAGAGCACATCATAGTTCGGGCAATGACTCGCAGATTGTGCAAGTCGGTTGATCATGTAGGTTGCTGACGTGAAAATCTTGATACACAGGCGGCATCCAAAGCTGACTCGAAGACACAACAAGACTTGGCTAGTCCTGCGGAAATGTTCTCGAAGCTCGAGTGGACTAGGAGCCGGGTAGCCTTCCTCGTTCGCGTTGCTGGTAGTGTACGCGCGCACCACAATCCCCTGGGGCAGCTGTTTCCACCTCGAATTGCGGACTTGGGCACTCGGTTAGATATGAAGACACAGGGAGCCGCCATTCGGTTGGTGAAGCACCGCCGGCTGACACGGGGACGTTTGGCCCTTGGACTGGTCATACTCTGGCCGTTCTGGCATAGACCGGCAGGAACCACGAGAGCAACTGAGACACTGAAACACCCACTTCTGCAGGACCCCAGGGGCACACCCGCGCCGGTGAGGCGAGGTGGGCCTCGACTTGGAAGAAGCAGAGACAGTTGTCTTAGGAACCTAGGGCAGCTTAGACCAATAGCGCGAGGGAGCAGACCCGGGATCCCGTCAGGTGGTGGGACCCACAGCAGGTATGACGACAGGAAACAACAGCTCTGGGCCGTGGAGGCCAATCTGGGATGTAATGCTGGATGCTGACGGGGTTTGCTTGCGGACAAGGCACCGTCCGCCGTGGAGATTCATGAAGAGTGTGTTGTTATCATTGATGATTAGACCGTTGACGCTTGGCAGAGCTACTGCAGAGCTGCGCGGCGCGTACAATGCCGGATCGCCGTAGAGGTGGTGTGCTATGCTGTATGCTGTACGGAGCGGTAGTGTGCTCTGTGTCATCGAAAGGGATCTGCAGTGTGGTGGGTTGTCAGGTAGTACTGCAGCCTGCCTAGCCTGCTACCAACAAGCATGTAGACATTGAATAAGCGACCCACGACACTAGGCGTCCACTGAAGCGATGCTGGCTTGATAGACTACTACACAGTACTTGATAGGCAAATAGGCACCTCTGCGGACACGACGGGACGGTGTCTCGTGCTGGCTGCTGGCTGCTGGCTGCACGAGAGGGGCGCAAGACCGTTAGCAGCTCAGGCCCGACAGTCGATGGCACGGACGGTCGTCTCGATAATGGTGGACGCTGGGGCCAGCGTTGCGGTGAAGGTAGCTCTGCTTTAGTGGTGTACGGCGGCTCCCATTCTGGCACAGCTTGGTCGAACCGGTGCGCCCGACGGCGGAGAAGCTGGACACAACAGGTGCGATCTCGCAAATCCAGCTGCTGCCAGTGACTGCGGTGGCCATGTCACAGAGGACGCAGAGCGAGGTGCGCTGGCCCGTAGCGTACGGAGTACGGAGTACCAACTTGAAAGACATCGGAGGATTCGCATGGGCGAGGACGACATCCAAGTGCCTCGGGCTGCCAGGCTGCACGGGAAGGCGCCAAGGGGGTTAGGAGCTCCGTTATCGCTGCGACCGTGTTGCTACTGTTGTCTTCCTGGGCACACAAGGGTCCTGGGCTGCTTTGTGGGGCTCTTGCTTGCCTGGTTGACCCCAGAATCATACAACAAGTGACGGAATCAGCCCAGCCGTCCTCGGCTCAGGACATGCACGCTCAAGCTCCAGAGTGGTGGTAATCTGTAGAGTGGTGAGCATCGGCCGTGGGCCGAGAGCATACACAAGTATGGCCAGGGCCAGGGCCAGGGATCAGTAATTCATAGCATCAATGTGTCGTGCCGACTGACAGGACCGATGATTGATGAGCCGGGCTGGCTGGACGGTTCCCAACAGAAGAGGAAACGTCAGGCCAAGCACCTGGAACACTCAGGAACGGACCCTTGGGGGCAGGCTGTCAAGGTTTGAGGACATTGGTAAATGGTCTGAGAGGAAACAGCCGAGTCGAAACCGGGCTGAGAGGGCTGAAGGTGACTGGTTGATGTTGATGGACAAGCTCGAGAGTTGGCCGGCAATGGCACTGTGTGTTGCTGCTGTTACAGTGGTTGCAGGACGCGCCAGCTTATCGTGACACGCAGGGTGGGGGAGCTGGCTTATCTGCCCCAGCTTGCCCAGCCCGGCCGATGACCCCCCCTGCCCCCCCAGTCGTAGTCCCCTGCAACCAGCCCGTGGACCGTGGACAGTGGACCGTGGAGGCTCCTCTCCCTCGATCTGGACTGGCAGACTGGGTGACTGTCCTGGCTGTCCTGGCTGTCCGCCTGGCCTGGCTGATTTGTCTGACTGTCTGACTTTCCGGACGAAGTATCTGTATCCTCTGATCAGGCCAAGTGAGGCCTGGTCGCCTGAGACCAGCCGGCTTAGCGCCCGTCTCATGTTTGATCAGCCAACAGGACCACATGTGTCTGTTATCTCCATCTGCCTGACTGCAACAGCACCACAGGTTATCAGTCTGTCAGTCTGCTCATACAGCCAGACTGCCTGCCTGGCTGGCTGCTACGGAGTACTGGTACCTAGGTACCTTCGAACCCTACCACAGGACACCAACCAGGGCAGAGGGAGGGCACGGGGGCAGAGGTGCAGAGGCGCAGAGGTGCAGCAGAGACCCCCCTCCCCCCTGCCCTCCAACCCCATGCCGCCCCCTTGCGCCTCCCCCGGCAGTGCCATCTCAGGGAGTCACACCCACGCAGCCCACGCAGGTGGGTGCAAGGATGGCATTGGCCACCGTTTCCCATCATTCGCATCACGAGGTTGCTGGTCACCTTCACCTGCATCGCTCACCCGCCCTGCCGCCGCGAGGGACCAGCACTGTTTGTTTTTCCCTTGGGGGGATCTAAGCTTCTTCAGGGTCGGTTGTGCCGGTCTAGTTCCTGGTTGATAATGCCTTGATGAGATTGTCATGCCCTCACTCACCCCAGGTCTGGGCAAACAGCTGGCACCCTGATCCGAGGCTACCTGGTGTTTTGTGCCGTGCACTGCGCGCAAAGGTGAACCGAGTATGACTCCTCTTCATGGCACGCCCTTCCAGTTCTGCCAGTCTAACACGGCGTAGGCCAGCATAGCACCGCAACTTCATTGTACTTGTGCGACCGGGCTTGAACCGACCACACACACACACACACACACCATTGCTCAAACCCGCCTTTCCAAACCGTCCCATCCACTCCTCCCCATCCATCATCAATCAGTTGATCAATCGAGCCTCTCCCATCTGACTGACCTCCTCCGCCTTGCTCCTTCCCCTCCACCCACGGCGAACACCGCGACCGACCACGGCGGTTCCTCCTCCCATCAACTCACCTCACTCCCGTTGCGCCCGCCACTGCAGGCCGTCCAGATTGTCATCCATCTCGCATCAGTCCCCCAATGCACTCGCCCTCTGACTCATTCATTTGAATTCGGAGACCTATCTGCCCTAGAACCGACCCTCTGTTTTCCAATTGATTTGCAGGTAAGGATGTGCCATCTCTGCGCCATGTCGCGACATCCTGACGTCTTCTCCAGCACCTTTTTGCCCTTCGTCACCGCTGCACGCCGTCGCTAATCCTAGACCCCCCCTTCCCACCTCCGCAGGTCTACGCAGTACCGCCGATAAGTCACAGGACGCTGTCACAGCTTTCGATCGGATTCCCTTTGTCGAGCCGCCCCCGTTTTCGACTCTCATCTTCCGCCACTTTGGTCCCCTCGTTCTCGTCCCGACTGGCCGTGTCTCGAGGACACAAAAAGATAGACCGCGGGCCTTGGCAATTCGCCCTCACCCTCACCGTATCCTCGCGCCTACATAGTCCCAGCCTGGGGCCAGCCTACCTGCCTACCCAGCCTGCCTTATCCGGCAAGGCCCTGACGCTTCAGCCCAAGGGCTCCCAGGGCCCCCTGTCTGTTAGTATGCACCTCCCAACTCCACATAGGGACCTGGCTGTCTTGCTGCGGCGCACGTCCTGCCCTGGCCTGCGCCAACAGACAGCTCCACATCCACCCCAGCGCGTGCCCACCCCCATCGCCTATCCGTCGGAGCCATTGCATTGCATCGCATCGAATCGGATCCTTGCCTGCCGCAGTCGCTCTACCCATCGACCTCGCGGCAGCATCATCCAAACGCTCTGCTTGCCTCGCCTTGCCTTGCCTTGCCTCGCCCTTCCGCCTTCTCTTCTTTCTCGTCCTTTTTTTCTTCTTTCTAATCCATCCTTCTTCTCGAACTAACACCCGCCCTCGGGCATTCTTCCCAGACAGGAACCAGTCCATCCCACCCATACCACAATCCCACCCTCCATGTGTACATGACGACAACCACAGCTACCCTCGAGTCCCTACCCCTTTAGGCCCACGGGCTACGCCAACACCGTTTTCTTCCTGTCCCGCCAACCCCCCAGGAAGATATGGCTTCTCAACCCTCCGCTTCTGGGCGCTCGCGGCCCCAATCCGACGCCATGAGCCAGTGGACTGTCGGTTCCAAGATCGGGAAGGGCAGCTTCGCTTCTGTCTACGTTGGTACCCACAAGGTCAGCGCATAGCCCTGTCTATGGTCTTTCGCGTCTCTCTGTTCTTGTCGCAGGCAACGACGCTCCTTGTTTCATGGCAACTCGGCCTCGCAATTACTGTTCGAGTGCCTCGCCCGATCCCCGCCGCCCGCCGAGGCCGTCGGATGAGTCAATACTGACTTCTCTTCTCCTCTCAGAGCTCCGGCGCAGCTGTCGCTATCAAATCCGTCGAACTTGGGAAGCTCAAAGGCAAGGTGAAGGATAACCTCTATTCCGAGATTAAGATTCTTGAGAAACTGCGTCATCCTCATATTGTCGCCCTCCACGAATGCGTAGAGACGCCGACCCACATCAACCTGATGATGGAATACTGCCTTCTCGGCGATCTTTCGCTCTTCATCAAGAAAAGAGATATGCTTTCGACGAACCCAGCTACACACGATATGGCACGGAAATACCCGAACACACCTAACGCTGGCCTGAACGAGGTTATTATTCGTCATTTCCTCAAGCAGCTGGCGAGTGCGCTCCAATTCCTGCGGAAGCTGGACCTGGTGCATAGGGACGTGAAGCCCCAGAATCTGCTCCTGCTCCCCTCCGTCGATTTCCGAGAGAGCAACAGGGAGGTGCCACAAATTCTCAGTGCGAGCCAGAACAGCCTCATTCCCGCAGTCGGGCTGCGCTCTCTGCCCATGCTGAAGCTCGCCGATTTCGGGTTCGCCCGCGTTCTACCTTCCACGTCTCTTGCCGAAACGCTTTGTGGTTCACCGCTCTACATGGCTCCTGAGATCCTGCGCTACGAACGCTACGATGCCACTGCAGATCTCTGGTCCGTTGGGACGGTTCTGTACGAGATGGCGGCGGGCCGGCCACCCTTCCGTGCAAGCAACCACGTCGAGCTATTACGCAAGATAGAGGCTTCAAATGACTCGATCAAATTCCCAAGGGAAAGTAATCTTTCATCCGATATGAAGCTTCTAATCCGCGCTCTCCTCAAGAAAAGTCCTTCCGAGCGCATCACCTTCGACAACTTCTTCTCACATCCAGTTGTCGTAAACCAAATACCTGGGCTCGTCGAGGATGACGTTCCAAAGCCAGTCGAGCAGAAAAGACCACAGGAATCCCGATCTGCCTCCAGGTCCGATGAGCCCGTCGCGCCTCCGCGACGGCTCTCAATACGGCGGTATGGTGCAGAACAAGACCAAGGGAGAGCCGAAGCCGTCTCCTCTCCCGTCGAGAGGCCCTACAGGCGTTCGCCACTTGGCACACCCACTGAAACTGATGACAAATTCGGTCCTGCCTCTCCTCGACTCAGCTACTCGCCGCGACAGGAGAGCGGGGAGGGTCTCGGCATACGGCGACCACAGCCCGTGCCGTCCTCTTCCGCCCCGACAAGGCCGGCCGTCTACGAAGCGCGTCGCCGCGCCCTATCTAACGCATCGGCCACAAAGCTCGCTCGAGATGCACCGCCAGGAGGAGCTGCGAGAGAACTTCCCCGAAGTCGAGGAAAAGGCCCCTCCGACGAACAGGAGAAGGCTCGGCAGGAAATTGCATTTGAGCGTGATTATGTGCTCGTGGACAAGAATCAAGTCGCAGTGAATGCCCTAGCCGATGAGCTGGCTGCGAATGGACGTATGGTGCATGCACAGGGATCCTCGCCCAAAGCAGGACAGATGGTGCGGCGTACGACGACGCAGGGTGCCCCAGACTCCACGACTGGCGCTGTGGCACCGTCGCCATCTCGAGCAATGCAAATCGCGCAGGGAAGGCAGCGCCCAAATGCCCATGAGCGTCAATCTTCTCTGAGTGCGAGCCCCGGCTCCACTACGTCTTTCATCTCCAAGGCCATCCAAGACGCCAGCCTGCGACTTCTGGGCATCAAATACCCACCAGGACTTGGAAAAGGCGCCTCCCCTCCTCAGCTATACAGTGCATTCCCCGCCTATCCGACCCCGTCAGCTCCCGTGGGCTTGATTGGCGATGGCAAGCAAAGCACGCCGTATGACGAGGACTCCAGAGTAGCCCAGTGCATCGAGGACTACGCCACACGAAGTGATGTTGTGTATGGCTTTGCCGAGGTGAAATACAAGCAGCTTGTGCCTCTGACACCGTCGACTAATCATGGACTTGGTGGCTTGCCGGCCGACCAGGCCTCTGCTGACGATGACGAGGGGCTTACTGTTGATGCTGTAGTGGCACTTTCGGAGGAAGCCCTAGTGCTTTACGTCAAGGCTCTATCTCTTCTTGCCAAGTCCATGGATATCGCCAGCCTGTGGTGGTCGAGGAGAACGCGAGCGGAATCATCGACTGGGCAAGCATCCGCGCGAGAGCCAACCAGTATTCAAGTCGTCATTACCAGGATTAATTCGGCTGTGCAGTGGGTGCGGTCGCGGTTCAACGAAGTCCTGGAAAAGGCCGAGATCGTGCGATTGAAACTCATCGACGCGCAGAAATCATTGCCGGAGGACCATCCTGCTCACCCTAGTAATCAATCAGTGGATCCCGCATCAACGAGTGGATCGACAGTCGACGGGGTGGCTATCACACCTGGTGTAAGCGCCGAAAAACTCATGTACGACCGTGCCGTCGAGATGAGCCGCAAAGCAGCGATCGACGAGATCTCAAATGAAGACCTTGCTGGTTGCGAGATCTCCTATGTCACAGCAGTACGTATGCTAGAGGCCGTCATAGATAACGATGAAGACCTGCCTAAGAGGCGGGTCTTCGGAGCTACCAAGGAGGAGCATGCGTCTTCAAAGGAGGAGCCTTCCTCGGACATCAACACGGACGACCAGCAAGCCGTGCAAAAATGTAAGTACACTGCCGAGCCCTACAGCCAGTCGCCCACTGACCAGGATACAGTGATCACCATGATCACAGGCCGACTCAGTTCTGTGCGGAAGAAGATGCGGATGATTGCGAGTGCTACAAAGCTTCAGCAGCAGCAGCAAGATGTCGTCCGACGACGCAGTGGTGATGTGACACCTAGAAGCGTCCCTTCTCACACCTCATAAGAGAGACAGCTACAGGACCCACGACTGACGAAAATGCATTAACACAAACCTTGAGAGATTCTCTTCCTGCTTTGTCGCCGCCCAGCCGCATTGCTCTTTGGTCCCGGAGTTCGATGGCGGAACACGCGACTAGCCTGATTATATGGCCTACTTTCTTTCGAAATTGCCTCTCGGATTGGAACCACGCTATCCCGCGCTTCGACTTTATGTTTGATTGTAATTTTCTTGTCTTGTTCTTTTGGACGGAGTTTTCCACTTCTCAGTGTCAGCACATTGTACTTCCGGAGTCCTCGGCGTGGGTTGGATTAGGTCGGGCATCTGAACTTTTCAAGCAGTAGAGAGGCTTCTTCCGGTTATTCTTTCCTGGTCACAAGACCACATTTTCCGTTACATGGTTATTGTCGAGATTGGAACAGGGGCACAGGATTGCGTTGCAAGGAAATCCTCGGTGGGATATGGTTGGACAAGGGAATCAGGGGCATACGGAACCGTGTGATTCACTGTCGGACCGCAGATCAGAGATTGAGATCTATCGGGTGCCAGCCTGATAACGCGCCTGAAGGATTTGGCCTTGATCCATCTTTGAGGCAGGGTGACCCGAGGTGTGTGTTGAAGTAGACTGTCTCCTATTGGGTTATCACATTTGGCTGGCGCGGTGTAAGGGATTCTGGACGCCGCTCCTGGACAGCAGTTTTGTCACCCAAGCGATTGGGTTAGGTATGAAGCTCGGCATATGAGCATCAATTATGTTGTCGCTGAGACGATCATCATCTTGAAGGGATCCAAAGTGGCTCACGAATGTGACAACACCAATGTCCGTACTCTTTCCAGGGTAAACGCTTCCACTCTCTACAAACCGTCCAAGTACATCGCTCTGGTTTTCGAAGGGTCGCACACTTACGAAGGGGCTGGCTGTTTTAATTATACACCCTTCGAGAACGCCTGGCCGCCCATGGCCTTGTCGAAATCCGAGTATCTGGTCAGTCCACAAACCTCAAAACACTGCCTGACACCACCGACAATCTCACCCTTGTCGTTCCTCCTCTCCTTGTTCATGCCCAGCTCCTTGAGCTCCCTCGCGGCCTCCCGGTACGCCAGCATCGCAGCAGTCATCGAGAAGCAAGGCCATATCACAATCCTGTACCCCATCCTCCTCGCCTCCTCGCTGTCCACCAGCGGGGTCACACCGCCCACAACCATATTCAGGAAGCACGGCGTCGGCTTCATCACCTCGACACACTCGGCCATCTGCTCCCTGCTCGTCATGCCCTCCAGGAACACAACGTCCGCCCCAGCCTCGACGGCCGCCCTCAGCCGCGCGATGGCCCCCTCGAACCCGAGCGACTGCAGCGCGTCCGTCCGCGCGATGATGACAATGTCGTCGCCCAGCGCCTCCCGCGCGGCAACAGCGGCCCGGATGCGCGCGACGTACTCGGGGACGCCGGCGAGCTCCTTCCCCAGGAGGTGGCCGCACCGCTTGGCCGCCACCTGGTCCTCGATGTGCAGGGCCGCCACGCCGGCCGAGGCATACTTCTCGACCGTCCGCGCGACCATCAGGGGCCCGCCGAAGCCCGTGTCCGCGTCCGCGATGACCGGCACCGAGCGGTCGAGGCTGGCTATCATGCCTGCGTTGCGGGCCATGTCGTCTACTGTTGTCAGGCCCAGGTCGGGCATGCCCAGGACGGACATTGCTGTGCCTGCGCCGGTCTGTGTTTTGGTGTGTGTCAGTCAGTCGGCCGTTCGATCGGACGGGACCCGAGGAGCCTCGCCCCCTAACGGATGGAAGGGGAGCACGCACTGGAGTGGCAGAAAGGCGGGGATGGGGCAGCAAGCAGACTTACCATGTAGAGGTTCTGGAAGCCCTCATCGAGGCACACTCGTGCGGACAGTCCATCTTGCACTCCTGGACAGACGATGATGTTGTCCCTGTCGGCGAGCTGTGCTCGGAGCTTTGCGGCTGCTCTGTTGACCATTTTTGCAGGGCTCGGTGTGGTTGGGAGAGGATAATACCGTTTTATTGAGGTCAACAAGGTAGACTCCGTCAATACGTAAACTGTCAATGTCGTGCTGCTATTGTTGCAATCAAATATCTTCAAAAACGTGGCAAACACGGACCCTTGCGTGAAGATATCCACTCAAACCTCGTGCGTAATTCTGAGGTCACGATCAACCGCAGACTTGTTGATATCCTTGGATAGAGACGAGGCTAGATTCATTCACGGTTATGAACACATGGGAGGAAGGGTCTATTTATATATCGCTTGCAGCACGCTCCCACCTTGACTGGGATTATCTGAACGCCACGGCTAACCATACCATGTAAACCGCCTTAATAGCAATCTGAGCCAGGCGGGCGTTCAAAAACCGGAGCGCCGTCTAGAAAAAATGACGATGGAGGTGGGCACGCTTTCCCACCTAGTCCGCCCCAAGATCGCCCAGTTGGACACTTCTTGCAAGGGTGGCCCCGTTAGAGGGACTTCAGGAACATCCACTAAGACGCCTCTCCCGAGCCGCGACCGGTTGTCTCGGGACCGCACGCGGCCACCGCCCCGCAAGACAGGACCCACTGCCGTCGCCGAGCCCGGGAGATCTGCTCCTATGCCCGGCTTATTGCCGTCCTCTCTGCTCCCGTGGACCCCTCCATTAGCCACCACGGTGGTCCTCGGGATTCAACAACTACCCGGGGGTCAGACCTTCGGTTGCCCCCTACGCCTACCGGCATAGGGGGGGCCAAAACCCCCTGGTGCAGACCGTAGGGGGTGCGCCAGTCTGATAGTTAGCTTACGTAAGCAGGAAGGGTCAGCTTACCTGACCTTCTGCCCACGCCCTGCGTAGGCAGACCTTCCTCTCTTAGAGAACCAACCCACCAATACACTGCTTTATGCCCAACCGTACCGTGCTACACCACCCCCGCACAGCTAAAACCCCCACACACTTAAGAAAAATAAAACACTATATTTAACTTAGTCTAACTTACTTAAATAAAAATAATATAAAGTAAGAAAAGTAGTTTTATAAACTTTATTTTTTAATAAATTTAAATAAAATAAGTAGAAAATTTTAAAGTTAGAGTTTAATTAGATTTTATTACTTTTTTATATTTATATTATTATAAATTTTAACTTTAAATAATTTTATATTAATATAAAAATATATTATTATAATTCTTATAATATAAAAATTTAAAATTAAAGTTTTATAATTTATATAAAATATATAAAATATATAAATATATAAAATATATATAATATATAAAATATATAAAATATATAAAATATATAAAATATATAAAATATATAAAATATATAATATATAAAATATATAAAATATATAAAATATATAAAATATATAAAATATATAAAATATATAAAATATATAAAATATATAAAATATATAAAATATATAAAATATATAAATATATAAATATATAAAATATATAAAATATATAAAATATATAAAATATATAAAATATATAAAATATATAAAGTATATAAAATAAATAAAATAATAATTTTAATAATTTTATTTTATAATTTAAATATTAATATTTTATTTTATTATTTTAATTTAAAACTATAATTATTTTTAAATTATTTAATTATTTATTTAATTAATTTTTTTATATTTACTATATTTTTAAAAATTAATAATTTAAATAAATAAAATTAATTTTTAATTTTTATATAATAAATAAATTTAAATATTTTAATTTAATTTATAATTTAAAATATTTTAATATATATATAATTTTATTTTTATTTTATATATATTTAAAATATATATAATATTTTTAAACTATTATTTACTTATTTAATAATTATATTTACTTATTTAGTTTTTATTAATTACTTACTTAATATTAATTTTTTTAAGTAACTCTTTTATATTTATAAGTACCTTTTAAGTTAGTATTAAAAGACTTTATAATATAATTTCCTTCTTTAATTTTTAATACTTTTAATATAAACCCCTTCTAGTACACCTTTTAGTATACCTTCTAGTACACCTTCTAGTACACTTTTTAATATACCTTTTAATATACCTTCTAATATACCTTCTAATATACCTTCTAGGCTATATATATTTAAGTATTAATTAAGTATTTAAATATTAACTAAATATTAAAAGGCTAGAAGTTTAGAGTGCTAGAGGGTTAGAAGGGGTATTAAAAGGTTAAAAAGAGTATAGTTTTTACCTTTACTTTTTTAACTTCTAGCTTTTTAGTATTTAATTAGTATTTAAATGTTTAGTTAGTACCTAAATGTATGTAGACTAAATGGTAAAGGTAAAGGTAAAGGTGAAGGTAAAAGGGTGCTAAAAGGGGTGCTAGAAAGGGCGCTAAAAGGGGTGCTAAAAGGGGTACTAAAAGGGGTGCTAAAAGGGGCTTATACTAAAAGTATTAAAAATTTAGAGAATTCTAATTAGGTATATAGTTTTATATAAGCTCTATATATAAATTTTTATATTAGGTAAATAGTTAAAAAAAACTAGGTGAGTGGATATAATTATTAGGTAAGTAAATATTAGCTTAATATTTTTATATAATAATAAATATTTAAAATTTAATATTTTATAAAATATATAATATTAATAATAATAATTATAAAATAATAAATATTTATAATTTTAATTTTATAATATATAAATAAAATTAAAAGTATTATTTTAATAATAATATTAATTAAAATTATAAATAAAAATAATTTATAAAGTAATTATTATAAAAATATTATATAATAAAACTAAAATTTTAAAATAATTATTATATAAATAAATTATATTAAAAGAATTTTAATTTAAAAATATCTTTTAAATATATATATATATATATAAAATTATTATTAAATAAATTAATATTAAAGTTTTTATTTATATAAAAATAAAAGAAATTATAATTAATAAATACTTTAAATTATATTATATAACTTTAATTAATAAATTATAATAAAAACTTATTATTAACTTTTAAACTTAATTTTTATTTTTTATATAATTTAATTTAATTAATTAAAATTACTTTATATATATTTATATATATATAATAACTTATATTAATAATTTAAATATATAGTTAATTTTAAAAGATTAAAATAAAGAAATAACTTATAATATATTACTTTTAAAACTTTTAATAAAATATTAAAACTTTTAAAAAAATTTAAAAGTAATTTATAAAAATATAAAATAAAATATAATAAATTTTTTTAAAACTTTATATTTTATTATTAATAATTATTATTTTAATAATAAAGAAAAATATAATAAATATAAAAAATTTAAAGTTTTTTAAAAAATTATAAAATATATATAAAGTTATTAAAAACTTTATATATAAATTTCTTTTAAAAATAATTATATAATATAAAAAATTAATATAATTAAATATATATATATATATATATATATATATTAATTATAAAAATAACTTTTTTAAAAAAATATTTTTTTCTTTTTTCCTCCTTTCTTCCCCCCCCTCCTTTATTCTCCCTCTTTTACCCCCCTTCCTTCCCCCCCTCCTTTTTCCTACCCTTCTTATCCCTACCTTCTTTTTTCCTACCCTCTTTTTTTTCTACCCTCCTTATTCCTACCCTCCTTTTTCCTACCCTCCTTTTTCCTATCCTCCTTTTTCCTACCCTCCTTTTTCCTACCCTCTTTTTTCCTACCCTCCTTCTTCTACCCTCCTTTTTCCTACCCTCTTTTTTCCTACCCTCCTTCTTCCTACCTCCTATTTCCTAAAAGGAGACAACCATCACCTTCACAAAGCCGAAGGAGCGCCCCTACAAGTTTAGCCTATCGGGGTTTGATACCCACGATGCCCTCATGCCCCTCGACACCCAACGAATGGAACTCATCCGCAAGGCCACGGCAAGTAGCTACTTGTCAGCTAGTGCTGCTGGGAAGCAGGCCATACAGTCCATGGCCATTACACTCAGGAAATCCGCGGAGGCCATATTCAGGATCCGGAGGAGGCTAATGTCCAGGTTACCGCCGTCATCCTCCCCGCCCTCGTCCGCTGAGGTGGCCTGGACCTGGGCGCCGTGTGACAGAGTGACAGCCATCGACTGTGGGCCAGCAGCCCCTGAGGACACGGCAAGGTCCTGAAAGTGATCGTTCATAAACTTGTCGACCATGGGCTTCAGAGCGGCGTAGCTCAGGGCATGCGTCTCGATGTGGTGCGGGGGGATGCCATCTCGAGGGCTCACATACCACGGCGAGCCATCGCTATGGTTGGGTGACTGTAGGATGGTATCCATGCCACGGCGCATGTAAATGCACTTTAGCATGCCCTTGACGACTTCCCGGCCGCGGGTGCTCTCATCCTCCTTGGTGTTGTCTAATTGATCCATGGGCGACACGTACCACCACTTCCACTTACTCACGGTGAAGGCCCGTGTAAGCTCGCGCTTGCGAGCCTCTGAAATATCCTCAGGTAGGCCGCAAAGCAGGCCACTCTCCTTATCAATCTCACCATCCACACAGAGATCTGCAGGCAGGTCCATGTTCTCCTAAATCAGGCTGCTTAATCCGCGGTAGTCTGTAACCTGGTTGATGGCTGGGGTGGCGGATACTAGGACTAGGGTCGAGGGGTTCTGCTCCTTGTCGGGTCGGTTTCGGTAAGACATCTTGATCAGGAGTCACAGCAAACAAGAGAAGCCGGTAAGGGGATTCCGAACAAACTAGTACTTCTACTACTATATATTAAAAGTAGAATCTTTAAAGGAAGTTTTAAAGATTAAACTTTAAAAAGAATTTTACTATTTTTTTATTATTATTAATATAAATAATTAAATTATTTTTTAATATATAAATTATTTATATATTTTTAATTTAATTATTAAATTTTAAAAAATAATTAAAATTTTAAAAATAAAATATAAATTATTTATATTTTTAATTTTATTATTAAATTAAAAATAAATAGTTAAAGTTTTTAAAAATAAAATATAATATTTTAAAAATTAATTTAATTAAATTTATTATATAAAACTTTTATAATAATTAAAGTTATAAAAATAAAATATAATTTAAAATATATAAAATATTTTTAAAATAAAAATTATTATATTAAAATATTAATATATATTTTATTTAAAATAATATTATTAAAAATATTTAAATTTTTATTAAAATTAAAATATTATATAGATTATTTATATTTTTTAGTTTTACTATTAAGTTAAAAGTAAATAGTTAGAGTTTTAAAAAATAAAATATAATATATCTTTTAAAAATTAGTTTAATTAAGTTTATTATATAAACCTTTTATAATAACTTTATAATTTATATTTATAATACTATTTATTATTAAAAGATACTTTTTATATTAATATATTAAGTTATATTAATATAAGCTAACGCTATTAACTTTAATATAAATTAGTTTATTAAAGGTTAAAACTATTATAAACTATAGGTTAGTTTAATGTTAATAAACACTATATATAAGTATTAAATTTGCTATATAACTTAGATATAAATATAAGTTAGTTAAAATAAGTGAAAATAAAGCTACTATTTTTTTAAGGGTTCTAGCTCTACTTAAATAAATACCTATTTAATGAACTTAAAAAATAAGTAAAACTACTTAAAAGTAGTTACTTAACCTACTATATTATTAAATTAAAAGATAACTTTTAAGTAAAGTAATTATATTTTATTACTACTTTAAGTTTATAGTTTTAATAGCTTTATTATAAATAAAAAAAAAGCTATTAATAGTTAAGTTTATAATTATATAAAAATAAATTTTACTTTAAAAGAAGTTATTAATATTTAAAATAATTAATATATTTTTAAAAAGTTAAAAATTATAAATTTAATTTAAAGGAAATTAAAATTTATAAAAATTTTAAACTTAAACTTAAAGGTTTTAATTTAATATTTATATTTATAAAAATAAAAGTATTTATATAGTTTAAAAGGTTTAAATTAAATTAAAAATTAAATTAAGTTATAATAAAAGAAATTAATTAAATAAAAATTAATTAAAAATTATAATTATAAATCTTTTAATTTTATATTAAAAGAATTAAAATATTATATAATTTAATTTCTATTTTAAATATAAAATTAAAATATTTATAATTATAATTTTTAATTAATTTTATTTAATTATTTTATTATATTATAATTTAATTTAATTTTATTTAAATTTTTTAAATTTATTTAATATTTTCTTTTAAATAAATTAAATTTAAATTAAAACTTTTAAACTTAAATTTAATATTTTTATAAATCTTAATTTACTTTAAATTAAATTTATAATTTTTAACTTTTAAAATATATTAATTATTTTAAATAATAATAACTTTTCTTTAAAGTAAAAGTTTATTTTATATAATTATAAATTTAATTATTAATAATTATTTCTTTTTTATTTATAATTTATTAAAATTATAAATTTAAAGTAATAATAAAGTATAATTACCTTATTTAAAGGTTATATTTTAATTTAATTAAATGATTACTTTTAAATAATTTTATTTAATAAATATTTATTTATAAAGTAAAGTTAGAACCTTTAAAGAATAATAGCTTTATTTTTATTTATTTTAATTAACTTATATTTATTTAAGTTATATAGTAACTTTATATATAATACTTAATAGTATTAAAATTAACTTATAATTTATAATAATTTTAATTTTTAATAAATTAATTTATATTAAAGTTTATAATATTAATTTAAATTAATTAAATATAGTTTAATATATTAATATAAAAGATATTTTTAATAATAAATAATATTATAAATATAATAAATTATAAAGTTATTATAATAAGTTTTATATAATAAATTTAATTAAATTAATTTTTAAAATATATTATATTTTATTTTTAAAATTATAATTATTTATTTTAATTTAATAATAAAATTAAAAATATAAATAGTTTATAATTTATATAATTTAATTTATAAAAATTAAAAATAATTTTTTATATTTTAAATTTTAAAAATTAAATTTTATATTTTATATTTTATTTTTAATTTTAAAATAAAATTTATTTAAATATTAAATTTAATTTTATTTAAAGTTTATAATATTATATTATATTTAATATTAATATATATAAAGTTATAAATTATTAAAAATATATTTTATATTATTTTTATTTATTATAACTTTAATAATAACTTTATAATTTATTATATTAATAATATTTTTATTTTAAAATAAATTTTTTATATTAATATATAAATTATTTATATTTTAAATTTTATTATTAAATTAAAACTAAATAATTAAAGTTTTAAAAATTAAATATAATATATTTTAAAATTAATTTAATTAAATTTATTATATAAAACTTTTATAATAATTTTATAATTATTTATAATATTATTTATAATTAAAAATATTTTTATATTAATATATTAAATTATATTAATTTAAATTAATATTATTAAATTATTAAAATTTAAAGTTATTATAAAATATAAATTAATTTTAATATTATTAAATATTATATATAAAATTATTATATAATTTAAATATAAATTAATAAAAATAAATAAAAATAAAAATATTATATTTTTAAATATTCTTTTTGGTATAAGGTTAAAAGATTTATAATTATAATTTTTTAATTAATTTTTATTTAATTAGTTTTTTTTATTATAATTTGGTTTAATTTTTAGCCTGGTTTAAGCCTTCTTTTAAGTTATATAAGCGCTTTTATTTTTATAAATATAAATATTAAATTAAAACCCTTAAATTTAAGTTTAAGATTTTTATAAATTTTAATTTCTTTTAAATTAGGCTTGTAATTTTTTAGCTTCTTTAAAAATATATTAACCATTTTAAACATTAACAACTTTTTTTTAAAGTAAAGGTTTGCCTTTATATGGTTATAAACTTAGTTGTTGATGGCCATTTTTTTTTTTATTCGTGGCAAAGTTGTTAGAACTATAAACCTAGATATTGTGCGCAGTAATGGAGTGTGGTTGCCTTACCTGGTTGTTTCTTGGTTTGCGTGGCAGGTTAAGTAATTGCTTTTAAGTGGTTTTGCTTGCAACGCAGCGGAGCTGATGGATGGGTGTTTGCTTGAGCAGAGCCAGAACCTGTACGTGTCCCTTGGGGGAATGGCAGCTTTATCTTCGCCTATTTTAGCCAACTTGCCTAAGTTACACGGCAAATTTTTGGCACTTATATATAGTACTCGCCGGCGTCAGACTAGCCCGTGGTTCGTGATGGCTTCAACCTTCGACGGACCGGTTCATGTCAAGGCTAACAGCGCCGGCCTAAACCGACCAGGCACGGCCCAGCACACTAGTGCAGGAAGGCGTCTTTTAACAACAGACGGCGTTGTAAATAATTATAAAGTTATTATGAAAAGTTTTATATAGCAAACTTAGCTAAGCTAATCTTTGAAAGATATATTATATCTTGTCCTTTTAGGACCTTAATTATTTGCTTCCAGCTTAGTAGTGGAACTAAAAAAATATAAATAGTCTATATTTTTAAATATAAAATATATAAATTTTAATTTTATTTTATAAATAAATATTTATTAATTAATTTTATTATATTTTAAATAAAATTATTTAAAAGTAATTATTTAATTTATTATATTATTAAATTAAAATATAATTTTTAAATAAAATATTTATATTTTATTATTATAAACTATTTATATTTTTTAGTTTTATTATTAAGTTAAAATTAAATAATTAAAGTTTTAAAAAATAAAATATAATATATCTTTTAAAGATTAATTTAATTAAGTTTATTATATAAAACTTTTATAATAACTTTATAATTATTTATAATACTATCTATTATTAAAAGATATTTTTATATTAATATATTAAATTATATTTAATTAGTTTAAGTTAATATTATTAATTTATTAAAAATTAAAGCTATTATAAACTATAAGCTATGTAGTTTTAATACTATTAAATATTATATATAAGGTTACTATATAACTTAAGTATAAGTTAATTAAAATAAATAAAAATAAAGCTATTATTCCTTTAAAAGTTCTAACTTTATTTAAATAAACACCTATCTATTTACTCTACTATATTATAAATAAAACTATTTAAAAGTAGTTACTTAACTTATTATATAACCTACTAAACTAAAATATAACCTTTAAATAAAGTAACTATACTCTATTATTTAAGTTTATAATTCTAATAAATTATAAATAAAAAAATAATTATTAATAATTAAGTTTATAATTATATAAAGGTAAACCTTTACTTTAAAAGAAGTTATTATTATTTAAAATAATTAATATATTTTTAAAAAGTTAAGGATTATAAATTTAATTTAAAATAAATTAAAATTTATAAAAATTTTAAATTTAAATTTAAAGCTTTTAATTTAAATTTAATTTACTTAAAAGAAAAATATTAAATAAATTTAAAAAACTTAAATAAAGTTAGAAATTAAACTAAATTATAATATAATAAAATAATTAAATAAAAATTAATTAAAAATTATAATTATAAGTTTTTAACTTTATATTTAAAAGAAATATTTTATTATTATATATAATATTTAAATTTATAATTTTAATAATTTATAAATAAAAATAATTATTATAAATTAAATTTATAATTATATAAAAATAAATTTTATTTTAAAGAAAAGTTATTAATATATAAAATAATTAATATATTTTTAAAAAAGTTAAAAATTATAAATTTAATTTAAAATAAATTAAAATTTATAAAAATTTAAATTTAACTTTTTTAAAAAATATAAAAGATTTAAATAAAGTTTAAATAAAGTTAAATTAAATTATAATAATATAAATTAATTAAAAGATTATAATTATAAATCTTTTAATTTTATATTTATAATATTATTTATTATTAAAATTTATTTTTATATTAATATATTAAACTATATTTAATTAATTTAAATTAATATTATTAATTTTAATATAAATTATAAATTATTTAATTTAATATTAATAAATATTATATAAATATATTAAAATATATTTATATAATATAAATAAAAATTATTAAATTAATAACTTAATAATTAAATAAAAATAAAATAATATTATAATTATTATATATTAAATATAATTTTTTTTAAAATTAAATATTTATATATTTACTTTTATTTATTATATATTATTTTTTTTATTAAATAAACTTTAAATAACTTAAAGTATAAACTTTTTAATTTATAAAAACTTTAAAAAATAAGTCTTTTTTTAAATTTTAAGGAATATAAAGAGGGTAGGTTAGTTCTTTAAAAACTTAGGTCGTGCCTACCGGCCCTCTACTATGCTTCACGCTCTAAGGCTCACCCCCTCACCCTAGCTGGCCCTAGTTAGGGGCAAGGGTCAAGGGGCAGGTGGGCCCTGCAGGGGTCCCTGCAGGCTCCCTTATCGATAAGGCTGCCACACTATTACCTCTCGCCCCGAGGCCTAAGGGGCAACCTTCTTTTCTTCTCTTTCTCTTTAAATAATCCTACTCTTTAAATCCACTCTATTTAATATAAACTTTAAGCCTTTATATTATAAAGCTTAAGTAATATCTTAGACTTTTTATAAATAAAGCTTTATATAAAATATTAAAAAATATAGAAAATTTAAATTTAAATATATAAATATTTAGTTTCTTTTTTAATACCCCTCCTTTTTTCTTTATTAAGTACTTATTCATTAATTTCCGCCTACAGTACATTGAATGAGAGTTATAATAATACTTTACACATTTCCTTTCAACAAGCAACGTGGTTTTGTGGTGTAGTTGGTTATCACGTACGCCTCACATTAAGTTCTCACATCATGGGAGATGCTTTGTGAATCCGCGTAAGGTCTCCGGTTCGAGCCCGGGCAAAATCAGATAATTTTTAGACTTTTTTGCATCCTTACCTTAGTCCGGGTTAGTCTTAGCAGGCTATAAATACTTGTAGCCGGTGCCTAACTATTTTAAATAAGATTTATAGAGTTTATAAAGTAGTATTATTTATTTTAACTTTTATTTAATATTAAATATAAATTTAAAGTAAGTTATTAAGTTTTTAAATAACTTTATATTTTAAATAAAGTTTATATTAAAACTTTTAAATTTTTAAATTATTATTATTTTTATTTTTATTTATATATTTATAAAATATTATTAAATTATAATATTAATATATTTTAAAAAATATAGAATATTAAAAGCTTTATTTTAAATTATATTTTTAAAATTAATATATTGAAATTAAAATTATTATAAATTATAAGTTTTTAATTTAATATTAATAAATATTATATAAAATATTAAATTTATTATATAATTTAAATCTAAATATATATTAATTAAAATAAATATAAATAAAATTATTATTCTTTTAAAAATTTAAATTTATTTAAATAAATATTTATTTAATAAATTTAAAAACTATTAATTTTATAAATATAATTATTTAAAATAATCTTTTAATTTATTAAATTAAAATATAATATTTAAATAAAGTAATTATATTTTATTATTTAAATTTATAATATTAAGAATTTATAAATAAATAAGGAAATAATTATATAAAGATAAAACTTTATTTTTTAATAAAAAGTATTATTTAAAAATAAAAATTATAAACTTAATTTAAAATAAATTAAAATTTATAATACTTTTAAAGTTAAAGTTAAAAATTAAACTTTTAATTATTTAAAATATAAAATATTAAATAAACTTAAAAATTAAATTAAATAAAAATTAATTTAAAAATTATAATTAAAAGTTTTAATTTTATATTTAAAAACTTATTTATAAATATAATAATATATAATAAATAATAAATATTTATAAAATTAATATAAAAGTATAAATATTAAAATATTAATTTATTTTAAATATATTATATAATTATTTTATTAACTTTTTAATAAATAATATTATTTATATAATATTTCTTTAAATATTAAATATTAAATATTTATTATTATATAAAAGTATTATATATAAAGATTAAAAATAGAACTATTAAATAATATATAATATATATAATACGATTTTAAGGTCTTGCTACTATAATTGTCGGCCAGTGTAGATTAATTCGAGCTCACTGCTAACCCTCAAAGATCGCTACCATGATGTGTCAAACGAGGGCTACGGTAGACTTGACGATGGGTCCTTGCGGACAGCAGCAAGGAACCCATCAAGAGCAATGCTCACCCCGTTCTGAGGAGGCGAGCTGCATTGGTTCAACCAAATATCATTATTAGGAAGCTCACCGCTGTCCTTGCTCCTCTTGATGTCCAGAGCCCAGTGTTGCCCAGATCGATTCGAGGTACTCGCCTTATCACCTGCCATATCAAGAGACTTCCTCCTGGACCATAGTTGCACGTACAGTTGTGGAGCGAGCGACACGACGGATTAAGAAGGGAAGAACAGCTGGAAATACTCGAATCGGAAGTGTGAGGTATCATCCGTGGAGGCTACTTCCCATTGAAGCAGTGTCAACAGTACCGGCAAGCACACCCGCGAGCAATTACCCAAGCGTACCTAGGTAGCTAATCGTTCTGACCTCTTCACTCTAGGCACCGAACTCTGAGCTCCTGTGCGTTCAGTTGGGTCCTTCAGTTTTCTCCCCTTGCTCAACATCTTTGTTACACCCCTCTGTCTTTACCACCTCACAACACATCGCTGACACCTAGGAACTGTTCACCATCATCGTCTTTCCCCTCCTACACCAGTGGACCACAGTGATGGAACTTGCTCTGCTCATCCCCGTAATAGCCATCACTGCTGCTCAAGTTGATGGCAATCCAAACAATTACATCCTTAAGGACAAGGCCAACCGGAAGATCTTCGAACGACGCATCGTCAAAGAGCAATTATTGCATCTAAAGGATGTCGGTCATCTGGAGGACGGCGTCCAGCCAATTGCCGTGTTTGTCGTGGGTCAAACAGGATCCGGAAAGACTCGTCTCGCCGCCGATCTATTTGATGTGATGCAAGGGCGTCAACCAGCACATCTCATCGCGGACGTCTACAAAGCCTATCGTGAGTTCCTTGGGCACCCCCTTATCCCATGAAGCCCACCCAAACAGAGGGTAGTGATGACAAGATGCTCATTGGAAACATAGATCCCGAATACATACACCTCATCAAGAGCCATCCTAATATAACATGCGCTGCTACGAGCACGGATGCCCGCAAATGGCTCATGTTAACAAGCAGGTGGTTGATGCAGCGCCGAATCGACGTCCTCATCGAGAGTGCATGCCGCACTCCTGACGACGTCATATCTCTGATGTCAGACTTCCACCTTGCAAACTATCGGATCCTGGTAGTCATAATGGCCGTCCCCGAGTGCTTGAGCCTCATGGGCACCATCGTACGATACTGGGAGAGGCGTCCAGAGGCAAAGTCTGTCAGACTCCCCCTAAGAGTAACGCCTTGGGAGGTTCACCACGAGACCTATGCAAGTGTTTGCCACCTCTCATGGCACGAGGCCAGTCAGCGGCTGACAATCAAGCTCTTGCAGGAAGGAATTCTGGCTGTTGCCAATTTTATCGACAACTCCACCGCCGTCTCGAACGTCGTGGTCGTACGCCGAAATAACCTCGCCAGTTATCAGAACCCTCGCGGGATAGACGGGCTCTGGGTCCGCCCCGCGTCTACTCTCGCGTCGCTTGACCTAGAGAGGACCCGGCCACTTCTGGCCGCCGAGCACGAGAGCTTCGCCGCGGACTGCTTATACGTCAGACAACAGCAGGCGAGGAAGCGGAAGGGCTGGAAGGGCTGGAAGTGGAAGAAGGGCAAGGAAAGCGTCACAGGAACGACTCTTGAAGGAGCGCAGGCCTCCCTTGCGGGTCTGATGTCAATAGAAGGTCAGTGGAGCACTTCGTTTCCTCTCCTGAAGCCGCTGGATATCGAGGAGTGGATGTTTGGGGAATGGGACATCAACGATGTCAAATCCGGGACGCCGATATCGAAGGAAAGCGTACAGACCGTGGTGCCGCGGATCAGCATCCTGAAGGAGACTGCGAGGGTTCAGCACTGAATTCGATGCGGAAAAATTGCTCTCAGTATGAACAAGTATTACTCAGAATTACGCCGATTACCCTATAACTAGTCGAAATGCAGCCACCCCGTTGGCGGCAGAGATCGCTCGTTACATCTGACTGTGCATGTGTGTCATTGGGATCTGCAAGTCAAGCCGTAAGCCACCGATCACACTGTGGTACCAGTGTCATAAGGAACTGTACATACTCAATGTGATGGTGGGTGGAGTCAAGACCCTCATGCTATGCAGTGTTTGGCCGAGTCACAGCAGACCTTATCTGCAAGACACTATATTTGAACGACGTCGCTTTCGGATCCCGCCCTTTGCGTACCCTAACGACTTACGTGGGATCCCGTGTATGTTAGGCGTCCCGCAGGACGATATGCCTGCTCGGCTGGAGAGTGACTGCTCCTTGATAGTAAGCAAGTACTATTGTTGTCCATGTCAAGTGACACAATGTTCGACCGAGTCCCACAAAACCCTGGTTTGCTTGTTGCTCTGGCAGATCTCTCTTTCTTTTCTTTTTTTTTCTTTTTCTTTTTTTGGGCCTTGATTTTCTCCACGAGCTCCCTACCTTGGTACGTATGTAGCCTATCGGTCAAGTATAGTAAGTTAGTAATAGAGATCGGATAGTCGTACCAACCAAAACGGAGTGTACACCTATGCTAGGAACTCGGAGATCAAAATGCTTGGGTTAGTACTAAATTACGAGTAATTATCTCATAAATTCATCCCATCGGAGGTTGTCCTATAGGAGGTTATGACATAGGAGGTTGTGCTATGAGAGGGTATCCTTTGGGGCTTGGGTATACCCTCCGTTATGGTGGGTGCGAATATCCGATCTCTAGTAATAATAAGTGAGGATGAATTGGACTGCAAGGTTCCCAGCACCTAGTGCTCTCTGCGAGATAATAGCAAGAACCTCGAAGCTCTTCCGAGATTTCGTTGCCTCAGTTGCTTCGAAAAATTGCAATTGAACCATTTTTACGGTGAGTTTCTAAAGTCTCTTCATGTACTATTTTATTTGAAGCAGCGGACTCCCCCGGGCACAGGCATACCCAAGTAGCCATCGTCGCAGGGCTCAATCTATCTGTAACTTGGAAGTTGTACTGCTCCTTGACTGCATAAGTCGGGCTCAACCCTCGCTTTCCACGCCTGAATTTATGGACCTGGACTTGTCTAATACCTAGGCACTATGAATTGATTTGTTCTGAGCCTAACTTGTTAGTTAGTACCCTAGGGTAGCAAGTCAATTGACTTGTAACTTCACATGCCTATGATTACCTTATCCATATTTAGCCTGAACTGCTTTACCAACTCGCTGGAAACCCACTTAATCCGAGACTCAGCCTCAATACAGATCTAACTAGATTGGCATGCAGATCAAGTTGCTTCTGAACATGGATCCGAGATTTTTACAGCTTGCACAGGAAGAAACTTCCAAGGTTGACCAAAGCCCGGCCTATAGAGCTTTTACCTCGATGGACTGTCATGGCATTCCCACACAGTCGCTGAAGCACCCTGGGGCACCCAAGCTGATGAATACAATAACTGCATTTTCATCGGCGTTGTCTCGGTGTTTATCATTATGATGCAGGCTAGGATGCGAGGCAGATCTGATCGAGTAATCGGGAGAGAGAGCCGTCGCTAGGTGGGCCAAGACGACGGGGAGGAGATGATGACCGCAGCTGCCACCATTTCCAATAGAGGTGTTGCACTTCTGACCTCCCCACTGCGACCTGTAGACCAACGTCAGCCCCACACCGCTGTGGCATCTGGCTGCTGTGGCATCGTCTGTGGCGGACACCCATGGTTCAAGGATATTGAACACCAACCCAGGTGCCCACAGTCCGGGACACGATCCAACCGGTCCCTGGGGAGAGGAAGAAATCGTTGGTCACGTTAATAACCTCATGACCTGGCAGCCGTGGAGTACGACCTACGGACTGGCAGCGCTATGACGCCCTGAATCAAGGTCACGTTGGCCGCAAGTGGCCTGCGGTCAATGTGGCTGCTACGGTGGTGTTGGGTTCCTGGCGTTGGGTGTTCCTGGCGTTGGCCCAGCCAGAGAATGTTTGTGTAGGATTCTAGACCATTTGGTGGTTGGGCGTGCGTGCCCCGAATGCCGGGCACCTGGGGCGGGAAGGTTTTAGTCACAATAATCAATATCATCGAGTGGCTTGAGGAGGCACGCACGGCTCGGAAGGTCGGTGTGCACCTCATGCAGCAAGCATGCTGCAAGAAAGTACCGTGCCTACATGCATATCCGCGGGCCCGAGTCGTTGTCGTGGGTGGCAGGACAAATGTGACCAGAATTGAGATGTGTTCGAGTCAAAGGTGGGAGATGGAGCGATGTCTCTCTCGAGTGCTACCCAACGGGCAAAAAGAGGACGTCACGAGGGGTGATCCTGCCCGTCATGAGTGGCTTGAAGTGATCGGCGGTCGATATGTCGGCGCCTTATTGGCAGCATTGAGGGGAGAGGGGGAAGAAGATGTTGACAGGTTGGGGTAGTGGCGCTGACATGGCGAGAGTCAAGAGGCGGCACGACAGCCAGCCAGGGGCTGGGGGATGGGGCCTGGAGGGCACGAGGATAGGATTTTTACTGAACCCGAGGTCGTGGGGTGTATGTAATGTCCTGAGTAGGGGAGGTGTTCGACGGCAGGATGAGCAGCGCAATGCGTAATGTAAGACAAGAGTCAAGGCCAAGCATATTGCAAGTCCGGGATGCAGCAAAGGCCCCACATGTCGGCCCAGGTTAGCCGGACGAGAGTATGGGGAAGGAAGGGTTGTGAGTTCGACTGCATAAGCTTAAATGGGAGTCTGGGTTCATCCTAAGTGTCTGACTGAGTGCGTAAGTGTGCTGTGTATGTGTAAGTAGGTAAGTAGGCTTGGTAGGACAATATCACCCACGATATTGTGTATTCCGAGTGATCGACGTGGTGATGTGCAAGCTGGGGTCACCCCGTCTCCCGGGTCAGCGGTCAAGGCCAGAGATTCATCTATCTCTGCAGAACAATCTGGAAGCGAGAACATGTGTCTTGAGCTGTATGCGACGTTGGGCCGGGACTTGCTGCAGAGCATGCACACCATGCAGAGCGCAGGCCGACAACCGGGAATACCAAGGACACAGCAGGACATAACGAGCACAGCAGGCTGTGGCGTAACTGTTAGCACCGCGGCGCCAGCACGGGACGGCAAGGGCCCAACCGCGGGTGCTTAGACCACCTGGGGACCTGGCAAGCCTGGGTACGCTAGCAGAACTAGTAGTAGCCTTTCTCCAAGACAACGGCCCAAGTACCGGCAAGGCAGGCTGGGCAGGAGCCCCGTTCGGAAGTTTTGCAGCTCGCCAATCTTGGCGTAGGTCATCGGATGCAACTCCGGAAACAACAGACAACAACGACAACACACGACACTACACTACATACACACACACCCAACACGCCAACACGCCAACACGCCAGCGACATGGGCAGCCAGACAACCAGAGCACGGGTCTAGTCAGCTGGGCGGCCCCCACGGCACCTCAGCGTCGCATCGGGCCCCTCTGACGCATCGCACCCTGCCCTGCCAGCCTGCCAGCCTGCCTGCGCACACAAGCGATGCGAGAGGGAAGACCAAGCAGCCGAGGCAGGGTGGCAGGGTTCTCCAAAGGCTCGCGGCCACGGCAGGCTTGCCTTGACGAGCCACAAGCACCACGCATGGCACGGCCTCTGATTCGACCTGTCGAAAAGCGATCCGACAAGTCATGGCCCGCCATGTGCCTCCCGCACACACCTCATCGGGAGAGGCGTACCCTGTGCGCCCCTTGTGCGTCCTGTCACCACGCCGGACCTCGTCTTAGTCGCCGGACTGGGCAGGAGGGCTTGAGGGCTTGATGTTACCTGTGGGATATGGGACATGGGGCATGGGACAGAACATGCAATCCCCGTCATCGCCCACAGGTACCCCCAGCCTGATGACCGAGCGACAATCATGCCCAGGCCCAGTGCCGGATTTATGCCTTGGGGGAATCGAATCCTACGCTGTGTCAGCTCTGCAATTTGAGCGTTTGTGCCAGGCAGTAAGCTTCAACAAGTCCACGGCATGAGTACGTGAGCGTCAAGGGGCTGCCAGCGGCCGCTTGCCCTTGCACTCCAGCCCGGGAGGCTTTTCTTGGGAGAACGATAGCCGCAGCGCAGAGTTGCGTGTTGGTTCCATTGTGTTGGTTCCATTGTGTTGGTTTCAAGTGTTATTTTTTGTCTTCAGCTGTGCGGCATACCAAAATACATCATCGCTCAGATCCCGCCGTAGCGCACCTACGCTACGCTACTCAGCCCTGCGAATCCTACTCTAGCGAGGTCCTGGTTTTGCGGAGAGACACACGGGACTAGCACATCTCTGCCACGCGACTATCCGAGGCGAGCAGCCCTGCAGTCTCTGACGGACTCATGCCGAGTAACGAAGGAACATACTCTCGCACCTGAGAGCCACCCGGGCCTCCCAGGGTGCCGACCCACCGCCACAGCATCCTTCCCCTTCGTCCACTCCCGTGAGGCAAGCTACGGTCTTTATTTTTTACCCTCTCCAGGGTCATGGCCGCCTCATTGGCCGCATGGCCCTTGTCTTCGACGGCAGTCGCAGTGTAGGTAGCCACTGCAGGAAGGTGGGGTTGCCTAGATCACGTGACCTGGGCCGCCCACCTTCCCCATGGCTGCCTTCCCTGCAGTAGCTGTCTACACTGCGAGAGTTGCATTCCAATTTCATTCCCACTTTCATTTCCACTTTCATTCCCACTTTCATTCCCACTTCGTCTTCATCAGTTACGTCGATCATTCTTTACGGCGTCCGACACCAGCACTCATTCCGTCAAAAAGCTCGAACATACATGTCCTAATCTGATCACTGTCCTCACCATGCCAGACGACTCTGTACTCGAGTTCGTCGTCTCACAGACATGGAAATGTCTGTCCGTCAAAGTCAAAGGCAAAAACTCAATTTTCGCAAAATGTTTCTTTGACCAGGAGATCCTGTCCGAAATCGCCCAAGACGCCAACATCTTTTTCGCCCCTGGCCTCCTGGAAGCTATGACCGCCTCCACCCCCCCAGACGTCAACTTTTTCAAGTCTCTCCCTGTCAAGTATCTCGGAGTCTGGGGCATCTATGTCCTCGTCCTCGAGAAAAAAAACCACCCCACCCTTGTCTACATTGGCGAAGCCTCGGACGCCAAGCTAGGCGTGCGCGGCCGTTGGAGACATTATGAGAACCCTCGTGTCTACCGAAAGATGCTCCCCACTTGTGTCAAGGCGGCTCTCGACAGTGGCTATAAGATCTCCTACAAGGGGGTCTTAGCCTATTTCGGCATTCCTTCTGCAAAGGATGTCCCGCGGTTTCGAGTCCTCAGTTATGCACTCGAGTGCATGTTCGCATTCTACTTCTGGACCATGCGCTCCATCACCAAGGACTATGGGATAGGGTCTTGCTGTCCTTGGCCTCGCGACTCGTTCACTTACGGAGGTTTATGCAGCCACAGCTCATTGAACGACCCTATGAGGGCCAGACTCGATCTGTCAGCTGAGCAATTAGAATTGCTTGCCTCCCAGAACGATATGAACAAGAGAGCCCGCGAAACTCGTGCGAGGCGGCGAGACGCTAAGATCTACCACTGTGACGACTACGACTCGTCATTCAGCACTCCAAGTGAGCTCGTCACCCACAAGGCAGGCGTCATGCACAAGAAGCGTGTTGCGGATAACGCCGCCGGTGTCGAACGAGAGTTCGAGTGCCCGCCCTGCGGTAAAAAGTACAAGAAAATCCAGGACCTGGAAAAACACGAGGAAGGCCCGAGACATGCCGCTGTCATTGCAAGAACCCCAGTCGACGCTCGCCCACCTCCTAGGCCGCCAAGAGTCATCAAGAAACATCCAAAACGCACCAAGGAAGAGCGCGAGTCACAGATTCTCTACTGTCCTGCCTGCGACCTGCACATGAAAAGACCCAGCCAAGTCATCATTCACAACAGGTCCGCGGGTCACAAGAAACGCGAGGCGGACATCGCCGCCGGTTTGGATCCAGATCCTGAGCCACTGAATCTTCACTGTGATTCCTGCGATGTCACTTGCAAGAAGCGCAGCGAGATGATCAAGCACAACAACTCCGCCAAACACAAGAAACGCATCGCGAACCTTGCCGCCGGCAAGACCTACGACTTCCGCTGCAAGATCTGCGACAAAAGCTTCGTGAATATTCACCAACTGAACACCCACAAGGAGAAGAGTGCGCGACACAAGCAGAGGGTGGCAGCCCTCGAGGCCTCTGCCTAAGGAGAACACAGCACCAGTACCATTCATCATGATATCAACATTGCTATTGCTAGAACCCTAAGAACATTGTTAGCGCGGCGTCAATATTGCTAGGACCGACGGACCAGAACAATACCAATATTGCTAGAACCCCAAAATGAAATTACAATAACAACACATACATTTGAAGTCCTTATTATGATATGATATGCCCTATCCTTCCTAATGTACTGCACCAAGACCCGTGGGTAATAGATGATTTATCTCGGTTGGCACCGATTGGTGCCAATTGGGGCAGAGCAGATTCGGCGACCTCGGGATGGCGACCTTTATGGGCACCCAAACGCAATTAGAGTTGGCACCAGTTGGTGCCAATTATGGCGGAGCAGATTTAGTGATTATTATATCTGTGGGCGAATTCAATTCGTAGTTAGAGTTGGCACCGATTGGTGCCAATTGGCAAAGCAGATTCGGTGACGGTGACCTTTGTGGGCACCTAGTCGCAGTTAGAGTCGGCACCAATCGGTGCCAACTGGCAGAGCAGATTCAGTGACGGTGACCTGTGTGGGCACCTAGTCGCAGCTGAAGTCGGCACCAATCGGTGCCAACTGGCAGAGCAGATTCAGTGACGGTGACCTGTGTGGGCACCTAGTCGCAGCTGAAGTCGGCACCGATTGGTGCCAATTGGCAGAGCATATTTGGTGACGGTGGCCTTGGTGGGCACCCAGTCGTAGTTAGAGTTGGCACCGATTGGTGCCAATTAAGGCAGAGCAGATTTAGTGATGGTGGTATCTATGGGTGAATTTAGATCAATATTGGAGTTGGCACCGATTGGTGCCAGCTGGCTCTACCTTAGTATCCTATCTAGTATTAAGGATTACTTCTAAGCTTTTAATTTTCTTAAATATTCTTAATACTAATAAGTAGATTCTTATTATTTATTTTATTATAATATATTTATATTAAAACTTAGTAATATTATTTAAAATTTTTATAATATATATTTATTATTTACTTTTAATTAAATAAAGTTTAATTTATAATAACTTTATTTATTTTTAAATTATTTTAAAATATTATAAACTAACTATTTAAATATAATTACTTATAATTATAAATTTAATTTAAGCTTATATTATTAAAATTTTAAAAAGTTTATTTATTATTTATTAAACTTTATTTAAGAAAGCTTCTATTAAGAAAATCTCTAGGTAAAGCTATAGGTAGCTACTTTATAGTATATGTTAAGGCCATGGGCTAATCGCCCACAGGACCAATCAATGGGTCCATACACCCTACTTATCTTATAGCTTAGGTGGCCTCTATATAGCTTCGCTACTTCCCCTATACTATTCTTTAGGCAGCTCTAGTTTTAAATCAATAATTCTTTACAGACAATTTGAGCCTTCTTTTACTATAGGTCACGAGGACCGTCTCAGTATATAGATTTAAAGAGTAGGGTTGCCTAAGGAAAAGAGAAGAAAGGAAGGTTACCTCCTAGGCTTTGGGGCGAGAGGTAATGGTGTGGCAGCCTTATCGATAAGGGACCTGCAGGGACCCTTATGGGAACCCTTGACCCCTGCCCCTTACTGGATGTCTCCTCGATTGGCTGGGTCTTCAAGTCCAAAAGCAAGGCGCACTCACCTCTCAGGATTGTAATTACACCAGATCCTAAGAACGGTCTTCAAGTCCAAAAGCAAGGCGTACTCGCCTCTCGGGATCGTAGTTACACCAGATCTTAAGAACGATCTTCAAGTCCAAAAGCAAGGCGCACTCACTTCTTAGGATCGTAATTACACCAGATCCCAAGAACGGTCTTCAAGTCCAAAAGCAAGGCGCACTCGCCTCTCAGGATCGTAATTACACCAGATCCCGAGAACGACGGCTGGGTCTTCAAGTCCAAAAGCAAGGCGCACTCGCCTCTCAGGATCGTAATTACACCAGATCCCGAGAACGACGGCTGGGTCTTCAAGTCCAAAAGCAAGGCGCACTCGCCTCTCAGGATCGTAATTACACCAGATCCTGAGAACGACGGCTGGCGGCAAATACATGACACCGCGAATGTCCCATATCCACCCAACCTAGAGTTCACCAAATCCCAATAACGACGGCTGGCGGCAAATACATAACACCGCGAATGTCCCATGTCCACCCAACCTAGAGTTCACCAGATCCCGAGAACAACGGCTGGCGGCAAATACATGACACCGCGAATGTCCCATGTCCACCCAACCTAGAGTTCAGTAGTCCCGAGTGATGAGTTATTTGAGTAAACGATAGTTCATTGATTGATGTTAGGGAGAAGTCTACGATCTCTCCCGGCGCTCAGAAGGAGCGGGTATAAGTATTAGTCGGCTTAGTCAGCCAGACCCGACCGTGCCTTCCACCGGGCTCACAACCTGATGAGTTATTTGAGCAAACGATAGTTTATTGATTGATGTTAGGGAGAAGTCTACGATCTCTCCCGGCGCTCAGAAGGAGCGGGTATAAGTGTTAGTCGGCTTAGTCAGCCAGACCCGACCGTGCCTTCCAACACCGAGAACAACGGCTGGCGGCAAATACATAACATTCAGGAAAGTGTAGGGTCAATTAGAAAAGGACCTCTTCCAGCACACTTGGTAAGGGCAGCGGATGAGATGTGGGAGTCTGTGAAAGAGGCTAGGGGCAACATCCTGTAGGACAATTTGAAGCTTAGACTTATTGCAGTTCTCTCCGCAATTCAGTGGGCACATGCAAATACAGCGGAGGCGACACCGAGCGGCCAGTAAGGAAAAAAACGAAGGGGAGGCAACTTGCAGGATCAGGATGATCAGACCTTGTCGTATTTATACAACTTGAGAAATGCACTCATGTAATTATCCCAACCAACACGTGCAGATTACTAAGTAATACCTTCTTAAATATGCCCACCACATACATTGAAAGCGCTTAATTTATAGCTAATATATTAAGACCTAGGAATCGAAGACTATGAATATCCTATATTTACTTAACCTAGAATTTAATAACTTGAGAATAATTAAATTTTTCAATATATAAAATTATTATTTTTATTATTAAAATCTTTAAATAAACTTATAAAAGTATGTTTTTAATATAATAAAAAGAATAGTTATTTTTTTAAAAAAAATAGAGAAAATAATAAAAAAGGTAGGAAATAAAGGGGAAAAAATATAAAAAGATAAGAAAAGGAAGAATGAAAAAGAAGAAGGATAGGAAAAAAAAGAAAATAAAAAAAGGAGAGAAAGAAAGAAGGGGAAAAAAGAGAGGGAGAAAGGAAAGAAAAAAAAGGGTAATAGTGTGGCAGCCTTATCGATAAAGGGACCTACAAGGACCCCTACAAGGCCTACCCACCCTTAACCCTTGCTCCTTACTGCTAGGTGGTGAAGCACCTACCTAGGTACTTAAGTAGTTAAGTTAGCTAGACCTTATTAATTAAGTTAGTCCGTGTGTATATATGGACCACTACTAACCTTACTTGTAGTGGCTAATCCACTGCAGTCTACTATTCCTATAATTATAAAGCATCTCTATTACTATAACTAAAGCTCAGTCTATAAAAAGCGCAGTTAGTCTGTTTCTATTACTAGCTATCACTAGAATTTCGCCCATAGCCCCACTTATCCTCAACAGTACGTTAGTAATACACACAAATCTCCCACCTACTTAGATACTATCACCACTTTGCACACTTTTGTTAAGAGGGGGTTTAGGGGGATCCCCTCTGATTTTCTAAGGAGAGGATAACCTTGAAAGATGCGTCTAGACTTATCACAACTCCTATCTCCGCCAGGAGGCTGCCCGCTTGCGGGCTCTGCGGGGGCTGCCAGAGGAGGCTACTTAAAATACTGTTTACTATTTGCCAGTGCCGGTAAATTCGGGGCTACTAGTTATCAAATTACACTATGGGGGTTGACTTGAGCGCGCCGTGAGGCTGCCCATTGCCAATCTAAACACATGGTCAGTGGCCGTCAAGCTGCTGACCTCAACGTGGGAATCGCAAGATGTTCAGGATCAAAGGGCCTATGTAATTGGCACCAAAAGGTGCGGATAGGCATTCATTAGACTACTTCTATCAGTTGGCACCAAAAGGTGCCATGGTAGCGCGTCTACATGTCCGCGGATCATTCGTGCTCCCCACCATCCGCGTCCGAGAGATCTCCCTTGATGTCACCAGAGCCGGCGACACTGTCTGCTCAGCTTTCGTCCACCTCATCGCCATCGCTCAGGAAGTCCGCCAGCGCGTCGGCGGTACCATGCCGGGGACGCTTCTCACGATGACTCGCCACTGGGCTGGTAGACCGACGCTTGCGCGGGCGGCGGCTAGGGGTTTCCTCAGCGCTGTTCTCTGCCTGGTCGTCACTGCCTTCTGCCTGATCGTCACTGCCTTCTGCCTGGTGGCCACTACCTTCTGCCTGGTGGCCACTGCCTTCTGCCTGGTGGCCACTGCCCTCCGCGGTGTCATCATCCGGCCGAACCGAAAACAGAGGGTGCTGCTTGAACTTGGATACCGTACCAAACTCGTTCGTGGGGGTAAAATCGCTTGTCTGCTCCTGGACATCGGGGTCGCTCTGGGCGCTATCGCAGACGGTGCGCATCTCATCCCACGTCAGCTGCTCTGGGAGCATGCCGTTACAGTGCTTGAGGTAGGCCAGGGGCAGCGCCATCTTGAGGCTGGACGCCGCGCTTAGAATATCCGCCCAGTCATCAGGCAAATCAGCCTTCTCGGTTTCAAGTAGCAGGCTGGAGAGGAGGCTGTAGAATTGGCCAAACGTGCGCGAGTTCTCGGAGGTAAAGTCCTGGATGTGCTGGGGGTGGGCATGTTCCCAGGTCATGCGGTTGAATGGCTGGCTCCAAAACACGCGGAGGACCTCGTAACTCAGAAGCTTGCGGGAAAATGGGGTGTTCAGGTGCGGTCCACCGAATTTGAGTGTGGCGCTCAGAGCCTGGACCTCCTTGAGGCAGGCTCGGTGCTCCAGAAAGTTGTATGCCGTATCATTGACAGTCAAGATCACCCAGGTGACGGGTTTGGTCTGCCGCAGGCGGACAAGGCGACCTAGGTACTGTCCAGAACTGCCGTAACTCCATGGTACCTGCACCTGGATCCCGAAGTTGCAAGAGTGGTGGAGATTGAGACCAGCCGCGCCCACCATAGTGTTCAGCAGAAGCACGTTGACGTTGGTGGTTGGGTCGTTGAATGCACTGAAAGCGCTAGCCTTCTCAGCTGCTGTCATGCCGGCGCGGACAGACAACACGTTCAGGGACGCCTTCTTCATGATGGCAAACAGCGTCCTAAGATGGACACATGTTAGTCAGCTGGACTCTGTGTGGGTTGGGGTTGGCACCAATGGGTGCGGAGGGGAACGGGGGCGCTTGGTTGGCACCAGTTGGCGCCAACTAGTGGGGTGATCGAGGGAGGTTGGCACCAAAGGGTGCCGACTGTGTTACTTACAACTGCTGCCAAGGGGTGCTGACCATGACCAGCGTCCTCTCCTTCTCCGTGGCACGACGGCAACATAGAGCCAGGACATGGGTGTTGACAGGGGAGCGTGCCAGGACGCGGCTCAGGACAGACTTGCGCTCAACAGGAATGAAGTCATAGGGATCATCGCCGAGCGCGAGGAGCTGTAGGTACGACAGGCCGAAGTCGCCGGTGCCTTGCATGATGGCCTCGGTGTGCGCCGAGCCGAATGTCAATACACCCTGGGAGTGAGATGCGTCTCTGATGTGCTTCCGGGCTCTCTGGGGACCGCCGCTCGCTTCTCCGATGTTGACGAGTTCCTCTAGGACGACATCGGCCGGCATCTGTGCGACCGCGTCCTCCCTGATCATGGCCATCACACTTAGGAAATCCGCGGAGGCTATGTTTAGGATCCGAAGGAGGCTGATATCCAGGTTACCACCGTCGTCATCCCCACCCTCATCCGCTAAGGTAGCCTGAACCTGAGCGCCGTGTGATAGAGTAACAGCCATTGATTGTGGGCCAGCAGCCCCTGAGGATACGGCAAGGTCCTGGAAATGATCGTTCATGAACTTATCAACCATAGGCTTCAAAGCGGCGTAGCTTAGGGCATGCGTCTCGATATGGTGTGGGGGGATACCATCTCGAGGGCTAACATACCATGGCGAGCCATCGCTATGGTCAGGTAACTGCAGGATGGTATCCATACCACGGCGCATATAGATGCACTTCAGCATGCCCTTGACAACCTCTCTGCCACGGGTGCTCTCATCCTCTTTAGTGTTGTCTAACTGATCGATGGGCGATATGTACCACCACTTCCACTTGTTCACAGTGAAGGCCTGTGTAAGCTCGTGTTTACGAGCCTCTGAGATATCCTCGGGTAGGCCGCAAAGCAGGCCACTCTCTTTGTCAATCTCGCCATCCACACAGAGATCTGCGGGCAGGTCCATGTTTTCCTAAAACAGGCTGCTCAATCCACGGTAGTCTGTGACCTGGTTGATAGCTGGAGTAGCGGATACTAGGACCAAGGATGAGGGGTTTTGCTCCTTATCTGGTCGGTTGCGGTAAGACATCTTGATCAGGAGTCGCAGTAAACGAGAGAAGCCGGTAAGGGGATTCCGGACAAACTGGCACTCATCTGCCACTATGTGTTGAAAGTAGAATCCCTTGGGGAAGTCCAGGAGATTAAACTTTGAGAGGAATTTTGCCACTTTTTGAACCTCCTTCCCACTGTCATTAGTGTAAGTAGTCGAACCACCATCGAGCACGTACTGCTCGATTAGCTGTTGTTGTTCCGGACCAGAAACGTGGTGGGCCCTAGCTGTCTGGTTGTGAATCTTGTACTCCTTGCTGTCGAAAATAAACTCGACCTGGCCGTCGTCATCATCATCAACAGGCTCATCCTTATCGTCATTCCCAGGGGCGGGTAAAGGGAAGGCCGACTCAACAGCCTGCTTTCCAGCAGCGCTAGCCGAGAGGTAACTGTTTGCTGTAGCCTTGCGGATAAGCTCCATGCGTTGTGGATCGAGGGGTAGGAGACCATTATGGACATCAAACTCCCAGGGGCCGAACCTGTAGGGGCGCTCTTTTGGCCTTGTAAACGTGACGGCTGGTTCCTTCTTGAGCAAGCGGTGGCTTGCTGTGCTGTATGACCATAGCCAAAGCTTTCGCGCGTTCTGTTGGCCGACTGGGTTAGCTAATACTGGACTGGGGGAGTTGGCACCAAGTGGTGCGGACTTGCTCGCCTCAGGTTAGCACCAAATGGTGCCAACCCCTGTCATGCAAACCAAAGTCCAGTGCTTACCTGTGAGGTTTTCTTCTGGCGCACAGCAATGTCCATCTCCGCAATCAGCTGCTCAGTAGTCATGACCGCCTTCTGTAGCGCGGGGTTATGACTGGTGTTGTTGACGGAACCGTGGTAGACCCGTATGTGGAAAGTGCCATCCGGGAAGTAGTTGCTGATCTCGTTAAAGTGTTGCTCGATTACACTGGCGGGGGCGAGGATCAGTGTAGGCATGACGGGCGGCAGGTCGGTCTCATCGCGTTCAGTGAGGCCCTCATCTGCGATCATCGCCAGGCGATGGTCAAGAGAAAATTTGCACGCCATCGCAAACACTATTGTCTTGCCTGTGCCGACCTCGTTGGCAAGGAGGACACCCCTAAGAGGGCTCTGCTTCATCTCGTGCTCCACAACGACATCTGTCAGATATTAGTATGGTATAGGATACGAGGGTTGGCACCAAAAGGTGCGAAGGGGAATAGGACCGCAGTTGGCACCAGTTGGTGCCAACTGTTGATGGAGGAAGGTCATGAATGTTGCGGTATGGTTGGCACCAGTTGGTGCCAACTTGTGGTCGGGGGGGGGGTGGCTTACCAACTACCTGGCCAGGCTTGAGGCTGTACCCATCAGGGTTTAGAGGCTGGCCATCGGGAGTGTCGCGGCGATCGATTCGCAAGTCGGTATACTTCTCGTCTCCCTCGGCTTCGGGCCGGAACATGCCCAGCTTCTCGAGCGCATCGGTAAAGCTCATCTCGATGGGCAGGCGCGGTGGGATAAGGGCCAGCATGGCATGGCACTGCTTGAGGTTCTCCCGATGCTGCTCATCAGGGCTCTGGCCATCTACCGGTTGGGCGCCCTCTTCAATCGCCAGGTTGGTTACGTCGCCATCCCGCTCCAGCTGGGCCATGTACGCCTCAATACACCAGGTGTCTGGTAGGAGGGCCCGGAATTTGTTCATGATGTCAATACCCCTAGAGGTGGTAACAACCGGCTGCTTGAAGAAGCCGCGCGAGTAAAGCTCCGAGATGAGGGCTAGTACTGTTTTGTGATCGATCGGGGGGAGTTGCTCCATAGGGTCGAGTGCTTTACGGCGGCTACTGGAATTGGATCCCTTACCCGCTGCGGCCTGGGTGATGCTATTGTACTGAGCCACGCGGAACATGTAGGCGGTACGGCGCCATAGCCTGCTAGCCAAGTCGTCAATGGTAGCAGATGAGAGTCCAGTTGAGCGGCCTTCCTTAGCCATTCGCTCCTCATATTGCTTGTGAATACTGATGATCTTTTCTGCGAGGTTCATGACACCTTGTTGTGCTAGGTTCTCGGGTATGGCGTCCTCTGGGTCATCTTCCGCAATGTATTGACCATAGTGCTTTTGGCTTGCCTTGATGTAGCTTCCAATAGCTCTCTCGCCCATACTTGGAGTCTTAGCGCCATCAATCACACCCTTCTTGGCATGGACATGACTGCTCTTCTCGCGCTGACGCACACATGCATGGTATGCCACCACCCCACGAAAGAGGTCATCAAAGGAAAAGCCGTACGGGCGATCCGGGCCCGGGGACTCGCACTTGTAACGCTTAGTGCCAGCATCATCTGGGTGGATTCCGGTAGGGCAGTGCGCAAGGTACTTCAATACGGCCATGTTGGCTGTCGTGTTGAGGTTGATCGAGTTCCGGGGCTCCTTCCCGAGGTCACCATTCCGGATTAGGCATACTGGCTGTTCGGGGTCGTTGATCACAAGCTCTAGGATATGACGCTCCCTGGGCACCGCGAAGCCCGTGACAAGATCGACCATCTGCTGGGTTGCGTTGGCTTGAGTGACAGGGTGTTCCCAGAACTTGGCTGCCTTGGCCCGGCAGAGGGGGCCGAAGAACTTCATCGCTGTCACTTAGTTAGCTCCACGCTCTCTCAGCTCCGGCACCGGGTGGTCGTTGGCACCAAAGGGTGCGAAGTCGGGCTGTCACGAGACCAACTCCATGAGGCCGGCTCTTGCCCTAATTGGCCTTAGGCTGCCACGGCGTACAATCGAGGTGATGGGGTTGGCACCAGTTGGTGCCAACCAGCTCTCAGACCACACGGTATCCTTCCGGGACGGTAATGGGCAAGGCGGTTGGCACCACTTGGTGCCAACCAGCTCTCAGAACACACGGTATCCTTCCAGGGAGGTGATTGACAAGGCGCCTTCTTCCCGAACAGGTTGGCACCACTTGGTGCCAACCGCTTCTCCCAACTCCCCAACTGATAAAACTTACCGAGGCACGTCATGTGCTGGTAGATATGCTTGACTTTGGATACGGCGAGGATCTCGCCGAGGGTCTGATTTCCCATCTTATCCGCGGAAAGCGAGTAGTACAAGGTTACCTGCTTGTATCTCTTGCCGATCCATCTGCTGTTCTCTTTCACTTCTTGCGCCGTGGGCTCGCGAGTGTCCAGGTCGGCAATGGACAACAGGCCGGGCTTGGAAGTGTCCCACCACTCCTGGGTAAAGGGCTCCTCTTTCTCATTCACAACCTCATGGAGCGGCAGGTACCCATAGTTCATAGGCAGATTGTAGTCGATGCACCGGGTGCTCGCCTTCTGTGTGGTCAGGAGGTTCGTCTTCACTTCAGAGGTCAAAATCTCCGGAAACTCCGTGAGGCTCGGTACGGGCGTGAGCGTGTTCGGGTCGCCACCCAAATCGAGGAAGTCTGGGAAGTTCGGTTTGATATCTTTGACAGTCGGAGTGGTAGGGGGCACAGGGGCGGGGCTGCTGGCCGGACTACTGGCATCATCCGCCTGGCTGGCCTCGGCCTTCTTCAGGGCGGCATTCTTGCTTCTCGTCGCGGCGCCCTTCTGGGCTGCTGCCTTGCGCGCCTGCCTCTTGTTGGCTTTCTTAGGTGGCATCTTGAGCTGTTCCTTACGGGTAGTTACGGTCAGCCTCGGGTTGTTGGTTGCTCGCTCGACTTGGCACCGATTGGTGCGGTCGTGCGAGTCTTAATCTCTGGGCAGCTTTGGACAGACAGGGTGATCGAACGGGTGGTAGGAAGAAGAGAGAGAGGGAGAGGAAATTTGGAAAATTCGAGGGGGGAGAGGAGGTATTTATGTTCGTGGATTCTGCCGCCTCGTCCGTTCTCTCACCGCCTTTCCCCTTTTGGGAATAGCCCGGGTGGTCCGTGCACTGACCAAAGCTGGGCGGTGACAGCAGGGTGACGTCACCCACCCGCCAGTTTTTACGTCACCCACCTGCCAGTTTTTACGTCGCCCACCTGCCGATTTTGTAGTACAATGGAAATCTAGTTGAGTGTTTGTCACCCACCTGCCAGTTTTTACGTCGCCCACCTGTCGATTTTGTAGTACAATGGAAATCTAGTTGATTGTTTGTCACCCACCTGCCAGTTTTTACGTCGCCCACCTGCCGATTTTGTAGTACAATGGAAATCTAGTTGAGTGTTTGTCACCCACCTGCCAGTTTTTACGTCGCCCACCTGCCGATTTTAGAAGCAGCTTTGTGATCATGCCAAACAGAAATCAAGAAACGGCCCAAATGAACGAATGATTGCACTCGCCGCAAGAGGTCTACCATTTCTGTGCCGTGCTAGTGAAGGAGCAAAAGCATCGTGCAGAGAATATTCCCAGTGACCCGCGAACCACGGCCTTTCCGCGCCTATCGGCTCCTCAGACCATGGCCAAGATCTGGACAACGACAGGTCGTAATGCAGGGCGATTAGTGCGCATGCAGTAGCAGGGCGTTTTCGGCAGCAAACAACCGCTGTACCTAAGTAGGGTTACAGTTTCCTTCGCATCTGCATCTGACAGACGCCCCATCCCGTACCAAGATCTAGGCGGGAAGCGACCTCACAAACGTGGGGGGAAAATATCGGTCTGCACAGGTCGAGGATGTCTTCCTGCAGTAGACCAATGCCACCGTCGGTTTGGCCAAGGCCGTTGCTTGGCAAATATCGATCGACATGCACTGAGTGAAACCGGTGAGAGGCCACTTGAAGTCCCAGGCTGGAGTCTCTTGGCCCGCACAACCAAGGGGCGCACTGCTGGATTGTCAGCAAGGCTGATGGCCGACCAGCCTCCGTCTTGACCTGCGATTATAATGGTACAGCGGACCAAGGCTCAGCACATGCGACCATATCCACAAGAAAATATCGGATCCCGTCCGCTCTCCTGTAATCAAGCTTGTGAGAGGGCAATTAGTAGTTGGGTCGGTGACGACCAGCGAATCCTGCCTGTTGCATGTAATCAATTTCTTTTTTTGCTTCAATATGATCGTAGACGTGAGTCGTGATGCGTGAGGGTGGTTCGGACGCATGAGACAAATAAGTGCGTGAAGCAGCCCAGGGGGTGGCAGTAAGAAGCCAATTAGGTGCAGCCCGGGTCTTATTCGAGCAGGCTGGTCCGCGTAAATTGAACAACCTCTAATCCAACAAATTCCCAAAGTTCAAGACAGCCGACTTCGACCTGCGACACGTTATTCAACCTCCATTCAAAATGTCGCATGAACCTACAATAGACGACGAGGACTACGCCTCCTCCGAGGATTCAGACTTCGCACCGGAGGAAGCACCAGAGCGCGGCGACGACGCCTCCTCGGACGATGAAGACGAACCCGCCGGCGATGCTGGCGCCCCAGCGCCCGCGAAACGGAAACGGAAAACACAAGCTGGCGATGCCGAGGGTGCAGAGGACGCGGGTTTCGAGAACTCGGGCGACGAGGCGATCATCGGGAGGGGCAAGAAAAAGCAGAAGAGCCGCCAGGCGCAGCGCGACGAGGATGAGGGCGGAGAGGGCGGCTTGATCAAGACGCGGAGCATGCGCGCCGTGGAGTGAGTGCCTGCCGGGCAGCATGTGTTTGGGTGTGTCAACAGAGAGGCAAAGAGCTAACCTGTCGCTCCTCACAGGAAGGCAGAGCGCAAGATCCAAGCAGCGAGTGGGCCGGTGACTGTCGATGTCGACGCACTCTGGGCTTCCATGACAGCCGCGCCCGTCGTTCCTACGAAACAACAGCCTCAGACGGACTCGAAGGGCGAGAACGGCGATGCTGCTGCAGGTCCAGGGGACTCGAACGCACAGGCGGCCAACGGCAAGGATGGCGATCCAAGCGAGATGATCAAGATCAAGCGGACGTACAACTTCGCCGGCAAGGTGCACACCGAGGAGAAGATGGTGCAGCGCGACTCAGCCGAGGCTCGGCTCTACCTCGCGTCCCAGGGCGAGGACGCCGCCGCCGACGCCGACGCCGAAGACGACGAGCCGGACAAGCGGATGCCGCGCAAGGCCTTCCGGTCGGCCTTCGAGCCCGTGGCCCCCGCGGAGCAGGGCCTGCACCAGCGGTCCGACCTGAACCTGGGGATGGCCTCGCGGCTGCAGGCGAGGCAGGACAAGGACAAGGCCAAGAAGCTCAACACGGTGGAGAAGTCGCGCATGGACTGGGCCGGGTTCGTGGACAAGGAGGGCATCAAGGACGAGCTTGCGCTCGCGGGCCGGGCCAAGGGGGCCTTTGCCGACAGGCAGGACTTCCTCGCGCGCAGCGAGGCGAGGAGGGACGAGGAGGCGAGACGGGTCAGGATCGCCTCCAAGGTTTGAGGGTGTACGGTGTTATACTACTACTAACGTGACCTGGTTTTGTGGCTACAAAAATGGTGCATGGATGGAAATACTGTTTCATGGATTATGAGCGGCGCAGGACATCACAAAATGCTTATAGAGATACCCCAGTTTGTAAATAGAAGAACCGCTTGATTATTGCCTCGTGACCCATCTGACCGCCCTTGCTACAGCTTAGACCTGCCCCCAGGGGGCAACAGCGCGATGTCCTGGTACGGCAGGCCGAGGTGTTTGTAAATGTGATGGAACCTAGATTGCAGGTGTCAGTCAGGCGGGAAGCCGGGCGGAGAAACACAGCGGTATCGTCAGAGCAGTGCATACCTGTCGCTTCCAAAGAAGGGCTCGGCCTCTCCCTTGTCGTTCCGCACCCACAGCCAGGGTGCGCCGTATGCACCCTGGTCGAGGGCGGACTTGGTGGCCTTGGTGAGCGCGTCCTTGGCCTCCTGCGACTTGGCCGCGGCCAGGATCTGCTCGCATTCCTCGGGCGAGAAGGCGTCGAACTCGGACAGGACCTTGGCTAGGATGTCGACTTTGGTGAGGTTGAGGTTAGGCGGTGTCCAGAACTTCTTGAACAGGTGTGCCCATGTGGCATGGTACACCTCGCGAGGGTAGTTGGCTTTGATATAGTGCAGAGCCCTCAATGGCTGCGTGTGCTGGTTAGACGATACGGTGTTTGTTTCCTGAATGGTGAGATGTTCACTTGGGCTCACGAGAATGGTGTGGCTCTGCGACATGAGATCATCGGGGAACTGCGTCTCTGGTATGCCCGCGCCGGCTGACGCCCTCCTGCCCTCGTAGAATCCATACTTTGCCTTTGCCTTGTTGAACCAGGGCGGGTTGTTGCCTTCAAGGGGAACAAGTTAGCGCCAGGGAATGGTGTGCTGCTGTTGTTGTCCTCATACCCGAGTTGGCCATAATGCCACCGAGCAAAATGGGGTGGAATCTAGACGAGACATATAATGAGCTACACGTCTATATGGGCGGATATTGGCCAACCTACTCTACTTGGACGCCATGAGACTCGAGAGTCTTCAGGTTCTCGACCAGGTACACGAAGCCGATGTAGCTGTAGAAGGACGCTGGCAGGGCACATGTCAGCAACTGAGCATGCGCATCTTGGACTCGGCGCCAGAACACTGGGCTCTTACCGATGTCGATATAGCAATCTATCTTGCCTCCCATGTTGCTTGACTGTGTTATTGATTCGTCGTCCCTGGTGAATGTCCAAACTCAGGGTTGAGTTGTATGATCGATGTTTGGTACGCGCAGAGAGAAGGCATACACAGAGCAGTCCAAGTATTCCAGGATATTGAGCCTCGGCTGTTTGGGTGCCCGCCAATGCTTCCCCCAAGCGCAACCCACCCCATGGCTTCCCCAGATGATCAGTAATCCAGCACCAAACCGAGGGTCCTTTAACTTTCTTTGATGTCTGTTATTCGCATGCCTCTAAATACGGAGCCTCGTTATTCAACTCAAAGTATGGCTTTTATCTTGTTCAACGAGGAGATAAGCTAGCTTCTCAAACTGAACTGCATCCATCCATAGCATCATCGCCATGTCCAAAGTGAAGCCAGTAGCTCTTGTGCTCGGTGCCTCGAGGGGAATTGGGAGGCAAATTGCCATTGATTTGGCAAAACATGAATATTCTGGTAAGCCTTTGAAAATTGATTGAAATGAATCTATTGCTAAAAGTATTCTCAACCGCAGTCGTAGTGGCTGCCAAGTCCACATCTGACGCCTATTCTACCAAAACGGCCTTCCCGCCAGATCCAAACTCCCCACAGTCTACCGTCAGCACAGTAGAGAGAGAAATAAGGGAAGCCGGGGGCGAGGCCACTGCCTTTGCTGTCGATGTGCGGGACTTCGCCAGCATACAGGACCTGGTCGAGAAAACCATCAAAGTGCATAAACCGTGCCCCCTTCCCAGATGCCCTTGAGCCCAAAGCACTTGGCTGACCAGCATCCCTCCAGCGGTACGGCCGCCTCGATGTGCTCGTATACAACCCTGGCGCGATATGGTGGGCCTCGGTAGAAGACAGCCCCATGAAGCGGTTCCAGCTGATGCAGCGCGTCAACCCGGAAGGGCTCTACGGCGCCGTGCAGGCCTCGCTGCCGCACCTGAAGAGGAGCACCCTGGGGGGCCGCATCGTCATCGTCAGCCCGCCCATATACAGCCGGTTCTTCAGGGGCAAGACAGCCTACGCCATGGGCAAGGTGGGCATGAGCGTCCTCACCAAGGGCCTGGCCATGGACTTTGAGAGGCAGGGGTTGGTGAGGGACGGCGAGGGTGGGATGGCCGTCACGAGCATCTGGCCTGCTGTGTCTGTCGAGTCTGCTGCCACGGCGCAGTTTACGCGGAACAACCCTGACGAGGAGAAGGACCTGCGGAAGCCGAATGTCTTTTCGGACGCCGTGTTGGCTATCCTCAGGGCGCCGGCGCCGCTGGTGAATGGGCAGCTCTTGCTTGACGAGGACTTCCTCAGGGAGCATGCGGGCGTGACTGACTTCTCCAAGTATTCGGTCGTTCCGGGGAGCAACCCGAGGAGGATCATGCCGAAGGAGTTGCCAGATTTAACTGTCAAGGAACAGGATGATGAAGGGAAGAGGGTCGACAGTGCGAAATCAAGAATAGGTTCAAAGTTGTGATGTATAGCAGAATATGATCTGTTTGTTCAATGAATGGATACTTGACTTTTTTGGTGGTATCTCGAGCAAACTTCGAACGTGAAATATCCCATCACAGATCAAAAAATGCGGCTAGCCCTTGCGACCCTGCTTCTTGGTCTTGCGAGCCATCCTCTTCCGCCCGATAATCCTCTGCCTCTGCGCCAGCTTTTCCTTGGCGTCCTTCTTCGTGGACGCGTCGCGCTCATCCTCGACCTCCTCAGCCTCAGCCTCCGCCTTGCCAGCCTTGCCAGCCTTGCCCTTGACGTTCTTGCCCTTGGCGTTCTTGCCCTTGACGTCCTTGCGTCCTTGCTTCTTGTCCTGCTCACCCTTTTCCTGCACCTCGGCCCGCTTCGTCCTCGCCCTCACCTCGTTCGCCTTCCTCCGGCTCACCACCTGCGCATTTTCGATCGCAAACTCCACAATCAGCCGCACCGTCCGGCCTGCCTCGTTCTTGAGTGCATGACCGTTGAGCCAGCGGAGGCCCATGAGCGCCCACCTGTGGCTGGAGTACTCGATGAAACCGTAGCCCCTGCTCAGACCTGCACCGGTGGACTCATCCACCTTCTTGCCGTCCCTGGTCTCGAAGACGACCTTTGCCTGCTTGACGACACCCACACCCTTCTCCTTGCGGCGGTGCTCGGCCTCCCGGTCCTCAGCTCCTCCTCGAGAAAGTTCCTCCTTGGAAAGTGGTGTGCGTTTGCCTGCCTTGAGGTCCGCAGAAAAACCAACAATGGCTTGTCGGGCCAGTTGCTTCAGTTCCTTAGAGGACATGTTCCTGGGCAAGTTGCGGACTGCCAACCGCGTCATACTCAAATGCAAGCTGGGATTGCTCTGCACTTGCTTCTTCCGCTGCTGCAAACTCTGCTCGCGGAGCTTGACCTCCGTCGGGGAGAGTAGCTTGTAGAGAGGAGAGCCACTCGGGATTGTGCCTTCGGAGAGGAGGTATAGACGTCGCTTGTCCTTCTCTTGTCCCTTGCGGGCCGCAGGGCCTGCCTCGGTAAGCCGTGCCGATTCTTCTTTGCTCACCGCAGCAGCCACCGATAGGACACGTCCGTCGATGGTGTAGCGACCGTCCGTGTCGACAGTCTCGTCTTGAAGTACCGAGTGCCTAGCGGTTTTGACGGTTTGTTTTTGCCGTGGGGCATTCCTCAAACAAGCCTTGAAGTCATCCTCCTTGATGAAACACACAAAGCCAGTGCCAGCGGGTCGCTCCGTCGCTCGGTCTTTCACGATCCTGGCGTACCTGATGGGGCCGAATTGCGTGAAGTGCTCTTTCAAGGATTCATCTGTGGCCGTAAAAGGAAGATTGCGGATGAAAACAGTTGTGGAGTTGTCCGTGAGGCGTTTGGGCTTCTCCTCTACCTCCTCTTCTGATTCTTCTGCGTCGCTCGAGACATCCTCGCCCTCTTCGTCTTCGCTGTCATCGTCCTTGTCGAGGTCTGCTCCGCTTTCCTCATCCTCTTCTTCGTCGTCGTCTTCTTTGTCCTCGGAATCGAACTCTTCCATCTTCTTCATGAACATGGCAAGATCACGGTCCTCCTCGTTCAAGTCTTTCATCTCCTCGTCCTCATCGTCGTCTGCGTCGGCCTTTTCCTTCTTGGACTTCTTGGACTTAGGCTTTGGTTCGTCCTTAGGCTTTGGTTCGTCCTTGCCCTCATCTTCCTGCTCCAGACCCTGTTGTTGTTGCCACTCATCTTTCGAGACCGCCCAGTCCACAGCAATGGTTCTCCCGTCGACATCCTTGCCGTTCATCTCCTCCATTGCACGTTCCGCATGCTTCTTCGAACGGAAGGTGACAAAGCCAAAACCCTTGAGCTTCCCCTTGTTGTTTGGCAGGTCAGAGAACTTAATCTTTCCATATTTGGCGAAGGTCTTGGCGAGCTGTTCCGAGCTCTTGATGCTCCAGGGCAAATTTCGAATGATGAGCTTTGGAGCCTTCTTGGCCTCGGCCATCTCTTCCTCCCGCTTCTTCTTCTCCTCTGCAATGTGAGACTTCGCAGCGCTGTCACCTCCCGCACGGTGTCGCGGTTCGGCAACTTCAAGCTTCATGCGGCGGCCGCCGAACAGTTCGTTGTTGAGCTTCTGCTTGGCTTCGACGGCATCGTCGGCATCGGTAAACGTGACGAATCCATAACCACGGGATTCTTTCGTCTTCGGATCGACAACGACAGTGGCGTGCTTCACAGGATAGTGTTGTGAAAAGTAGTCGGTCAGGGACTCAGCCGTCGCCGAGGGCGGAAGAGACCTCACGAAGAGGGACCTCCGCTCCTCGACTCGGCTCTTCTTCGACGGCGGGCCATCCTGGGTTTTCGTAGCGGTGCCTTTCTGCTCGAGATCGGCTTCCGCCTCCCTGCGCCTCTTCTGCCCCGTTGATTTGGCCATTTTTGTGTTTGCGCGGAATTTGGGTGTGTTTTCTGCCGAAGCTGTAAGAGGGGAGGAAAAAGCTTGGGCGAGGATTGGGGTATGTCCAGAAACTTTTCCCGATAAGCAACCGCGCTAGCTTATCGGGGGTGACACTTGCCGGGGTAACCCACGCCCGCATTCTTTGTGTTGACACAACAAGAACGAGCAGAACCTCGACCGCGACTGTGAGCCGGAACGACCGAGGAGAAACGAAGGGTGTGTCGACTCTGTCCCAGGCGGCCCTTTCTGCACGCACCTCCTCGTCTGACCGATTCCAATGTACTATCGTCCAATACTTAGTTGTTTACCAATCTAGCGACCCTCCGATCCGCAAGCAACCTGAGTGCGCGATCCCCTCCTGCATAGCTTCACATCATCGATTTGAGCCCGCCAGCCATGCCCCCTCGTACATCAACACGGTCGGGCCGCGCCTCGACGAGGAGCTCGGCCGCCAACACGACCGCACGCGCATCGCGTGCATCATCCGCCGTCGCCTTCGACGTCCCCGAGGAATCCCCAGACAATGAGCTTCGAACGCAGGTCGCCGCGGTCTTTCGCGAGGCCCAGAGGAATACCGCGACACACCGAAAGTCGGCCGTCACGCTGCGCAAGCTACAGGAGGCATGCTGCTACGAGCCGACCAGTGCCAAGAAGGCCACGGCGGGCGACTTCGACGAAGACGACTTCAACACGGAACTCATTCGGTGTGTTCTGCGCATCATGCCCGTGAGGAAGAGCGAGGCCGTGGGCGAGAGGACCATCCGGTTCGTCGGCGTGTTTATGCGACACTCCATCGACAAGGACAACGAACTCGCAGGGGACGTCGACGAAGACGCAAGCACAATGCCCGAGACACCGAGCACGAGGCTCACCTCCAGACTCATGGACGCCATTTTGCCGCTGATGATGGCCAAGGACAAGTTTGTCAGATACCGATCCACCCAGCTCGTCGCCCACATCGTAAACTCCCTCGACGCCATCGACGATGATCTTTTCCAGAAGCTTAGGTATAGTCTGCTCAAGAGGATTCGCGACAAGGAGGCCATGATCCGCGCCCAGGCGGTCCTTGGCCTCGGCCGTTTGGCAGGAAACCAGATCGAGGCCGAGGCCAACTCCGATAGCGACGGAGACGAGGCGAGCGGCTTGCTGGAGAAGCTCCTTGAAGTGCTTCAAAATGACCCAAGTGCAGATGTCCGACGGTCACTGCTTGTCAACCTACCGATTTTGCCGAATACGTTGCCATTCTTGCTTGAGCGGGCAAGAGATCAAGACGCCATGACCCGTCGTGCTGTTTACTCCCGTCTCCTGCCCGCACTTGGTGACTTCAGGCATCTGTCACTTTCCATGCGAGAGAAGCTTCTGCGCTGGGGCCTCCGAGACCGAGATGAGACAGTCCGTAAGGCGGCTGGTAAACTTTTCCGTGAACGGTGGATCGAGGACTGCGCGGGTGCCCCGCCGTTGAATGATGACGGGCAGCCCACCGAGCTGCCTGCGCCAAGCTTCGACGGTCTGCTTGAGCTCCTTGAGCGTATTGACGTGGTCAACTCCGGAGTCGAGAACGGGGTCGGCCTGGAGGCCATGAAAGGTTTCTGGGAGGGTCGCCCGGATTACCGGGAGGCTGTCACGTTCGATGACAATTTCTGGGACACTCTTTCCGCCGAGTCTGTATTCATGGCCCGGAGTTTCAACGAGTTCTGCAGGAACGAGGGAAATGGCAAATACGAAGAGTTGATCGAAGAGAAGCTGCCTGAGGTTACGAAGCTCGGGTTCTATCTCGAACGATATGTCAAGGTTCTCACGGATGCATTGAAGAGGATAGAGCAACGGGAAGAGCCTGAAGACGAGGAAGATGAGGAGGACACTGTGGAACAAGAGTTCATCGTGGAACAACTCCTTCACATCGCATTGACTCTCGACTATTCCGACGAGGTTGGGCGCAGGAAGATGTTCTCGCTGCTCAGGCAAACGCTGTCCATTCCCGAACTCCCCGACGAGGTCACGAAGCTCACCGTCAATGTCCTCCGAGATATCTGTGCACCCGACAATGCGGGTGAGCGGGAGTTCTGCAGCGTCGTTCTCGAAGCGGTGGCAGACGTGCACGATACGATTCTGGACGAACCCAACGATGACGAGAGCTTCCACTCTGCCCAATCCGAGGTCGATGAAGATGAAGAATCTGCTAAGAGCGCAAAGCACGACAAAGAAAACGATCTGACGGAAGAGGAAGCTCATGCCAAGGCAGTCAAGGAGATCGTCATCAACATGAAGTGTCTTCATATTGTGCAGTGCATGCTCACCAACGTCAACGGTAGCCTGCAGGAGAATGACCACTTGGTATCTATGCTTAACAACTTGGTGGTGCCAGCGGTCCGCAGTCACGAAGCACCTGTGCGAGAGCGTGGTCTGCTCTGTTTGGGTCTCTGCTCCTTGCTTGACCGGTCTCTTGCTGAGGAGAACCTGACGCTATTCATGCATTTCTTCAGCAAGGGCCACACTGCGCTGCAGATCACAGCCCTGCACATCCTGACGGATATTCTCAATGTCCATGGATCTCAACTTCTGTCGAACAACCCCAACTTACTCAAGGTCTATGTCAAGGCTCTGAGGTCAGGCGCCAAATCACCTGAGGTACAGGCTGTCGCCACCATTGCAGCGTCGAAGCTTCTTCTTGGCCGTGTCGTCACAGACATTGACGCCTCCGCGGAACTGCTCAAGACACTTGTTATTGCCTACTTTGAGCCAGCAAGCTCGCAGAACCAAAGTGTCCGACAGGCGCTCAATTACTTCCTGCCGGTCTTCTGTTACTCGCGTCCTGATAATCAGGATCTCATGCGATCAGTGGCACTCGACGCCTTGCATGCATTGTACAACGTCAGAGAGGGTCTCGAGGATGATGATGCGGACGTCGACGACGAGATGGTCAGCTTGTCGACCATTGGAGCTTGCTTGGTGGATTGGACAGACCCAAGGAAATGCTACTCCCCTGATGCGGGCGCCGACGCGGAAAAGAAGACCAACATCAACGGTGATGTCCATCTCGAGTTCGCGAGGAACGTGCTGGAGAGACTGGACTCCAATTGCAGCAGTAAGTGCCCCAGCAATATCAAATTCATGTCAATATCATTTTCACGTGGTCGCTAATACCAGCGTATCACAGAGGACGAGAAGAAGGTGGTTGCCGCCCTCCTTGGCAAGCTGTACATCTCGCCGGCTTCCACCGAGGAGAAGCTGCGCGAGCTTTACGCCGAGGTCTCCGACGCCGTGGAGACAAACCTCATATCAGATACCACAGGCCGCAACGCCCTCTACAAGATCCATGTCAGCCTCGGCAAGATTGTCAACAACCTCGACCAGCAAAAGGAGGCGGGCTTCCGGAGATCCACTGCTAGTCGCAGCGTGTCTCTGGCGCCGGAGCCCGCAGGGCCCGAGGATCGGACGATGGTCGGCCAGGAGCCGCGGATCAAGGAGGAGGACGAAGAGGAAGACAACGAGTCCAGGCTCGAGGCCGACGATAGTAACGATACGGTCAGGCCCAAGTCCGAGGATGCCACGGAGGCTGGGGACGGAGACTCGCTAGTGAGCGAGCTGCTAGACGACGACGGCGACACTATTATGGGCTGAAGTAGTCTGGGTTGAGCTTGCATTACGGTCCTTATGACTTTCTTTATTTCGTGTCTATGCCTACCTGCCTACGGGTGTTGGGATCAAGGGTTGGTCGCAGCTGTACTTGGTTCGGGGCGGAGGTCGGATTCTTCACTGTGTTGATGAGAAACGCAAATTGATTTTATGCACAAACGAAACATCTTCCACACTCTGCCACAGATAAGGGTAGCCAGGTATCAAACATCTATGTGGATCTGATCTTGGTTCTCCGAGCTAAGATTCATATCCTCTATGTGATTAGTTATTGCCTTGAGCCTAGCCAGTACAAAAGGCCCCCTAATCCTACATTTGCAAATATATGCTGCCCCAGGCTCCACGCCATGCAATAAAGATATTTGGGCGAGAAGACCGTCCAGATAAACAAATGAGTCCTCAGCGCGGTACAGGCCGCCATCACAGACCCCACACTCGCAGCCGCGAACACAGTCAATAGCGTCACATGCCGCCTATACACGCCCTTCTCGAGACCAGCCTTCCTCTTCCGCACCAGCAGCACGTTGGTGGCAGACACCCAGTACAGAGGGCCGGCCCAGTTGCTGACGAACGTGAGCACGCCAACGGTGAAGACGTCAAAATTCCGGACGCCGTTGTACGCGCTGGACAGGTCGACGCTGGAGATGGCGTTGGTGCCGCCGAGGGCGAAGAAGGACATGTACTGCAGCAGGAGGGAGGTGGTCGAAAGCTCGGCGAGGGAGAGGTCCTGCGCGGCGAGGAACTTGTACTGGACGTCAAAGAGGAGGAACAGCGGGATGTTGGTCGCGCGGGACTGCGTCATGGCCAGCAGCGTGTACAGGTGGTGCAGAGTCTCGACGGCCGAGGAGCGCCGCGAGACCTTGCGGCCGGTGGCGACGAAGAGCACCACGCACGCGGCGCCGAGGCCCAGCCCGACGAATACCGCCTGTGCGCGCGAGACGAGCGGGATGCCCTCTGTGACGCCCACGAGGGACCGGGCGAACCCGGTCACGAGCTCGGGCGCGTCCTCGTTGGTGAAGGCGAGCTTGAAGGTGAAGCCGGCGAGGACGACGGTTGTGCTCCCGAAGATGGCGAGGGAGGCGGGGAGGCCGTCGAAGCCCTGGAGGAGCGCGCGGTGGATCCAGAGGTAGGTGATGCTGATGAGGGCCCAGAGGCGCACTGGCTCGGTGATGATGAAGGATTTGACAATGTCAGGCTCTCCGGCGAACTTCTGGCCTGTCTGGTTCCAGCCTCTGATGATCCGGGTCATGACGGCCACGGTGGCGACTGCTACTGCTTGTCCTACTGCCGACTTTGAGGTTCCGTGGAAGCCTCTGCAGCTGACGAATGCGAGCCAGGCTGTTGTTGCGTAGTACCAGAAGTGATGCTCCTCTTCCACGTAACTGCTGGCAAACATCATCACGCCGTATGCGATGGTGACGACTGTCAGCGGCAGGGCTCTCACTGACAGCCTGCCAGCGTTCAAGTACGTGGCATACACCGCCACTAACGTAGCTGAAATGGCAGCTGCTTGGCCAAGGGTGAGCCTCGTCATATCGTAATTACTGGCCATGCTGCTCAGGAGGCCTTGAGCATTTCTTAACCAGTCCGACGTGGTAGAGATCCATACATCATCTACGTCGCCCGTGCTTTTCATGGCTCGAGCGGACTCGACGATTTGGCGCCACCCACAGGCCAGCTTTTCAACCTCGTCTTCCGGCTGTAGGCAAGTGTCACCGCCACTCTCTACCTCGAATAGATACCCTCCGAAAGTGGTCTTTATGATAGCCAGTATCTGCTCAGCGTTGCGCATGAGAATCTGTATCTGATCGGCCTTGTTAGACCAGAACGGCAGGAAGTCCACAATGAATGCGCCCAGGTTGTTCTTGGGCACCGGAAAGCCGAGCAAGGCCCCAAGTGTAGGAGCAAGATCAGATTGCTCCACAACAGAGTAATACTGGAAGTCCTCTTGAACGTCCATTGGCACCTCAAAGGCGGTCTTCAACGTCTTCATTTTTGGGGATATGAAGACTAACGCCGGAGAGGTCTCGCCAGGCGCCGAGCCACCATGATTTCCAGCATCATTCATTCCATGGTCTCCCAGTAGCACCAGAAGCGTTGACTGGAGGTGAGGCTGAGATTCGATTGCGGCGTAAATCTGTTCCACCATACCATCCATCTCAACCTGCTTCGGAAGCATGTTCGAGCTGCGCGGTCCCCCTTTGTGACCTATGTGATCTAGGCCGAGGTAATGCAACACCATGGTGCTCCAATCGTCATTCTGAAGCTCACCTGGGACGTGTCTTGTGACATTGTTGTCCACCTCGGTGAAATCAGCGACGAAGAAGCTCGACGTCCCGTCCGCACGGTCGAAGACGTTGGGAAACAGCTTCAGCCAGGTGTCGTCCCCATACATGAGCAGCTTGCCAGTGTCCTTTGCCTTCATCTGGGCGAGCCATGTATCCTGAGAAGCCAGGGAGGATGACTCGTCTCCTTCATCGATGTTCAGTATGACGTCGAGAAAGGAGGGAATCGAGCCTGTCGTTATGGCCTTGATGCGCGGCATGGTGACGGTGGGCGACGTCGCGTGTGCGGTGAAGGGAATGGCACAGCCATCGCGTATCAGGGCTTGAGTATATCGAAAGCCGGAGCTGGGGGAGTAGACAAAGTCACTCCGCAGGGCATCTACAACCATGAAGACGACCCGGTCGAACGGTGCAGCCGGTGGGGGCCCATGCTCGGTATTATCGTAAGCTGCCAGGCCTGGGAGCAGTGGTTTGTAAGGGAAGAATCCTGTCGCGAATACAATGATCGCGACTGGTATCAGGAGGTTCGCTGCGACGAGCAGGATGGTCGAGAGAGCCGTCGAGCCATTTCGAGGGCCCTGCATCTCAGGCGCAAACCGGGACCGACCAGCGCGAGGAACAGAGCAGGCCGAAGGTGTTATTAGAAAGAAGTAGCGCTAAACAGGCTTGGAACGACACTCCATTGCAGTCGCGAGGGGTTCGAGAGTGATGTGTGCACAAAGTTGTCTATTGGCTGGCTCATGTTATTATGGTGAGCTGTGGTTCTGTGCAGCTAGGCGAGGCCAGCTGGACAGTGGACAGTTTGGTAGAATTGGCGATCCTTCATCAGCCTTGCATACGAACCGCTGCCCCAAATCCCGCCTGCACCCCTGTCGGTGTGGGGATGGCCAAGCCCCTAGTGGAGCGGGCGCTATCCGAACGCCCCTAGCTTCCCCAAACTGTTCCGCCATCTTTTTGACTGGCAAAAAAAAAAACACAGGATCCCGAGCGGTAGATGCCTGAATCTCTCTCCAAGGAAAACGCCTGATATGATTCCCCATATCAACCCTGAATTTTCCCTCTGTCTTGTTAGATTATGCCACAGATGGTGACCCATAGCAGATAGAAGTCCATGGCTTCTTGTAGTGTACCTCTTCAAGCACTACCACACAGCAGCTTGGGAACCACTGCACCACCCCTCATGGAGTCCACTCGAGAAGTGTAGTGTACTCGGCGCTCCTCCACCAAGCCGTTCGAATTGGCGGACAATAATCGTAGAAGTCTGGTTTTGGCTTTCAGAGGGCCTCTTGACTGGAGCGCAAGGGACTTATACGCCTTGATATCACTGTCACCCATTGCCCTCACCTCTTCTTGTTCCTGCGCTCCCCGAACTTGGGAAAGACAATGTTTGATTTTCGTCCTCGTCTCTTCACGATCTTGCCCTTGGTTTTTGACTTTGTTGTCTTTGACTGCTGGTCGACTTCCATGGCTGCTGAAAGCAAATAACAAGGTTAGTATGGTCACTCTGGCAGACATGTCATGTGCTGCCCATCCAACTCACTGTCGTCTTGCTTTGTCTCGTCAACGGTCTTGTTCTCCTCTGTTTCAGCTGTGGTAGAAACAATGTCAGCTTTGAGCCATGCCTCCCAGCATTATACCTGGTGTCTGGACCCAGACATACCCTGCTCGGCTACATCCTTCATGGCCTTCTCAGGCACTGGCTTGGGCTGCGATGCGATCTCGAGAAGCCGTGCCGACAGGCGTTGTTGCCTGGCGGCCTCTACTGGGCCAAAGACATTCTTCTTGAGCCGCTGGTTGTTGGCCTTAGTGACACTTGATCGTTGGGACTTGGCCATTTTCGCTTCGTGAGTGGTGAGTGGTGTGGTTTGGGGTTGTTTGCACTCGTCATGGGGCGTTTGCACGATTATGCAGGCTCTCAAATCCGTGCCAGAACGCCGGGAAATTTCTCGAGGCTGATGTCCGAGACTACGATAAGCAGCCTTATCAATTTGGCCACCTTGACCGCCTTCTTAGCTGGGACAGACGACGACGACCAGGCGAGTGCAAGCCAAAAGCACGCTCACTCTATGAACCTCTACTGGGTTGGGGCTCGGCTAAGGAGTTTCTAAGCTAGATGTGCCCATTTTCGCTCCGCAACCCTCTACACGCCTCAGTGTGTCCCTTGCCTTCCAGCTTGGTGATGGCCGTAGGCGGTCCATCTTGACTGTTGTCGCGCTGCTTGTAGCGCTTTCCCTGGCGCTCCGTTGATCGCCCGCTCTTTCCATTCAGGCAGTGCACGAACGCCCCCCAAGGCCACCATGGATTCAAACACTTCGCTGCCTACGCCTGAGCAATACCGTACCTTGGTAAAGCGTCTCCAGAGCAGTAATTTCCTCCTCAACAAACAACTACAGCACATCTGTCTAGTCAACGGGTTACGAACATCGGGGGTCAAAGCTGAGCTGCAGCGGCGCATCCTTGACGGTAAGTGTCTCCTGTTTTCCCTTGACGACGCTCCTCCCACACCCAAGTGTTTGCCGTGCCTGGCTGGGTGTCACCTGCCAACTTGCACATCACATCCACACCACGTCATGCGGCACCATGCGGCGACGAGGCTGCGAGGAGAGATGGGTGTTCGATCGTCCAAACTCGAAGCTGACTCGGCCCCTCGTACAGCACTCGAACGAGCCTACTCGTCAGGCGACCCACGGGCATACCGCGACATCGAGGCAAGCATACAACGCGAGAAAACCGGCGGTTTACCTGCACCACATGAAGCCCTCCAATCACCCCTGCCCGGTCCCAACAGTGCTCAAAGCCTGTCCCCAAACATGAATTACGGCTACCAGAATGGCTACCCTGGCTACGGAGGCGTCAATGGTCAGCGGTCGCATCAGATGCCTCCTCAGGGTATGTTTGTGTCTGGGCCTCCTGTACCTCGTCCTGATCGCGTGCTGAGCGTCCAAGGATTTCATTTTAAACCAAGCCCCTTCTACCAAGTCATGGGCAGGATAGGACAGGTTCACACCTGTGAAGGCAAGTCCCCAGGCTCCGCCACCCATGCTTTGCTGCTCTGCTAACGGTCAGTGTCAGTCATGCAAAATCACAGAAATTGCACCAACATCCAGATCAAGGCCCAAGACAACCCACTCCTTGCGCGATGTGTCACTGAGAAAGACATGAGAGTGTTCGTATTCTGTGCCGCAGGCAACCAAGGCCCGCAAGACATCGCATTCCCACATCAGTCTGAACTGAAGGTGAATGGTGGTGACGTCAAGGCCAATCTGCGAGGCTTGAAGAACAAGCCAGGCTCTACCAGGCCTGTTGATATAACGGATCTTCTTCGGCTCAAGATCCCCAATTACGCCAATAATATCGAATTCACCTACGCGTTGACCCAGAAGGCAGGTAACACAGCCTCTCGGAATAACGTTCAAGTCAGGCGGACCCGTCTTCGCCCAGCTTTGACGTCTTCACATGTCAAGGTCGCGACAATATGTGCTAATTCGCTTCTGTCTATCTTTAGAGATTCTACCTTGTGGTTAACGTCTGCAAGACGACTCCTGTGGACAGCCTCGTAAGGAACATCACTGGCAAAAGGATCTCAAAAGCCTCGGTCCTGCAAGAACGTGAGCACGACGTGATTACCTGACTTCGCCCACTGGTTCTTGGGCTGACACCTCTCTATAGTTACGAGGAAAGCACATGACGCGGAGATTGAGATGTCCTCCCAGGTCCTCTCGCTGAAGTGTCCCCTTTCGTATATGAGACTTGTCACGCCGTGCCGCGCGACGACATGCACTCATGTACAGTGTTTTGATGCCACCTCGTATCTTCAGCTACAGCAGCAGGGCCCGCAGTGGCTGTGTCCTGTTTGCAGCAACAGCGCACCTTATGAGAGGCTCGCAATTGACGAGTAAGTGATGCGTCTAAACGCTGCATCGAGACACGACTGACCCTGCTCAGGTATGTGAGGGACATCTTGGACAGGACTTCTCGGACCGTGGAACAAGTCGACATCGAGCCTAACGGTAAATGGAAGGCCCATGGCAGCGTTGAGGAGGAGCTAGAGCAAGAGCTACAACATGAAGCTTTTGCCATCGACGACGACGACTTTGTCATCTCGGAGAGCAGTTACGTCGGCAACCGCGGGACAAACACACCCAACACCCTGGCTCCAACCACCAGCACTCCGACACCAGTCACTGCGGCCTCTCGCGAAGGCTCTTCTATGCCGAGATCGGGAGGCAACAAACGTACCCACGAAGTTATCGACTTGACGCTATCAGAAGACGAGGAGCCGCCGGAGCCGCCGCGAAAGAAGGTGCAGTACGGGGCCGGCTCTGCCTACTCGTCGTATCTAGGCTAGGCCTGATGGCAGGCAGGAAAGACAGGCCTGCAGTCCGTGTACATTGAGGACTGGCGTATCTTAATGAATTTCGTGGCCCATTGCTACTTCGCCATGGGCTTATTCTATCGGAGGGAAAGGAAGATCTCACTCTGGCATTGCATGGCGTTGGAGGACAGGATGAAAATACCAAATATCATGTGGCTGAAATGAGCTTGATTGGACAGGCCGAGAGAGGCCCCATGGAGTTTAGATGCACCAGAAAGCACGGTAGTCAGAGGGGTCACTTGTGTTGTAAAGTACGGGCCGTGGCAGTGAACGTCTTTTTTGCTCTTAATAGGAAATCAAAGAGGCAATTCGTGATGCTTTCCACGGGATGATGATGGGGCCGCTGCTACTCTTTACTTTCTCGGCGGGTCTTGAAAATGAGAAGAGGCGTGGGTCTATGTATCTCTCTGTGTATGACTGTAGGTATGCTTCTCGTACTTCGGAGATGCACGACCAGGGTTATTTCGGCGGAAGCAGCGGGAGCCATGTCACCATCTCTCGCGAGGACCCGCAACAGCTTTTAAGGTACCCGCAGAGGCAGGATGGGTGGATGGGTGGGTGGATGGGGTCGTGGGGAACGGACAACGGCGAACCGCAGCGGCCCTGGCAGTGCAGTGCAGCGCAGCGCAGCAGCAGCACAAGACCACAGCATGGAAGCCGCAGCGAATCTGCAAGGGCAAGATTGATGCGATGCAAGCGAAGTCGATCACAAGGTGGACAAGTCCGCGACAGCGACAGGCGCATTACCGTTCGCGGTAAATTTTGACGTGTGGGTTTTTTGGTGATGTGATATTTTTTCCTCTCTTTCCTTTTTTTCCTTTTTGCTTTTTCTTTCCATCTTCGTGTTTTTTGTTTTTGTCTCCGCCATTGGACAAACAAAGTAATCATGCATATTTTGGACCCTAGATGGCGTTCAATACTTCCAATGTAATACAGTAAAAGGCTGGCTGGGTTTGGCAGTTTATTAACGCGCGGCAGTCAGAATTGGGTTAACCCGGCTGGGCAAGCAAATACCAGGGGGGAGGAGACACGGGAGTAACAGTTCTTCTATCTACCTGCTGCTGCTTATTAGGTTTGCCACTTATCAAGAAGCGCCCTCCGTCACACGACAACCTCCCCCCGGGGGCAGGGCAGGGCAGGGCAGGGTAAGGGCCTGGACTATGGTACTGTGTGGCATATCAGAGTTGCGAGGCGGTCGCGGGTCGGAAAGCAACTCCAGACAATTTTGTGGCACAGTGGAGAGGACCGAAGCAGCCAGGATGTAACGCGAGTGTAGCAGCCAGAGGGTCGGCCATTGGGGAAGGCAACACCGAGGCAGCGAGGCAGTTTCTTTTCATCTCCTGTCAGGTCATGGTTACGCCACAGAGCGGGAGCACCCACAATGCTTATCGTTATTAATGAATGAGGATGATGAGCTTCCCAGGGCCCGGCTGTCTAGTGGCTCTCTAGGTTGCAAAGTGGACGGGATCGGATGGGTAGCTTGGCCAGGTAGACGTGGATCCCCGCGGCTGGCGTGGAGTGATTGACAGGCCCGGACGAGAGGATTTCAAAGTCTCCGAAACGTCTCAAGAATGCGACAGAGGTGAGAGGAAAGGCACACCCACAAGAGATACATACACACAGTACATACTGACATACAGCCAGAGCCAGGGACACGAGGGAGACAGGGAGAATATGCGGGAGAAAGTCGGAACAAAATCCTAACTCTAAATGTTGCGTTGCGCTCTGCGTCTGCGGACCCGTCGGTCAAGGCATGAGTTTCAATGGGGCCATATCGGCAGAGAGAGGCGACGGCAGCACCGCACGGGTACGGCAGCACGGCGCACGACGCAACCTCGCGAATGCAGTTTCCGAATCTGTCAGGCTGTAGGCTGTTTGGGTCGTCACCTGTCCAGCCTGTCCGTATCCCCTCTGGCAGTTTCTGGCCGCAAGATTGGACGTCTGCCGCCTGGTCCCGCCGGGGAGGGGGGGGTGATGAAACTGGCCAGATGAGGACAAACCTTCATTAGGAGCTGGGTCCCACGGCACCCAAGGTCGACCTTCAGACCTGCAGACCTGCAGACCAGTTCTGCAGGTCGGCAGCTTAGTCGTCGGGGTTGGCCCCGCTGGGAATCCCCGCTGGGAAGAAAGTGGAAAGTGGAAAGTAGAAAGTGGGGTGCAGCTGGAGACGGCCAGACGGCCAAAACGGCCAAACGGCCTAGCAGGACGGTAGCAATTTTGAGATTAGACGAGGTCGGGTTGCTGGGCGGGCCCTGGCGGGGATGGCTGATTTGGCTGATGACCGTGACCAGAAAGCAAACCAGCGCAACTACCTAGCCTAGGTACGGAGTGCTAGCAGCACAGTATGCGTGCGCTCTGACCACGGCAGGATTGTCGCGCGCCCCCAAATCAAACCCGCCTGCCTCCTCTTTTGCAGGACCGGATGGACCAGTGTGAATGGATGGGCTGGGGCAAGGCGTGGATACGACCTCGTCTCGTAGAATTCATTGCGTGCAATTTGCACAACTCGATCTGGGTCGGGTCTTCGGAGATGCTCATCGTCGCCCAGCCTGTCTGGGTGTCCAGGAACCTGATCCAGGTACCTGGTCCAGGTACAGTGTGCAGTTTGCAGCCTGCAAGGCCGGGCAGGGCAGCCAAGGTACTTACCAGAGGTACCTACCTACCCCAGCCTGCCTGCTACTCTTGAACTGTCTTGCTTTACTGTGTTGCTCTCTGGGCCCCCAGGGCAGCCGGCAGCCAGCAAACCACCACGGCAGTACCTAGGTATGTGTGCTCATGATCCAGAGAGGCTCGCATGTCCTGCCTGCCTGCCTGCCTGCCTGCCTGCGTAATTACTCAGGTAGGTCCGTCCGGTCGGACGTGAGCCAATTGACCGGAAGCTCGGTCATCAGCCACGGGTTCCAGTCCTTGGCCGGGTACTCGGTCTGTCCCTCTGTCTGGGATGACCACCAGTTTGTGGGAGCCGTTTACTTGTTGGCTAGCTGGCTTGTTGACAGTAGTCGTGCTTGGCTGCCGCACCCGGGACGGTCGAAAAGCTTCCCATGCCCAGCTGTGCGAGTGCGTGAGTGTGTGAATGTGTGGAGTGGGCGGGGGGGAGGGGAGGAAGGAACGGAACGTAGGTATGGATGGTATGTGGGAGCAAGTATCTAAAGTGTCTGCCCAATTCCGTTGGTCGAACGCACCATCCCCCCCCCTCCCCAGTCGTTGCAAGAGGGAACCTCGCTCCTCCCCCCCAGCTTTCCGCAAATCAAGGGCAGCTTTGTAATTTGGCTTCACGACCCCTGTCGGCCCCTTCCCGCCCTGAAAATCCAATCACCCTTCCTCACACTCCCACAGCCCTGCTCCTTACCCGTCCGTCGCCCGTCCGTTGCGTCTGCTGCGTCTGCCGTGGCTCGTCGACTGATCTGCTCCTCTCGCCTGCACCCAAGGTTTACTTGTCGTCTCGTCTTCCGTCAGCTTCGCTCTACGGCTTACCCAGAATCAATTTGCTGGCCCTACCTCCCGTTCTGGTCGGGTCTGTCCTATCCTGTACTGTAATCCATTCCTCTGGGTTCTTTCTATCCCGGTGAAAGTCGTGCCTCTTGGAAAGCCTTGGCTGTCCCTGTCTCTCACTCTCCTCTCGCTCACTCCCTCTCACTCTCCCCCCCCCCGGTCTAACAGCCACCCCCCGGCTCCTCTGCCTTGCCTTGCCTACCTGTCTGTCTGTCCTTCATTGCCTCCGTTTTCCCAATTACCAATCTCTCATCTCCATCCATCCTTGGGAGACAGACCACCAGCCATCGCCCCGTGCTCTTTGTCTGCTCTACACGACCACCACTACCACCACCTCCACAGTACACACAGTACAGTCAGTACAGCGCTGCTCTTCTTGTCTGTCCGTCCTTCCATACGATCAATCCGCCGCAGCAGCTACCAACGCCCGCCCGAATTCGACGGGATTGTACGAGCCAACCAGCGACTGGAGCCGCGAGAGAGGAGTCCCATTTCGGTCGACTTTCCAAGTTCTCGGATCGTCGCCGGGGTAGAATTGCGTTGCAAATTGGGACCGTCTCTGAGGCCTCTCCACATCCACCCAGCCCCGGCTACCCTATCACCCAGCCGTCGCAACCAGCAATAATACCTCCTCCTAAGGGGCCCGTCTAGCCCAATCTGACTGGTCCGTCCTGCCCAGCTGCCCTTTGGTAGCGGTCTAACCCCTGGGACCGACCGGTAGCTTTTGGTTACTGCTGCTCTGCCCGCTGCCGCTCACCTGCTCACTGCTGCTACTGCCTGCTGCCGTTGCTCTGCTCTGCATTTTCTCCCACAACATCCCAGCCCATTCAATCGGCCACTTCTCCATCTCCATCCTGATTAACCCAAGCCCAACCAACGCCAACAAGCCTCGATTGAAATCCCCGACCGCTCTCTCGGCCATCCATTCCCTCGCCTCTTCGGGCATCTCGCATCGCCTTCAAATCCCATCAGATCGATCGATTCATTGGCCGCCACTCATTCCCGCGGCTGAGCGAGCGACGGAAAGATGGACTCGCAACGACCGAACGATGTGTCGCCCGAGGCGATGCAGGCGCGGATCCAACAGGCGCGTCGCGAGGCAGAGACACTCAAGGACCGCATCAAGAGGAAGAAGGATGAGCTCGCCGACACCACCCGTAAGATACCATCCCATCTCGCCCTATCTCGCAATTGATAAGGGGGGGCAGGTGCAATTGCCTCTCCAACGCCCAGCCCTTGCTGACACGGTCCCCCGACAGTCCGCCAGGTTGCGCAGCAGGCCCACGAGGCGATCCCCAAGAACCAGTTGATGAAGACGAAAAGGACACTCAAGGGCCATTTGGCCAAGATCTATGCCATGCACTGGTCGACGGACCGAAGACATCTGGTTTCGGCTTCGCAGGACGGCAAATTGATTATCTGGGATGCATACACAACTAACAAGGTCCACGCCATCCCTCTAAGGTCCTCATGGGTCATGACATGTGCCTACGCACCCAGCGGTAACTACGTCGCCTGCGGTGGCCTCGACAACATCTGCTCCATCTACAACCTTAACCAAAATCGAGACGGGCCGACACGTGTGGCACGCGAACTATCCGGCCACGCCGGTTACCTCTCTTGCTGCCGCTTCATCAATGACCGGAGCATACTGACCTCTTCCGGCGATATGACCTGCATGAAATGGGACATTGAGACTGGCACGAAGCAAATCGAGTTCGCCGACCACCTTGGCGATGTCATGAGCATCAGCCTCAACCCAACGAACCAGAACACATTCATCTCGGGCGCTTGCGACGCTTTCGCCAAGCTCTGGGACATTCGGGCCGGAAAGGCTGTGCAGACTTTTGCAGGTCACGAGTCCGACATCAACGCCATCCAATTCTTCCCAGACGGCCACTCCTTTGTCACCGGCTCCGATGACGCAACCTGCCGCCTGTTCGACATCCGCGCGGACAGGGAACTCAACGTCTACGGCGTAAGTGCAGCCAATGAAGTAGCAAGTTGGAAAACATAGTCGCTGACCTTGCCCAAAACTAGTCCGAGTCCATTCTGTGTGGCATCACCTCGGTTGCCACGTCTGTTTCAGGTCGTCTCCTGTTTGCAGGCTACGATGATTTCGAGTGCAAGGTACGTTTGAGCACATGGCCGTTGTCTTTGGATATATGCTAACATCCGGGCAGGTCTGGGATGTCACTCGAGGCGAGAAGGTCGGTTCTCTCGTCGGCCACGAGAACCGCGTCAGCTGCTTGGGCGTCAGCAACGACGGCATAAGTTTGTGCACAGGTTCCTGGGACTCATTGGTAAGATTTCCATGCTCATTGCAGCCGGCACTCCTGGCGTCAAGAGGCATCAGTTCGTGGATCCCGCTAACATATAAGCAGCTCAAAATCTGGGCGTACTAGAACCTGCCAACACGATGACTACACGACTGTCGTCTGGGCACAACCCGATTCACGCCGCTTCGCGTTCTCGCTTGCTTTTATATGGCTCTTAATTCACATGTGTACGCATTTTAATTCGAGCGCGATGCCGGCGCAACACAGGACGAAGTCACGAATCTTCCCGAAAACATACATGCCGAGCCGAGAACCCCGGATTGCAGATGCTGATACCTGGCTGATGTGCCAACTGTCATCTGGCTTTCTCGACGCCGCGGGCTGAAGACCGGGCTTTTAATGGAGCCCTCGTCTCTATCACGCGCTTCTCCTATTTTACGACGGCCCCACTCGATTGGCGACTTTCATTTCTTCCAACCTTCGAACCGCACTCCGAAATACCCAGCGCCATTTTCACCAACAACGACCTGCCTTTACGCGGAGGACTGCAGGGGTGCCAAGGAAATCTTAGTACTTCCCGGATATACAATAGAGGTATCCACGTCGATTCGAGCTGAGCCTGCCGAACCGTACATTCGAGTGCGCTTGTGGTTACAAGGAGCTAGGCTAGCCAGAGTCTTTGCTCGGATTCCCGCACAAAAAGTTGCAGCCAGCAATGAACGCCATTAAGGTCGACCCGCTTTTTTTCCTTTTTATCTCTGGGGACGCGAGCCCGGGGGGAATAGCCCGTGCTCGAGGGGGTGGTGGATGGCTGTTTTGAAGCTGGTAGTGTGGGAGTTGGGCTAATTCCTCACTACCTCTGTCGATATTACAAAAACTCTGGTTTGGGACGCAGAGGAACGGTGTCAAAGTGATATGTTTCCATTTTTTTATGTGTCTTATAGGATGCGCGAGTTCTTGGAAAGAACGGAACAGCGGAGGAGACTGGGGTACGGGGACGTCTCCTTTTCCGGGGTTCATAATGGCCCTGACGGTCTCGGACCGGTTCCTTACTTCTTTCTCTCCTTCGACATCTTTCGGCGGTAGACACGAACCGAAAGCGAGTAGGGATCTGATAATACCACGAGGCTGCGGAGGATCTCGAGGCTGGGGAAAGGGGCCGGCGCGGGCGCAGAGAAGAGATAGGGGGGAGGTGTGATTAGCTGTGTGGTGATAACGACGAGGTGGCACTTGAGATACCTCAACCATAGCCTGTTCAATGTTTTGTGTACTATATTCGCCTACGACTGCTCTTTCCCATCTCGTGCCCAGCGTCCAAAAGCTCTTCGTTGCTTGCTTAACTCATGCTGCTCCATCCGCGCGGGAAACGCAAATTGTGTCCAGGCCGGCTCGGGTCTGGACAGAGATATCCAAGCCCCGCGTCTTCAGACACTGTCAAGAACTCAAAGTAGTGTGCTCCCTAGGATGCCCCCAAGATAATGACCAAGCGAAATCTCAGCTCAGTCTGTGTGCTAAGTATGTGCCCGAGTTGCGCGTATGATATGTCGGTGTCATGGCCGGCGCGGGCCCCGACCGGCTCATCCTCAATGCTTACCTGTCGAGCAGTCCTGTTGCGATGGTGATATCCTGGGTGGCAAAGCTTGTCTGTGAAACAAAACGAAGAGGGGAATGGTTCCCCTGCGTCTCCGGCCAGATAAGGTGGATATATTTATCGTTCGTGCCAGCCGTTCTGCATGCTGACGGTACCCGAGCACACATGAGTAAGTACCTAGGCGCACTCAGCCAGCGATACCGGTAGCAGACGTCACGCACAGGGGGACAGGAGAGGAGTACAACGGCATGCGGCCGGCGGCGTGGAAGATTGGTCGGCCCCCAAGAGAGGCCCGGCTGAGTGTACAGGAGAACATGCATCTTGCCCGTCAGGCCGCGCGCCTGAGGGGAAGGGCGGGAGATCTTAATTTGACGGCTGATATCACTTGCTGCTGCTGCTGCTGCTGACAGCCTCGGTCTGCCTTTTTGACATGGTGGACGCGATAAGGCTCTCCCCCGAGCCCCCAAACCGTCCCTGGGCATAATGAAGCGGATCAGACAGCAACTGTAGCCTATTCTTGATGAAAGATTTTTTGTATAAAAAAAGCCTTGGACTGATCTGAGCCTTATTATCACCACACGCCACCTTCGCATCGCAAAGGGCCCGGCCGCCCTGCTAAGACACCCGCCCAGGCCTGTCCTGTCCGGCACGCCCGCGTCCCGACGGACGCGCCGTCAAGAGCTGTGTGTGTGTGTGTGGCTGCTCCCGCTGCTGGCCTTGCCCTACGCGGTTCCTCCCGGGGGGCGGAAAGGGCGAGGGGACACACACACACACACACATTCAAGAAATTGGGAGGAGGGGGGTAGGGTAGGGCAGGATAGGGCGCCTGGTTTCCGGGAAACATGCCACAGACGTCGCACAGGAATCCTTCCAGGCGTGGCGCGGGTGTGTTGCGGGAGGGAGGTAGGGACTGCGGAGAAAATAAAAGAGGGCTGGGCGTGTGCGTGTGTGTGTGTGCCGCGCGGGTGTGCGTGTGCGTCTTGCTTGTGTAACGACGACCGCGGCGGCGGCGGCGGGCCAGCCAGTTCTCTGCCCCAGGCTGTCAGACCGGTTGGTTGGCTGTTGGTGTCACGGGGCCGAGGGGGGTCCAGACCGATATGTACATACATGCATACATACATGCATGCACATACATACCAACGGGACCGGAGGGTGAGGAGGCGCGCGTCACCGCTTTCTGTGGCGTCGTGGGGGATGGATGTGCAGGACGTCAAGACACGGTTGGTTGAGATATGAGTCCTGCCATTGTCTCCATTGACTGTTGTGCTCTTGTGGCGTCTGGTCTTGCGCGGTGAATCCTCCGTGATTTGATGCTGACTCAACCGGCACTTGCTCGGATAGGAGAGGAGAGGAGTTCTGGTGGTGATTCCTCACTTCTCACTGTCGTCCTCTGTCAAGACACTTGTCTTGGCTCAGATGATTCCGCAATGGTGATAGAGAAGGATACCAGGACTATGAGAGCATAGCGTCGCTGCTTTTGTGAGAGCTCAAATGAGTCCGAGGGAAATTATCATCCCCAAAGCCTTCAAATGGTTCTTATTATTCCACCGGTCATACCACATTGCGGATGACATCACAACAGAAGCTTGGATATCCCTTGGGAGACAATCGGAGGGACTCACCTGCATGTCTCATATTGTCAGTTAAGATTTCACAGATCAGAACACAGATCGCAAAAGCATGTGCTGCGTCAACTAAAGCCGCCTCGCCTAGGCTCATAGTCAGGGAGGACATTGAGTACGTCCTTCATTTTTCGAAACACCGAATCAGTAGCATGTCCGTGGATCAAAAGCAATATATCTCTTGTGCTGCGTCCCATGTGCGAAGAAAAGCTCACGGGGACTTTTGCTAGTCTCCAGATCTGAGTCCACCTACCAAGTGACCGCGCGGCATGCAATAAATTGCCCCGTCCAGATCGCGGCAGACTTGCAAACCACAACCTTAGACGCACTCATTAGTAAGGGCTGGACACAACACAACTAGTGTTGCCAGTGGCTTGCAGCGTCCGTGGGCGATGACGATCGGCCCTAAGCTGAATTGCACACGAAGGTGCCTGACCGCCCTCTCTGCGCCGAGGGAATCCCCGTGGAAACGGGCCGCGGGAAGACAGGTCAATTTCCCCACCACACCGCGCAGGAGGTCCGTCGTTCCATGGCGGGCAGGCCGGCGACATCGTGACTCCTGCGTCGGCGTCACCTGGGTCGGCGTCAGCCTCTGATACCCTAGCTCAGAGTTATGCGAGAAGCTGCTGAAACGGCTGCTGGGCCGGTGGTCATGCTGGGCAGGACCAAGCTTCCATGAAACAAAATCGGCCCAAATCGCAGAGATATGTTTCGACTAGCACCACCTTGGTGTGTTATCTGACGTCGCGCCTCTCTTTTGATTTTGCCACCTGGGGCGCGTGCGTGCGGACTCAACTTGAGGTGGCAGCTGCACGTTCCGCGCTTGACAGGCGTCGTGGCTTTCCGGAGAGCCGCATCTTGAGAAAGGTTCCCAGGTTGTTATACTAGTGCGCAGCTGCAAAGAGTGCGCTCAGACAGACGGTCCTTATTTTCCGAGCCAGGAAGAAATTTGTCCCTCAGATGGCAGCCACAGCCACGTCTCTCTGCCTAGATTGTCTTAGCAGAGATAAAAAAAAAAAAAGGACCGACGAAGGAAGCGAGGTGGAATATGACAAGGACCGTCCGTTCGTCCTGCATGCATCGTGCCTAATTCAAGAAGGGGCTCGAAACCCCCGGCCGAGGATCAACAAGCATATCAAGTATCGCATGACATTGATATGACATGGATCCGCTTGCGCCGCGGGTTTCCGAAGACTTCGAGAAGGCAGGAAGGCCCCGCCGAGTCTGGCGCCGGGAGTCGAGTTGCATGAGCGGGACAGGGACAGACTTCAGAGAGAGACAAGCACCGGCGCATTGAGTCTCATCTCACACACCCACACCCACCCACCGCGATAGCATCCAAATGGGGGCACCGCCGATATGTCAAGATCTCGCCGCAAGTGGCCCCGCCCGTCAATCGCCGAGGCCGAACCAAGCACCCTTGGCCCTTGGATGACTCGGTCCGGTATGGCAAAATGGGTTTCTGGGAGAGACAGGTTTCCTGAGATATGACATCTGGACCCGCTATGTATACTTAGGTTATGTATACTGTAGGTTTGCGGGGAGGCAGGGAGGCTGTGCGGCCCACCGAACTGCACCCAGGCAATCAAACCTGCCAGCGCGCCAGCGGAGTGGTGAACCACCAGTCAAAGCAGCCCAAGCAGTCCAAACCGAGGCAGGCTCCCGAGAGGAGGAGACACAGGCACACCAGGCGCCCAGCGCCCAGGTTTTCCGCGTTCGGGCCCTCAGATGGCAGGGCGCTAGCGCCGGCGTTGACTGTGCTGCGCAGTGGCCTCGTGCCAGAGCTTCTTCCTCAGCCCGGGTCCGTGAGCATGTTTTTTGTTCACGTTCCGGGCGGAAACCTTGACACTTGGTGCCAAGCAAGTGTTTTGGGCCGGGATCTTGGCCAACTCTGACGACCCCGGGTCACCACTGCCACGAGACACCGCCAGCAGGCCGCAGACCGCAGACCGCCCGACGATGACCGACAGCCATGATCGCGGGCGTGGGCATGGGCGTGGGCGTTTGGGGGGGGGTGCTGGTGGAAAGGAGTGCAGGAATGGCTCCAAATGAGTCGACGCGTCGTCGGCGGCGCTGAAAACAGATGTCAAGCCCAGTCAGTCAGTCTCCGGTCGGTCATGCGCCGGCTAGGCTGGCTGGATGGGGCCCCGTCCGTTCTTCTATTTTTGTTGAAGTGAACAAGAGGCGGTCCCATTTTTGAGAATTAACCCATGTTTGCCTGCGCAGGAGCCAGCAGGAGGCGGGCGATCGTTCCACAGAATGCTCGGACCGGGGTGGATCCCTGGCAGGCATTGTGTTATGTTCTTTTAGGTGTCAGGTTGGCTGCTCTGGGGCCGGGCGATGGGTCTCTTGTTATTAGCCTGCATCCTATCCATGTCGAGCCACGCGGGCGGTGGGCGTGGTGGTTGCCAGATGGATTCGGACAGTCGGGTCGAGGCATCGAGGGAACAAGAACAACGTGTTCGAGAAGTGTCAAGTGACCACAAGTGACCACGACTGACCACAAGTGGCGGGCTGGCGCGGGCAGGGCGGGCACAAGGCGGGCAGGCGGGCTGTTGGCCTGTGGCGGGTTGGGCAAAATCAAACGGGGGGTGCTGTCACTGCTGTGGTAAAAATGGACTCGAGCATGTGTTTCTTACAGTAGTGTGCTGCAGCCGGTGCCAGCCAGTGCCAGCCACATGTGGTAACGAGCGACCCAGACCCTCGGGGTCGCGATGACTGTGCATCTCGATTCCCATCCGCATCCTTCAGCCTCACAGGATTCCTGCCGGCATTCCATGGCTCCATCTGCGAGGCGACCGCTCTGCTCAGTGCTCACGCTCACCTCACCTCACACCGTCTCTTTGTCTTTTTTTTTCGCACCAGATACAATAGACACCATACACACTTACACGCTTGGTGTATACTTACACTACACTAGTACACAGTAGTGGGATCTATTGTTGACTTGTCCTAGTGTTCCAGCATGACAAGAACACGGCCTGACCTGACCTGACCTGACCTGACCTCACGATGCTTATGCCCGCTTCTATTACCATTTAATCTTGCACATTCTGCCGCATAACCCCCGTGATGACGGCTGATTTGTCGGCCTCACGAGTAACCGAGTAACCGAGTAGCCCCATGTCGAGAGCAGACCACAAGCACAGTCGTACAGCACGACTGACCGTCGCGGCCGACGCAAGCTCACGCCCGCAACAACAAAAAAAAAAAGAGACAGAGAGGCGTGTGGCAGTGCGTACGTACCACGTAGCCCCGGCAGTGGGCAGCACGACACGACATTACATTCCCCCAGGGGCGTAGGTGGATCCTGAAACGCACGAACGAAGACAAGGGGGGTGGAAAGAGCATCTTTTAGGTTTAGCGCGCCGCCGCTTCTCGAAGCCCTCTATTCTCCGCACTGCAGTTCCTTGTCCACATCCCTTGCCATCTGCCTGCATTGCCTTGCCTTGCCTGCCTTGCCTGCCTTGTCCTCCCCTGGCCTGCATTGCAGCAGGCAAACCGACTCCCCAGCTGCCCCCCTGCTCCCCCGTCGCCTGGACAAGAGACACCCAGACACCACACAACAGCACCGCACTACCGCAGCACATCGCAACCACACGTCGCACCTTGCCGCGCCCTACCATACAACAGACCACTCTGCACAAACCGGCTTGGCCGAATACGCTTGCGGCGACATCCTCGTCCCACGCTGCATCGTACCCGAAGCATCACACCCACGCCCATACCACCCTGTCTTGCCCTGTCGGCCCTGCTCACTGTCCCAGGCCTGCGATCTGACACCGGGCCCGTCCATCAAGCCAGCAAGCCAGATCCTCTCCCCTGCCCGCGCAGATACACGCTCCCTTGGCTCTCCCTGGATTCCCCAGATCACACCCTCTCTGAACAACCTCACGCCAAGCCACACCTCCCTGACCTCCTGGTCGGGCTCTGTGCCGGGGTTGTCGGATTGTGCGTCTCCCTGGTGGTCCTGTGCTTACCGCTCGAGGAAAACTAGAAACGTGGGAGTCATTTGGTCTTTTTGAGCTCTGCCCTCGTCACTCCCGCTCCGCTTTCCCAAAACTACGGTCCCTGGGGCATCCCGGACCCATCCTGACTGGAAACTGAGCCCTGCGCCCCCTTGTCAGGCCTTGCCCTCTAACGCTACCACCACACGCAACCCGACCGCACCTTGCCTTTGCCTGGTCACTTACTACCTGCCTACCCTACCTACATACTTACCTTTCCCTCCATCTTGTCTATTTATATTTTAGCCCGCCCGCCCGCTCCCATCTTCGCGCCCGCCCCCCCCCCCCTTCTGCCCATCATGTCCAAGACTGCTGCCCAAGAGGAATTTGACGATTTCATTGCAAAGAATTCAACCGGTCCCAACGATCACATCCACCCAGAGGACAGAGCCGACGTTGCCCGTGAGCGAGAACTCCACGAGAGGGACAACAGCGACGACGAGGAAGAACAGTACCGTGCCGCAAAGGTCGACGCCGCCATGCGCATGTCAACATATGATACCCGCGCCACAGCGGACCTGACGCTGCCACCCGCCAGCTTCGACTCGGGCCGTGCCACCGGCGTCAAGGGCGTCATCGCCGACGCCAGGAATTATGAGAACGCCAGGAGGAACAAGTGGAGCGAGAAGATGAGGAACGCGAGGAGGAGCGTCATAGAGTTCGCCTCGGTCAAGTCGAGCTCCGACAAGAGCGACTCTGAGCTCAGCGGCGCCGAGGACGAGGAGTCCTTCCTCAAGCAGTGGCGCGAGTCGAGGCGGCGGGAGCTCGAGTCCCAGGACAGGTCTTCGGTCCGCAACAGGAGGACGAGCCCCAGCGCACGCATGTACGGCCGCTTCGAGGAGGTCGACGCCATGGGATATCTAGACTCCATCGAGAAGGTGTCCAGGGAGACAACAGTCGTCGTCTTCGTCTATGATCACGAGGTTCGTGGCCAAATCCCCACTTCTGGCAGCCCACACAACCCACTAACCTACGTGTGTACAGTCGGATGTTTCTTCAACAATAGAGTCTGCCATGGTGCCTTTGGTACGATCAAACCCAGCCGTCCGTTTTGTAAAAGTACATTACGAGGAGATCGAGTTCGACCAGGCAGGCGTCCCCGCAGTATTAGCATACAAGAACCAGGGGGACCTCTTCGCCAACCTGACCGCCCTCATCGACATGATTCCAGATGAGGAGGACTTCGACACCGACTCCTTGAAAAAGTTGTTCCTACAACATCGCATCCTCTGAGCGCGCTGTCACATGGATATGGACCTTTTATTCAAACAGCGGCATCGACTAGCTCGCCAGCGGCAAGCTTCTCGAAGCCAGCATCACCACTACGTCCTGGATCCCCCCTGAGAGGAGCAATAGCCCCTCAGGCGAGGACTGGAGGCAGCAGCAGCAACCTCGCCCCCAGCCCCTCTCCAGGACTTCCCTTCAGCTCAACTATACTCTAATGAAGCGACTTGTATATTGTTCAATTTGTCTTGTACGAATGGGATGACCTGACGGGAGGACGCGGCGGCCGACCCGGCACATGGCAATCTTCTTGATGAGAGGGAGAATGCGCACGGGGTCACGGCTCGTCCCGGCCTGGTTTCGGCCAGTTTGCTTTGATGGCGGCCCGGCACGGGCTGAGGGTGTGCATATGATATCCCCCCAAATGGGCTACACCGGTTTGGCGTGTGGAGGTTACGATTTGGAATGCATTGGTCGGTATTCCAGGAGTTGGACGCGTGCTGCGCGTGAATGCTTTTACTCTCTACCATGCTTTGCTTGCATATGCTTGGGCTGGGAACCTGGCGATGGCGTTTTATGCGGGACCCAAATGAGGCTCAGACACGAGGTCCGAAAATGGGAATGGACGGGTTGATCTAGGGATAGAAATCCAGACTATCAAATGAGAAAGAGAGAAAGAGAGAGATGTCTTGACTGCCTGTCACTTTTCCCTACCAGCATTTGAGATTGTGAAAAGAACAACTTGGAACACGCAGCGGGTTCACTTGTGGCTGGACAGGGAGCGTACGTAGTATTGCACGTGCCTCGTAGATTATAAGGTTATGCTACGATACGACACAATACCAGGCAGGGCCCATGGCCACATGGTATTCCCGAGAATATCTCGAGGAATGACAGGAATAATTTGAGGGCGTGTGTTTACTGCATCCGAACAGATCGAGTCCTCCGACTGTTCGTGCTGATGTCATCTGACGAGCCGGCGCTGGGATGGGGTTCCCGCTCATTAAGGGATTGGGCCTGCCTCGGTGGATGCTCAAGTTGTCGGTCAGTCTGAGATACGGGCCTGATACGGGGACCCGATATGGGGACGATAAGACGTGGTGGGGCATGGACGTGCGATGCCATTGCTAGTGTGGGGCTTCTCCCGTGTAATTGCCATCGCGTGTGCAGCAGTACCCCGCCGTCCGAAGCCCACCGTCTGAGCTAAACGACACCACTTGCGACGACGAGACCTACTAAGGAGCTTTGTTGGGGGTTGAGGAGGGGGGGAGGGCGAATGGGCAGATCAAGTCGGGTCACGAGGGAAGTTTAGAAAAATACGCATGTAAGCGACTTGGGATTCACTTGGACAGATAGAGAGAGACCAAACCGTCTTTGCCTAGGTATACGGCTGCACATGCTCGGCGGGACGGGTAGGCTGCGCTCCTGCAACCACTTAAACGCATCTGTCTGAGCCGGCGGGACACCCTAATGACAAGCTCTGGGGGTTATGACAGTCGACTTTCGCTGCCTCTTCACTTCCCGGCCAACCAGAGAGCTTGTGTGCCTCCTGCCTGCCTAGAATGCAGGCAGGTATGTACCTTTTCGGCTTCCATCCATCCATCCATCCACCCATCCATCACTCATCACCCAACTGGAAAGTCAGCCAGTCTCCGACTTTTGTTATGCTTCATCTTCCCCTCCGAGCTGCATTCCCACATCCTCTTGGGATTCGCCTGCCATCCTGCGATCTTATGATCCTAACGTAACGAACGGAAATTCCACGTGCATCATCGTCTATCGGGGCAGACGACCGAGCCGACAAGGCCGTGGACATACCGGTGTGTGCATTATCCCCTTTATCCCAGCTGCTGGATGCTTTCCCCACCTCGCCCTGCCTCGACCACACCAGGCAGCACTGGCAAGGCAACGAGGGCGATTCATCCCCAGCCCACCAAAACCCAACCTGCAGAGTCAGACAAGAGCTCTCAAGTCAGTTCTCGATTTCCTCGTCCCCTGGGCATTCTTTCCACCTCATTCTCCCACCTGCAGCTTTCATCACCCCGTGGTCTCCTCGGTTACCTGCTGCGTTGGGGCCTCGTCTTAGTCCGCTACCGTCCTAAGCCCCTCATCCCCGCCCTCCCACCAACTACAGGTCATTGCACGACCGATTACCAGATAGCCTCTGGTCTAATCCCACAAGCCTCCCTTCCGCCTCGCCCCTCTGCCAGGCCGCTTCTTTCAGTCACCACGAGCCTGAGTCGTGAAGGAATGACGTGAACTATTTGAGGCTAATGACTATCCTCCGTTATGGAACGGCAGGCCAGACTCGACAGCTCTCCAGCCTCACCATCTACGGTTGCACCTGCTTCGACGCAGCCCACATCTGACACTCCGGTCTCGAGATCGGTACCGACACTTCGATTCCCAAGGCCACAGGGCAACCAAAGACTTGCGAACTGGGTCTCGTCCAGCTCGCCTGATATAATGGCCTCGCCACATACCCGTGACGATGACGGCAGTCTGTCCGATTCTACTTTCGAGATCATCCCCCGCGACAGCACAGATGAGGGCAGTGTGGATAGCCGCTCCATGTCCGAGTCTTTTTCGGAGCTTGACAGATATCCCAATGTGGAAGAGGTCCAGGTTCTCCCCGGCGGGGAGGACACCATGAGCAACAGCGTGGGAAGCACCTTCGAGTCTGATTCTGAACCTGAAGACGAGAACCCCGTCGGGGAGTCCCAGCTGTCCGTACGGGCGGAGGGCTCTGCCCGCTCAGATCACGATGCAGATGAGTTGCTGCGCGAGTCTTTCACCCAGGCCTCTGTTCCCACGGTTTTCTCGCCAGCGTCTACGGGCTCTATCGAGTTTATCGAGCCAGAGGAAGTTGACGTACGCATCGACAAGATCTCGGTGAAGCACACGATCAGGGAGTACAATGAATGGGAGGCCACCGATCTTCTCCACGGCCTTGAGCTGACGGAAGTGCCTCGCCGCCTGTGTGCCACCATCCGACAAACCATGTCCCAAAAGTGCCTGTCCACCCGGGAGGTTTTCCGGGTCCTCTATCTCGGTGATGAAGCAATGAAGGGCGAGATAATACTCAAAATCTCCCGTGCTATCACTTGTTCGTCATCAGTCGATCACAACGAGACCAAGATGCTCCGGAAGAATACAGAGGGCGTCTACAACATCGTACCCATCACTTTTGGCGATGACAAACACCGCGATGTCGAGCTCATGGAGGCTTCGGCCTTCCAGATCAAGGTAGACACCTGCAAGGGTGTTGACAAACTGCCAATCGAGGGGACCTTCTTCCGTGACGACATCATCTACTCTGTAACATTGGACGGAGGAAGCGGCGGCGAGAAGTACAAATCAGTCCCTGCCGGTGGCCCGGAGGGTGCTGCGATCCTACCCACATGGAATCCTTCTCATATGGCTGTGATCTACTGCAGCGAGGCTGATGATGCGGAGATGGCGAGCACCCAAGAGCTCCTTTGGGAGTTCTGCAGACGACACTCCATCCCGTGTCTCTTCATTTCACAACACTCGGCTCTCAAGAGCCCTATCTTTGGGCGGTGGCGAAACTATACGGATGAGCACGCTGTTCACCTCTCTCTCGAGTCCAGGGAGTCCAAAGCCCGGGAGTCAACGTGGCCAGAGCAGAGGTTCCCCATCGATTTGACCTCGTTCCTAAACATCGACAACCGCCAGATGAACCAGAATCTTGCCTATCTGACGGGTCTCCAGGAGCCATCCCAGGTTATGGAGAGAAAGAAGACGCCACGTGCCGATTTCGCGCGTGGTTTCCTACGCGGTGGCCGAAAGAACCTACCGGAGCATGAGTCAAAAGGCTGGAAGGGTTGTGCTGAAAAGTTGATTGAGGACTACTCCCGCTATTTCCCCCTCCTCTGCAGCATGGCAGTTATTCTACTGGCAGTGGTGTTCGCTGGACTCTTCAAGTTCATCACTCCTACTACGATCAGCGATTCGGCTGCATACCCGGGTCTGAGCGTCCTCCCGGAAACAACAGTGGGAATGACAACAGCAACTGCGACCGTCACCATCAGTCACATTTCGACGAAGACGGTCAAGCTCACGACTACCGAGACACCATCGTTCGGAGGGTTTCTCTCTGATATAGCCCATACTGTGAGCTCAGAGCCTAGCCCAAGGGACAGTGTCTGCACTGTCGAGATGTACAGCAGTAACGAGATCCTCCTCAAACTCCCATCCGGTACCAAGACATCGTGGTTGGCCAAAGGAGCAATCGAGGTTGATGTCTTCCGCGGTAATAGCCCTGTCAAGTCCAAATTGTCCAGTATTGACGAGGGCATCCTTGTTGAGATCAACCAGAGGGACGCGCACGGGGTGGTCAACGTTTCCATTGTTACTTCGCGGAAGCCCAAGATCAACGAGACATTTGCTATCGACTTCGGCACTTCCTTCTTCACTGGAGCCTTGGAAGCAGCGAGAGGCACCTTTGAGGAGGTCACTCACATGTTTGTTGACAAGGCGAACGACGCGGCCAAGCTGTTCGGTGATAAATACGGCCCAGCCTTGGCTTCAACGGGGGAGAACGTTAAGAACGAGGCACTGTCCTGGTGGGATGCGGTCAAAGACATCAGCCAGGCCGCACATGCCTTCTCCTCAGAACAAGTTGGACACCTGGAGGGTCGTCTCAAAGACTCTCTCCGTGCCGAAGGCTTGCGCTCCCACCTCGAAAGCGCTCGCCAGAGCCTTGCCGAGAAGCAAACCCGCGTGCTGGAGGACGCAGCCAAGATCCGCCACGATGCCGACCTTGCTATCCTCAAAGCACAGATAACATCAAAGCTCTGGTGGCTCAAGGCCCAAGGCAAATTGGAGGAACATGACGAGTACGAACGCCAGGCTCGCCTGTTCGTCAAAAAACGCCAGGACGCACTACAGGCCCAACAGTCCTCGGGTGCCGAGGTGAACAAATGCCCTCGTACCGGAGAGAGCCCATGCCGGTGCAAGAGCAGGGGACTCGGCGGGTGGAAGGTCTAGTAAACACCTGCACTTGGGTCTGCCTTTGCATCTTCACCACGACCTCCTTTTTCTCACTCTTAATGGTTTTACGGAAACGGGCATGGGAAAGGGAGTAGATCAAGAACAATGGCGTTTCGGGTCTGGCTTGTGGTGGGATCAGCCAGGTTGTAGTTTTATATCGCGTTGATATCATTCCCCTCATGCAAACGGGCCCATATTTCCCTGGCCAGTCTCGGTGGACAATTACACTGGCGATAGGGATGCAATCCTCGGAAACTTGTCGCTTTTGTGCGGTTAACGAATTGGAAGAGGTGCCGTCAGTTTTAGCACCTGTTGGCGACCGACCAAGAGAGTGGATTGGGCGAGTGAGGGCGAGGAATACCAAACGGACGGAATTCGAGATATCTCTCTATGTTTTTCTCTTCTAGCTATGAATACACCAACTGCCCTTGGCTCTGGAATTGCGCTGGTGAAATTATGTAGTCATGTATGTGGGGCCTGTGGCTGCTTCTAGATGTCGTATCACCGTCTGCCTTGCCTTGCCGAGTCCTAACGCCTGGGCAGTTCCTGGCAGTTCCTGGCAGCCTGGACAGCCGCAGCATCTGAATGAAGGTATGTAGGTGCCTGTGGTGGTGGGCTGGGAGGTGGAGCCAATCAGCTTCAGCAGATCTTCAGGCCCCTAAATTCGACCGTAGCGCCGATTTTAGGCTGGGACCCACCGCAAGTTCTGATGGGTGAGGGGCATCTAAGGCATGGGCAGTCAGTCATTTCCTTCACCACCACCACCACCACCAACAACTTGCAACCTCCACTTCTGACTCCGAAATCATCAGCGGCAACTAGCAGCCTTTGTCGTTTGAGAGTCCCAGTTTCCGTCACAAAGTAAGCCGACACACCCGCTTGGTCGAGAAAGGGTCGAGCTCTAAACATCGGGCCCCTCCCTAACGTCACTGGACAACCCCGCTAACGATTTGGGCTTTGCTTTTGTTTATTTAGGCCATCCAAGCTCTCAACCATATCAACAAGAAATCTGTAGCCATGTCTTCGGCCGAGAACCCCGCGGTGCCTGTCGAGGAGACCAAGGCAGAGGTCAGTCATCACACATGAGCCTCTCGGCGAGCTCTACGCCCGCCGTCCTGCCACCACCCCGTCCTTCCGGCGCCCTTGCCTGGCAACTCCACGGGCCATCGCGGCAGCCGCGCGCATCCATGGGTTGGCCTCGGTGGCGCATGGCCAGGCGCTGGGGCCCTGCTTACTTCCGGGGACTCGGCTCTACGAACCTGGAGACTACGATGCTGACTGGATATACCGCAGGAGACGAAGCCCGTCACCTCCTCTGCCGTCTTCTCCATGTTCGGAGGTGGCGCCAAGAAGGAGAAGAAGGACGACGACGAGGACCGCGGCGATAACTCCGGCAGCAACAAGGCCCAGCGCGACGCCGCTGCCGCCGCCGAGGAGGTGCGTGATAACATACCCGGCAGCCTTGCTGCCTTGCTGCCTCACTGCCTCACTGCCTTGCTTGTCTGCCAGTAACGCAAGACATATATACTGACCAGCGCCCCCCCCTCTTTCCAGGGCGAGGAAGCCCCAGAGTCCGAGGACGTCCACTTCGAGCCCGTTATCCGCCTTACTGAGAAGGTCGAGACCAAGACGAACGAGGAGGCCGAGGAGCAGCTCTTCAAGATGCGCGCGAAGCTGTTCGTCTTCAAGAAGGACTCCCAGGAGTGGAAGGAGCGCGGCACTGGTGACGTCCGCCTGCTGAAGCACAAGGAGAACGGCAAGACCCGCCTGGTCATGCGACGTGACAAGACCCTCAAGGTCTGCGCCAACCACTACAGTGCGTACAATCACCTGCTGAGGACCTACAATGTCCTGTGTTATACAAGTGGAGAAGCTGACCCTCTCTCTGTCCAGTCGTCCCCGAGATGAAGCTGTCCCCCAACGTCGGATCTGACCGAAGCTGGGTGTGGAACGCCGCTGCCGATGTCAGCGAGGGCGAGGCCGAGGCTGTCACTCTTGCTATCCGCTTTGCCAACTCTGAGAGTGCGTAGCCCTGCCCCCAACGGGGAGCTTATGATGGATCACTGACATTTCCCAGACGCCAACGCCTTCAAGGATGCCTTCATCAAGGCCCAAAAGGACAACGAGGCTCTCTTCGACGCTGACGCCCCCGCCGAGGCCGTCCAGACCAAGGATGAGGAGACCAAGGAGACAAAGGAGGCTGAGGCTGCCTAAATCACCACGGTCCGCCATCACTGCACCGGAGCAGACTCCCTGCGAGACGCCGCGAGACGAGGAAGCACACCAAGGCACTTCCCCGGAATCACCGTACGAACGCAACACGAACAAACCCATCGTCATCAACCCCACATAGCACCATCATACCCCAGCACACCAGCACCAGAATCCCCATAACCCCACCCCTGTCGGCCGTTTTCATGCGGACGGAAAAGGTCCTGCTTGATATGCGTATGAAACCCTGTGTATCAGCTGCTGGTCCTTGGAGACCGTCGAGTGGCTGTCTCCGTGTTTTTCTTGGACAACCCCCCCGGTCCCCTCGCCAAACGGTGGCCGGTGGCTCCTGTCGGGAAAAATGCCAAAACTAGGAATCTGCGGCGGAGACAAAAGAAGGGAGAAGCAGCAGGAGGACAATAATGAATACGATGACGATTTCCACCCAACATACAACACACCTACCTAGCCGTCCGTTGAACCCGTACTAGACTGCTTGCACGCCCCACCTCAGTTAGCGAGAGGGCGGCGGAAAGCTTGCGAGGGTTGAAAGTAGATAGATGAAATCATATCCTGATCCTTTCCAAGGTTTGCCTCATGCCATATGCTGTATCATTGGGATTTATTCTATTATTTATTTGTTTGTGCTGCTTCATACGCTACTAAAAAAGTACCTGAAATTTCTGTGGTGTGGCATAAGGGGATGGTATATTAAGAGTTATGGCTCCCTTGGAGACAATTCAATATGCGCACTTTCCTGTGTCTTCTTCACAAAACTCACTTCACAGCTCATAGGAAAAATTAATATATAGTTGGGTTTCTGGAGTGATGAGTCTGTATAGAATGAATGTGGTAATACTTCCTTTCACCAATCAGGCACAGATGGGCCGAACTTTCTTTGGGTCCCTTTTTTCTTGCCATCTATACCAAGGCAAATAATGTTTCTGTACTGTGAATAATCCAAATATCACTATTCTCAAAGCATTTGAAGCTACTCAGACATGAGTGGTCTGAATATTGGGTCAAGGGGGTGAAGCATACCAAGACAGGAGCAGGAGCAGGAGCCACTCGACGCCACAGGTGCACCGCCACTTGGGAGCTTCCAGGACAGGAGGAGGAACATCACTAGCATCCCGCGCTATGCGCTAAGCTCGATAAGTTCGATAAGCTACTGCCGTCTGCTTGCATTGCCATAAGGGAGCGGCCGGCCAATTGCTTCCCACCTGTGACAACATAGGATTCGTATTGATTCACAGCTTCCCCCCAACGTCATAACCCCGTGTCTTGAACCCAACAAGATCGCCGCAGCTTGTCATACAGATAGCTTTTAGAACCTCATCCCGGCAGACACCCTCGGAGCCTAACACACGCTGGTCAGAAAGAGGCAAGTAGGACGGACTACAGCTCTCGGTCTTGCCCTTCCGAACTGCGCCATCGACGAGAACAAGATCTACCTGTGGCCTAGAACCCACGACTCACTCCTCCCTCACGGGCGCATATCCGGGCTCCATAGAGCAGACGCTGACGAAGGATCACTGCATCGACTGCAGCAAGAGAGAGAGAGAGAGGGAGCCACAAGGACTCGTGGTGAACAGAGACGGAGACGACTTGGACAGCCTCTGGATGTCCCGGACCTCGGCCATACTAGCGACTGCATCTGTTTGAACAGCGATTGCCGCGACGAAGATAGCGGTCCCGCGACTGTCGGATACCCAGACCTGACGTCCCCTTCTCACGGCCGAACACATCGAGCTTGCTGTGGCAGAGGATAATACCCAGGACGGCTGGCAGAGCGCTGCAAGGCAGCAGTGGGAGATACTTGGGCATTTGCTGGAAGTCGACTGGGAACTAGCTGTGAACTGTTGTAAAGATGATTGTGGAGGTATGTCCGTCCCATGTTGCGACGCTGCAGGAAATCGCTGCAGACCTTTGGGTTGGGCGCATTGTTCTTCGCCCCGGAGACTCCTTTGCCTCCTGCTGCTGCCCTGTCCCCTTCAGCCCTTAGCTCGTCTCTACCACCCGACCTTTAATTGTCCTTGGTGCAAGCTTTCAATTCACCGGTCTTTGGTTTGCCAGTGGCTCTCAACAGGTTGCCATCCGGTACCTGCTCTCGTTGCGATAGCAGGTTGCCCCTCGAAACAACACCCTCCCTCCCACTTAAGCACCCTTGGGTAGCAGCAGCCCTCTCATCCCCATTCCTTCCCTCACCATTTCCCTTCTATCCAGCCGCCTCACCCTCGAGATCCCACTGCAAACCCCACGTTCATCAACACCCTCACTTGCGATGCCAAAACTCAGGATACCGCTTCGGGCGGTTCGCCAAACGAGGCGCAGAGCTGAGAAAGCTGAGCACCCAGTTGCTGACAAACCTGGTCCTGGTGACGAACAGCGCAAGATCAAGCTCGTCACTGAGCAGAATGTCATCGACAAGCCCGCCATGCAGGAGGGTTTCCCCATGCGAAAGTGGAGTGTCGAGATCTACCTCCTCGACCCGCAGGGGAAGCAGCACAAGGCGGACTGTTTCCAGAAGGTTGTCTACAACCTGCACCCGTCCTTCGAGAACCCTGTGCAGACCTTCACCGATGCGCCGTTCAAGTGCGAGAACGAGGGATGGGGTGAGTTCGAGATGGTTATTGACCTCTACTACACCGACAAGAGCGGCAAGATCTCTGTCCCGCACGACCTCAACTTCCAGAAGAACCACTACGAGAACGTCAGGGATGTGACCTTCAAGAACCCCAGCCAGGCGCTCCAGAACCTCCTGCGCGAGACTGGCCCTCTCCCTTCGGACGACGACCGCAAACGTAAGGCGGATGGCGTGTCCAAGAAGGCGAAGAAGTCCTTCGACGTGGAGAAGATGGCCGACGCCCTGGTCCGGCTCGAGGAGGACGACCTCCTGCATGTGATACAGATGATCCACGACCACAAGACGGAGGAGACCTACATCCAGAACAATGTCGATGGTACGTACCGGCGCTGGCTCATGAAGCAGACCCGCAGGCATACGGAAGCTGACTACGTCACCTCTTATTAGCGGGCGAGTTCTCTGTGGACCTGTTTACCATCCCCGACAACCTCGGAAAAATGATCTGGGACTACCTGGTAAGCATCCTTGGCCGGCCATGGTGGAGTTCACGTTTTGATTCCCAGTCACAGGTCAAGCAGAAGGTCATCGAGGTGTAGGGGCTCTATCATGACCTGGTCTAGAGCCCGGTGCTAGGGCTTAACCAGGAGATGTCGACATTGGAAGATTACGTCTCCGGCTGGCAGTCCAAAGTTCGACCCGCGGGGGCACAACGACAGCGGCATGGTTCCTAGCAGAGAGCTGGGCAGGCTTCCAGATGGTTCAAGTCCGAAAATCAAGGATCGCCGTTGCGAACGCCCGCTGCCTCCTTGCGAGGGCTTGACCAAAACCCCGACATTTTCGATTTTTGTTTGTTGATACGGAGAGGAGAGGCGTTGCTTGCATGATTTGGCGCCACCGTGACAGGCGAGGCTCACGTGCGAAGTATGCGGGAGCGGCGGCAAGGTCAGCTGCCGACTTAATACCTGCGGCGCCTTCCAGTATCCACGCATTGGCTGTGTACGATTACGCGACGGACATGAGTGGGCGAGGGGGGGGAAGCCATCAGTGTGGCTCGATACCCAGGCATGAGGCAGGCAGGTACGGGGCAGGATCGAGTAATGAATGATGGCGGAATTCAAAAACCAGAAGAGCTGAGACAATGGAATGCACATACCTGCACCCAGGGCCAGCAGCTAGGCGTTATGGAATGAAAAACGGTTGCTCTTATCTTGGGACTGAATTGAGGCATCGGTCTACATGTGATGCATTGTTACTGGTGTTTTTTTGTTATCTTACAGCCTGCCCTCCCAACACACCAACAGGCAATTGGTGACATGATGCCTCTCTCAGGCAGGCTGGCAGGCAACACCACACACAGGCTCCTGGACAACAAAAGACTCGCTCTACCTGGGGCCGGCATCCCGAAGGAGGATGCCGAAGAAGCGGACTGCTGTCAGCTTATTTATGTCTCAGGTGCATCCCGGCAGGGCTGGCAAGACCATGGAGGGATTGGATGGCAGACGTATCAGACGTAGCCAACGTGACCTCGGGCGTGATGCGGGCTGTGGCCCGGGGGGGGGGACTTGGCGGGCTGATGCACGGGCTCGGCCCAACTTCATTCAGCCTCTGTGTTACCAATCACGCATCGCCTTCACCCAAACGTGCTCTGTCTGCTCTGTTCCCCGAGGGTGCTGGTGTAGCACCCGTGTGCTGTACTCCATATGTACATGGGGTTGCTTTTGTTGGGTTCGTGTGTTGTTGTTGTTGTTGTTGTTGGTAGGGCGTATATGGTTTGCTTGCTGCTACGATGTTTGCATGCACTCACTGACTGCGCAGGGTCCAGGGGGGCAGGGCAAAAAGGAACAGGAAGGCATCTTCTCTCTCTCCCCGAAGCGGGAAGGTTGGGAGGCCCTTGGCAAGCAGCGATCACGGTTAGGGTGCGAGAAATGGCAGGTGAGAAGGGGAGCTAGAGGGAGACTACCACATTATCTTGCATCTTTTAGATGGCGGAGATAAATGTCCCTTGTTTGTGGGTCCTGCATTGTTGACTTGGCTTGTTCTGACCACCTGGGCACCCCGAGCTACCTTCCCGATTGACAGACGCGGTGAACAAGACACGAGGCGGGGACCTGTTGGACCTCGGCGGCGGCGGCGGCGAAGCACCAAGGAAGGTGAGGCAATGCAGGGGGGCTACGGAGTACTGTGTATTTGATCAGGTGGACAATGGGCGGTCCGGGTTCCATCATCGTTGACGGAATTGATTGTGCGCAGCCCAGCCCAGGTAGACAGGTTCATGATAGGTCATCCTGCGAGGAGCATACTGTGGCAGGAGTCCCTTGTAGCCAGGCCACAAGACCACCACACGGGCACTTTGATACGTAACCCAGGCTCCCGGGTACCTTGGGTAGGTAGTTTACCCCTCCGCAGCAGCGGTCTGTCTCGGGTCCAACGGACCAGCTCACTCCTTGCTCTCGTCACATACCCAACATTTCTCACCATTGCATTGTCACTCGAGTCTCGAGTCGTCGAGTCTATCGAGGGCCACAAAGACAAAGTTCGGACCGACCAGGCTACCCTGACGGCAGCACTGCAGCAAGAGGAGGCAGGTAGCGTCCGCTGCTCGATTAACATAACAGAAACTCCAGAAGGGGAAAGGCCTGCACGCCAGCCAGTCTTGTGTTCACCTTTGGTGCCATCCTGCCTGTCCAAGGACCCCGCAGTCCCTCTACACGGTCCCAAGGGCAAGGGCAAGGCAGAGGCCAGGACCAGGATCCAGCAGGGAAAGAGCAATTGGTAGGAGCAGCGCAAAAAGAAAAAAAAAAGATAGAGAGAGAGGGCCAGGCCGGGCCAGGGCGGCCGCAGCTTATTGTTTCTTGCCTGCTGCACTTTGTCCCGTTGTTATCTACCCAGGCCCTCTCACCACACCCCACCCGCTCTGCCTGTTCTCCTTGCCAAACCGCCGCAAGCCGACGAAGACCGCCTTCTCGACAGCTGCCCCATCCAAACTGGCTGCACAGCATTGACCGAGCGCACCCTTCGCAAACCTTCAATAGACGCAATCCCGGCCACACACACACACACCCCGTCCCCCCAAGGACAGCAGCCCCGACGCCATCGGCACGCCAATGGCTCAGGAGGCTCCGTCGCAGCCCTCGTACGGCAGCGGCTCCGGCACCGGCGGCGGAGACAATTCCCACACCCGGTCTTCTCCCTCCGCCCAACCTCCCGGCACGGCTTCTTCTGCATCGCAGGCCCAGGCCGCCCAGCATAAGCGGGTCTACCAGGCATGTATCCCGTGCCGCCGCCGCAAGGTCCGCTGCGACCTCGGCAGCGTCGACAACCCCCACGACCCGCCGTGCGTCCGCTGCCGCCGCGAGTCCAAGGACTGCTACTTCAGCGCCACCCGCCGCAAGAGGAAGACCGACGACGAGGACGAGAGGGAGGATGAGTACATCATCCGCAACGGCAGGAAGAGGCTGCACCCCGGCCAGTCTCCCCCGCCCCCATTGGACCGCAGAGGCTATACCGAGACGCCTCTGACCCCCGGTGGCTCCTTAGGCCGCCCGCAGCCGCTCCGGCGGCCAGGCCTCGGTGAGCACACCCGTTCCGACTCGAGGAGCAGCGTCAGTGCCACCCGCGGCCCGAGTGCTGGCGAGTTCGCCGCCGACGAGCCGAACACCCCCCTGGAAAACTATGAGGCCCGGACCGTCATGCGCAAGGAGCTCTACGGCCCGCACGATGCACTCGACCTGCTGTACAAGGCCGCCACCGACAACAAGCACGACGCCGCCACACAGCCCACCCACCTGAGCCCGCAGACTTCGGACCTGCGCACCCCCTCGCTGGCTGCTCCCCTCGGGGGCATGCCACGCGGACACGATGGCATACTCTATGGCCAACAGTCCGGCGCCCCGCGCGGCACCATGGATGCGCCCATCGATCCCCAGCTCACAAAGGCCGACGCCGCCAAGCCAGGGACATCGCCAGCTCATGATGATGCCCTCAAGGCTTGGGCTAGGTTCCGCTTCGTGAGGGCTGGCTGGTTCACCTCTCAGGAGGCCATCGACTATATTGACTAGTATGCTGACCCTTTCTCAAATACTGGGGCAAAGCAAATTTGCGGCATCACAGCGGACTTACTGACTGACTGGCTGTTGTTAGCTACTACAAATATCTCTCTCCGCTGACCCCCATCTCACCGCCGACCTTCCAGGACCCTGCCACCCACTTGACGCTCTTGACTGAGGAGCCCATTCTCACTGTCACCCTCTTATGCATCGCGTCTAGGTACCGCAAACTGCCTGGTACGGGGGGCGTCAGCCGCGCGAATGCAATCCATGAGCAATTATGGACCTATCTGCGGGGAATGATCGAGCGTGTGATATGGGGCCAGGAGGCTTTCGGCGGTGGCTTCTGCGGCTCAGGTGCCGACGAGTCCCAGACCTCGAGCACAGCCCCATGGCGTGGTCTGAGGAAGGGAAGTCTGCGCACATTTGGTACCATAGAATCGTTGATGATCTTGACCGAGTGGCACCCCAGAGCCCTGCACTTCCCACCGTCAGAAGCCGTCGACGAGTTGATGATCCCCGCCTATGACTCCGCGCCGCCTCCCGGCGGAAATGATGAGACCAACAACCCTGCTGTCGGCGTTGGTGGCAGGAGGGTTGAGAGCTGGCTCGAGCCCGCTTGGAGGAGCGACCGCATGTGCTGGATGCTACTGACCGCGGCCATGGGCCTCGGCTATGAGCTAGGTGTGTTTGACAACATCGAGGAGCTCCTGGCGACGGGTGCCATCTCGCGCCCCGAGTATGAAGAAGAGTCCTACCGGCTGCGAGCCCACCGCATCAAACGCCTCATCCTCATCTACCTCAGTCAGCTGGCAGGACGACTTGGATGGACCAACATGGTCCCTGAGAATCTACGTCGGCAGGCCTCCCTGAATCGTCCGTCATCCGTCGAAGGTACCACGCCTGGAACCAATGTCTCAACCATGTCGTTCAATTACATCCCTGACCTGGAACTAGACGATCAAATCATCCAATGCTGGGCCGGCATCAGCAACGCCATGCACGCCGGCAACGAGAGGCTCTTCCGGTCAAGACAACACACCACGGACATCATCCAGAGCGGCAAATACATCGACCTGCTGAAGGAGTTCCAGCCCATGTTGCAAGCCTGGTGGACACAATTCGACCGCTTCCGCCTGCCCCCATACAGCCGGCACATCCTCACCATTGAGTACGAGTACGTGCGGATATACGTAAACTCACTCTCGCTGCAGGCCGTAGTTGAGCGTTGTGCCACCATTGCGTCCGGCGCGTCCGGCGCGTCCGGCACGTCGGCCGCAGCCCCCGACGCAGCAGGATCCACGGCGAGCGGCCATCAGCTTAGCCCAAAGACCCAAGACATCTACGGGAAGATGCCGATCGGTAATATTGGCGGCGTCAGCGCGGCAGATCAGGAGTACATCCGGGAAGTCGTCGAAGGGAGCCGGAACCTGCTACGCACAGTCGTGGAGGGTCTGCTTCCGGATGATTATCTGAAGCACGCACCTGTGCGGACATACTTCAGGATCATCAGCGGGGCCATGTTCCTGCTCAAGACGTTCGCACTAGGTGCGACAAGACACGATGTGGAGGTGTCCATCGGCCTGATGGACAGCACGGTCAAGGCGCTGCGCACCTGCGTGGTGGACGACGTGCACCTCGGCATCCGGTTCGCTGACCTCTTGGAGAACCTCACCATGAGGCTCAGGAACCGCTTTATATACGTTGCGCACCAGTCCGGCAACACGGCGGCAAACTCGACGGACGGCGTCAAGAGCCCCGTGCCCGAGGCAAGCATGATGGGCGGGCCGGTCATGAACACGGGGCTGGGCATCAATGGACACGACCACATTGGCTGGCCCAGGGTGAATCCGCCAGGTAAGGATCCGAAGACCCTGCTGCTCTCACTCACCCCACGTGCACACACACTTGTGTAGTACTGAGGATGCTGACCCAGCTCACAGAACGCGCCGTGACGCCGGCCAACATCTCCGCCATGCCATTTGACATCCCCAGCGATTTCCACATACCATGCGTCTTCGGCGGGCCCACGACGCCCGCATCGACCACCATGCCAGTGAACGGCAACAACGCCGCCAACAACACCAACTCGAACACGATGGGCCCGACGGGCAACGGCAGCAGCCATCAAATCCCCGACATGTTCGGCGCCGACGGTACGGACTGGGCCGGCGCCAACAGCGACATGTGGTTCCTGCCCGCGGGCCCGGCCTTCTTCCAGAACGTCGGCGGGCCCGGCGAGAACAACGTCGCCATGTCCGCCGAGGGCGTTAATGTCGGCGGCATCGACCTGCTGGATTATATGGCCATGGACGATTACCCCATGGGCGGTGGCGGGCCGCTCTAAAAGTCCTTTTCAACAAAAATACTAGATTACACTCACTTTTTTTTTGTTTTAGTGGCTGCTTGGGTTTGTTCTCCTCCAGATTGGTTCTCGGCGTACATGTGGCTCAAATGGGTGTCATGGAAAGCGTAGTCCTAGGTATTTTTGCTTGACTAATTTTGCACGTGCTCTGGGCTGAGGGGCGGCGCTGGCTGGATTTTTTGAAGGTTATCGAGATGAATTTGTAAATATTGAGAGTATGGATGCCGTAAGGTAAAGTACGAATGAGAAAAGCTGATTGATCGCTCGACTTCCGCGCCTTGTCTCGGGTAGTTTTTTTGCCATTGTGCGATGTCGCCAAAGAAAAGTCTCTTTCACGATGGAGGAAATGACTTCCAATTACCTGCGTTAATGCGACAGACAGTCGAAACTCCTAAGGTGAAGTGATATTGACTGTAATAAGGCACCTCATGCTGGTTTTCTTCAGTAAATTAGAATGACAAGTCTCTCAAGCAATAGGATCAAGAAAGCATATATTGACATCCCGCCCTTTTGGGTAGTAGTAGTCTCGGTGGTACTGTGCACCGTAGCATTCGACCGGAAATTGATCTCTGTGCGCCCTCCGCAGGGAATCTCGGTCTCGTCAGCGTACGCCGGCAACGACTGAATACGTCCTCAATCAATTGATCAATCGAATTTCCCTAGATATGGCCTGCGAGGCAAGACAAGGCAAGGCAGGCTTGACCGCCGACGAAAACTACCACCCTCTTCCCCCCTCCCGCCGATGGTCCGGGCCCGAGGATGCCACCAGCCAGCCAGCCCTAGTGGCACGGCTAGTACGGAGCCTACAGGGTCTAGGAACGAAGGAACCGCATGCACGACACGAGCTCGATCGGAGTGGCCCACCTAATAAGGCTTGCGCGACGCGGGCGATAATGTACGTAGCCTAGGGCTGTTGTGTTCGCGTGCTGTCCCGCTGCCTTAAATAACCAAGGCAGTTAATAATTAGTTCCCTGTGCCCGGGCCCGGAGCTTCGGGGCGACGAGGGGAACGGTGGACGGGCGGCCACATTGGCGCTTGGGTATTTACTACCTACTTAAGTAGGTAGACTATTAGTCTACATTGAATGCAACGCCTGCAATCCCGGGAGTCTCTGCTGCCGAAGACGGACAATCAAGCCACACATTGTGCTCGGACTCTCTCTTTTCTCTCTCTCGTATGTCGAAGGCGAGTTCGTGGATTGTGGGGTGTGATGGTGTGTTTCTCAATCCTGGACTTGCATATAGCAGTCTGTCGGCACTGCTGTGGGCACAGGCCTTTCTGTCTACGGTCGCGATGATATTGCGATTTGATGCAGCTGGTTGCTTGCCATTGCGTCGACATTGGGCACGATATGTCCTTTGAATGAACACAACCTCTCTCTCACCCGGGGGTCCGGACCAGGGACAGGCCTATTGCGGGACGCGTGCGCTGTCTGCCCGCTGCCCGCATGGTTCATCCCACCTGTGCCCGCATGCTCTTGCATGAGCACCCCCGTCCGGCCGATGGAATCAGAGCTCGCTCCTCTGGGCCCGTTCCCGCTGGGGTCTTGTGTGATGATCGCCATCGCAGCCCGCCCAACTCGTTCTCGGGACCCATAATAAGCTCCAGCTGGGGCGGTAGATGAGTTTCTTGGTACGATGCCAGGCTGCATTGGCAAGGGCTAAAGTGACCTGGCTGTCCACTGATGCGCCAGCGGTATAGAAGCAAAAGTCAACGGAACCTGCCTCCGCGACCGTCCGTGCCGGTTGTGACTTGTCCCTGATACAACCACCGTCGCTACGGCGTCGAGACAAGACTCAGCACTCCCGACTGGGGGTGGAGATGACGGCGAGATAATAGATTATGTGCTAATGCAGCCTCTCACCTGCTGATGTCGTACTTCACTCCCGTGCTCATCATCCTTGGTGCCGGTGGGCCCGCCATCTCGTAATCACATCCCTCCGATCCGGGAACAAATGGCAGTCAGGTAAATAGAAAGAGGAGTAAAGCGGTTGACCTTTCCAGTCTTCTTGATATAGGCCGAGACTTGCACCAAGTCTTGTAAGATTGTGTTTTGTTGTGACCAGGTGCGAACATCCAAGCCATGCGACTTACACCGATCACCGCCCTTCTCGGCGTCGGCGCCAGCCTGCTTGGCCAGCACGTCGCGGCCCGGCCCTCTGATGGCTGCGAGACGAATCATGCAGTCGCGCTTGAGCAGACGTACAACGTCTCGATAGGCGACCGTCGCTACCTGCTCTGGTTTCCGGCCAACTATGTGCCGACCAGACCGGCGCCGCTGATACTCTCGTACCACGGCGGCACTCGCGTCGCCGAGGAGCAGCAGAGGTTGGACCTCTTGAGCACGGGGTACTTTAACCAGGACTATATCGTGGTATATCCCAACGGTTTCAATGTGAGTGCCGGAAAAGGTCCCTGAAAGGCTCTTGGCCCTTCTCACCCACACCTCCCGTGCTTGGTGCTTGGGGCTGACATCGGGGATGATCCAAAATGCAGAAAACGTGGGAGGGTATACCAGACGTCGAAACCGACGACGTCGACTTCACCAACTCGATCCTGGACGAGCTCGAAGCACAGTACTGCATCGACACGGAGCGGGTCTACGCGACGGGTAAGTCCCAGGGCGGCGGCTTCGTGGGGGTGCTGGCGTGCGACGAGGAGATGTCGCAGCGCATCGCGGCGTTCGCGCCGGTCTCGGGGGCGTTTTACATTTCCGAATTTGGGGACGTGTGCGAGCCGGAGACGGTGCCCATCTCGCCGTGCTCGCCGGGGCGGGACGACGTGCCGGTGCTGGTGTTCCACGGGCTGGTGGACGACACCATCGCGTACTACGGCGGGCCGAGGAAGGGGGGCTGCCTGCCTTCCATCCCGTACTGGACGCGGACGTGGGCCGGGAGGGACGGCCTCGGCGCGGAGAACGAGACGTCGGCGGTGCCGGGGGCGCTGGAGGGCAGCACGGCGGTCCGGTACGAGTTTGGCGAGGGGGCCCAGAAGGGTCTCGTCACCCACATCATGGACGGGACGGTGAGTAGAAACTCGGAGGAGGCCTCGGGGGGCGGCGATGCTGACTGTGGATGCTCCGACGACAGGACATCGGGCACGACTGGCCGAGCACGGCTCCCAATAGCGACAACTCGCAGGAGGGGCGGCACCCAGCCTCGTTCAACGCCTCGGAGTTGATCCTCGACTTCTTTGCGGCGCACCCTCTCCCGCCCGAGTGGGCAGACAACTAGGCAGTCTGACACACATGACAGTCTGCCCGTCTGCCCGGGCCCGGGACTAGGCAGGCGGCTTCTGGCACTGCCTGGCGGCGCCAAGCCGGGATAGTCGTAATGCGCCCGGGGGGTTTTGTCTTCCCTGGCGATCTTTCAGCTGGACATGTTCCTGTGCGAGTCGTCAGCATTTTCTTGTCGGCGGGGTTCAAAAGTGTCCGAGTGTCTGGTGGATACGGCTGGCCGCGGTGGAGGCTCATCTGCCGACGTGCATGTGAAGGGAGGCCAAGCAGGCTCCATCTTGGAGAAGCTGCAGATGACCACAATTGGTGAGTGAGACAACGTGGTCGAAGACAGGAAAGAGACACACACCTGACTGGTTCTTTTGTTGTTGTTTTTTGTTGTTATCTCTTGCGATCGAGGGAACTGCACCTCCTGAACATTTGTATATACTATACAGCATGTGGTCAGGTCCTAAGTTTACGCGCAGACCTATGAAACTCGTGCGCTGCTATGACAATCGGTGGTTCACAGCGGCTGGCTGCACGACAAATAGCTCCCGTGGGGCACAGCCTCAACTGCCTCAGGGGCGTCAGGTTGGCAGGGTCCACTGTGGCCAATTGCACGTCCAAGACGGGCCGTGGCCAGTTCCCCCAGCGTCCCAGTCAGCGCGTGGCTCATGGATGACGTCCCCCAGGCGGCCGGTTTCAGCTCTCGAGGCATGTGTCTGCCCTGTCTGCCTGGGACTGACTGGCAGAACTGGGCAGCCCCCAGTCGCAACCCAGGCGCATCGCATCGCATTTGATCCATCCGTCCCACACCATCGCCTTCTTGCCGTCCTCACTCTTTCATATGATACCGGGGTTGTGTTTCGTTTCTATTCTTGCAACAAGTATCTAGCCTCTAGCCCACTAGTCCTTTCAGTCTGTAGATCTTCCTCTTCCGCCAAGCTTGAATTACACAAGCTCCTCCTCCTTCGCTGCCTCGCTGCCTCGCTGCCTCGTCGCCACTTGCGCGTCACCTCCAACTCTCTTCCTCGACCCTCCCAACTCCACATCCAACCCCGAGCCTGAGCCTCACCACTCAGTAATTGCACCCCTGACGATCCTGTGTCCAGGTGCCACTACCATCCCGCTAAAACATTCGCTGGCCGAGAACAAAGCGAGGACTAGTCAGTCGTTCTTGGTCGTAAAGCATCGTATTGCATCGCACTGCACTGCATCGTATCGCAACACAACACAGCACATCGTCTTCCAACCCAGCCGCGAAGCCGGGATCCCTCGACCGGCTCACGTCAGGCCAACACCCTTTCTTCTCCCGTGACTTCTTTGTTCGAGGCAACCACTCACCACAAACCTCGTCCGCCCTTGTTCAGCTCCAACAGCACATGAGCTGAAGTGTGGCCTCTGCTACTGCTGGTGGCAAACCCTCGAGTCTCGTCTTGCACCATCCCACATCCCACCATGCTCGACGAAAACCTCCCCACTTTCCAGTTCAAGCAGTCCAGCGAGAACCCACTCTCCAGTGTTGTCTACTTCACCCAGAACGGCTCTGAGCCTGCCCCGGAATATGTCTTCAAGCGGGCAGACCCCTCAAACCCCGCAGCCCGCAGGAAATATGCCGTTGCCCTGACCGACCCTTTTGCTCCCGACGTCGTCTACGCCGAGGTCGTCGTCGAGCCCGAGTGGTCCCAGCCAACACTGTCAGCCGCCGAGGTTAGGGCACAGCAGCAGAATGGGGCCGTATCTACGGCGCCCCAGCCTATGATACCCGACAACTTCACCATCTACCTGTACAACCCAGACCAGGCTGTCTCGGTCAAATACAACCCGGGCTCCCTCACAAAGTCAGACACCTGGGAGTTCGAGATGCTGACCCAGAGCTTCAAGATGCCCTCCAACTCCCAGCTCGACCGCCAGACCCAGAACGGCTCGCCCGTCGCCGACTTCCGCCCCAGGATCATGTTCAGGTGGAAGAAGGAGGGCCGGAAGGACATGAGCTGTTTCAACGTCGGGAAGAGTGTTGGCAGGCACAAGAGCAAGGAGCCAGACATCACAGTGGCACTCTTCAAGCAGGGCCGCGCAACGGCCGTGACCGTCTACGAGCCAAACCTGCAGCGTATCGACATGGAGGACCGGAAAGGGCTGGACATTGTGCTTGTGCTCGGGGCCGAGGTGATCCGTGACCTGTACCTGGCGCCAGACAAAAGGCCCGACTTGTTCAACGTCGGTGCTACCGGACCGCTGCTCATCTCGAAGCGCAAGAACTCCAGGCCCAGCCCTCCCCCGGCCGGCCCCATGATGGCAGGCGCCCTAGGCCCGTCCGCGCCACAGGCGCAACCGCTCATGTCCACCGCCAACGCAGCGGCCTCCTCGTCGGCGAGGCCGGGCGCCGCGGCCATCGACGCCGAGACCGAGCGGCTCAAGGCGATGGTCGAGAGGGAGGAGAAGGAGCGGCAGGCCGCGAGGCAGAGGGAGGACCGCGAGCGCGAGAGGAGGGACCGCGAGGAGCAGAGGCGCATCAAGCAGATGCTGGAGGACGAGGAGAGGGAGAAGCGGCGGCGCGAGGCCGAGATCGCCAAGGAGACGGAGCGGCTGAGGAAACTCTACGGGACCGAGGGCCAGGACCTGGGCGCGGGCCGCCCGCCCGTCCAGCAGCACCAAGGGAGCCCTCCCCTTCCCGGCCGGCCGCAGTTCCAGCAGGGTGGCGGTAGTCGACCGCCACAGCAGCAGCAGCAGCAGCAACAGCAACAACGTCCCAGCTTCGCCCCTCCCCCTCAGCGCCCCACGAGCGTCGGCCCGGGCACGGGGCCCTTCCACAGCGCAACCCTGAACAACCTGTTCGCCGGCAGGCCGTCGGGGCCTCCTCCGCAGCAGGGCCAGTCGGGCCCGTCCAGGCCAGGCCGGACGAAGCCGAACCAGGGCCCCTACCTGTCCGGGGCGAACCCCGCGGCCGCCGTGAGCGGGTTCTTCTCGGGCCTGCGGAAGGACGACAAGAAGATCACCAAGAAAAAGAGCATGCAGTGGTAGGTCCGTGGCTGTTTTGGCTGGGCCCGGTGATTTTCCCGTGCGCTTATGCATGTGTGTGTCAATCTGCTCCCTTTCGCATGGCATGGCATTGCTTCTTAGCTTTTATCTTTTTCTTCTTGCTGGCATTGCGTTGGCTTTTTTTTTTTCACGACGGTCATTGGTGGCGTTCTGGCGATAACTCTAGGGTTCCTGGGAGGAAGGAGGGTGGATTTAGATACCTTGTGGGTCGGAACAGCGGCTGGCTGGTCATGATGACGAATTTATACGACGCTTCTTCTCCTGTGGCTGCTCGATGGCTGGCTGGCTGGACGTACCGCATGTTGAGCGCTCCTATGTAACGCTGTGCGAAAGTCGTTGGTCTTCTCCTCGTGTGACTTGCACTGCTCGCCGACGGCCCCTCGCGTCCCTTGTGCCTCCTGTTCGTGACCGTCTGTCTGCCCACGCCTTACTCCCTCCGCCGACGACGTTGTGGCATTGTGCTTACAAAACTACTTCTAGCCCGGCACTGCGCAGCTTGCCAGAAGCATGCGCATACCTCCGCAAAAACATCTAGGGCGGTCTCTTGAGGAGCAATTTACGGCGCCCCCCGCCCCCCACGACCAGACCGCCAAGACTGGTCACGAGTCTGGTTACGAACCTGCTTGGTTGGTTGGTTGGAATGTTGTCCTCGAATGGCGACTTTATGTCACAAGCAACAAAGAAGTGAGATCACAGCTGCGAAGTCTTGATGGGTTGCAGGAGTAGATATTAATAATACTATTTCTGGGTTGCGGCTTAATATTAACTACCTCTGAGCACTGCTCATTGGTCCCAAGGGGAGTTGAAAGGAAAGAGGTTGCAGACGCGCTAACGTAGAGGCCATGTGCCATGTCTGAAGCCAGGACAATTCAAATATCGCGGATAGTTGCATTCAACAGCCCTAGCAATTATCATGGCGCTCTGCCCGTTGGTGTATTACACCAAGCTAGAAGCCACCGATGGTAGTTAGTAGTGATGGCACAACAAGTCTTGGCACTACCCCCAAGACACGCCTGAAGAGTGGAATTATCCATGAACCGTGAGAATGAGTCAAATTTCATGAGTGGCGTGTAGGTAGCAAGTCATTTTACCAGCATTCTGTGTTTGTGAGGGGGGAGGGGGAGGTGGATACCAGACACGATCAACACCTTGTCTGGAGGGAGGGGATAGCAAATACACTCAACACCTTGTCTTGAGAAGGGGGGGGGGGGAAACCAAATGCGATCAACAACTTGTCTGGCGACGGGGCAGATACGGCACTCTCGTCATCTTCAACGCCAGAACCACCCGGAGCGCTCGCTGTTCGTGCTCCCCTCAGGCTTTTCAGGAGGCGGCCGGGCCTCCACCTCCTCCTTCCCTCTGGCGGCGGGCCTCCGCCTGTTCTGGTCTCCCCGGGCGGCGCTCAACTGCTCTTCTTGTCCCTCGGGCCTGTCGGAACCTGCCTCGGCTCTGGCCGTTGTCCACCCCTTTCGGATGTTATACTCCTGGATGAGCCTCAGCTGGTCCATGTAGTCCTGTCGCGCGTGGTTGATCCCCGCTGGCCTCGGCTCATTCTGGCCCCCCTGGTCCTGGGAGGGCGCTGTGTAGTCCTCGTCGTCAGGGGTTGGCTTGCCACTATTTGTCGACTGGAATTCAGCTTCGGCAGCTTCCCGGAGGCGCTCCTTGTTCTGCTGTTCCATGAGCATCAGCTGCTGGTAGTAGTCCTGGATTCGCTGGCTTTGACTGCCGGGCCGCGGCTTCGAGTTGGCCCTGCGCTCCTGCTCCTGCTGTATCAGCCTCATCTGATGGTTCTTGATCGGGTCCAGCCCCGACTCGACGGCCTCTGCCGTCGCGATCATGAACGCCTCGAGCTGCTCGTCCGAGGACCTGCTGAGAAACGCCGAGTACTGCGCGGGCGTCATCCATGGGACAGAGGCGGCAGAGCGCGGTCGGTATTCTTGTAGCGGAGGACGGTCGTCCCGGGGGCCAGAGCGGACCGAGTAGCGTGTATCATAGTCGATTGTCTCGCCCTCTGCGTTGAGTCTCCTGACTTCGGTGCGGCAGTGGACGAAGCCGAACATGTCGACGTGCTCCGAAGACGTCCTGATTGTCTTGCCGCCGGAGGGGTGATGCTCGACCGTCTCGCTGACTGACGGGTTATCCCTCGAGGGGCGCTCTGGCGGTGGCGGAGCCTGTCCAGGACTGGACTTGAGGACGTCCTTGAGGAGTCTGTCGACTGAGGCTGAGGCGGACTGGATGAATTCAAAGAGGTCCTGTTCGGTAGCCGGCTGATCTTCTTGACTAACCGGCGCAGCCTCTGCATTACCCTGCGATTCGGCGTGGCTGTCGCTGGGGTCCTGATCCGTAGAACGCCCCTCAGAGAACCATCTCATGACGTCCTCCACACGGCTCTGCACCTTGCGCAGAGTGTCGGCCACATCCTGCCCCGTGGGCTCGTCCATCTTGGAGAACAACTCGGCAACATTGCCTTCAAGTCGGCGTATGGTGTCCAGCATGTCCTTGGCAATATCGCTATAAGAGTCTTGGTCATGTCCTGGTGTACGCTGGGTTTGGAACGAGTCTCGTATGTGAGCCTCCCAGTGCTTTGGAATTCGTCCAGCCAGATTGGGGTGCTCCCACATAAAGGGATGGGGCAGCAGGGCGTCGCCATATAGTCTCCTGACCCAGGCGGAGGGAGTCTCCGGGGTGACTTGTGCTCCCGAGGCGGACCTCTTCAGGGCTGCTCGCATGTCCAGATCCATGAGGTTCCCTCGGGATGAGTTGCTCGCAGACATGAGGTCCTCAAAGGCCTCGGGGTAGCCAAAATGGGCGGGGTCAGCACCGGGGGGCAGATCGTTGGGAGTGGGCTGAGGGAGATGGCGCAAGTTGTGCGGGCTGTAAGGGTCGACATGGTACCAGTGTTCCCAGTACTCGGCCATGGGCGACTGTCTCTTGGGACCTGGCGATGACGACCCTGCAGTGGCATCACCTACGGGGGGTTTGTTGGCGTCGTCGTTGGAGCCAGTCAAGACAGAGACGCCGGCGCTGATATGGGAGTTGACATGGTTCTTGAAGCGGATGAAGCGATTGAAGGGGCCCTGGGGCTCTCTGTCGTCGTCGTCGGACATTGTGGTGAATCCGGGTGGATATGGATATGGATGCGGGTATGGCTTAGGTTGCCGTTCTTAGCTCTCGGGTTGACCGGAGGGGCCTCTGATGTGCAGCAGGGGATGCTCGGGGAGGCAGGAAGATGGGGCGAGGAGGGCGATGGGAGAGGAGGTGGGGATGGGGAGATGGCTGCACGAGGACGGAGATTTGAAGCTCGAGCCTCGACCGACCCCGCTGTTGCTTGTGCACATGAGCTGTGCGTTTATGTACCCAAGAAGGGAAGTCGACTGCTGGGGCTGCTGGCACCGGCTCATGAGCCCGGTTGTGATAGCTCCAACAGCTCGAGACAGGCGAGGCTGTCACGGATATCAGCTGTCATAGAAAGGGCCAGATGAGATGAGAGTTGGCGCTAATGAATAAATGATGCGTTCTCGGGCAAGGCTACTTAGTACTTGTTAGTAAGTGGGCTAGGCTGGTGACAGATGGATATCCCTGGCGGGAGGTGAGTATTAGATAGACTAGGTGGGTGCTTGATTTGATATTGGGGGTGAGGCACTGGCGGGCAGGGCAGGCCGTTGTGGTGGCAGGGTGGTGGGCGTTCGGGGTCGGTGTTACTGGTGGGGAGTGGATATGACGGCATTTCGCGCGGTTTTCCATGGCGAGCCGTTAATGCGAGATGCGACCAATCTCGCAGCCTCCCAGCTCCGCAAGCAGGTTGGCAGGATATCTATCAACTGCTTGCCTGTCTTCTGCTTGCCCTGTATCTATTCTTGTAGTCAATCGCCTGTTTCTGCATTTGCGAATCCTTCGCTATCTCTCGACCCTGGCTGGAGTCGCTCTCCCGCCCACCACACCCCAGCAAACTCTCGACTGCCTTCTGCTGCCATAACTCCGTGCCACCGGTTCATGCGCATGCGACCCTGCCCCCCCCCCCCCAGCCCGGCTTCCAAACTCTAGACAAGCCTCGAGGCTCGAGCCCACACCACCAGCAATATCTCGGGTTTTTATGTACATAGCCTGCGGCTTTACTCGAGCCTGCGCCAATCCGTCGCCACACCCATGATACACTCTTGCTCGAGCCGTTGGATCCCCCCGTCGGCAGCCACTGACGGCCCCTGAGCCGCCATGTACATACCCACCCTGCCTGCCTCCATCCCCGCGAGAGCCCTCACCCAGTACCTGCCTGCCTACACCGCCACCGACTACCTGCGCCACGACAACAGCACTGGTGGGGACCCAGCCGGAGGAGGCGGCGGCGGCGGCGGCGGCGGCGGCGGCGGGCCCAAGAAAGGCCTGGAGGAGTGGTCGAGCCTGATCGGCATAGTCACCGCCATCGTGGGCAACGTCCTCATCGCCCTGGCCCTCAATGTCCAGAGATACGCCCATATACAGTTACATAGGGAAAAGGTGCGGAACCGGGAGCGCGCCAAACAAGCACTCAAGAATGCGAAGAACGGCAACGGAGCGCCGCACACGGGCTATGGGTCCGTAGGCGAGTCGCGAGCAGGAGCCAACGCGCCAGGCGCCGGCGCCGGCGGCGATGACGATGGCGACGCCGAAGACGCGCAGGAGTCGGACCCTCTGACCCAGTCCTACCAGTCTGGCGACTCACGCTGGTCCGAGAACTCAGACGACTCCACGACAAAATCCACCTCCACAAACTACCTCAAGTCGCCCTACTGGTGGCTCGGCCAGATCCTCATCACCGTCGGCGAGATGGGCAACTTCCTGGCCTACGGCTTCGCCCCGGCCTCCATCGTGTCTCCCCTGGGCGTTGTCGCCCTCGTCTCCAACTGCATCCTCGCCCCCATAGTCTTCAAGGAGAAGTTCCGCAAGCGCGACTTTTGGGGCGTCGTCATTGCCGTCTTTGGCGCCGTGACTGTCGTCCTGAGCGCCAACACCCAGGAGACCAAGCTGGATCCCCATGCTGTTTGGGATGCCATTACTACTGTGGCATTTGAGATTTACATGGGCGTGACGTGCAGCTTGATTCTCCTCCTCATGTGGCTGAGTCCCAGATATGGCAACCGCACTATTCTCATCGACCTCGGTCTCGTGGGTTTGTTCGGTAGGTGGTCCTGCTCAAATCTCTCCCTACCTGCCCTGCTCAGTGACTGATATGACTCTCAGGTGGCTACACTGTGCTCTCAACCAAGGGCGTGTCGTCCATGTTGTCTTCAACACTATTGCGAGCCTTCACAACACCAGTGACATACGTGCTCGTCCTGATCTTGCTCGGCACTGCCATCATGCAAGTGCGCTATGTGAACAAGGCCCTTCAGAGATTCGACTCGACGCAGGTCATCCCAATCCAGTTCGTCTCGTTCACATTGTGCGTGATTATAGGAAGCGCCGTCCTGTACAGAGACTTTGAGCGGACGACATCCGAGCAGGCCGTCAAGTTCACAGGTGGCTGTTTTCTGACCTTCTTCGGCGTGTTCCTCATTACGAGCGGTAGGGATGCGGTAGATGACGACGAGGATATGCTGTCCGACGATGACGAGGTCGAAGAGACCATTGGGCTCGCAGAGCAGGACCCCGATGAGCCCCCGTCCCCCGCGCAGCCCCGGCGTCGGGACAGCGACGCAAAGAGGTCACGGCGGTCCTCCCGCGTGAGCTTCATGGACGCCGTCAACAAGCCACTGGCAGTCCTCCAAGAATCGGGCGTTCCGACGTCGAGGGCACCCGCGACACCGACAAAGGCGTCCCTCCTACCATCAGATGGCGCCACCGAGTCAGCGCCGCTGTTGCAGACGCGCTCGCAGGAACGACATCATTCCACGCCCGCCCCAGTCCACCCGGGGATAGCACACGCCATGTCGTCAGAATCAGCCATCTCGATATCCAGCGCCACACCGATAAGCTCCGAACCGCCCACCCACCCCGGCACACCGTTGGGGCAGGTCTCAGCCCTCCCCGCCATCAACATCCCCCACGACGGCAGCCCCGTAACACCGAGGCCACAATCAGCCTCAAGATCCCACACGCACCACCACTTCACAGGCCCGCTCTTCTCACCATCCCCCTTCCACTCGACCGTCAGCGGCCTCGTGCCGTCAAACCTGGTCAAGGACGCCCACCCCGTGCGGAGACCGAGCTCGCGGCGGAGGCCTAGCCTGCGCTCGAGCCTGTTCGTCTCGCAGGACGAGCTGAGCGTGGAGCCGATCGGCGAGGAGGAGGAGAGGGTCATCATGTCCGCGATCGAGAGGAGCCGCACGGCGGACGAGTCGCAGATCCCCGGGGCGGACGGGCAGCAGCAGCAAGGAGGGGGAGGGGCAGGAGGCAAGAAGGGCGTCAGGGCGCGCGCCAAGAGCCTGACGAACTCGGTTGGGGACCTGTTTGGCGTGAGGAGGAGCAAGCGCACCGACCAGGGGGCGCCACGCGAGGGCGGCGGGCAGGGGAGCCAGCTTGGTGGGGACTTTAGCACGGAGACGTTGTGAAGACGCTTAGAGAAAAGTACCAGTTGAACTGTTTTTGTCTTGAGGGGACATGGGGAGGGGACATGGGGAGGGGTTGTGTGTTTTGGTTATTTCAGGAGTCGGAGAGGGTTCATGGGTGGCACCGCATTGGATCGGCGTTTGGGGGGTGAAGAGGATAATATGCTGTTATTCCAACAAGGGAGCGTTTGACATTCGTTTAATTGTGCCTCATACTTGACCGGTAGATATGTCCGGGCTTTGAATACCCCCAGCTCCAGGCTCTCTCTGTACACGTGTAGAGATGGTGAAATGGAAGTATGTCCTAATCTACTACGGACGAGCATTTTTACATGTCGAACAATCATGAAAAGACTCCTGCGGTACAGGAGCATGAGAATGTCAACGAAGCTTCATCGTTTTGACAGGACGGGACAAGAAGGTCGAGATAGGCCAGCAAGGTTGCGCCGAGGCTTGTCCAAAGACATGCATCCCCGTATTTCGCGCTACCTCAGTACAATTTATATGGAATGGCCTTGTTGTACCTAGAACTGTATTAGAGGGGACTGTTCGACAGTACCCGGCAGGAAGAAGCGTTGTCTGCTGGAGGTGGCGCCCCAACTTGGAATGAAATTGGAGGATACAACGGAAGGACAGCACGTTTTGGGAGGGAAGCTGTTCGTTTATGAAGGCGCATACGCTGCCCAGGTGACGCAAAGCAGCTTAGGCAGCTGCATTACACGTCTCTTCCCCTGAAGAGATACAATTCTACCCTTGGGGTGACGAAAGCCACAGCGCCGGGGCCGTGGCTGCCGCTGGTGGAGGAGAGCCGCCCCGTCGCCCTGGCGGTGGAGGTGGTCCAAAGGTAAGCCACGATCCTGGCACCTGCACGTCCCCGCCTTGGTTGCTGACCGTTGCCAGGGCCACCGCTCCGTGGCCGAGTTCCTGGTCATAGGCGACTCCGACGATGAAGACAACCAGCTTGAGGAGGTCCCCTTCCCCTGCGACGGATGCATCAGCACCCTCTTCGAGACCGGGGTCCTCCCTCCCTGCGAGAAGGACGGCCGTGGGGAGTCGTGCCTCCAATGCCGACGCCGCAAGAGGAAGTGTGGTTAGTACTCACGCTTCTTTGCCGGCTCGGCCCCGCTGCGCGCCGCCTGGCGGCAGGTCATCCGTACCGTCTCGCCTTCCCACGACCACATCCTGCGTCACAAGACCAAGCGTGAGGGCGACACCCCTGGACACGCCGCGTCCTTCGACCGTCGTTTCAACGCCGCCGTGGGCGCAACGGTAGTGTCCAGATACATATGTAGCCTACAGACGTCCATATTGTTGTCTCAACAAGAGACTCCGGTGGGGTCAACTTTCCTGATGAAGGGGAGTCCGCGGGATAATCTCGTGTTATTGGTTGGCTGTCTTTTCACTGTCCTAGAATCCAACAAGCCGTCAATCAAAGCGGAAAACGATTTTCCCCCAGTGAGTATTTTAGATAGTGTGTCTAAAAGATTGTTTTGTATCAGCCCGTCCATAGGAGACGCTTCCAGACAGACTTGTCCCAGAAAAGAATCAGGGTAAATCAGATGTGTAAATGCTTAAGTACACGAATCATCCAAACTTGACTATGCTCATCCTGCCACTTGTGAAATTTTTTCCTATTATCCTAAAAACTGTTTGAATAGGGCTTTTCTTGAGGGATATTTTGCTTTCTTAAGTTCTTGAAGTCTTCGAGTGGTAATGGGTTGACACATTTTCAACAGTGCTCATTGCTATTCTCAATATGAATATAACCACCAGAAGCATCAGGATCCTGCGGAATAAAAGGCCAACTTTTCATTGAGCAGAATTCTAGACACAATAGAAATCATGAAAAGCATCAGTACTGTGACCACCAACCTAAGTGCAATTCTCACAACCCATCAAGATCACCGGACTCGGGTAATGTTCGCGAGACAAGTTTAGCGAGCTGCCGAAACTGGAGCCCCAGCACATTTGAATACCGACCTGCTGCAAGTTGGAAACAGGTGCATGTATCAAGCGCCTGTCGGAGGCCAGCTTGGTTTGATATTTGCCAACATGTACAACTAGGATGAAAACTGGCGCATTCCGCCATTCCTGTCCTCTGCGGAGACTACCCTGAAAGGTCAGCATAGATGGCAAGTCACCGTATGAAGGCGCCATGTATGTCCTCGGACGTATACGGAATAGAAGCGAAACCACATAAATGGCAAGTGCATGTTGTTGAGAGACCTGAAATCGATTTACACAGCTTTTGAGAAGACTGCCACCAAGCTTGAGGAGATGTGGAAAAGCGTCCAGATTGACGAAGAGCAGTCCCTCATAATATTCAAGCAATACGTGTGGGACTGGTGCGAGACCGACTCAGTTGAGGGACACCTTGCGAGGCTCGCAGGTTCAATGCTTGTAACCCGAGGAGGTGCGAGCCATTGACACACTGTACTGAGACCTAGATAAATATATGTGCTGTGATTGTGCTTTTGCTCTTCGTGTGTTGGTAGAGGACATCACACTGCAAAATTCCAGAAATGCTTGATTTGCTGACTTGTCCACTTCGAATTTGATACGGCATGCGATTCAAATATCTTGACTTCAGAAATACCTGAATCGAAATTGGCAGAAACCTTGAGTATGCCGAAGCTGTATGGGTCACCACGAGTACTCCGGGCATCTGGGTTGGCCCGCTGGTAGTGTGAGGCTTTGAGTAGTCTAATTATCACCTCTTGAATGGTACAGTGTGTCTGAGAAAGCATGAACTCTTGCATCGTATAAGGTAACAGACTTTCTGAATGTTTCAAACCATCTCTTATATTCAGTGGTGGTAGGTTGACCAGTGGACAGTCGTGTCTGAGGACAAGAATTTGGACCACGTCAATGACTGCTTTCACAGAGCAGAGCTGCAGCCGTTCAAAGCAACCAAGCTTGGAAATTATGACAACATGAGTGGATACCTGCACAATGTACTCAGAACCAGGTTCTATTCAAGTGGGAAGGCGCAACTGCATGCCTCCCAGAGGGGCGGTAACAGGTACAAGTTTAAGGTTTAGGCTCATCCCGTTCCCGTCCCCCGGATGCGGCCACGCACGTGTCAGGACCTCAAGTGAATGAGTGGTCCAGGTCCACAGTAATGGATGCAACCGTCAACTTGAGCAATAGACAAGATATCAGAATGTGACAGGCGACAGGCGTATATCATGTGTAAACGTGTGGAAGCTGGTCAATCAGCGGCCGTGTGGGTATGTGACAAGTGCCCGGGTGGTGTGAAGCAGATCCCGACCTGGGTCTCACCCAACTTCACATCCGCTTCCTGGCTTGGAATTCCAGATATTTCTCTTGTTTTGCTGAATAAAAGAAGACCAAGTCTTTCTTTATTCACAGTAGACTTGCCATGGCCTGTGTGCAAGTGGTTGAAGCCGGGTGGGCCGGGATCCGCCCGCCCACCCATCGGTCCACTCCACACATCCACGACGCCAACAAGCTTCATGATGTTTCATTCAAAAGTCTTTTCAACAACAGCTACATAGCTCAGGGGAAGAGAATATACACTACTATTAATAATAAGCTATTCTTATTAAATAAAGTTATTCTTATTAAATAAAGTTATTTTTATTAAATAAAGTTATTTTTATTAAATAAAGTTATAGTTATTAAATAAAGTTATTTTTATTAAATAAAGTTATTTTTATTAAATATAGTTATTTATATTAAATAAAGTTTAAATAATTATTTTAATTAATTATAAATTAAAAATAAAATATTTAAACTTATTATTTTAATTTAAAATTAAACTATAATAAATATAATTATAATAAATTTTAATTATAATATATTTTATTTAATTATTTAATTATTTAATAATTTAATTATTTATTATTCTTTTAAACTTTTAAATTAAATATTAATTTATATTAAAATTATAAAGTTATTATTTTTAATATATATTTTAAATATTTTAATATTATTTATATATTTCTTATTTTTATTATTAAATTAAAAATAAATAATTAAAGTTTTAATAAAATAAAATATAGTATAATTTTTAAAGATTAATTCAATTAAATTTATTATATAATACTTTTTATTTTTTAAATATAAAGTTAAAAGATTTATAATTATAATTTTATAATTAATTTCTATTTAATTACTTTTATTATAATTTAATTTAACTTAATTTAAACTTTATTTTAAACTATATAAATATTTTTATTTTTATAAATATAAATATTAAATTAAAGCTTTTAAATTTAAATTTAAGATTTTTATAAATTTTACTATATTTTAAATTAAGTTTATAATCTTTTAATTCTTTTAAAAATATATTAATTATTTTAAATATTAATAACTTCTTTTAATATAAAAGTTTATTTTATATAATTATATATTTAATTATTAATAATTATATATTTAATTATTAATAATTATTTCTTTAATTATATAATAAAGTTATTAAAATTATAAATTTAAATAATAAATTATAATTACTTTATTTAATTATATTTTAATTTAATTAAATAACTATTTTTAAATAATTTTATTTATAAAGTAAATAAATAAATATATATTTAAATAAAGTTAAAACTTTTAAAAGAAATAATTTTATTTTTATTTATTTTAATTAATTTATTTAAATTATATAATAAATTTAATATTTATATATAATATTTATTAATATTAAATTAAGTAATATATAGTTTATAATAAATTTAATTTTAATATATTAATTTAAATTAATATAACTTAATATATTAATATAAAAATATTTTTAATAATAAATAGTATTATAAATATAATAAATTATAAAGTTATTATAAAAGTTTTATATAATAAATTTAATTAAGTTAATTTTTAAAAGATATATTTTATTTTATTTTTAAAACTTTAATTAATTATTTTTAATTTAATAATAAAATTAAAATAATATAAATAATTTATAATACTTTTATAATAACTTTATAATTTATTATATTATTAAAAGTTATTATAATTTAAAATAATATAAATATATAATTAAATATTATTATTAATTATTATTATTAATTATTATTAACTTTTAATTAATAATAATAATAAAATAATATTATTTAAAATATTATTATTATAAAATATTTTATATTAATAAAAGTATTAATAAATTTATTTATATATAAATATAAATCTATTAATTTTACTTATAATAATTAATTTATTATAGTTTATTATTTTATATTAATATTTATTTAATCTTTAAAATCTTTCTTTCTTTTAATTAATTAAAGAATTTTATTTACTAATAAAATAATTTTTAATTAAATTATTAAATCGTTTAAAATTACTTTTAAATATATAATTATAATTTAATCGATTTAAGTAATTTAAAAATACTTAAAATTAACGTTTTATAAATTATTTAAATTACTTAAATTTAAATTCTTTTAATAAATAAAATTAAGTTTAAATTACTAATTATTAATTATTTATTAAGTTATTATTAAATAGTTATTAATTATAATTATATTTAATTAATTAATCTTTTTAATAATTTCTTTTTCTTCTTTTATATAATTAATAAAGTATTTTAAATTAATATTTTTAATTATTTTATTATTTAATTATTAAATTATTAATTATTTATTTTTAATTATTTATTAAATTATAATTAATTATTTATTAATTATAATTAATTATTAATTAATTTATTTTAATATATATTAAATAAACTTCCTTTAATTAAAATAATAATTATTAAAACTATTAAAATTATATTATAATTATTATTATAATTAAAATTATTATTTAAATAATAATTATTATTAAATTAAAGTTTTATTTAAAATAAAGTTTAATTTATTTTTATTTAAATAATATTTCTTTTATTTTTATAATTTTTATTTTTATTAATAATATAATTCTTTTAATTAAATTTAAATTAATAAATTAAAGTAAAACTATTAAAACTATTACTATTATTATTATTATTACTATTATTAATAAAATTAATAAAATTATTATTTTATAATAAGTTTAAGTTTAAGTTTAATTAGTTAATTAAATAAATTAATATATTAAATATACTTTAAAACGTTATTATTAATATAATTAATTATAATTTACTTATTATTAAATATAAAATTATTTATTAAAAGTAATAAAAGTTTAATTAATTAAATAACTATATATTTCTTTTATAAATATTATTAATATATTTTTAATTTAATTTTTAATTTAAACTTCTTTTATAATAAAATACTATTAATATATATTTATAATAATTATAAATAACTTTATTATAATAAATTTAAAATTATAATAATTATAATATTAAAATATTTTTATTTAAAAATTATAAAAAAGAAAAGAAAGTTAAAAATATAAAAGTTACTTATTTAATTAATTATTTAAATAATATAAAGGTAGTTTAATTAGTAAAGTAATTTATTAAATAAATTATTAAATATATTAGTTAATAAGTAATTAAATATTAATTTAAAAGTTTAATAAATAAGTTTAAATTATTAATTATAAAAGGAATTACTTAACAAAAAAGTTATTATAAATATTTATAGTTTTAAATTTCTTTTAATATATTATAAAAAAGAGTTATTATAAAAGAGTTATAAGATTTATTTAATAAAAGGTTCTATTTATTAATTAAATCTATATTTAAATTATTATTTATTATAAAAGTTTAATTAATTTAAAAGTTAAATTATTTAGTAAAAGTTTAATAAATAGTTAAATATAATAAATATAATTATAACTATTTAATTTTAAATATTTTAAGGATTATATAATTATAATTTAATTTTTATAATAAAGTTTTAAATATTTTAAGGATTTTATTATAATTACTTATTATATAAATATTATTATTTATAAAAAAGTTTTAAATATTTTAAAAACTCTTTTATAATAATAATAATAACTTCCTTTTAAAAGAAAATACTATTAAATATTTTAATAAATATCCTTTTAATAAATAAAATAATACTTTATTATTAAAAGTTATTAATAATTAATTAATATTATTAAACTTACTTATATATAAATTTTAAAAGTTAATATTAATATATATATATATATGTTAATTAAAAGATTTATTTAATTAAATAATAAAATATTTAATTAAATTAATTAAACTTATTAATTAAATTAAATAGTTTATATATAAATATAAACCTATTAATTTTATTTATTATTCTTATAAATTATTTTATATTAAAAATAAAAATAAATAGAAAATTAAAATTAAATTATTAAATAATAATAAAATAACTTATAAAACTTATTATTTTATAATATAATTATTTATTTATATAAATTATAAACTATTTATATATTTTTAATTTTATTATTAAATTAAAATAAATAATTTAAATTTTAAAAATAAAATATAATATATTTTTAAAATTAATTTTATTAATATTATTATATAAAACTTTTATTATAATTTTATAATTATTTATAATATTATTTATTATTAAAAATACTTTTTTATATTAATATATTAAATTATATTTTAATTTATAAAAGTTAAAATTATTATAAATTATAAATTATTTAATTTAATATTAATAAATATTATTATATAAATATATTAAATTTATTATATTTTTAAAGAAATATATAAGTTTTAATTTCAATAAATATTTATTTATTAATTTTATAAATAAACTTATTTAAAAGTAATTACTTTAATTATTATATTTTAAATTAAAATATAATTAAATAAAATAAATATACTTTATTATTATATATAATATTATTTTAAATTTATAACTTTAATAATTTATAAATAAAGAAATATTTATTAATAATTAATTTATAATTATATAAAATAAAGTTTTATTTTAAAATAAAATTATTAATATTTAAAATAATTAATAAAAATTAAAAATTATAAATTTAATTTATTAAAATTTAATAATAATAATATAAAATAATAATACTTTATTAATAATATTAAAATATAAAGAAATAATTATAAATTATTTTATTTAATTCTTGTTAAAAATATTTAAAAGAAAATATTTATTAATATATAAATTATTTATATTTTTAATTTTATTATTAAATTAAAAATAAATAGTTAAAATTCTAAAAGAATAAAATATAATATATCTTTTAAAGATTAATTTAATTAAGTTTACTATATAAAACTTTTATAATAACTTTATAATTATTTATAATACTATTTATTATTAAAACATACCTTCCTATATTAATATATTAAGCTATATTTAATCTATTAAAGGTTAAAACTATTATAAACTATAGGCTACTTAATCTTAACACTATTAAGTACTATATATAATATTATTATATAACTTAGGCCTTCTAAATATAAATTAATTAAAATAGGTAAAGATAAAAGCTATTATTCTTTTAAGGGTTCTAGCTTTACTTAAATAAATACCTATTAAGTAAAACTACTTAAAAATAATCACTTAACTAACTTATTAAACTAAGAGATAATTAGATAAGATAATTATACTTTATTACTATATATTTAAGTTTATAGTTTTAATAACTTATAAATAAAAAAGAAATAGCTATTAATAATTAAATTTATAACTATATAAAAATAAATCTTTACTTTAAAAGAAATTATTATTATTTAAAATAATTAATATATTTTAAAGAAATTAAAATTATAAGCTTAATTTAAAATATATTAAGATTTATAAGAATTTTAAATTTAAACTTAAAAGTTTTAATTTAAATTTAATTTACTTAAAAGGAAAATATTAAATAAATTTAAAAAACTTAAATAAAGTTAAAAATTAAATTAAATTATAATATAATAAAATAATTAAATAAAAATTAATTAAAAATTATAATTATAAATCTTTTAACCTTATATTTAAAAGAGATTTATTAATATATAATAAAAAAATCTTTATACTTTTTAAAACTTAATTATATTAATAAATATTATTATTTTATAATAATATTATTAAATTATTATAATTTAAAACTTTTAATATATTTATTAATATATAAAAATATAATAAAATTTAAAAAATAAAAAAGGCTTTTTATTATATAATAATAAGTATTTTTTTTAAAGTTTTTTTAAAAAAAGATAAAAATAAAATTAGTTAGTCTAAGCTATTTTAAGCTATAATATTATAAATCGAGATACTAAGATGGATCTTCTAGCCTAGGCTCAACTCAATGCATCCATCTGTCCATCATAGTCCGAGAGTTACTCATCATCATCATCCACTTCGGCCTCCACAAGCTGATCCTTCTTACTTTGATGCAGTGCACGAGTTTTGCGGACGGCGTCTTCATCCACACCAGAATCATATTTTGTTGAAGGACACACCCGGAAATTTGCTCGTCCAGCCGTCCAGGACATAAGACTGCTATAGCCTTTGTCGCGGCTAGCGAAGAGTTAGCAGCCATAAACATTCCATCTTGAGACGGAGAGAAGTACTGACTCCTCCTTGTTCTCCCGGACCAGTTCGATGATTCTCAGCAGCTCTTTGGATCCGTCTGTCGCGGACGGCGACTTGCTAGCAGCCGCAACCACATCCTTGAGGGCAAACGTGCCGTACCGGATACCATTGGACCGGACTGGAAACACAGAGGCTGAGCCTGGGAACTGGCCGGGCACGATGAAAACCAGGCGGATGTCAACCCGAGACCCCCACTTGTCAAAGAGCCACGAGAAACTTGCGACGTCCGTGGTGAGCCCATCAATGCCAATTGACACAAGGTCAACCCTCGCTCCGGGTTGGACGGCGTCCAAGGTTTGGATCATCTCGGCCAGCTTGCTGCCTTTCTCCTTACTAGTATTGCTCATAGGCCACTTGCTGGCAACCTGGGCCCTTGGGATGGAGATGATGAGGGCCGGGACCAAGGGTTCAAGGGCGACAAAGGCACGCCCAGCGACTGCTCCTCGCTCAAACATGCCCGAAAGCCCGTATGTTGGTGGCGCTCCACTTGCACGCGGAAACACCAACACAAGTCGCGAATATGAGTGGGCAGTTGTTTCGACGAAGCCGCACTGGACGTTGTTGCCATTCAAGTCAATGACTTTGACCCATGGACGGTTTGTGATTCGGCCATTCGACCCGCCCGGACCGCCAAGCTTTGGCTTCTTCGAGCCCTGGGCTGCTGCGATGTACGCAAATTCTCGTTTGAATTTGCCCTTCGTGGTGAAGATGTCGGGTCGCTCCTTATAACACTGGCGCCCGGACTTCTCATTGAACATTTTAAGGAGCTCTGCCTCATTCGGATCATCATCCTCCTCGGCAATCTCGCCATCCTCATCTTCAAGTTGTAACATCCTCTTCTTACTAGTTGTATTGGGAGAAAAGGCTAATTCTATTAGTATTACTTATATATTAGATTCATAGTTTATAAGAGGGACGGACTTGAGATGCTGGGGAAAACGTTTTGGAGGACTTCCTCTGGAAGACTTGAGACGTCAAGGTGGAGCTGCGCCTTAAACCCTCCGTCCTTGGTAGAAACAAGGGTACCAGCTACACCAGGTTCTTGCATCAACTGACGCATCAACTCGACGGCTCGGTTCGACATCATCTTGAATTCACGAGAGAAAATGAGGCTTTCAGGCAAGATTTCTGGGTGCGTTTTGCGAATCTTTTGCCGGGGTTCTTGTCGCTTGGGACGGTGAGTTCCTACTTGGGAAGGCATCGTCCCTCTACGCTCTACCCGCACCTCCTTCCTCTACCGAATGTGCTTTCCTCCAGTAGGCAGGAGCCATGTATTCCCAGCTCTTCCGATTGTCCTTCCGAAAAGCCTGAGAAGGTGCAAGTCATAGACAGCTCTCGCTGCGGGAACTCCATGACCACCGGGGGCAATTTGGACAGCGACCAATACAACACCCAGACTTGGACAGCTCATCGAGGAAAAAGCCCATGACATCTTGGTGTTGGAAAATGAGGTACCTTGTTAATGGAGCATGAAATATTGATTGCTTGCTAAGTAAGCAATTTTACTTAGGACTGTCGTTGAGTCAAATTGGGCACTGTTGTTCTCAGTACGGTCGGAATTACTTGCATGCATGTTGGAGCGGGTCCTTAGTCCCGTACCGCAGCGTTTTGTGGATGCTAAGATGACCCGCCCACATCCGGACCACACCCCGATTCGGACTGTCAGGAACCTTAAACCACTACAATCTAGGGGTACCACCACAATCTAGTGGTACCACTATAAGATAGTAGTAGCCACTAGTATATAGTAGTATCTATTAGTATATAGGGCTTTAACCACATTATATTTTTCCTTTATACTATATAATTACTAATTTCTTCCTTAATTTAAAGTTTATATATAAAGTTTTTAATAACTTTATATATATTTTTATAATTTTTTTATAAAGAAACTTTAAATTTATTTTTTCCTTTATTTTTATTATATTTTTTATATTATTAAGAAATTAATAATTATTAATAATAAAAGTATAGATTTAAAGAAAAATAAATTTATTATACTTTTTTTTATTTTTTTTAAAAGTTTTAATATTTTATTATAAAAATTTTAAAAATAATATATTAAAAATAATTTTTTTATTTTAAATTTTTAAAATTAATAATTATATATTTAAATAAAAGTTATAATATTAATTTATTTAATTAAAGTTTTATTAATATATATAAAGTTAATATTTACTTATTTAATAATTATATTTATTTATTTAATTCCTATTAACTACTTATTTAATATTAATTTTTCTAAGTAACTCTTTTATATTTATAAGTACTTTTTAAGTTAGTATTAAAAGACCTTATAGTATAATTTCCTTCTCTAATTTTTAATACTTTAGGTATAACCCCACCCCTTTTAATATGCCTTTTAGTATGCCTTTTAGCACCCTTTTTAAGTCTTTTAGGCTATATATATTTAGGTATTAATTAAGTATTTAAATATTAATTAAATGTTAAAAGGTTAGAAGTTTAAAGTATTAGAGGGTTAAAAGGGGTGTTAAAAGGCTAGAAAGAGTGTAGTTTTTATCTTTACCTTTTTAGCTTCTAGCCTTTTAGTGTTTAGTTAGTATTTAAATACTTAGTTAGTATTTAAATATATATAGCTTAAAAGGTGTATTAGAAGGTGTGTTAGAAGGTGTGTTAGAAGGTGTGTTAAAAGGTGTGTTAAAAGGTGTATAGAAGGGGCTTATACTAAAAGTATTAAAAATTTAGAGAATTCTAGTTAGGTATATAGTTTTATATAGGCTTTATATATAAATTCTTATACTAAATAAGTAGTTAAAAAAAACTAGGTGAGTGGATATAATTATTAGGTAAGTAGATATTAGCTTATATATATATATATATATATATTTAAAGGAATAATTTTTAATTAATTTTTTTTAATATAATTTATTTATATATTAATTATTTTTAAAATTTAATTTTATTATATAATTTTTATAATATTTTAATTAATATTATTATTAAAATAATACTTTTAATTTTATTTATATATTATAAAGTTAAAGTTATAAATATTTATTATATTATAATTATTAATATTATATTATTTTTAAATATTAAGTTTTAAATATTTATTATTATATAAAAGTATTATATATATTTTTAAATATTCTTTTAAGTATAAAGTTAAAAATCTATAATTATAATTTTTAATTAATTTTTATTTAATTATTTTATTATATTATAATTTAATTTAATTTTTAACTTTATTTAAACCTCTTTTAAACTTTATAAAAGTTTTTATTTTTATAAATATAAACTTTAATTTAAAACCTTTAACTTTAAGTTTAAAATTTTTATAAATTTTAATATATTTTAAATTAAACTTATAATCTTTTAACTTTTTAAAAATATATTAATTATTTTAAATAATAATAACTTTTTAAAGTAAAGATCTACCTTTATATAATTATAAATTTAATTATTAATAATTATTTCTTTTTTTTATAATAAAGTTATTAGAATTATAAACTTAAATATTATATATAATAATAGAGTATAGTTACCTTATTTAGTTATTTTTAGTTTATATAATAGTTTAAATAATTACTTTTAAGTAGTTTTACTTATTCCTTAAGTTTATTAAATAGGTATTTATTTAAGTAGAGTTAAAACCTTTAAAGAAATAATAGCTTTTATTTTTATTTATTTTAACTAACTTATAAAAGTTTAAGTTATATAATAATATTATATATAGTACTTAATAATATTAAAATTAAATAGTTTATAATTTATAATAACTTTAATTTTTAATAAATTAATTTATATTAAAACTAATAATATTAATTTAAATGAATTAAATATAACTTAATATATTAATATAAAAGGTATTTTTAATAATAAATAATATTATAAATAATTATAAAGTTATTATAAAAGTTTTATATAATAAACTTAATTAAACTAATCTTTAATAGATATATTATATTTTATTTCTTTAAAACTTTAACTATTTATTTTAATTTAATAATAAAATTAAAAAATATAAATAATTTATATTTTTAAATATATATAAAATAAAAGTTCTTTTTAATATAAGGTTAAAAGATTTATAATTATAATTTTTAATTAATTTTTATTTAACTAATTTTTTATTATAATTAAATTTAATTTCTAATTTAATTTAAACTTTTTAAATTATATAAATACTTTTATTTTTATAAATATAAATATTAAATTAAAACCTTTAAACTTAAATTTAAAATTCTTATAAACTTTAATTTTCTTTAAATTAAACTTATAATTTTAATTTTTTAAAAATATATTAATTATTTTAAATATTAATAATTTTTTTAAAATAAAAGTCTATCTTTATATAATTATAAACTTAATTATTAATAATTATTTCTTTTATTTATAAGTTATTAGAATTATAAATTTAAATAATAAAGTATAGTTATCTTACTTAATTATCTCTTAATTTAGTAGTATAATAAGTTAAGTAACTACTTTTAAATAGTTTTATTTATAATATAGTGGAGCTAATAAATAGATATTTACTTAAGTAGAGTTAAAACCTTTAAAGGAATAATAGCTTTATCTTCGTTTATTTTAATTAACTTATATTTATATTTAAGTTATATAATAAATTTAATACTTATAAATAATATTTATTAATATTAGATTAATTTATAGTTTATAATAGCTTTAACTTTTAATAAATTAATAATATTAACTTAAATTAATATAGTTTAATATACTAATATAAAAGGTATCTTCTAATAATAAATAATATTATAAATAATTATAAAGTTATTATAAAAGTTTTATATAATAAATTTAATTAAGTTAATTTTAAAAATATATTATATTTTATTTTTAAAATCCTAATTATTTATTTTTAATTAAATAATAGAATTAAAAATATAAATAATTTATATAAAATAAAAGTAAAATTATATTAATATATAATAGTATAATTAAATTAAAAGTATAAAGATTTATTTATTATATATTAATAAATATTTTTTAAAAACTTTTAAAATAAATAAAAATAATTAATTATTATTATTTTAAATTTAAAAATTATTATTATAAATTATTTTTATTAAAATATATTATTTTAAATATTTATTTCTTTATATATTAATTAATATAATATATAAAATTTAAAATTATTTTATATATTATATATTATTAATTTTAAAATTTAAAATCTTTTAATATATATTATTTTAATAATATTTAAAGTTATTTTAAAATAATTTTAGTTTTAAAATATTATTTATAATTTTAAATTAAAATATTTTATTTAAAATATATATTATATTAATATATATTAGAAAAATATAATATTATAACTTTATTTTTATAAATAATTTATAATTATTAAATTGAAATAAAATATAAAATATTATTTTAATATTTTAAATTAATAATATATAAATTAAATAAAAATTAAATATAAATAAATAAAATTTTATAAATAAAAATATATAAAAATATAAAATATTTTAAAATAATATTAAATAAATAAATAATATTATAATAAAAGTTTAAAAATAATAATAAAATAAAATAAATTTATATTAAATTTATAAAATATTTATATATATATAAACTCTTTTAAGTATAAAGTTAAAAACTTATAATTATAATTTTTAACTAATTTTTATTTAATTATTTTATTATATTATAACTTAATTTAATTTCTAGCTTTATTTAAACCTTTTTTAAGTTTATTTAATATTTTCTTTTAAATAAATTAAATTTAAATTAAAACCTTTAAGTTTAAATTTAAGATTTTTATAAATTTTAATTTACTTTAAATTAAGTTTATAATCTTTTAGTTCTTTTAAAAATATATTAATTATTTTAAATAATAATAACTTTTTTATATAAAGATTTACTTTTATATAATTATAAATTTAATTATTAATAATTATTTTTCTTTTATTTATAGTAAATCTATTAGAATTATAAACTTAAAGTAGTAATAGAATATAGTTATTTTATCTAATTATATCTTAATTTAATAGTGTAGTAAGTTAAGTAACTACTTTTAAGTAGTTTTACTTAATAGGTATTTATTTATAAAGTAGAGTTAGAACCTATATATATCCTTAATTAAAGGAATAATAGCTTTATTTTCACCTATTTTAACTAACTTACTTAAGTTATATAGTAACCTTATATATAATACTTAATAGTATTAAAATTAAGCAGCTTATAGTTTATAATAACTTTAACTTTTAACGGATTAGTTTATATTAAAGCTAATAGCGCTAACCTAAACTAGTATAGCTTAGTATATTAATATAAAAAGGTATTTTCTAATAATAAATAGTATTATAAATAATTATAAAATTATTATAAAAAGTTTTATATAATAAACTTAATTAAGTTAATCTTTAAAAATATATTATATTTTATTTTAAAACTTTAATTATTTACTTTTAATTTAATAATAAAATTAAAATAATATAAATAATTTATATATAATATAAAATATAATTATAATATTATTAATAAATTATTTTATAAAACCTTTTAAATTATAATTTAATAAAACTTAAATTTATTTAAATAAATAAAAAAATATAAAAAAATAATATTTTTTAATTTATATTAAATAAATTATAAATAAAACTTATATAAATTAATATATATAATTCTTTTATAATAAAAAATATAAGTATAATATATTAATTACTTTAAAAATAATTATATATTATATTTAATTTAATTTTCTTTAATTTTTAAAAAAGGTAGAACTCTTTATCTAAGACTAGTCCTCCTACTAGATATACCTTCTATCACTATATATTGTGGTGCCTAGGGCTGGGAAAGTACGATTGAGTTAGGTAGGGGTGTTTTTAAGGAGGCTAATTCTTAGCGATTAATATAGGGACTCTCTCCCTCCCGACACATCAATAAACTAGTTGGGCTGGCCCCAATCCCACCACTCCCATTTCTATCTTCATGGAGGTCGTACGCGGATTGAACGATATACATACTCGCGGCCCTCTCTTCCCTCTCTCCGACCCGGAATCAGAATCTAACGAGAACCACTACACACCAACCAACCAGAACCGAGACTTCGTCGACTTGAACGACAAGTAAACCCTCCTCCTTCTTCAATAACTTCCTGTCCGAATCTCCGAGATCTCCTCCCTCCCTTTAAGACCGCCGAGTTAGCATGCCTATTTAGCTTAAAGTCGTCGTTTGGGACTAGAGTCGCCGTTAGGAGCTTGCGAAGCCGTCTTCCGCCGAACCAGGAGGACTGTAAGCCTTTATGGCCTGAAAGCTATTAGTCGGGACTAGAGAATTAATGTGGGATGGAACTCTAAAGTTGGGTCGAGGAGTTGGCTGCTGCTAGGAGCTAGGAGCTGGGAATGCCCTCATTTGGGCTCGGGGTCTTCGCCCTGGGTAAATAGGGGCCTCGTGTGGTGCCTGGGGCTGGGAAGGTACGATTGGGTTAGGTGGGGGTGTTTTTAAGGAGGTTAATTCTTAGTAATTAGTATGGGGACTCTCTCCCTCCCAACATATCAATACAACCAGTTGGGCTGGCCCTAATCCCACCACTCCTATTTCTATCTTCAAAATCTTAGAGAATATACAATGAAATTAATTCTTTTGTTGATAATCATTTGCAGAATCTTGCAGACATCAACAATAGCTACATAGCTCAGGGGAAGAGTGAGTTGACTTGCATCCACGAAAAAATTGCAATGTGTACTAACGAACATTCAGGCGCCGGGCTCATAACCCGGAGGTCGCTGGATCGAAACCAGTTGTAGCTACTTGATTACATTTTTTACATTTTTGCAGAATGGTTTTTGGGTGGTGATTTAAAGTCATGTATGCACTCCTTTTTTGTGAGTTGAATGCCTGTGGTCTTTTTAATGATCTTTTTGACTGTGAGTTTGGTCCTCTCGCTGACTTTAGCGGCCTTGGACTGACTTGCATTCCACACTTCTTTCAAGACCACACCACATATTATGCTTGCCCACACATGCAGCATTTCAAGATGGTTACAGTCCATTCACAATCATTATTCAAGGCCCAAGGCCTGTATTTAGTAAACATCGCAGTTGTGCAATTCATACATAATCAACAACACAGCAACACCACAACACCACAACACCACAACAACAACTCAACCAAGGTTAAAAGCATCAGCAAGGCAGATCAATTCCAGGCACGGTCTCAAATGCCACACTTCACCACAACACAAATAGCCTTCACCTCGTCTTGTCATAGAAATGGGTATCATATATGTACACATAAATCCTAGCTCTACCTACACCCCTTTTTACCATCCACCCATAGTACTCGTGAGCACTAGAATAAGTACAAGTCATCAAAAACATTAAGGTCTAGCCGTTTACGCCGGCAAGCGGGTAGAAGCAACGTTTTCCACGAAAGAAAAAAACAACCAAACCCGCCGCCACATCACATGCACCTCGTCTCTTCCCCCCCGTCTCCCCTGCTTCCTCACTGCATCGGCCTGTCCGCCTGGCTAGCCCGCCTCTGCATCTTGCGCATGGCCTCGCGGTGCATCTCCATCAGGTCGCGGTCCGACCGGATGCGCTGCTCAAACATGCGGCCCGCGCGCTCCCGCTCGCTCTTGAGCGTCGCCTGCTTCTGCGCCTCCGCCTGCCGCTGGCCCATCATGAAGCTGCGCTGCGTGTCAATGTCCCGCTGCACCTCGGCGTCGTAGCTCTGCCGCACCACGTGCTGCGGCAGCGAGTTGGCCGACGACGTCCCCGGGACCCCGTAGATGGAGTTGATCAGCGGGCCGCCGCCGCCGCCGCCTGCACCACCGCCCTGCTGGGTGGTGGCGCCCGGGTTGAACCCGCCGCCGTGCCCGAGCTGCGCGTTCGCGTTCACCGCTGGCTGGCCCGCGGACGCGCTGCGCAGGTCCTGCTGGACGGACTGCCTGAAGCTGGCGAGCTGCGACTCGCGCGCCGCCTGGCTGGGGAGGTTGGACGTGCGCTGCGGCTGGTGCGAGTTGAAGTTGGCCCCGCCCACCAGCGAGCCGCTGTTGATCGATGTCCTGCTGTCCTGGCGCATCATCGCCTTGCGCTGGCTGAGCGGCAGGTCGTCGGCGTCGATCAGGGCAGGCCCTGATGACATGCCGCCCATCTCGAAGCTCCTGCGGCTGGGCAGCGCGTTCCCTGAGCCGCTGTGGTTCCGCCAGGCTTGGGGTGGGCCCATCGCCGCTACGGATCCGTAGGCGGGCGACGGTGCGATGCCGCGGACGGAGCCGGATTCTGATGCCGAGTTGGATGAGGGAGGGCTGACCTTGCCCGCTTGGACCGAGTCTGGTCGGAGCACCGATGCTTTCTTCCGCATCAGCATGTCGCGTTGTCCGATCAGGGTCTGTGGGCTGTCATAAGAGACCAGGCCGGGCACAGGTGGTCTCGATGAAATGTGTTTGGCCGCGGGGGGGCTGCTGTTCCCGCTCGCGGTCATGGCTGGTGTCCCGCTGACTGCTTCACCTGTCAAAGCAGCCGCCGCCGCACTCCTGGCAGCGTTCCTGCTGTCGATACTCATTATGGACCTGGTGTCGTCGTCCTCTGCCATTGCAGATATGGCCCTTCCAGAAACGCGCCTCACGTCTGAAGACACTCGCTGGGCCGGTGAAAGGTGTCCTTGTGCAAGGGCCGCTTGCTGTACTGACATCCTCGAGACAGATCTGGGCATGGCAGGAGGTGGAGTGGCGTCCAAGGCCGTCTTCTTCAGCTCATTCACGTCCACCGGCGCTGCTTTCTCCTCAACCTCTTTGACCTCGATAAGCTCTGGCTCCGGCTCGTGTGGGATCCGGAGCTCGGCCGGTGAAGGCATCTCGGCGTTGGACAGGTGCTTGGCCCATTCATTGGTTCGGTACGACAGTGCGACCTTGGACAGCCCGCGAGGAAGTCGATCCTTCGTGAGGCTCACCGGGACGGAGGAGGTCTCTGATGCAATCGACTTGCCCGCTTTAGACACGCTCTCCTCGTTTACAGGCGATGCATCTTCCACTTTCTTTGCGTCTGCCTTCTCTGATGTGAGCATCGATTCTAGGCTTGGCTTGAGTGTGGCGTTCGCATCTGGAGACTTTGTTGTGTTTTGGTCGGCTGCCGATGACTTCAGAATGTCAGTTGAGACAGTCGCTCCCGAGGCCGGTGTCTCCGCAGGGGCCTTCTCTTGTGTCCTCTCGCCTGCCAACTCGGCCTTGATCTCCTTGTTAAAAGGTTTCTCATCAGTTGGTGTCACTGCCCTGATGCTGCCCTCGTCTGACCCATCCAGAGTAGCGGCGATGGACTCATTGTCCTCCTTCACGGGAGACGTCAAATCCTCTCTACTCGCGCTCTTGCCACGAGCCGCAGTGTCCATTCTCCTCCCCAATGATCGCTGTGATATCCTCCGGAATAAGTCGACTGACCCGACTGATAGTCGATTCACAATTGAGCTCCTCCTGCTCGCGGTGCTTCGTGTCTCCAGAAAGTCACCGTCGTGGTCGGCGATCGCAGCCACAGAAGATTGGTCGTCGTCACCTCCTGCCACAGTCTCGGCAGCCTCAGCGGGCACTCGGAAGGGAAGCGACACGAGATTTGGCGTTGGCGTCGAGGACTTTGCTCTGAATTCTGCAGACGCTTTGGGGACGAGTCGCGCCTCTCCATCATCGCCAATGAGCCAGAACTTTTCTTCGTTTTCGGCGGCCGGCGAGCCGAGTGTATCGTCGTCAGCAGCAACGCGGACAGTAACCATGCCATCTGCGCTCCTGTCGAGGACCTTCTCTGCTGCCGTCTTGGGCTTTGGTGGCGGCTCGGGCCGTTCCTCCACGAGCTTCGCCTCGGCACTGACCGGAGATTGCTCCTCGACGATTGGGATCTCGGCCAACTCAATTTCCTCTCGCTCGTCGATCGTTGAGCGGCGGGTTGCCGTGGCGGTGGTGGTTGTACCACTGTTCCGAGCCTTCCTTTCGTGGTAGATATCCCCGACATTAGAATCTTCCGAGGTGTGCACTCCCATGCCGCTCTTGCTGCCATAGACTGCTTCCCACTGCTTCCTTTCGCTCGCAGTGGCCATCTCTACGTCCCTTCCCACGTTTGCTTCATGCTCCTGGTTTTCGGCTTCCGCTCTGATGCGTTCTTCCTCTTTCTTCGCCCGGTGTGCCTTGACAACGAGCCAGAGCTTGTTCTGGGAGACGAGGCCGATAAGGGCGATGATGATGGTAACAGCTTGTTCGACTTTGATCCCCCTGGTGAGCGGATATGTATCGGCACCAAAGGGGAACAGCTTATCATTAATGTTCCAGACCCACGCCCAATACTCCTTGAGCCCAGCACGGCTGAAGCAGTCAATCCCCATGACAACTGCAGTTGCCCCGCTGAGGGAGATGCAAGCGATCATGAAATGGGCTCGCGTCCATCTGCTGAAATAGCCCGCAAACGAGGCAGCCGAGAACACGGCGATGAATATTGTCACAGGAGCTCCTCCTGAGCCGAGCAGACCACCTTCCTTCAAGGTTAGAAGCCACATGGCCAGGCAGAACCCACCCAGCAAGCAAGCAAGGCATTCCGTGACCTCCTTGAAGACAAGGGCGGCACCACCGAGTAACAGTCCCGTGCCTGTGGCTGCGACAACGTAGGCGCCCTGCACACCATTGGATATGGGTGGGTTCATGACATATATGATGAGAACTGTCACACCGACGGCGGCCAGGAAACCGGCAGAAAGGAAGCAGTGCAGCCACCGGGTCTTGATGCCGATGAGGGTGTAGGCAGTGCCCGTCAAGATCAGGATGACGCCGGCGACAGAGAACCCCGGAGTGACGCGGGGCTTCAAGGGTAGTTCACCCGCAGCAATAGTAACTAAGCATCATGTCAACACGATCGTCTTCTTCGTATGCTGGCAGGACATCGCTTACTATTAAATAGAGTAGAGTTAAGATCAGTGGTACCGCCTGTCACTGTGGGCACTGGAGTGCCCGTCTCGGTTGCAGATATCGAGGATGGTATAGGGGAGCTCTCAACCCCGGAAATGGCGGAGTTGTCTGCTGAAATTGTGAAGGATGCCGAGGCAGCATCTTCAGTGGTAGATGAGGGTGCGGCCGAGGCAGGAGCGTCGGTTATAATATCATCCTGCCGTGGAAGGGGTTGCGCAACACCCGCGAGGGCGACGTGAAAGCACAGGAGGAAGCAGAAGAGCACACCCCATATCCCTGGTATCCGAGTAGCCCTCATTGTGTGTGACTGAGGAGACCTTGGTATTACTGGTATTTCCCGGTTGGCCCCTCACAGCTCCCTATATGCCCAGGTGAGGAGACGAGAAGACTCTGTAGGGAAAAGAGAAAATCCACCGGGTCTAGCAGGTGTGCAGGCGAATGGGACTCATCATCCGTCAACAAAAGTGGGAAAAGAGGGCACGGGCAGGACGGGCAGGACGGGGAAGAAGCTCAGGTAAAGTCGGCCGAGAGGCACGAGCACTCGCTTGAAGGTGGGAGATCAAACAATATTGGCCGAGGAAACAAGAGGGCTGGACAGAGCAAACAGAGTTTGGCGTAGGGGCAATGGGTCTGAGCTAGACGAGACGGACTGAGGATGTCGATGTAATAGTGAAGGACGGCGAAGGAAATGCGGGCAGCTGGAAGTCTAGGCTATGGAGTACGACGTTACGGCATGTACTCGATACTCGACGCAAGGAAAAGCCGGAGTCGGAGAAGTGTGGACAAACGAGTGGACGAGAGGATACCGGTGTAAGGAACGACAAGGCCGACTGAATGCTGGCAAGGCTAAGGGACGGATCGATTGGGCGATCAAACCTTTGGAGACAGACCACAAGAGAGAGAGCGCGGTGCGATAGCAGCCAGCGGCAGGAGGGGAATAAAAGAAAGGCGGGCAGGAGTGCATCTCTTCAGAGATCGACCCCAGGGGATGTCAACCCGCCCTACCCATGATGCCACGAGAAATTCCCCCTTCTGTCATCGTGGGCCTGAGGTCCTCTGGGGCAGGCGGGGGTCATGGGTTGAGGTTTCATTGGAGGGTCCTGATCATGGGCGACGCACACTGCCCACTGCCCACTGCCCAGGTAGGCAAGTACATGGCCACAATGGGACAGACCCAAGGCGTTCAACGGCAGGCCGGGGCCCACATGAAAAAGAGCCTGCTGCTAATAATGCGAATGCCCAGATGGGATATAAAGCGTGGTGGTTGCAGTCACAAGGCCGGGCTCATCTCTCTTCTGCAGCGCTGCCCCGTGCAGCATTGGGTCCGTCCCATTGAGTACCATTGAGGCGCTGCGAAGAAGCAAGAAATGCATCCGACTGGTCGGTTGGGCGATGGGAGATTGCAGCAGCAGCCAGGACGCAAGAGACGTCGCAGCAGATCGGGACGAGAATGTAGCCCACCTTGCCCACCCAGCCCACCCAACAACAAGGTTTTGGCCGATGAACGGCAGGTACGCGGCCACTGGGCACCGGGTACGCTGTTCCGCCAGAGCAAATACCACTGCGCGCCCGTACCACCAAGCAGAAGCACATGTCATCGACCGCATGCAGCTCTTGATGAGGTCGGCTTTGGGCTGGCTTGAGTCAGCCTGTCAGCCTGGGCCTGTGGGTCGTTCCATATCCTCTCGCCCTGTCGCCTGACATTTGGCACTAATTTAGATCGGACGACTGGGATCTACCCGTGCTGCCGGGCGAGCACGCGGGTACCTAGGTACTTAAGTCAAGAACCCAGGTAGGTATCTGCGTGCCGTTGATGAGCGAGGACAAGCTCTGCACCGGATACAAGTTTGAGTGCTTGAATTCTGCAACGTCCTTGGGGAGTTAGTTTATAATTGAGTTACCGCAGTAGCCAGACTGGCTTTTTGGCAAGGCACTCAGAAGGCGAGGCAGTATTGTGGTAGGTGCGAGAGGGTACATGTTACCTGGGTAGTCTCAGACCCCAGTCCGTGGTACCTGAAAGACGGCAGGGATGTGCCACACAGGCGCCAGCCTTGATCTCCACCTTCCAGTCAATCACGCCCCTCTGGAACGCACCTATGCTGTAGTCTGCTGCAGCGACGGAAATCCCCATTTGCGCTTCCATCCAGGCATCATCACCCCTCCGTCAGAGTGACTGAGCCATGAGCCATGAGCCAGTCCTGCCAGCTCACTCGGGTATGAAAACACAGAGGTCGTGCAGTCGATCGATCAGCTTGCGGTCGTCATAGCCGAATTACCCTTCCTACCTCCGAGATGCTTCCGCGCTGCTGGGGACGCTAGTGGGCATGCTGGCGCGAACTATTACCGTGCACGCCTGTGACCCTCTCCAGGTCCTCCCAGGCAGAGGGCCGGTTGCGAAAGACATGCACAGACACACCGGTCCTATGCAAGCAGGGCTGGCAGGAAGAGACAGACAAGGCCGTATTGCAAGCCCTGCATCACGAAATTTATCTCGCAGGCGAATTGCTGCACGCAGGCAGGCCGAGGGCAGGCGCCTTGCAGCCAGCGCTGGCCCCAATCGGGATGGCAACGTGCCGCTACTACACCTGTGGACGTCCTGCGCGAACGGACCTCTCCCTCTGGTCGCGTCGACACCACCCATCATCTCTCTGGCGTGAGCTCAAGCTCGAGAGCTCTCTGGTACCGAGGAGGACGCGTCGCGCCCAGCTTGACCCGATATTGCCGAATGTTGCGAAGCTGGGCAGTCCAGGTGCCAGGGCAAAAGACGGACCTCAGTCCGCAGGCCGCTTAGGACCATTGAGGAAATTCTGAACAGAATCAGCTCTGATGCGAGCCATCGGAGGTTTTTTTCCTCATCGTGTTACCGGGGGTGCCTGGTCGCGCCTTACGGCCGGCACCCTTGTGTGACGGTTCGTGTGGGCCTCGCTGGTCTTCAGCACTTCCACACTAGGATGGGGAAACTTGTACGAATGTCTGTCCAACGGCCAAAAGCTGGCAGCTTGGGCCCGAGGCTGGTTAGCTGCGAACGGCCGCCCACAGTTCTGCAGATACCACAGTAATTCGTTCGCTCATGTCACACAGAGCACCACGCGTCGCCCTCCCTCTGGAACGGCGTACGACAGACAACCTCAGCAGCCCCGGGGGTCGGAGAGGCTCAGATCAAAGAATGGCAACACCATCTATGATTCTCCTGGCACCCCTATTCCTCTCCCTTGCCGCATCGCATGAATCCCCCATAAACTTGCTACATGCCTGGGTCCGCCTTAAGATCTTCAGCCACGCTGCCCCTCGACCTTGCCTTGCGGGCTGGTCCCGGCTTTAGAGTTTCAGGTTGGGATGGAAAATAGCAACACAGAACAGGCTTCTGGAGGCCACAGCCCCACCCCCCTCCGCCTCGGCGATTTTTTGAGCATTGGCCAACCGGATTGGAGCACAGGCCTTGAGAAATGGAACCACTTGGCTCCTGACAGTAGCTGTACCGCTGTACTGTACACTACACTACAAAAGTACTTGTCTTGGACCCTTTTCTTTTCTTTTCTTTTTTTTCCACCTCTTCAGCAGCTGTGGAGCCGTAGAGGACCCACTCCTTCCCGAGATGGAGACCGATAGGCGACAAATTGGCATTTTGGCCACCGCGCGAGTTGCACAAAAGACTGATGAGCCAATATATAGCCGCATCGGGTCTCTTGCACGAGCAGCCGGCGCATAATGTGGCTGTCCTGTCTCGTCAGCCTCCCGCACCGCCAACAAATGACAAGAAGACCCAGGCGGGGAAGACAAGACCCGCGTGAAGAAGGCCCTGATAGTATCCCTCGCAGTACTCCAGCAACTACTTTAGTAGATATCAGGTAAAAGGGGAGGGGGTACTTGGGCCTCCGTCATGCCACGCCCACAGACGCCAGCCACCTCCCGCCGAGCTCGCATCTCAGCTTGCCAAAAGCCCTCGTCGCCGTCTGCATGAAACCTGGCTGCGCGGCCCCGGCCGCTCTGCGGCGCGCTGTGCCTTGTAGGTACTCCGTAGATACTCACTTCACCCACGGACGTCCAACAAGGTACATACATAGACGTCATGACACCCGATTGGCAACACGAGGGCGACGAGGAAGAGTTCCCCACTTAGACACAGGGCCAGCAAGCCCGCATTCAATATTGCTTCCAGGCCGGCGCGGACTGCGCAGGCCAAAGGCGGCCTAGCACATACATAGGAAAATCCAAGGCAAGAACAAACGGCATGGCACAGCCTTGGGCATGAAATTGCGAGCACGATGCTATGTAGCCCCGTTCATGCCCCAATTCGGCTCCCGGCGCCCTGGGACGAACCGTACACTATCATACGAACGAACAAACGGGATGGAAGGGGCCATGTCAGGAAGCGTAGCAGTTCATCGCAAGACTCTGAACGATCCGCATACAACACAGTACACTAGATACTGTGCATATTGGACCTCATCTTCCCTCCTCGCGTTAGTGGTGCTTATTAGTTTCGGTGGAGGGGGAGGGGGGGGGGATGTGATCGAGCGCACGGACAGGCCGAACCATCCGGTGTATGGCATGCTTTCGCCGGACAAAGCTTCAACCTGCACGCCCTTTGCGAGGCAGGGTATAGGAAAGCATCTGCACGTTTACTAGCCGGTTGGGTCGAAAAGAGGCACTGGAGAACAGCGAACAAGGTCGCCAAAGATCGAGACGGCAGTGGCACGCGTACACGTGGACTCGGAAGAGGCTGGCCTTGGTCCCTACGGACGTAGGACAGGTCCAAGCCCAGTCCTGCACGACATCGTGATGGGAAACGGACCGTCACCGCCTGCAAGTACCCGCGAACAACAGCAAAACTTGGAAATCGGCACCTCTTTCGACAGAGTGTGACCAACACCATCACCGCCACTAAAACAGGGTTGGGACTGGAGAATGTGAGTGTCGATTTCAGATGCGTGGTAGAGTTGGCACCTGCATTTGTGAGACAGTTCTCACGCACGACGTCTTCTTTTAACCTTCGATGCCGGTCACGTCCCGGCTTCGCATGGCCAGTGTCCCGACTAATTCCAGAAGACAAGAAATTGGGCGAGGGATGATCGTCCACTGATGTGGCCCAACATAACTTATGCGCTTGGGCCAAGTTGAGGGAGGTGGGAGGCTGGCAGCTGCATGCCACCCTCTGAATGAAATGTGCACGCCGCGAAGCATTAACCCTATTTTCCTCAAGCTCACCCAGTCCGGGTCGAACGAAAAGCGGACGCCTTGCAGACAAAAACTGGCTTTGAACTTGCATTTCTCCATTGCACCCCGTCCCCATTGAGGCGAAGTTTGCTCTCCATGCCGTTGACTCCGTGCTTTACCACGTCAACCACCGGGCACACAGGTTTACCTAGGTCTTTCGATAGGTGCTGTATCCTTTGGTATCATATCTCAAGGTCCCCATGAAACAAAATAAGTGCTGTTGTTCTTTTCGAAGAAAGGAAATGAAGCGAAACTCAGAAGGGCGGTGACCTCAAGGGCTATACCTCCTCGACAGTCTCGATGGAACTCGATCTCTGTATCTGTCCCTCTCCGATCCGGAGCCGGGTTTCGAGCCCTTACCGTAGCCCCGTGCCGACCGTCCTGGGCCGGACGACCGGCCGTCGTTCCTCACCGCGCTCTTGCGGAGCAGCAACACTGCCACCATCTTGAACGGCCACATCACGAGGTACAGAACCACGTGGTATGGTATCAAGACAAAAGACACCAGGGACTCAGCACACCATCTCAGAAGCGCGGTAAAGCTCCACTGCGCCTGGTTGCTCTGTTTTGCAGCTGCCGCTGCTAGTGCTATCGCATCACTCAGTCGGGTGTCCACAGCGCCTAGCCGCGACTCTGTCTGCAAGGCCAAGACTGTGGCCTTCTTCTCGTACCGCCTGACCGCACGGTTCAACGCGTCCAACTCGGGCTGGATCGCGTTGCGGACTTCCCTGACGAGTGCCGGGCCTTGCTTCAGGCTGCTGTTCTGCTGTTGTTGCTGGCGCTGGGCCGAGATTTCGAGGGATTGTGCGGTCACTGCCTCGGCGGCCTCGGCACGGAGCTCGAGTTGCGCGACGCGGACACGCATCTCCTCGAGCAGAGCTGTCGTCGAGGGGGGGGTGGGTGTGAGCCTGACTATCCTTTGCAGATGCAGGGTCCGGGCCTGGATGAGCTTGAGGGCGTGGGATAGAGGGCGAAGCTCAGCTGCAAGCAGAAACACTGAGATGTTGAAGTTGGTAAGGAGGCCTTCCGAGGGCCGGCTCAGCTGGTTGCGGATAGCATGGAGAAGGTATGCGCCAATAACAGGGCTAAGGAAGCAGGACAAGAGGGCAAGGACCTCATGGACGTAAAGCTCATTGACAGCTGCCTCCTGGGACTTGGTGCGAGTGGGCTGGTGCGGAGACGACATCCCCTCCAGTTTCCTCCGCGTCTCTGGGTCCTGGTGCCTCGGCCTGGGGGGCTGTTGGTCATCCTGTAGAGACTCCTCGGGGACATGGTCGAGCGTCACGACCGAGCCCCTCTTGCTCGGGGCCATGTCCAGCTCACTCTCATCATCAGACACGTGCTCCAGCCCAACCTCCTGCCTGATGCGTATCTCCTGGGCCGTGTGATACCACCGCCATGGCTGTGTGACTGTATATCGAAGAAAGATGAAGACCAGGCCCAGCAGCATGATATCGGTGATGAGCTGGTTCCCACCCTCGAAGAGCACCCCAACAAGTGCCGGCAGCAGTGCAAAGGCCATGGGCAAGTTGGCCAGGGCACCGGAGCTGTCCTGGGCCATGTCATGCCTCACCCCACTTGGGTTCAGAATATCTTGGGTGCCATCTCGCATGGAGCGCCGAGCTTCGGATAAGCTAAAGTCGGAGAAGGTCGAGCTGCGTCGCTGGGGGCCGCCGGGGGGCGACTCGAGATGCTCGGATGAGAGGGGGGAGGCCAGGGAGGCACCGCCGCGGAGCCGCGAGACCTCGTCCATGGTCATTGAACGGCGGAAGGTGTGCCCTGGGGGACCAGCCGCAGAGGCAGACGTGGAGTCGAAGGTGGAGGGCGGCGAGAAGGAGGTGGTGGTCGCACGGGGGGAGGTCGGGCGACCCGGAGGAGTTGACCGGGCCTGGTGGGCCGGGAGGGTGTCCATGACGACTTGCCACGTAAGACAGGACACACCTTGGTGGTTGGAGACAGACTACGTGAGCCTCATGTCGGGGACAACGGATGGATGGGAGCAAGACATGGGATGAGGGAAGGCGGGGCCGCGGTGTGATGGTGCGACCGGTTGAGCGAAGGGGTGACGGGTTGATTGTGTGTACTCCGTACTGCATTCATGGCTCTCCCGCCCTTAGCACGGGAAGCAGGGCACTTTTGCGGGCAGCACAGCGGGCAGCACAGCGGGCAGCGCGTTGTGTTGTACACACAGCAGCTGAGCAGCTGTCTGGTGAGCCACGTTACCCAAACCGGACAAGGCAGTGGCGATCCTGCGCGGCTGGCGGGCTGAAGGAAGTTCAAAGGCATGCAGCGTTGGAGAAAAGTTTGGGGGTTTCGCCAATCACGACGTCACTACTGTACTGTGATAGGGTCTCCTTGGGCCTGTATGCCACGCCTGCGAGACGCCCCAATCCAGTTGGGATTGTCTGCGACTGACTGACTGACTGACTGACTGACCGACCTGACTGTTTACACCAGAGAACAACATTTGTTATGCGATGCAGGATACGACTATTAATCCGACTTCGGTACACCGAGACTCGCGCAGAGGCAAGAGTGGAGAGCCCCGGACTGTGACCTCAAAATGCCCGCCCGGCAGATCCGCAGCCTCGTTCTGGATACGAGCTCGACAAAACCACTGGGCAGCAACAAAAACGGCCGGCAAGCCCCGGCAGCCCTGCAGCTGGAGCCCGGAGATTATCGCGGGCGTGCTGCGGGAGAGCTTCGTCGTCGGTGACAGCACAGACTCGCGAGTCGCAGAGCATCGGCAAACAACAGCTCGGCTCAGCTCTGCTCAGCTATGGCGGTCAGCCTATTTATTTTGTGGGCTCCCGACAACTCGGGTGCGCCCCAGCCTAGTCCTGTGGGAGCTGGCCAGGGTTCGGCAGCCGCCTCGGCAGGGATATCCGGATTCCATGCAAGGAATCCTTCGAGATTGCACCCATTTTGGCTTTCGATAGTGCCCTATGAGGTCTTGTCCACAGCCAGGGTCCTCTTCCCAGATCAAGTGTCTGCGTGTGCTTCAGGAACGCGACGATAACAGGGCTCAGCCGGCCAGCAAGCCAGCCAGCCGGTCATATCGCAATCGTCATGGCTGATGAGCCTTCGCAGTTGGTCCACACTCCACAACAGGCAATCCCAGCAATAAGTGTGTAGTAAGCCACGTGCTCTCGTGTGCTGTGATGACGATGCTGCGGTTCTAAAGTTGTTTGTGGGCTCTGCGCGGTGGGTTGCATCCCGTCGTGATGCGCGCATTGAGGCTCGGGGACGACGAGATGACCGCAACGAAACCTACGCATGCTCTGCCTGCTCTGGCGAGAGAGCCTTGCGCGCAAGCTGGTCCCAGCCAGCCCTACGCAGCAGGCCCTGCACGGGCGGCCGTCCAACATGCATGACGCTGGTGCAGGGCTTACACTAGATGCGTGCCTATCTTCAGGGATGCGAGGTCATTCTCGTCCAGCTCCCCCAGCATATCATCCAGCAACAAAATAGGCAATCTGGGCAATCTGACTGTTGGCCCCCCGACGCTAGCAGCCGCTGCTATATTACCACGGCGAAGGGGGCAGAATTTTCAGAGAGCAGGGCAGATCAGATCAGATCAAACAGGCTTGATCTGACCTGACCTGATTGATTGATTGATTGATTGATTGATTTATTTATTTATTAAACAAACATTGACCGGACCTGGCGGCCATTTCCTGGGGGAGGACGAAGACGCCAGACACAAGATCCAAGACACACAAGACTATCACACGCACATCCAACAAACAGCCTGATTGCTTACGTGTGAGTGTGTGTGCGGTCGGACGCGGCTCGGTGGCTCACGGAGACGGTTCAGACACCCGCGATATCGACTCACATGGCCTCCTGTCTGTTCATAGACTTTCGAGTTTCACTTGGACCGACGCCTCATCAGTATTACCCGGTCGCTGGCCCGCGCCACCAGACATAAGCGAAAACCATCCCTTCTCTCTCCTGCTGGTTGTGGCTGTCCGTGAGAAATCGTTGCCGTCAGCACCCGACAGAGCCATCACTATCATTCATCCTCTTGTCTTTCCTCCTCCTCCTCCTCCTCCTCCTTCTTGTTCCTCATCCTACCTGTCCTCCCCCCCCCTATCCGTCTCCCCCACGGAACCCGCCCTATCCGGCTCTGGCTGTCGCGCCTGTGTTGGGGCCGAACCATAAAGAGGGACCAGGACAAGGTAAAGAAAAAGACACAGCTGAGTCGGGCAGCACGCACGCGCATGAGAAACAGTCGACGACTCAGGCTCCTGTCATGGTAGCATTTGGGGTTGGAGAAGACTCCCGCAACCATCTGGAATCTGGCGTTTGCACTCTGCCCCTGACCCTTGGGTGCCAGATCTGGATCTGGATTTGGATCTGGATCTGCCAGCTCACCTGTGCTGCATCTGACAGTTCTGGCTGCCAGGCTGCCGCCCCTCTCACCACCACCACTGCCACGCCTTTTTCTGACGTGCATCCGGCCCTCTGGACACTACTGCAGGTCAAGGGGCGGGAGCCGCCGCCATTGTCGACGGCGCCTCCTTCGCTTTCCACCACCTGTCCTTCTCCGTTTCCGTCCTTTTCTACCGACCCAGAAGAAGTCTTGCTCGCACGGGGACACCGAACCATAGTTGCAGGTGGCAATCGGGGTCTCAGTCACCAGGTTCTGATCCTGGGCCTGAGTCGGCGCCGGTGCCTCTGCCCTAGCAGGCACATCTCAATTTCCGGCCCTGCTCCACTGGTGCAAATCTCAGGCGAGCACAGCGCTTGCCCACTCGCACGCCAAAGCCTCTGCTGGCGCCGTTGCCGCTTGTGCTTGGACCCACGGCAGCGGACTCGTGCTGCACAGAAGCTGCGCCTGCACCTGCAATTACGCTCGCTCTCGCACCTGCACCTGCACCTGCATCTGTTGCACCTGCGTCTGCAACTGCAATTGCAACCGCAACCGCAACCGCAACTTGCAGCCAAGCATCACCAAGGACGAGGACGAGGACGACCGCACCCTCCTCCTCCTCCTCCTCCTCATCCTCCCTTGATACCGTCTGGACATCTGACCCCGCACCGCCCAACCCGACGGCACGTCACAGGCGCAGGTACAGGCGCAGGCACTGACAGAGGCACGGACGCCGTGCCAGCCTCCAACACCCACCCGCCGAGGCCCAGCGCCGTCAAAGCCGTTCCAGCGGCTTATCCTTCCCAACGGCTTCTCACGCTGCCCTCCGAGATAATCGTCGATCAATTGAATTCACCGCCTTGAATCCTTCACATGTCCGTCCTCACGCTCACGACCACGCTCACGACCACCAACGCACACACGCACACGCTCATGCTCATGCCCACGGCGCCCGGAATGATTCCGTCAGCAACCGTCCCGATCAGCCAGCACAAGTCCAGTTTTCTGTCCCGCCTTTGACGCCCCCAGCTGCCGCTCTCCCGCGCACTCCGCCCCTATCTCAACCCCCACGCCAACACCACCACAACCAACACCAGCGTTTCCAAAGCCACAGCTATCTTCAACAGCAGTCTCCCTTCCGCATCCGCGACTCGACCACCACCGCCCAGCAACACCTCCGTCAAGCCTCCGCCGGCCGGCTTTGGAATCCTACCAACTCGACTCCGCGCTTCCTGCTAGAGTCTCCTCCCCGACGAAGACGTCCTTCCACTCCCCCGCCGCCTAATTTTCCAATCCCGTATCCCGCTCTCGACGTCTCCCTTCCATCCGTCAACCTCGGTGGCGCGCTTGCCATATCCGGAGACACCCCTTTATTAACCCTTTCGGAGCAGCGAGACGGCAGGAATAGTCCTGGCGGCGCCCCACGGAATAGCCTTCAGATTGGCGGGGACAGGATCAGCCTACCCCGATCTGTGAGGCACTCGTACGACGAAAAGCGGAAGAGTAAGGGCACCCTCACCCCGTCGCCGACATTCCCCGAGGAGACAGGCGAGGAGGAGGTCGAAGCAGGTCCGTCGACAAGACCATCTCGGGCGGTGCTGGAGGTGGACGCTGCGCAAACCGGACCGGTCCAACGGCTAAGACGGCGCGACGAGCGAATCAACCCGCACGTGACGGTCACCGAACTGAGCTCCCAGTCCAGCTCTCAGAAGCTCGACAAGGGCAAAGGCAAGGCAGTCATGACGGCCAGCGACGAGAACGAGCAGCAACAACAACCGACGTCCTTTGATCGGGATCTCGAGCGAGGGCCAGAAGATCATGAGCGCCGTGATTCGACAGGCTCAATAGGAGACGGCATAGGATCGGCCATCTCGTCAAGCAACTCCTCCATACTGGGCGACCCCGACGAACAGGCCGACGATGATGAGTGGGGACCTCAACACCCGTGTTTTCCACACCTGAACCCTCATGTGCCGGTCGACTCCCCGGAGTACGTCAACACTCGGATCATCAGGATAAAACGGGACTGGCTGCTCGAAGGCGACCTTGCGCCGACATTCTCCAACATGTATCCGGAGATCCTCGACCCGGCTGGTCTGTCTGAGGTCGAGTTTCGGCGGGTCATCGACAAGCTCAACTCGGAACTTGTTCCGATTTTCAACCCATATAACCCCAGAAATATTGTCGATGGTTTCCTCGGTCTTGTGACGGGATGGTTGTGGGAAGATTTCGGTCTCACGGGCGCGAAAGCTAGGCTTGCCAGGCTGGAACGATGGCTCGAGCGGTGGAACAAGGAGATGGAAAAGACAGCTGGTGGGGACGACAACATTGTGCCGCCCAAGATCGTCCCACTGAGGCAAACGGCTTACATGACGGTGAGTGCGACCTTGACCTGCCTATCTACTGAGTCAGTAGTGACTGATTCTTATGCAGCTTGACATCCAAATCTTTGACCCTGAGATTCTCCCCGCGCAGAGCACGAGGGGCACGGAATCCAGAGGGAACGATAGCCTGCCAGCTGAGCCCGGGCCTGCTGTGACGGCGGACTGAGACGATTACGCAGTGAAATGCATTCGAAGGCTGCTCTAATAACTACTTTAATAATTCGAGCGGCGAGGAACGACTTATGAATATACCCCGAATTTCTTTGTCTACAGCCCTACTAATCTCTGTGCGCAACATGGGATCCTGTACCTGTACAACACCGCATTGAGCTCATGGCGTTTGATTCTTTTGTATTTCGACTTGGAGGGCTAGTAAACGGGGCCAGCAGAGGCATGTACGTGTTCCCAGGGGCGAGTACCTAGATACATAGGTCTCTGAAGGATAAGAGACCTTCGCGGGATTGGGCAAAGTCTGACTCTGCCCATCCGTGACTGGATATAGGAAAGAGCGGTTGTCTCCTGAGTTATTCGATGCGATTGGTGTGAATGAAGCTATCTGAAAAACAGGTACCCAGAGCCACTTCCCTCTCTACCAAGGGCAAGGTCGATGACGTTTTCAGGCGAGAAATGGCGTTGTCCGTCAGGAACCACCAGAAGGCTCATCAAGACCGCCTTTTGAGTGGGAATCAACATGGTATCCACTGGAAGAAAAAATACCAGTGGCGGCTGTTGTCTGCCTACCTGCTGCTGTGACAACCTCGCACCACTTCTAACCATTGACGGACCCCTGCCAAATACCAAGCTCATCAAGACAGTCCTTACTGTAAGCCAGATAATAATTGGAAACCTCCAGACAACCTACAGATAACCCGACACCTCGGTCGACTTCTTCCAGCATAGCGCACCCGCCGATTTGTCGCCGATCCTCGCTCTCCGGCAATAAGGCGGCCGGGATCGAGACGCATCTCCAATCCCCCGGGATCCCTCGATCAGCGGTGACGATTAGACCTTCTCACTTCCCGCACAAAGGAAAGCCCGTCTTCAAATCATTTTCCTCGTGTATTTCCCCTGTCTCAATTGTTGGATACTTCACCAAGACATCAGGGTATAACCGTTGCTGTTATGAACACAATCCCACAACGACCTCGTCGCCGTCTTACCGGTGTTGCTGGTTCAACACCACCACGACCACAACCAGAGCGTCGTCCCTGATTATGGTTGTTACAAAGGGCCTCCCGGACCCTCCTGGCCGAGATGCCGTGCAGGCCAAGGACCGGGCCCAGGCGCCGAGCGACGGCGGAGAACCGCCGGCCGAGACGCAGCACGCCGGCTGGCTTGGGCTCGCACTCAAGGTTCTCAAATTCATCGCTGAGCAATGGCTTATCATAGGGTTTGGCCTTGCTTGTTTGTTTGGGTATTTGTGGCCCGGTAAGAGATGTTTTGTTCCCATCCGCACCGACTAGGGGAATGTGAGAAGACTAATCAGGGTTGTGTTTTTCCTTTCGATAGAGGTCGCATCAAAGGGAGGAGTAATCAGGTCGGAGTACAGTATTCTCTATGGCTCGGTGGCCATCATCTTCTTCGTCAGTGGGCTACAGCTGGCGCCAGAGAAACTGCGCAAGAACCTGTTCAACTGGAGGCTGCATATCATCACCCAGGGCATCAGCTTCATATTGATACCGCTTATTTGGCTAGGTATGTCCTGCACCGGCAAAGAACCAGTATCATCATGGCATGGCATGGCCTTCGCTAATGAACCACCTCACAAGCCATCATGTGGATCATCATCGCCGCCCACGGCACAGATTCCATCGAGCCGGCCATCCTCGTGGGGATGCTCGTGCTCAGCTGCCTCCCGACGACCATCGCCTCCAACGTCGTCATGACCCGTAACGCGGGCGGGGACGACGCGGCCGCCATCATAGAGGTCGTCATCGGCAACGTGTTTGGGTCCTTCCTCTGCCCGGGCCTCATCTACATCTTCATCCCGGGCGTGGGCGAGTTCAGGGACTGGGCGCCCTCGGACGCGTCGGGCATACCCGAGATGTACCGCCACGTCGCCATGCAGCTGGGCCTCAGCGTCCTGGTACCGATAGGGCTGGGCCAGACGCTCAGGGTGCTCTTCCACAAGAAGGTGATGTGGGCGCTGGACACTTTCTGCCTGGCCAAGGTGTCGACCTTCTTCCTGTGTACGCTTGTGTGGTGAGTCCTCCTCCTATCATAATCCGACGGACGGACGATTGCTGAGATGGAGAAAAAAGGTCCACATTCTCCAACGCTTTTCAGACCGGAGCCATCCAAGGCCTCCCGACCCAGTCGATCCTCTTCAACGTCTTCATGAACGTGGGGCTCTACGCCCTCTTCACGGGCGTCTGCTTCGCCGCGGCGCGGCCCCCGCACAGGCTGGTTGTCGCCTTCGAGACGCGCGCGGCGCAGCGGTACCTGCCCCGGTGGGCGGCGCGGGCCATGGCGCCCAGGCAGATGTCCAAGGAGCAGACGGTGGCCGTGTGCTTCTGCGGCGCGGCGAAGACCACTAGCGTCGGGATCCCGCTCGTCGCGGCCATGTGGCACTCCAAGGACACGGAGACGCAGGCGCTGCTCGACATCCCCGTGCTGCTGTACACCATGGAGCAGGTCTTCCTCGCGCAGGTCCTGGTCTATGTCTTCAGGTGGTACCTCCGCCGCGGGGAGGCGCACAGGGAGAGCATGGTGGATATGGAGGCGCTGCGGGCGCCGCGGCGGGGAGGGCGTGGCGGTGGTGGTGGGGTTGAGGATGTTGATGGGGCGGGTGATGCGAGGGCTCCTGGTGGTACTGGCGGGACAACCAGGTTTACTGGTGATGGTGAGGCGAGGAGGGCAAGGGGCTTTGATGAAGTCTCGCTGGAATGACGGGGCTCGCTGTCGCCAAGACTCACTCTGAAGTTACAGATACAGCCTCACCGGAACTCACCCTTACGGAGACGCTCTCGCCGAGACACGAAGACTCGCCTTCACAACGACCCGGCTTTGCATGTATTGGTTTCACCTATTCTATGTGCTAGGTTATATTCGGTTCGGGGAGATAGGGCCATTATTAGCAACTAAACTACACTTGCTCATAGATCCGACAGGACACTCGGAAACTCAATAGAACAATACACGGGGAAAGCTTTCCTTCTTGAGCACTGCTGGTATCCGTTTCTGTGTCGTCATATTGCTTTCTCAGGAGGCGTAAATATCAATTGATGCCCTAGGGTTAGTTTTACGTACCAGAAATATCGTGATGATCCGGACAATCGGCATTCTGTCTGTCTCCGAATTAGACAATGCTGTCTACCTCTTGTCTGGCCGGTACACATAGTTTCCCTCCCTTTATGACCCAGGTAAAAAGAAAGAAATCTGCAAAAGGTTGAGGAGAGAGATAAAATCAAAGATTAGCATTAAACCCCAAGAGATCTTACAGGTCTCTCCCTTCGGAGTCGGTCAGTGGGGTGATAAGATAAATGGGGCTGAAATTGATATCCAAATCCTTTCGGCCCACGCCATCTATCCAACATGGCTTATAACAGTTTGTCCATGGCCGTCCATTGAAAGTCCAGAAACAAGCTAATTTAGGCCCAGGATTTGCGTAGCGCAGGGCCAAGCGTGGTCCAGGCCGTTGAGCAAGAAGGATTTGTCTGAGCGTCTGAGAGCCGATGCTTCTACACCCAATCCGGCCTTGGCCTCTTGCTCCTGGTCATCATCGATGACAGTAATCTCGACCGAACCAGCAAATGCACTCGGCCCCTGATGAGGATTTGAACAGAACACATGGGTATATAAGCTGTAGTCCTTGTTCGTCTATTCATGTATGCTCTAAGACAACGTCTCACAGGCATTGAATAACTGGAGGACAACGACAACGCGAGCTCCAGGATATCCGCGGCAAACACAATGAACAGCAACTTTCTCACGAGCACCCTGGGGAGCATCGCCAGCACTCCCCATCTCCTCCTGGTCCTCCGATCCGTTGTCTCAGTGGTGCTCCTTTTCCTCTCAGGTGCGGTGTAGCCCCCATGTCTCCGCCAGAACCAATCCTGCTCGACCAGGGAGTAAACGAACATCCTCATCCGCAAGCTAACTCACCCACCCACCCACCCACGACAGGCATCTCCTTCTGCATCCGCTTCTGGTGCATCCCCATGCTGCGGCGGTGCCCCCCGTCCCCGACGCAGGTCTCCCAGTTCAGCGTCATCATCGAGCAAGGCCACGCGATCCTGCTGCGCACCTCCCGCGCCCTCGCCGTCGCGCTGATGTCCCTGACGCTGCTCACCGCGGCCCACCCGGACCCGGGCGTCGCGGGCCTCTGGAGGTGGCATGGCTTCTGCGTGGTGATCCTCGTGGCCATGGGGGCGTGGGAGAAGCGCGCCTTGTTCCCTGTCAACGATCGGATCCTGGCTTTTGATCACGATGTTGGGATCGGCGAGGGGAAGGGGAGGAAAGGTGATGGGGAGTTCACTGTGGGGGAGAAGGGGGAGCTCAAGGGGCTCTTGGATATCTGGGCTGCTAGGCATCCTTGGAGGATTGTTGTGCCTCTGACGTGCGGCTTGATCACTTTTGGGGTGACAGTCTCGCAGACCGCATGAGGCGTTGCTTGCCCCCCCTCCAACTCTAGACTTTGGGGGGTAGGGGGGGGGGGGTCGTGATGCTGCGGTTCAAGGTGCATAGGTTCCCGAACTTGTAAATTGAGGCGCAGGCAGCATGCTCCATCATCGGCGCTGTTCACTGGTTGAGACCAGTCGGCCTGTCTTCATTATTGTTGATTATTTCGCGCGGGGATAATATCGACGAACGCCTTCAGAGCCAGTGATAATCAACTGGAATATTGGCTCCCTACTTCCCCTCCCATCTTCTTCGCATACTCAGCATGCACGCCTTTCCAGTGCGCTTCCTGCTGGCCTTTGACAGACTCGTACAAGAGCCTCGAGCAGAAGATGGCCACGTACTCCACGATGCGCAGCCCGTCCTTGTCCTCCACCACCTCCCAGCGCCGTTCCTGGCTGACACCCAAGGCGGCCTGCAGGTAAACGAAGATGCCGTCCTTGGTGTCCGTAATTTGGTAGTGGTTCGTGATTGTCCCTAGACCGGGCAGCAGCTTCGCAAACAACGCCACCCCTGGGACCTTGTCCACAACTTCGTAACACCGAGTGTCTCCTTTCCTGATAGCCTGGACTGGCTCGGGGAGAGGGTGTAGCTTGCCATCCTTGGGCTGCGTGTCGGTCTTGGACGAGATGAGATTTGGATCTGTGTCCAGGAAGAATTGGTGCTCTTGCAAGACGGCCACGGCTTGCTCGGCTGTCACATTCCCCTTGACCTCTGTGGTGTATTGGAGCGTCTGGTCTTTGGCCATCGTGATGACCTGTCTTCGGGGTATGAGCGCTGGGCCTCGTATTGCGCAAAGGAGCCTGTTCCGAGGTTACTGAAGTCCTGCAGCTGCGAACGAGGTGCGATGAAATTCACTAGCAGGTTGGGAGGGATGAGAGGGTTTGATCAATTTGTATGCCACCGAGAATGTTCAAAAGTCTGTTCGAGCTCGCGCATGAAGTGGCATTTGCCGGCTCGTGACAAAACACTGCCCGTTTCGACTCTTCGCTGCCACAGCAGCTACAGGGCATTCAACGTATCCCGGCCGAACTCTAATCCAGGAGGCTCACACCGGATTAACCGGCCCTCCAGTGGTGCTGTGCACCGAGAAAGCATGAACTGAAGGCAGAAAAAGTGATTTCTGAGCTCTATAGGAAGGTTACAATCTCACGGGTTTCACTGCAGCTTTGCTTGGGCGTCTGTCACGCCGCCATAGCATCGGTGAGCTGACTGCCTGGACAATGCTCACTGTTAGACCTCGGGAATGATAGACTTCATGTAGGATGACCTCTGATAAGAAGCACCCCTACGTAACTAAATTCATTGGACTCGCCTATGCGAGGCTTTCCTCCTATGGGATAAACTTCCATGAGGAACTGGTTTGAAGTATGTAAACAAAAGGTGCTCCACAATGACGTCTGGGGTCTTTGGCCATGGCTGGCTGTTACCGTAAGTAACAGCATGTGAAAAGCCAGCCCGCAGGCAGATGAATCCGATAATCGTGTGTAACCCAGTTTCCTGCGTGCATAGGGAATCTCGGTGGACTGCAGATCACGCGTATCGTATGTGGGTGTTTGTGTGTTGAAGCTGCGTTGCGTTTCCAGCACGATAATTGATGCTGGTGGGAGCTAGAAGTTTCGAAAAGCTATCGACTTTAGGTACTCCAGGTACCCAGCTATGCAAAGTAACATCATCAACAAGCTCGCCAGCTCCCGGGAGCTGCCTGTGCCCCACATTGATGCAGCAAGGCGGGGTAGAATGGCGTCGCACCACCAATCATGGAGCTAACCGCAGGCTGAACGCCCTCCACTTCCCTGGCCGTTGACCTGCCAGCTCCAAGACGGACGTACCCAGGTACATGACCCCGTTGGCAGAGGCAAACCGCCCGTCTTTGAAATTCACTTCATCACCACCACCTTTGTCATCGTTCCAGCAAGAGCCCACTGCTCAAGAACCTGCACTTTCTACAGAGCGTTTCGCTGCCATACACGCCACTACCCGAAAGCTCCTCCGTTCTTCCGTCCATTCCTGAAAGGCACCTCCCGCGCAATTGTCGAGATCCTACGCCCCATTTGATCAATCTCACGACTGGTGACATCAAAAGCACACACCTACCAACATGAGCCTCGCACGATCACTCCGAGGCTCGTGTGCCTGCAACAGGAACCAGTACCTCATAAAAGCCCCTCAGGATGCTAGGGAGGTGGCACAGGTGCACTTTGGGACCGAAGCATCTCATCGTAAGCACGAGCTGCACAAAGCACCCACAGCATGGCTCCGTCGGACGACTACAGCTAACACGCAACCGCAGGTCTCGCCCAGGCTAGTCTCCTGTCGGCACACCTTCGTATCCCTCTGAACTGGTTCTACTCTGCGACCGTGGCCTACTTCCCGGACGAGACCGCCAACACCATCCGCCGCGTGTACGAGAGCCCGGCCGAGAACCACGCACGCCGCCAGTTCTGCGGCTACTGTGGCACACCACTCACCTTCTGGACCGAGCAGCCGCACGGCGAGGGTGACTACATCCACGTCACCCTGGGATCCCTATGCAGGGACGATCTCGGCGACCTGGACGAGCTGGGCCTGATCCCGGAGTCTCCGAGCAGCGAGGAGAGAGGAGGGGCAGGCGCAGGCGGCGGCTCGTCGGAACTGTCCGCCAGGGGTGGGGGTGGTGGTGGGGGTGGTCCCCTGGAGGCGGCTCAGCAGGCGAGCGAGGCCCAGCGCATCTCTGCGGCGCTGTCGACAGCCGCGCAGCCAATCGGCCGGGAGTCGCGCGGCATCCCGTGGATCGAGAGCCTCGTGGAGGGCAGCAGCCTGGGCGGCAGGCTCAAGCGGGCCAGCGTGACGCGCCGGAGTGCCGACGGCTCAGCCTGGGCCCAGTGGCACATTATCGAGTACAGCGACGACGGCCACGACCAGGTCGAGAGCAGCGAGCATGACGGTCCGCCGTCCGGTAACAACGGGAAGCGGAAGCTGGCTGACAGGGACGACGTGCAACAGTAAATCCGAGTTGGGGGGTACGGTTGGCCTACTGCGCACGTAACATGGCCTTTTACGATACATTACATCCTGCCTCCAATCATGGCCATGCCTGATGTGGCGCACGGCCATAGCGTCATGCTGTATCCTCGCGAAGCACAACCAAAGCCGGCACGGCAGATGCCTGGCGGCCGGTGTCGAAAATCAGGGCCGACGGCACGTCTGTGCCATTGCATATAAGGGGAGGTTCATAGGCGTTAGAGGGCTCGAGGAAGGTGATATTTTTCAGGAAGGTAGGAGTCCATTCAGTCTTGACAGTGAGGCTGATGTGATGGACCAAGTGTAGAAAATGGAAAATAAAGGGTAGGGGGTGTGAGACAGAATGACACGGGGATTTTGGTACGGACGACCGGGCCACAACGGGACATGGGCCATAGAGCTAGCAGATGCACCATAATAGCGAAGTTTTTGAGCAGCTAGAGCTAGAGCACGAGAACAAAAAGAAGGTAAAAGCAACACACAGAAGCTTACTACGAAGTGAGGTGACCGGGACAAGTGCCGTTCCCCGAGCCAAGTGTGTGGTTCTTGACCCGAAGTTCAACCGCCGGCAGGAGACCGCGGCGGTGCGACGGGCTGCAAGGGTGGGACTCGACGGGGTGATGATGCCGGAGGACGGGACGGCGCATGGAGACTACCGCAGCGACAGGCAATGCGGCAGGCGGGCCCTCTTCACTTGTTGGGGCCCTTGGGGATCCTAGGGGTCCCTCCAAGCAGCCACACCCACCCGCTAGTTGCCGAGGTTTAGGCGCCTGAAGAGGACAGGCGCCGCGACGCTCAGTGCTCACGGTTGGACGGCCCGGGACGCAGGCCCATGAGGTTTGGTTTTGGGGGGGCTTTGTGGGCTTTGGGGCGGGTTTTCAAGGTTGCTCCTCGGCTTCGCTGCCAAGCCACGAGGCTTGCTCAAGGATGAGACGGTGTTGTTCGTTGTGTTGCGTGCCTCGTGTGCCTCGTGTACCTTGGTCGGACAAGAAGTGTGGCTTCGGGCATTTTGGACAGGTACAGACCCCGTGCAGGGTGGCTTTTGGCCTTTTTTGGGGGGGAGAAGAGGGTGTGTGGGAGCACTTGAGGGCGAGGGGAACCACCACCGTCTGTCTCCGAAAATCCATGTGGGCTCCTCCTCATGCGTGTTACCCCGCGCCCAGGTGGGTAGGTGGGGTGCTTGGTTTTGGTGGAGTGGCCGTGGAGAGCAGGAAGCCGAGGGCTGAGGAACCTAACACGTTTCGTGGCACGAGTGCCAAAGTATGGAGACGACAATCCCGAGACTATGCCTAGCTTTTCTCGGTCGTGACGGTCCGAGAAACGGGCAGAGTCTGGGCCAGGCACTCCGTACTCCGTAGATCCACTAAGCTGTCTCGCGGCCAACCCAAGTCCAACAGGCCAGCAGGTCATTCGCCCGGTCCAGTCTGCCCACTTCCTCACAGGCCCCTACCCTAGGTGGATATTAGTGGTTGTCGTGGTCTCACCCAGCCCTACTAGCCTTGTGTATATTGTGCAATAAATATATATATAAGACGTATATTCTCCCACATCCACATCTGTGTCTACCAGCACCTTGTGTTTGTCCAGAATTGGTCAATTTCTCCCTGTGGCCACACTTACAACATCATGTCTCTGCCCAAGGACTTCAAGTGGGGCTTTGCCACGGCAGCGTGAGTCTGACGAGTCCCTGATATTTAGAACCTGACCAAGTGGCCAGAGGCTGACGCTGTGAACAGCTACCAAGTCGAAGGAGCCACCGAGGAGGACGGGCGAGGCCCCTCTATCTGGGACACCTTCTGCAAGATCCCAGGCAAGATCGCCGACGGCAGCGATGGCTCCGTGGCCTGTGACTCGTACCACCGCACGGCAGAGGACATCGCCCTCCTGAAGTCGCTAGGAGTCAACTCATACCGCTTCTCTCTCTCATGGTCTCGGATCATCCCCCTTGGTGGCCGCAACGACCCCATCAACCAGGCCGGCCTCGACCACTACAGGAAGTTTGTAGACGACCTCCTCGACGCTGGTATCGAGCCATTTGTCACGCTGTACCACTGGGACATCCCCGACGCACTGGACAAGCGGTACGGTGGTCTGCTGAACAGGCAGGAGTTCCCCCTCGACTTTGAGAACTACGCCCGTGTCGTGTTCAAGGCCATACCCAGGTGCAAGTACTGGATCACCTTCAACGAGCCCTGGTGCAGCTCCATCCTGGGCTACAGCACGGGCTACTTCGCCCCGGGCCACTGCTCGGACCGGTCCAAGTCGGCCGTGGGCGACAGCTCGCGCGAGCCCTGGATCGTGGGCCACAACCTGCTGCTCGCCCACGGGCGCGCCGTCAAGGTCTACCGCGAAGAGTTCAAGCCCACCGACAAGGGCCAGATCGGAATCACCCTCAATGGCGACGGCGTGTACCCGTGGGACCCCGAGGACCCCGAGGATGTCGAGGCGGCCGACCGCAAGATCGAGTTCGCCATTAGCTGGTTCGCCGACCCCGTCTACTTCGGCAAGTACCCGGACTCGATGCGCAAGCAGCTGGGCGACCGCCTGCCCGAGTTCACGCCCGAGGAGGCGGCCCTGGTCAAGGGCAGCAACGACTTCTACGGCATGAACCACTACACCGCCAACTACATCAAGCACAAGACGGGCACTCCCCCCGAGGACGACTTCCTGGGCAACCTCGAGACCCTCTTCTACTCCAAGAAGGGCGAGTGCATCGGCCCCGAGACCCAGAGCTTCTGGCTGCGGCCCAACCCCCAGGGCTTCCGCGACCTGCTCGGCTGGCTGTCCAAGCGCTACGGCTACCCCCCGATCTACGTCACCGAGAACGGGACGTCGCTCAAGGGCGAGAACGACATGAAGCTCGAGCAGATCGTCGAGGACGACTTCCGCGTCAAGTACTTTGACGGCTACGTCAAGGCCATGGCCCTCGCCTCCAAGGAGGACGGCGTCGACGTCCGTGGCTACATGGCCTGGTCGCTCATGGACAACTTTGAGTGGGCTGAGGGTTACGAGACAAGATGTGAGTATATATCGATCCACATGAGTGCAAACCGTGGGCCTCCTCACGTTTCAAATGTAAATTAGTAACTAACATCTTCCGCAGTCGGTGTAACATATGTCGACTATGAGAACGGCCAGAAGCGCTACCCTAAGAAGAGCGCAAAGAGTCTGAAACCACTGTTTGACAGTCTGATCAAGAAGGACTAAGTACCAGGTCTGAGGGGAATGCTGATGATAATGAATCTGTGGATGATGTTTCAAACTTATATATGGACGGGCGTAGTGTATATCTTTGGTTGACCTTTGACACACTCCAGTGGTGACACCTAGGCACTCATGATTAATTACATAGCCTGTGAAAATTTGAGAACTGACAACATTTTCCCGAGGTCTCCAAATTGTTGAACTACGTGAATTAGTTGCAGTCAACGGCGGAAGCTCTCGGCTGTGAATAAACATTGGCCTTGCGTATGTTGCGCCCATGTTATAACCGAGGGCCCTTAGCCCGGCTCCGTGAGGGGAAATGGCAGCCGGTGGAGTCAACGACGATCCCGAGGGAGTAACCAAGCGGCAACGTGGAGTACTGTAGTCAATTGGGAAAATGACGACGGTACCGAGTGAACGGATGAGGGGGCACAGCTGCGCTCGGTTGGGGTTTCTAGCCTCCTTGGCCCGAGTTGGCAAATAGAAGGATCGGCTCTCGTCGGTCATCTCCAACTCCTTGCGCTCTGTTCTGCATGTATCTCATCCCAACCTCCAGCGAGAAACGACATTGCTTCTCTCAATACACTCGTCGCGGATTGCCTCGGAACTGATAAGATCTCTTGTTTGCCTTCGGTGTATTTCATTGTGCTGGTTGCACAATAGCTTCTCCCGTCGCACTCCCCTCATCAGCCGCTCCGCTTACTACTTAGCCGGACTTGCAACTCGTATAATCACTCCCTTCTCCCATAACAAGATATAGACCTCGGCTCCTGACCCCTATATATTGGGAAGTTGCATAAAATATCTTTGTGCCAACAAAATACTTGTGTCCAAATCTCACAACAAGAAACCATCATGTCTGGCCCGCCGTCTCGCCTCAAGAGTATCCTGGGCCACCTCCTCCCCTCCCAGGCCTCGACCTCATCAGCCAAGACCGGGCAAACATGGCAACACAGCCACCACATACACACCCTCTCGCCCACCTTCTTCCTCCCGCGGGCCGCATCCATCGAGCCCCAGGCCGAGGCGATGGTCCACATCACCGCCAACGGCTCCGTCCTGCGCAGGACCTACCAGGAGTTTGCGGACCGCGCCAGGGGGCTCGCCTACTACTTCAAGACCCACGGCTACAAGCGGGTCGGCGTGCTGGCGCCAAACACGCCTGCATTCTTGGAGTGTATCTACGGGATCGTCGCCGGGGGTGCTGTCATCGTGCCCGTGAATTACCGGCTGAAGCAGGATGATATCAGCTACATTTTTGACTTCGCCGACGTGGATATCATTATTGCCGACTGGGAGTTTGAGGGCCTGCTGGCGTCCTTCAGGAAGCTGAAGCCGGGCGTGAAGATCATCATCGACACGGACACGGATGCCACTGAAGGAGAGCTATGTGGGCCCTTTGATGAGGTTGTGTCTGAGGGCCTGACATATGACCGGCAAAACGGCAGTAAGGGCTGGGATGGCCTGTACATCTCGGCTGAGGACGAGGATGAGATGCTAGCTATTCCATTCACATCGGGGACAACATCTCGGCCAAAGGGTGTGGTGTATTCACACCGTGGTATGTTCTGTATCCGGGCTCAAAGCAGAGACTAATTCAGTGTGACTAGTATGCTAACAGAGCCGCACGCACAGGTTCATATTTGGCAGCCATGGGTAACATTATAGAGTCGGGGTTAAATACCCAAGGCGGACGCTGTAAATATCTCTGGACGCTGCCCTTGTAAGTACTGCCATATCTACTCTCTCAGTGAACCGGCCAGGACGCTCACCAGCACTGGGCCAGATTCCACGCCATAGGATGGACCTTCCCCTGGTCGGTAGTAGCTGTGCGCGGGACCAACATCTGCCTGCGCAAGATCGACTACCCCTTGATATGGCGGCTCCTCAAGTCAGAGGGCGTGACGCACTTCAACGCAGCGCCGACTGTCAACACGCTGCTGTGCGCGGACCCCAACGCAGAGCCTCTCGAACGGCCCTGCCAGGTCACAGTCGCGGCATCACCACCGTCAGGGCACCTGTTCGAGCAGATGACGAACCTGAACCTGCACCCGGTGCACGTCTACGGCATGACGGAGACATATGGGCCTATAACAAAGGGCTACATCATGCCGGAGTGGGACGCCCTGGACCCCAAGGAAAAGTACCAGCTGATGGCGCGGCAGGGCCACGGCTTCGTGGCCAGCCTGCCGGTGAGGGTGGTCAAGACAGACCAGCCAGACGAGTCTGTCCTCGTCGACGTCGCCAGGGACGGCAAGGAGATCGGCGAGATCGTCTTCTTCGGCAACATCTGCTCGCGGGGGTACTACAAGGACCCGGAGGCGACGAGGAAGCTGTTCGCGGGCGGCGGGCTGCACTCGGGCGACCTGGCGGTGCAGCACCCGGACGGGGCGATCCAGATCCTCGACCGGGCCAAGGACATCATCATCTCGGGCGGGGAGAACATCTCGTCGGTCGCGCTCGAGGGCATGCTCGTCAAGCACCCGGACGTCCTCGAGGCGGGCGTGGTGGCGGTCGCGGACTCGCACTGGGGGGAGAGGCCCAAGGCGTACGTGACGGTGAGGGCGGGCAAGGACGTGGCCGGGAGGGACGTCGTCGACTGGGCCAAGCACCAGAGCCAGATCTCCAAGTTCATGGTGCCCCGCGAGGTGGAGATTGTGGCCGAGCTGCCCAAGACCTCGACGGGCAAGATCAAGAAGAATGTCCTGCGGGAGTGGGCGAAGCACGGCCAGCACAAGGAGTAAGCGCCAGAGAGCAGGATGGTGAAGGTCGGGCCAGTGGAGGGAAATGTCGAGTAGACCAGGGCACAGAGATACACACAGCCATCAGCCCGCTCGTCCGGCTTCAGGCGGGTCGCGAAAATAGCTCACCATACATAGATCCCACGGGTTGCGTATCCGAAAAGAATCACAACATCTTTTCGGGCCTTTTACAGATCACTGCTCGCCCAGCGTCGTTGAAGTTGTGATATGGAGCCTTACCAAGGGACAAAGGAGCGGCGGGACCCGGGCCGCTCAGCCGAGTGCAGGGGTGGTGGATAGACGGGCAGAGGTTCCTGAAAAGTCACTTCATCTCTGTGGTAATGAAACGCCTCATGTATACGTATTTTTCCTGTTTCTATTTTTTTTTTCTTCTTTTTTAATACTTGTTACCTGTCTTTTATATCGCTCTGTTGCTGAAAGAGAATTTGTTGGCCTCAGAGGGTCATAACTCTTTGCACACTCCTGGACAGGTTAATTTTTTGTTCCGTTGCGAGAAGAGCTTGTGATCAATCTGACCATGTGGGCGCCAATATCCACCTGATTTGTACAGATGAATCGAAGACTTGCATTCTTCTGTGGTTCCTTCTATCCATTGACCCATCGAAGAGTGGATAGTAAACGTAAAAGATGGGCAGATCTCACTTCCAAGGTTGCACATGGTGTCCCATCTCAGATCTGTCACCTTCGGAACGGCCCGCCGTGGGGGATGGAGAAAAGACCAGCAGAAACAAAACCCACTATATCATCTTAGCAAATGCGGAAAAGATGGGGAATAGATTACCTAGGTACTATCCTGAGTCGATAGTTGTGCAGACTGCAGGCTGGACAACGAATCGGCAACAGGTCTAGATCTCCATAGGGCGAGGGTCCCTGCATTAGTCCCAGATCGACCTGCACAATGCAGTTCGCCAAGTCTGAGCAGGGGTCCGCCTACTGCTCCGAGTCTTTGACATCATTGCCCGGATCTTTAGCTTAGGCTTGCTCTCACATACGGGCCTTAACACAGATGCCCAATAAGACCATCAGGCGGAAAGGCATTATCATCAGGAGAACTGGTCATCATGGGCAAATCAGCCAGAGTCATCTACTGTAAGTCACAAACCCGGAACATGTCCAGATACAGCAGAAAGTCTCACATGCTCGCAGGGTTCAGGACAGACCTGCGTCTCCACGACTCGCCAGCACTCAAGGCAGCCCTGGACCTCAACCCAGAGTGCCTCTGGCCCATATTCACGTGGGACCCTCACTATGTCTACCGCGCCAAGGGGGGCACCAACAGGTGGCAGTTCCTCCTGGACTGCCAGAACGACCTCTCCGAGTCCATCACCAAGCTGAACAAGAAGTCCAAGCTCTTCGTCCTGCGCGAGGGGCCCCAGACCCTATTCCCCAAGCTCTTCAAGGCCTGGAAGGTGACGCACCTCGTCTTCGAGAAGGACACGGACGCCTACGCCCGTGACCGCGACCACGTCGTCGCCGAGGCCGCCAAGAAGGCCGGCGTCGAGGTCATCATCAAGTCGGGCCGCACGCTGTGGGATAGTGACCAAATCGTCAAGGCGAACGGCGGGAAGCCCACCATGTCGGCGGCACAGCTCCGGAACGCGGGCGACAAGTGCGGCAAGATGGCCAAGCCCATCCCTGCCCCCAAGTCCCTGCCGGACCCGGGCGACATGCCGGTGGATGACCTCGCCAACGAGCACGAGCAGCCGCCCTCGGACCCAGACTTCAACGCGGCGTGGCGCACGCTCAAGGATAAGGGGTATACCAAGCTCGCGGGGCCGAGGGGCGATTTCGCGATCGAGACCATGGCGGAGCTGGGGTTCCCCGAGGCGACGACGCCGCACCGGGGAGGCGAGACGATCGCGCTTGAGATGCTGGACAAGGTCATGGCTGACGTGGAGTACGCCGCCACCTTCCGCAAGCCTGACACCAGCCCGGCCGCGTTCGAGCCGCAGTCGACCACCCTGCTGAGCCCCTTCCTGCACTTCGGCGCCCTGAGCTGCCGTCTTTTTTACCACAAGGCCCAGGAGGCCTGTGATAAGTACAAGGGCAAGGCGTCGTCGCCACCTGAGAGTCTGACGGGGCAGCTGTTGTTCCGGGATAGTAAGTGGCCGCATCTGTAGTTCAGTTCTTCGCCTCCGGGAGACCCGTGAGGTCATCATCCTCTCTTCAACCATATATATACTTATACCTCACGCCCTTGAAAATTGAAATAGAGAGGAGACTAACAGAGAGATTTTCAGTGTACTTCGCGGCCCAAGCAGCTCTAGGCCACGCAATGATCCAGACAGCGCACAACCCCCAGGTCCGCTTCGTCCCCTGGCACCTCCCCTCAGTCCTCGAGGCCAGCACCAGCCCCACAGACAAGACAACCAAGGAGATCACCACCCCAGGCAAGTACAAGATCGACAACCAGCAGGCGGAAGAGTGGTTCCAGCGGTGGAAGGCCGGGACCACGGGCTTCCCCTGGATCGACGCGCTGATGCGGCAGCTCCGGCACGACGGCTGGGTCCACCACCTGGGGCGGCACTCGCTGGCGTGCTTCCTGACGCGGGGCGGCTGCTACGTGCACTGGGAGCGCGGCGCCGACGTCTTCAGCGAGCTGCTGCTGGACCACGAGCCCGCGTGCAACGGCGGCAACTGGCAGTGGCTCAGCTGCACGGCCTTCTTCGCGCAGTACTACCGCTGCTACTCGCCCGTCAGCTTCCCGCAGAAGTGGGACAAGGAGGGCCGCTTCGTGAGGAGGTGGGTGCCCGAGCTGGAGGGCGTGCCGGCCAGGCACATCTATGAGCCGTGGAAGGCGCCCATCGCGGACCTCAAGAAGGCCGGCGTCAGGCTCGTCGAGTTCCCTGGCGTCGGCGAGGAGATGGCCGAGGGGACGTACCCGAAGCCCATGTTCGACTTTGGCGAGAGGCGGACTATCTGCATCGCGAGCCTGAAGAAGGCGTACAGCGTTGGCCTGCGCGGGGATGACAAGAAGGTGCTGGACGGGAGCTGGAGGGAGCTGTTTGAGGGTGGTGGGGACAACGAAGAGGTGATGGGTCTGACTGACCAGAGCGACGATGGCAGGGATGCAGATAATGGTGATGCTGGCAGCAAAAAGTCCAACGGAAAGCGGGCAAAGGCAGGGCCTATGGACAGGCATGTGAAAAAGCAGAAGACATAGCCAATGGTTGAGATCCTGGTGTCATCGTGATGAACTACACGGACCCGTCAGATGGCAAATAATTTCGACTACCTCAGTTCATGCGTGCCCAATATGCCATGGCAACAGTGATGAAATTCTACCTTTCTTGGCAAGCAATAACGCCGGATCCTGTATCCCAATGCTCCAATGCACATGAGTAGCTGCCGAACTCTCTTCCCGGCAGATGCAGCTTGCCTCTGGGGCTTGTAATGTTCTTGTGTGTTCCCAAGTGCTTTGCCATTTACATATGGCCATGCTTCTCCTCCAGCTCTCTCATGTACTTGACGAAGGTCTTCTTGTGTGTCTGTTTTCCCGGAGTCAGCTTTGCCGCCACGTCTCTCAAGTTGGAACGGGTGGGGAGGAGACGAACCATGCCCGCGTATTTCCCGTCACGGAGGACGCAGATATATCTCAGACCCAGTTTTACGAAGCACTCGTATACAAGGTCCATCGGAGAGTGGATATCCAGAGCCACAGGTGCCTGTTGAAACGTTTAGTTGCGAATTTTGCAATTTTCATCGATAGACTTACCGGGTCGATGTATCTTGTGAAGTCAGTGGGATCAGGGCCACCATCGTCTGAGTCGTCAATGGAAGGCACTTGAGCCATGAGACACAAGTCTGAACCCTCGTCCGCGAGCTGATCCAGTGCGAATTCCAGGTCTGGTGCAGGTATCAACCCGACCAGCACGCCGTTCCTAAGGATAGGCAGGCCACCGTCGATCTCGCCAGCAGCATGCAGACGTTCGAGCTTGCTTCTCAGGCTGGCGGCTGAAACGAGGGGAGAACTGGTTACGTCGATTATCCTCTCGCGGCGTACCCTGGGCACGAGGTCTGCGAGTTCGGTCGTGAAAATCGGTTTGTGCTTGTTGTTGAGAAAAGGATACGAGTTCAGCTCCGTCAAAAGGTCCTGATAAAAATTAGTATGCTACTTTCATCCCAACCGTGATAGTTCTACTCACATAAATGCTCAGTGGCTCGATGAAATCCGATGTCCATTTTGCAACAAGAATGGCCAAGGAAAATGGCAGCACATAATCAAGGCTTCCAGTGAGTTCAAACAAGATGACTGTTGTGTGTTAGCTGCCTGTTATGATGTCTTAAAGGTAACATCCTGGAAATCTACAGATCGTGACAGGCGGGAAAACGTGGAAGTAGGAGTCTTGTGCTTACCAGCCAAGGTGACAGAGAGCCGAGTCACACCACACATGGTGGAGCCGGCCGCGATCAGGGCATAAACACCAGGCTGGATGCAGGTAGCATCCCCTATCCGCGAGCATCGATCCCAGACAGGCCATGTGTTGAACGTCATGACCAGCCATTGAACGATATGTCCAATCAATCGGCCCATCAAGCCGCCTACCACCATGGAAGGCACATATATACCGGCTGGGACTTTCTATACAATCATTTCGCGTTAGTCATGCGTCAGAACACCAGGCTTGGGTAACGAGTGTAAGCGGGGATGAAAGGTCAGATAACTCACAATACCGAAGGTAATGACCGTCAGAAAGCCCTTGATGAGGAAAGCAACCAGCAAGTTTCGTAGAACGGGAGGGATATCCACCCTCGTATCTGGACACAAGCCAAGCTCGTCCAGGCTATCATCATTTGGATCGCAAGGAGCTGCAAGATTGTACAGCAGTTTCGCGACCGGCAGCCTCGTAAGCCCGTTCCAGTACCCCATCAGTCCAGTGACCAGGGCCACCAGAATGACCTCCACGACGGGTACCCTCTTGATGACGGAAATCTTGCGGAAAGTCCTAGCCCAGTACCTGGAGGCCTTGATGAACAAGGCGCCGAGGACGCCGCCCAGGACTCCAACAATGACAAAGGAGACGAGCTCAAAGTACTCCCAATCAACAGCGTAGTGAACTTGGAACATGACGATCTTGTGGGTCCCGTACGGATTGAGGAATTTCAGGGTCAGCGCGGCGATTATGCAGCAGAAAAAGGTCCTGAAGAGGGTTTTGGCGGGGAAGAAGTAGGCTACCTCTTCCAGCCCGAACAGGACGCCGCCCAAGGGGGCACCAAAGGCAACGGCAACACCTGCTGCCGCGGCTGCCGAAAGGACTTCACGTCGCTTTCCGTCGTTTCTGTCGTACTTTTCGAAGAGACGGCAGGCGATGTTGCCAACGCAAGTCGCGATATGGACGTAGGGCCCTTCCTTGCCCAGACTCAAGCCGGATGCCACGCTGAGGATCAGGCCCACGGACTTGATCACGAGGGTCTTGACACCCAAGAAGCCGTGCAACACGAAACCGCTCAGGATGACGCGGACCTCGGCGACTCCACTGCCAGCAGCCGAGTAGTAGATCATGGGCGGTGCCGTGGGAGCAGGCGAAGTGCCCTGGCGACGGGGTGAAGCAGCGTCGCCGTTCTCAGGCTCGGGCTCGTTGTCTGCCAACACTGCAGCCTCTGCAGCCAGATTCTCGTCCAGTGTGGAAAGCCTGTAGGCGGAGGGGACGACGGTCTTGGTGGTGAGGGTGAGCAGACACGCAGACAATGCGAACAGGTTGACCCAGACAACATAGACGACCCATTCCCTCCACTTGGAAGCAAAAGGCCAGTCAGCAAAGTATTCGGCCCAAGACACCCAGTCGGTGCAGTCGCCCAGCGGGCAGCATCTCTTCTCGCTCATAGACCAGCTCGTCTGGCAGTAGCCATCCTTCCAATCGAAGAGCACCTGTTCGGAGACGTTGATGGCGTAGGCTATAACGGCAACAACAAAGCCGACCAAGGCGGACAGAATCCAGCCCTGTGCACCGTCGAAGACGAGATATAGGCGGCCCCAGAAGTCGGTGCGGCTCCGCAGAGCCTTGGCGCGGTAGGCATCCGCGATGCTGTCGTGTACCCAGTCGGTGGAGGTAAATTGGTCGTACCAGACGCGGTCATCTTGATATAAGGATGCCTTGGACTCGGACATGGGGTCTTGGTGCTGGGAGATGGCATTGATCAGGCGCGTACCCCACGACCCAGCCCGGCTGTGGTGCCTGGTGGACGCAGTAGTAGCTGTGAAGATGCGAGTCAGCACAGGAACAGGAACAGGGCAGCAGGTAGGTAGCACGAACAGAGAAAGCTACTGCCGGCCGGCAGTTGGACGTTGCGCGAGGTTCGCGGCGTACGTGGCGAGTCGGGCACGTCGTCGGATATCTTGACATGGGACCTGGAGCGTCCAAGCAGCGACGTGCGCTCAGTCGGCTCTTCTGACATGGAGCCTCGGCGGCTGTGGATGCGCGACGCAGGCCTCGAGCGCCTCCTATGGGAGATGGGCGAGTGGGGGACCACGAGATGTGGCCTGTCGTCGTCGTGGTCGTTGTCCATGTTGGGCGGCTGCGGATGGACAGTGTCCTGCTGGTATATTATTACAGCTAGCTACTGGGTAAACCTTGGGTGTCGCCGAGTTGGTGCCCCTCGCTGCATCAGAGAGGAGCCGGACGTGTAAGCATAGCGCGCAGCCGGATGGGTGTTTGATGGTTGGGTGGGACGGCGAGAAGAGGTTCGGAATGGAAGCTTCTTGGCCAAGTTTAAGGGACCGGGAAGAAGCAAAAAAGGCGAAGAAGATTGGACTTTGAGAGTGAGAATGAGAGATAATGATGGGAGGAGGTGACGAGAGGCCCACTCTTTTGCGGCCGGGGCAGACAATGAGGCGACAAGGGACACGCTGGGAGAGCTGGGGTGGGCCGTGGGCCGTCAGGTGCGGGCCAAGTTCGAGCAGCTGCGATGGCAGTGTGTTTGAAGGAGGAGCAGGAAATGGCTAATAATATTGGGGATGATGTGGCACAGAGATGCTGTGTGGTCAGTTGGAAGGTTCGCAGTCAGTCAGTCAGACCAGACCAGACCAGAGTCTGTCGATGTTCAGCCCAGAACAAGCAAGCCAGAAGGCGGTAGGTAGTCTTGATATTGATGGCAAGGCATGAGAGCACTGAGTAATTGCACTGCCGGGCGGCTGGCTGCATCCATGAGCCCTGATCTGCGACAGGTTGCTCGAGAGGACCACCCTGGCAGCGCAGCAGGGTCTTGGCTCAAATGTCCTGCCGTGTTGGGCACATATCTCGACATACGGAGTACACACAGAACACACCGACCAAGGTGGTGCAGGTGCAGGATGGGGCAGATGGATGGATAGGGATGCATTGTGACTTTATTTTGGGGGCACGAGGCTTCGGGTATTGCATCATACCTGGATCCTGGGGGCCCATCCCTCGACCCCTCGGCCTGTTGATTGGAGGCGAGCTGCCCTGGCCCCTCCCATGCCCTGCCTGAGCTGCCGGCGCTGGGCCAGCTTATGCCTGCCAACTGCAGTAAGGCGGTCAGGTCCCCTAATAAATGTTGTCACCTGCCCGGCCCTGGTCAGTCGCCCCAGGGCTGCCGTTGCAGCTTGATGGTTCGTCGCGGGGTTCGACTCAACATTGCTCACCGGGACATGTTCCTGCTGGACAATTTATGTGACGCTGCACGCACATTGGGTTTTCCACAGCTGCATCAGATGTCGTATAGCAATCTGCAATGTTCTGATGAGCTCAATCTGCCAGTCTTGTTCTCTCATTTACTCCGTACATACAGCATCCCTGCCAGTTATGCAGTTAACACGCAGCAAGGACAGACCAAGGCCGCTTGTGGCGCGTGATGGCACTGCCGATACGACGTGTTCGGGCGATAATCGCGGCTCACAGGCAGATCCCGACGTGACCCCAAAACTGTCAAGCTCTCTAGTGCGGGCCAAGGGTTAGCTCCAACCCTGGCAACTGGCTTGTTTGTCTGCTGCCTCTCCCAGTGTGAATAAAGTACGCTTGGCGTCTTGCTAGGCGCATCAGCTTCACATCACGGCCAGCTTGATCCGGGATCATCAGACCGTATCCGGCCTTGACCTGCGCCACTTCACCTGAACCCTGCTGCCGTGGAGCCCATCATCGCGAACGCCATCATCGACGACCTCCTCATGCGGCTGGCCGGAGCTCGTCATGGACAACAAGCCAGCCGCCCCAAAATTCGCGTCCTTCAAGCCCAAGTCTCGAGATCCACCAGCCTCTTCTGAGCCCCCCACATCAAATGAGGCCACCCAGGTGGAAAGGACGCGACATGTTCCAAGGTTCTCCTCCTTCAGACAGGCCTCTGACGGCCCACAAAAGCCATCTGATTCTGATGCACCAAGTGACCATAAGAGCCGCGCCCATCATCGGAGCAGACATTCCAAGTCAGCCTCCCACCATCGCCATCGCCGTCATGAGCGGCACCGTTCTCCCAGTGCCGAGAGGCGGAAATCTCCATCCCCGCCCCCAAGAAAACCAGCTCCCAAGGAAGAGCCCTTGTTCATCACCGACAAACGGGGGGACTCACTGATTGTGAGATACGGATCAAACGATCGATCCAAGGTTCCCACATATCGTCGCTATGGTGCAGGCAGGGTCATGGGGGCGACAGGTCGGCTTCGCCTGATATACGACGGCCCAAAGCAGCTGTTCAGCCTGGGCGGCAAGCTGGGAGACGGCCCGTCCGCGTTTCGAGACAGGAACATCTTGGCCAATGCATCCCGAAAGAAGGTGCAGGTCTTCAGGTTGCGCTCAACGCCAGGTCACGATCAGAAAGAGCTCAACCAAGACTGGTATGATTACATCCCCATGTCGGACTCTCGCAAGCGCAAGAGGGCCATCACTGGGCCTGAAGATGTCTCCGAGGACGATGGGCCCGATTATCGGTCAATACAGGGCAAGGCTAAGGCCCGTGACTTCGTTGACAGCGACCTCGAATCTGCTGGTACCTCGGACTCTGAGAACGAGCCCCTAGTCGACGTGTCTGACCCTGCAAGGCAGAAGTCTATCGAGTCATCTCGACGCGTCAAGGACCATCCCGAGGATGTAGAAGCCTGGATGGCTCTTGTTGAGCTCCAAGAATCGCTCCTCCGACTGGATGAGCACGCTCGCCAGGAGAGGAGTGATGACGAAGCCAAAGGTCTAGCAAGCATTAGAGTCTCTCTACTTGAGGAGGCCCTGCCTTCTGCGCCCGACAAGAAAGGTCGTGAAAGACTGCTCTTGAGACTGATGCGCGAGGGCTCTAGAGTATGGGGCAGTAAGACACTGGCGAAACGCTGGGCCGAAGTTAGTCGCGAGGACGACAGCTTCGCAATGTGGAAGGCGCATCTGGATCATAGGCTCTCCAACATGGCGACCTTCACGTACGGCGAACTGAAGAAAGTGCATGTTGAACGTTTACAGCTGCTGAGGCAACGTCTGGCTGACAATGACATGAGCAGCACCGACACGCTCTCATCAGTCGGCATCTGCAATGAGCTTGTCTATGTCTTCCTGAGGACCACGCGGTTCATACAAGACGCTGGCTACTCAGAGCTGGCAGTTGCCGCGTGGCAGGCCATCCTAGAGCTCAACTTTGCCCGGCCAAGCGATGCATCCGATCTAGAGGCTGAGGATCTGATGTCATCCTTCGCTGATTTCTGGGAGAGCGAAGTCCCTCGGATCGGCGAGGACAATGCCAAAGGGTGGGTGCATTTTGCGGGGGCAGAAGAAATGGCAGATTTACCAGAATCGAGGCCCGATCCACCTGCTGCACCGCCCGGGACGAGAGACGTCTATAAAGCCTGGGCTGCTTTAGAAACGCACCGAGACAAGGCTGCGGGACTTCCTGCTCGAACCCTGGATGAAGGCACAGAAGACGATCCGTTTCGTGTGGTTATGTTCTCCGATCTGAAGCCAATGATGTTCTATCTGCCATCATCCCTTTTGACATCAATGAAAGAGTTGCTGATAGACGCGTTCCTTCTCTTCAACCAATGCCTACCAGCGTCTAAAGTGCCAGGCTCCATGATACAAGAGGCACTCAGCGACCCGTTCGTATACGGCAACGTGGTCGCAACTGAGGAGCTGATCCCGAGGAAGAACCATGATTCGGAGGAAACAGGAAAGAAAGAGCCAAGGTTCACACAACCCAACCGCCATATGGCCTTGTCCACAGATGTTCTTTTCGCGGGAGAAGACTGGTTCAGCTATTTTGAACATTCGCTACCGTCAGAGGTTGGCTTGGTTCTCAGGGCCACGACGCAGTTAGCTTTGGATTTTGGTCTCGAGTCTGTCGGGGAATACAGTCTGGCCGTGGCGTGGAAGCAGGACCCAGGCACAGTCAAAAAGGCGGCAAAAAAGCTGCTGAAAAAATATCCATCGAACACACGTCTGTACAATGCATACGCTCTTGCAGAATGGCGGTTGGGCAATAAAGACGTGACGAGGAAAGTTCTCCTGTCTGCGACGAGCCAGGAACTACCACGGAAGCAGCCTCTGTGGAATACCTTCGCCTGGCTGGAACTTGAAGCTGGGAACAAGCAAAAGTCGTTGGCTTTGTGCGTCTTTTCAACAGAAGATCAAAGAGATCACGACATGGTCGACCGATCACTTGACACGCAGGATGCCATAGCCCCAAGTAAGCTATTGAAGGCGCAGCAAGTGCTATCCTCACAGAGAGACTTTCTGCTCTCCTCCGGGGACCTCGGCCAAGCGTGCGAGTACGCTGAGGCACTCTCCCTGTTTGAGTATCTCTCCAGCGAATCCTCAACGGAACCCATGTCATCGCAACAAGGCAGCATCTCGGCAGCAGTGAACAGCATCCAAGCCTTCGCCTCCGACGTCGCATCCCGCAAGCAAGGGTCCTCTCCCGACCTCGAGCGGCTCCTCCAGTCCACGGCGCACCTCCTCTACCTCCACGCCAGCAGGGGCCCGTTCCGGCCGCCCTTCGTCAGGGACCAGCTGCACTCATTCCTCAAGCTCTTCCCCTCCAACACCATCTTCCTGAACCTCCTCGCCTGGGCCGACACCAGCCTCCTCCTCAACGACCCCGTCCGCGAGGCGCTGCGGGCCCTCGTGCTCAAGGGCCCGCACGACCGCGTCGGCAGCAGGGTCTTCGCCATCCTCCACGAGCTGGACGCGGGCACGGTGCACTCTGCGCGCGCGGCGTTCGAGGCGGCTCTGGACAGCGACAACTGCAGGGGCAGCGCGGGCCTGTGGCGCGCCTACGTGCGCTTCTGCCACCGGCACAGGAAGGAGCTCAGGGGCAAGGCGGTGGAGGTGTTTTACAGGGCCGTCGGCGCGTGTGCGTGGTCCAAGGACGTTGCTATGGGGGCTTTTGGGACCCTCGTGGGGGAAATGGACTCGGGTGATCTGAGGGGTGTGTATGCTGCGATGGTGGCCAAGGGCTTGAGGATCCATGTGGACCTGGAAGAGTTTAGCAAGGAGTGGTCGAGGGCTTCGAAGAGCAAGGACAAATCAAGATTTTGAGAGGGCTGTGAAAGGCAATCACTCACATGTCAGAGAAAATGCTCCCAGACAGTCAATTCGATGCATTATCTCACCGACCAGTGGCCACATGTCCAAAATGCTGGTTGGTCCTGTCAGCTCGATCAGACCGCCGTATCCCAGAGCTTGGATGAAAACACCAGCTGGCAAGCGCCTGCAAACAGCAAATATCTCAAATTTGGCTTTAGGCTTTGCAGTGCTTGGAATGCTTCAAATTGAGGCTGCTTGAACCAAGCTCTGGTATTTCCACCAAGGAGATCATCGTGTGTATCCACAAATCCATACTTTGAAATGGACGATTCTGGGTGCTTACACTTTGATAGTAAGAACCGGCAGCGCGAGCCGCCTTTGAGAAGTATATTCAGATAGGTTCTAAGGCTAAATGGTGGCATTCAATATATTCAACCGAATGAAGATCTATGAATCCAACAAAAGTCATGGCCATGGAGTTGACTTCGCGATTGCAATCTCATGCATTGATACTTGGCTTATTGTTGATGTTGGCAGTCCGAGATGGAGGCTACGCTTCTTCAAATGTCGAATACCAAGAACATGGACCTACAGTTTACCTATCCTGCGGTTCAGTTGCCTAGTGGTACTCAGCCATTTTCACGTTAAGGATTGTGGGAACAGTTTGTGTGTGAGAGACAACTTTGTGTTTTTATTGTCTATATCTATCTAAAGTAGTCCATCTGGGGCGGTTTGATGTTCTTTTCTATCCTGTACTCCTTGCGAAATTAGATGATGCGCTGTGTTGATATAGTCGTGCCGTAAAAGTCGTGCCGTAAAAGTCGTGCCGTAAAAGAGTTGTTTTCTGAATAATGATGCTGTGAGAAAGTTTTGCCGTAAATTAGTTGATTCGCTTAGTTGTAGAATAGTCGATTCGCTTAGTCGTAAATTCGTCAAGTTCGTGTGTCTCTGATGAGACCAAATCCAAAATATCAAACCGCCCCAAGACTAAAATGTGCCCATCATGTCTGGCTTGAGCGCTAGTGTCGATAATTCCCACGCCGTCTGAATCCCGCAGAGTCCGTTCCCAAACCAACACCCCAAGCAGAAAAAAAAACTCCCTCTTTTTTTGAGGGAGAAAAAGTTCTTTCCACCCGAAAGCCCAAGCCCCAAGAGGAAAAAAAACTCCCTCACGATGGCTTGAGAGGGAGAAAAAAAGTTCCAACACCAAAGGTTGCGAACTTTCCGCCTCAGCAAGAGGGGTCCTCGAGGGGGCGATCCTTCACAAAAAGCGTCCGCAGATTCGTATGCCCGGCGGCGATGAGCGCAGCCCGCTGCGCCACGGAGAAGGTGTGGCGGGTCCCGCCCGAGATGCGGCGGTTGGCGACGGCGGTGATCCTCCTGAGGTTCTTGTGGCCGGCGGCGCGCAGGGCGGCGCGCTGTTCCCTCGAGAGGGTGGTGCGGCTCACGGTGATGGGGCGGCGGGAGACGATGGCGTTGATCCTGTTGATGCCGTGGTGTCCGGTCCTGGCCAGGGTGTCGCGCTGGCTCCGGGTGAGCACGGTGCTGCGTACCGTGAGGTCGACCTCGTCGCCCTCCTTACAGCCGTTGATGCGGCGCGTCTTCATCTCGCAACCCTGGACGTGGTCCAGTCCTGTCTTGGGGGGGTTGGCCTGGCAGTTGTCGCAAAGTTTGTCGATTTGCGTGTCGATGACCCAGCCGCACTGCGTGTGCTTCGAGTAAATGGATATGCACATGTTGGCGGATGGTTACTATGTGCTTGTTGAGTGTGCTTTTATCGAGTGTGTGGTTGCTGGCTGAGTGTTGGCAGAGAGTGATAAGAGAGTGATGAGAGAGTATGTGTTTGGTTGATAATGGGAGCCAAAATAATGAGCGTCGGAGGAAGGGAGCCATCACTTATATAACCTGAGTTTGCAGCTAAAACTCAGAGCTATACTGTCGCGCAGGACATCTTTCCGCGACTAATGGCACAAGTATACGCAAGGTCTGCCTGCCTCTCACTACATCGACTGAACAACTAAGAGCTCGCTTGTAGGCATCTAGCGCGTGGATGTATGAACAGGGCACTCACTATTGTGTATAGTCTCAAAAGTTCCAAACTGTCCAGGACAGATATATGCCCAAGGACCATGTTGGCTGGGGGATCAGGGAAGCTTGTTTACTTAGGCACAGGTAGTTGATGATAGCTTCCGCTTGATCTACACACTTGAGAGGAAAGACGAGCTTGGTGAACTGTGCGTCAGTATCACTGATATCAATTGTAATGGCGATGGATAGATCAAGCTTGTCTTCTTGTCATGCGCGCCATATCCGGCGTATAACCCTCAAAGCCTTCCTGATCCTCTCCTCTCGCTCTCTGGCTCGGTTGTTTTTCTCCGCCCCGGGTGGCACCTTCCAGCTCCCGGGCCATCCAGTCAACACAGGCTCGGGTGCTGCTCTCCCCTTCCGGTTGGCGTGATCGTTCGGCTGGTGCACACAGAAAGAGCCACCAGACTTTATGCTCCCAGGTAAACAAAGGGCCCGTAGCCAGGCAATTGAATGGCATCACGGGCGAGAAGGAGAAAGCTTGGATGAATCTCACTTGAAATCAGAGTCAGCGAGCAACAGAAATTGTGTACCCAATATTGACGCGAATTTAGGGGCGAGTGGGTGGAAAGGTAAGTTTTGAAACCGACAGCCCCTGAACTGGCGTTATTCTCGACTTGGATATCACATGGGCCATCAAACTCGCCTGCACTTGATCGCAGTATTGCAGAGTCCGGATGGAGAGACAAGCATGCGCAGGCACCATGGTATTTCCCATCGCAGCAGCCACCTGGTTACTATAGTCATGGCAACCACACAACTTTGACACCTTTTTTCAGAGCCTCCAGCAACGCAGAGAAATATACCCAGTCCCTTGCTGACAAGAAATCATTGCCGTAACATTGCCCCATGTCGGATGGAGCCCGGGTGAAGTGGATACAGACAAAACCATAGCATAGCCCCCAGGCTACATCAAATGTCGTCCGATGATCCGAGCGGTTGTCGTCCGATGTGGGACGTGGAGTCGACGGCGGCTGTCGATCCCATCCCACCACTACCCCACAACCCAGGTCACAGAATCTGGGGTAGCTCGGCAACCCTGCCGAGTGGCTAGCGCAGGGGTTCAATGACGTGCAGCTGGGATGGGAGGTCACCCAGAGGGGGGAAAAGGCGGGAAGGGGGACCTACCCTACCCTAAGCTTGGCGGTCCCTGCGTGCATACGCGTGCCGCAACGCGTGAGCCAGCCCGCGGCGCCACACCACCACCACACTTATGCCGGCTTACCCACGCAGTGCTAACTAACCATGGCTTTATTAGTCATGCACCCACCTACACATTGGGGTAATTTCTCATTATGCAGCTTCGTGACTGTCAAATATTTATTTACCACAGCTTCCATCCAAGTGCAGGCCCACACCACAGTTGTAGGTGCCACGACCTCGCCTCACCAGGGTGGTATCCTTCAGCCTGCATAAACGACCCTGGGAAAACGACTCGTCAGACTCTCGCCACCGCCGGTCCCCCAGCGCACCTCGAGTCATTGTGCCGGCCCCGGACAAACACACTTGCTTTTCAGCAGGAAGTCGACCAGGACCAGGCCCCTCAACAAGCTCAAGCTGCATGTTCTGGAACCCCCTTGGGACGTGTCACCCCGGCATGATGCCCATCACCAAGCACAGCAGCGCAGAACGGACGAATCACAAGCAGGTTCTATTGCTGTCTTCGACTTCCCATTTATCTGCTCCCCGATACCACAGATTCCCACCTCCGCAATGCCCAGTCCATTTCTAGCCAGCCCAATGCATCCGTACCAAGCCAGGCATTCATTGCGTCATGCACATGCCGAACAGTGTGCTCCACTCCCATCTCTGCAGCCAATACGTGTGCAGGCCAGGTTGCAGACCGTAGGAGCAAAAAGAAAAGAAAGAGGAGGAATGAAAAAAAAAAAACAGAATAAAGAGTTTTAGCGCCAAAGGGCATGTTTGAACACCACCATCCATCCTCACCGTCCCACAGATCCCTGTGAGAGGCTCAACAGCCCCTTGGCCGCCCCTCCCCTGAGCGCGCTGGACGTCAGGCTCTCATCCTCCTCAGCATCCTCCTCGGCGTCCCGCTGCCCGCGCCGCGGCGTCGACACGATGGACACGGAAGCCGACGACAATCTCGGTAGAGGCTGCTTGTCCGGCGGCGACATGCCCCTCGTGCCCCCCTCCCCCTCACGCGCCGGTTGCGCAGGCAGCGATGTGGGTGCCGCCGGTGCCGTTTCCGCCGTGGTCTTGCGCTCGTTACCGAGCCGGTACCACTGCTGCGCGGGCGTCGACCTCTCCACCGTGTGCGCCGACATGGAGGGCAGCGGTGTCCTGCGGCGCGTCATCCCGGGGACGGGCCGGACCTGCAGCCTGTCAAGGGGCACGTCGATCTGGCCTGTTTTGACCTTGTAGTTGGCCAGGCTGAGACGTAATCTGAGAATTTCGGTTTTCTGCGGTGACGCGTCAGTAACAATCTCAAACGTGCAAGCTTGCGGGGCGTGAGATGGGCCGGTGGTGTAGACCATACCTGTTTGAGCTCCTCGCGGCTGGTTATCCGACGCGTTTGCGGCGGTGGTGGTGGCAGCAGCTGTGGTGGTGCCAAGGAGTTTGAAAGCGACGGTGTAGGGGCGGCGGCGGGTGCAACGGCGGCAGTGGGAGGCGCAGTGGTGGTAGCAATGGTGGGCGCGTCGGTGTCGGGCTCCGTGATCGTGGTATCTTGGGAGGTGTTGATGCCAGAGACATCAAAGAGTGAGCTTGCGTCGGGCGAGAGGGATCGCCGGTCAGCGGTGGTAGTGGCCTGTGACGCGGGCGGCTCGTTCTGTACTATCGTCAGCACCGTTCCCCGTCGACACACTTGATTCAGGGCAGGGCAGGGCAGGGCAGGGCAGGGCAGGGCAGGGCAGGGCAGGGCAGGTCCTGTGGGCCAATATCCGCGTACCTCGTTGGTGTCGTGTGCCGTCTGCTGCCTCACCGGGGCGTCTGCAACCGTAGTCGAAGCAGCAGCAGCAGCAGCAGCAGCAGCAGCCACACCCGCCGCGTCATCAGAGCACAGCTTCTTGGCAGCGGGCTGCGGCAGCGATGAGGCCGTGGCCGCCGCGTCGTCCAGCGGCCTCTTCCTGGGGCTCCCGTCCCTAGAAACCTGCTGCTTGCGAGGCGAGGGGCTGGCGCGGCGCGAGAGGCTCAGGCTCGCCTCGCGGCTGCCTGCCTTGTTCTTCAGCGGGCTGGCACCACCGCCCGGCGCGGGCGACCTCGGCGACATCTGGACGTTTGCGTCCAGCGAGCCGAGGACGCGTCGCTTGGTTGGCGTCGCGGTTGCGCTCATCTTGGGAGAGGGTGGGTGAGGGCGAGGGCGTTTGTGTGGGGGGACGCGACTTGGACGAGCCACAGTGGATTCGCCACCGCGACAGCAGCGGGCTGGTGCAGCGATGGGACGGGTCGGCGCCTGGCACGGGTCGGCTCTGGCGTGCAAGTCGCGTCGGCAGAGGGTGCTCGCTCACGAGAAGCAAAGAAGAAGAAGGAGGGGGTGGACGGTGGACAATGTGGGAGAAGAGAGGGGGCGGCAGTGTCATGTAGTAGAGGACGTGTCTTGGGGTGTTTTTGTTGCAGTTTGTTGCAGCAACAATATAGTGCTATCCCGCTTCAACTGAACTGACGTGGGTCGCTTGGCTGGATTGTACCTGTAAAGATTGGTAGGCAGTAGGTATGGGGGACGGGGGGGCTGGGGGCGAGCTAGTGGGCAGGGCTGCACGTCGCGTCCTGGAAAAGTGTTCAGCGGGCCCCCCCTGTAACGTGAATTGCTTGTTGTACATATTTACTTGATTGCCTCTTTCGGAAGCGAAACCCCACTCCCGTCGCACAGCCCGTCCGGTGCCTCTGACATGCTGACATGTTATTCCGGAATGTCCATTGCAGTCCATTGCAGCCCACGTCACCGGCCAAGGCCAATCTCAATGTCACCATCATCGTCATGTTATTCATGTTGTAGTAGTAGAAGTATCGTCAAATGGGCATACAAGTCACTTCCCCCTTCCTCCTCCCCTCCCCCCACCAAATAATGACCTAGGTAGGTGTCTCTCCGCAATGCCCTTTATATACCTGCTTGAATATGGCTCTGCACCCCAAAATACAGTCGCTTGCTCGTTCAACCAATGCGACCAAGCCTCCTCGGTTAGATGGTAAAGTAGGCCTCCCAGGAGTAAGAGATGCATTCAAAACAAAATCGCCGGCGGGTATCATCCTTAAAAGCGTCCCCCCTCCCCGCTCCCTTCCCATAAACATCCTTGAAACCCCCTTTTATCCACCTAATCGCACTCGGCAAAACCCGCCTAAACCTGGGTCACCACCCGATCCCTAAACTCCGTCAATTCTCAGGCAAACGCCATGTCTTCTTAATTTTGAATCAAGGAACGCTGAGGACGTGAATCAATGAATATTTCGGCGAGCTCCGCTTGCTGTCATCTTTCGCGCACATTCACACACACACTCTCTCTCTCCGTGTGTGTGTGTCTCTCTCTCTCTGTCTCTCTCAGAAGGTGTTGAGTTCGTAGAGGGACGGGTCAAGCCCCGTGAACGGCTTGTCCACATCCACAAGCATGTCTTCTGTGATCAGCATGTCATCGTTCGGGAACGATGCCATCCCCTCGAAGCTGTTGAGTTCCATGTCCATGCCGAAGGCCGCCATGCCGCTCACGAGTGTCGAGTCATCGAAATTCTGCCAGTTCATATCGATTTCGAGGTTCGCTGTCTCCGGTATGTCACTGTTGGGCTCGGATGACCCGCTATCCTTGCTCGCGCTCGACTCGGGCGTGTCCTCGGGCGGTGTCGTTGACTGGTACAGGGTCATGTCCGAGATGACTCCGCCAGCCGCAGGGTCGAACAGGTGCATCATTGGCGCCATCAGGCTCTGAGGGTCAATGGTTGTGTTCACGAGAGGGTCGACCGCCTGCGAGGGTTGGAAACCAGAGGCAGCCTGCTCAGACACGCTCTTGTCCCCAGGCTTCGGACCAGCCACTGCCGCCTTGTTGTCACCAGCCCTGGCACCTTGTGTTGCGCCTTGTTGCTTGACCGAGGTCTCGCGTGACATGGGAGCCGCTTCTTCTGTGGCAGCTTGCGGCTGCGGCTTGGGCTGGCCCTGCTCGTCCAGCCCGAAGGCTGCAGCAAATGACTGCTGCATGAACTGCTGCGGGTCCTCGTATGGGAGCACGTGGACTTCCTGATGATGCTGCTTGCGCGCCTCCTCCGTCGGGAACCCCGTCTCGGTCATCTCGCATCCGGGCTCCGTACATATAAACGCTGGCTTGGGTGCTGGCTTGGGCTCTTTCTTCTTCAGGTCCGGAGATGTGACCTTCGTCTGTGGCGATGCGTTCTGGCTGGAAACCGCAGGTGATGACGCTTGTCCATTGGCCGTCTTGATCTTCTTGCGCGCGCTTGGGAGCTGCAGCTTTTCCTGAGTAAGAGGGGTTGAGGCAACCCAGAGAGGCTTGCCGTCTGGTGAGGCGGCCCCGAGTGGGAATGGCGGCTGACTCGAGGTAGGAGCTGCTGGTGGTTGTCCACTCTTGCTGTTTGACCTCTGGTGTGCTTTGTTCAGAGCTTGAGTCTGCTTGGCCAGGTTTGCCTCGTTCAGAGGTGTCGGTACTTGGTTAGATCCCGGCTGATCAGTCCGCTGGGGTTGTTGGGCTTGCTGAGGCTGCTGAGGCGGGACTGCCGGTTGGCTCGTTGCAGCTCCTCCGGGCTGAGGTGGCCGAGCTCCTCTCTGGATGGACGCTAGGTCCTTGTGGATGCTCTGGCATAGTGCTTGCGCCTGGCTTATATCTTGCATCGTCATCGTCAGGTTATCTTTCAGGGTCGACGACTCCTTGTTGTTATTATTGGAGTGGTACTGATTCATCACTCGCATACGCTGTAATGAGAGTGATCGGTTAGCACGCAGATCTTAGACTAAATGGAAGGAGCTTGGAACATACCGTTCTGAGGAAAGCCCTCAGCCTGGCCTCGTCTCTGGTTGCTCGGAACCAGGGGTTTATGGCCTTGCTGTACTTGTTGATCTCTTGCGAAATCTTGCCGATGCCAACCGCCAGCTGGTTTCGCATGTCCGGAGTCATGGAGACCTCGGGGAACCTTTGAGTTTCGAAGGACTTCAACTCTTCCTGGCAGATGGCTCTGAAGCGTGCCATCTCCGGCGTTTGGTTCTGGTTTCGCAGAGCCTCATACCTTTGCCTTGCCTCTGGGGTCATCTTCGCTATCTGCTCCGGTGTAAAGTTTGGAAGGTTACCGGCGGGAAGTTGGACAGACTGAGAAGCCGGTCTCTGATCATTGGAATTTGGCTGTGTGGGAGCCTCGAGATCATCGACAGAGCGTTTGAGGTTGTTCTTCGGCTGCGAGGCCGCCAAGTTGTTCGGCGGCGCAACCATGTTGGGCTGAGGGGGCCGGTTGGCTTGGGGCCCGGCAGTAACAGGAGTCTGGCCAGGCTCTGGCGCGGACGCAGGCGCCGAGACAGCCTGTCCTGGCTGCATACCTTGCTGAGGCCCCGAAGAGATCGGAAGGGCACCTGGCTGCGCGCCGAGTGTTGTTGCAGGTTGACCGGGTGGTGGCTGACCGACCATTCCCATCGCTTGTCGCATTCTCTGTAACTTGATTCTTTGAATAAAGAGTTTGATCTGCTCCTCTGGAGCATCCCTGAAGTTCTGTTGTGACATTCGGAATTGCTGGATCTCTTGAGGAGTGACATCAGGCGTCGGGGTGTTGGGTGGCAGGTTTGCAAGAGGATTCGCATTGGGGGCTCCAGGTTGCTGCGGACCGCCAGCCTGTCCGTGGTTCACGATCATGCGTTTGAATTGAGCCAGCTGGTAACTCCTCAGCATTTGCTTCTGCTGGTCGGGTATGCCCGCGCCCGTCTGTGAGACCCAAGCCTTAAATTGTCCCCATTTCTTAGCTTCCGGCGGTACCCCAGGGATAAGCTGCATCACCTGAGGAGGCAGGTCCATGTTGTCCATTATCATCTGCGCTTGTGGATGCTGCAAAGGATTGGCGCCACCGCCACGGAATCGATTCATCTGGTTCTGGAGGTTAGGCTGTTGCACCGTAGGGCCCATTCCTCCTTGTGGCGGCTGATGCATGCCGTTGGCCATCGGGTTTGCAGCGTTGGCAGGGTTCATGGGGGCTCCCGGCTGCATTTGCCCTGGTCGCAGCATGCCTGTGCGCTTCCACTTGGAGAACAACTCGTTGAGCTTCTCTGGCGGCAGCTGACGGAACTTTTGCCTCTGTTCAGGGTCAAGCTGAGAAAGCATTTGTCGAATGGCTGGGTCCTGCGGCATGTTGGGGTTGCCAGTCATTTGCCCCGGGCCTCCCGGCTGGTTGAAGCGAGGATCAAGTCCCTGGCCGAATTGAGGGTTTCCCGGCTGGCCTTGGTTACTTCCCATCTGTCCCATGGCGACTGGTGGCTGTCTCACAGGCGCGTTCAAATTATCCATCGCCGGGCTTTGCGATGCCGGCATGGGACCGCTAAGCCCTCCTGGTTGGCCCTGTAGGCCCTTCGCCTGGGCCGCCGCCCTCATTTGTGCTTGCGCGTGCGAAGCAGCCATCTGTTGCTTCATCTGCTGCTGCTGCAAGGTGAAGCCGTTCGGCATCTGGGGCTGGGGCGTTTGGTTTTGGCCTTGAGAGAACATGTTCTGCGACTGCATGCCTGTGAGAGGCTGAGGCGTAGCATTGCGTCCAGGGCCTGAGCTCGCCGGGACAACGAGCTGGCCTGCCTGCTCGGCCAGGAGACCTTGCTTCTGCTCATTCATAATGCTCTCCATGTTGTTGCCGTACGGCCCCATCTGTCCACCTTGCTGGCCCATGTTGTTCATCATATTCGGATTTGTTGGGCGCTGTGGTCCGGGCTGCATTTGCATGCCAGGCGTGTTGGGCGGCATTCCCTGCTTTTGCTGCATCTGATTTCGCCGGGCCAAGAGGAACCTCTTCTGTGCCTCTTGGTGGAACAGCAGTGCCAGAGGGTTCTGGCCTTGAGCCCGCATTTGTTCAAGCCTCTGAGGTTCCATTCGTTGTGCAAGGGTTTGCATCATTTGCTGTTTCTGGGCATTACTTGCCTGCTGCATCAGGTTCTGTGCCAGTGCCTGAACCCTCTGCTTATCTGCATCGGTCAATTGCTGTTGATCAGGGCCGCGCTGGGGCCCTTGAGCCATAGGAAACCCGCCTTGTCCTGGATTCATCTGCGGGTTCATGCCATTGCTCAGGCTAAGACCCATCTGAGGGGCCTGCTGAGGCATTTGAGATAGCTGCATGGGATTTTGCAGTTGATGAAATCCTCCCGCCTGATTGGGACCACCACCCCTGCCGGCCATTTGGGCCTGAAGCAGGGCAGCTTGTTGTTGTTGTTGCTGCCGTTGATTCATCATCATCAATTGCTGCTGTCGCTGCTGTGCTGCCTGGGCGTTTATGGACTCTTGGAGCTGAGGCACCTGCCCCTGGCGCCTAGCGTGCATTTCTGCACTCTTTTGCCTCATTCTATGATCATAAGTGACCTGCTGGTGTCAATACGTGATAAGACTCGGAGTTTGTTGTGCTCGAGATGGCTCACCTTATCTGGTGACTCCCTAAAGGCGTTCTGCTCAAACTGAATGCAAAGGTGAGCGAGCCTTTGCCATGGCTGGCCTGGGGTTGCGAGAACAGCGCTAGTGATCCTGAATGGAGTGACTGTCAGCTAAAGAAATGAGGGTTCGATGAAGACAATGAGAGAAGTGCAACAATAGAAGCAAGAACCATGCGGGGCGGAGACAATACGGCTGTCCAGCCAATTGCATCTGAGCTGAGAGGAACTTGAAACAAACAATAAAATATCGCAACGGGCGACACTTACAGCTCGTGAGCCTTGCCGACACGCTCCGAGATTGCGACGGTTGTCTGCCAGCCGGGGCCGATATATGGGGCGCTGTTTATACAGTTGAAGGCGAACTGGCTGAAGTCCATGCCCGGGCCTGACATGGCGCCAGCAAAACGGTTCTGCTGCTGTTGCATGAGGCCCCCAGGCATCTGTTGCATAGGTGCGGCCATTGCCGCCAAAACTTTCGGGGGTAAATCCCAGAGTTAAAGTTATTGCGATAGGATCGCAAGGTGAGGTGGGCGGGTCGGGCGCTGCTGCGCTGTACCTCTCACCGTTTGCAAGTCGGGGAGGTTCGTCGCCAAGAGAGGGACGGACAGGCGATGATGGTTGTGATTGTTGAATGGGTATGAAGCAATACAAGTGATTCCGTCGTGGTGGTTCTGACAAGAAAGTCAAGACCCGTCACCCGGCTGCAGGCTGCCTAGCCTTGTCTCAAGCGGAGCCTGAGGAATCGGCCGGGGGTGCAGGGAGGGTTGCCGATGCAGCCAACCCGACGAACAAAACTTGCGTCTTGGACGCTAAGCCGTGGAAAGGTTCCAGAAAGGGGATCCAGAGACGATCTCATCCACGCAGCAGGGCCGCAGCGACGATCGGAGGATCCAAAAGACAATAAAGCAATGCAAGTTTCCAGGCCGGTCGTCGACTCAACGGGTTCTCGTATCCCGACAAAGGCAACGGTGTTTCTGATTATTTTGATAGCACGAAGCAGGTACCGTCCTGTCCTTTTCAGTGGCCGGTCGAGACGCGACGGCAACTTTTGCACACTCGAGTTGAATCCAAGGGGCCCAAGTCCGTCGTGCTTCAAGATGCCTCGCCGGTTGTGACAGTGTTCGAGGGTGGCGTGGTCGGCCGGCTTGTGCTCCCGAGAAGAGACACGGTACAGCGTAGTTGCACGGATTGAAGGCACCGGAATGCAGTCATGTAAGAAGCGAACGGTGTCTTGGGGTTTCGGTCGCGGCGGGTGAGGGTGTGACAGCGATCGGGATCGCGGCGGTGGGTTCGCAGGGCGGAAGCCTCTTCTCGAGACGGTTCAAACTCGGGTCTGCTGGGAATATATAGCGACAAAGTGCTATATCTGGTACGAAACTGTGCCCTCCAGATAAACAATGAAAACCTCGCCGTCGGTACCGTGGTCCTCGTCGCGCGACAGTCTCAGGGTCGGGGTGAGTCAAGAGGCACCCAGTTGGTCGTGGGTGGCTGCTGGGTCCGCCGCAGTCAAAGTTCACCGGAGCTGGCTGTCACTGGGCGTGGCAGGGATAGGTGCCCAGGGCGACGGTTGGTTAGGGTGAAAGCACAAGCGCAACGGCTGGCAGTTGGGGGAAGGTCAGGTGTGGTTGTCGTCGTCCAGATTGTGCGCGTCTGTCTAAGCCGCACGATGCAGACTCTGTCGACGCTGGGGGAGACGACGAGAGGAAAGCAAGGCGGATGAACCGCAGGTGTTGATGGGGTGTGGACAGGGGAGAAAAGTAAGAGGGAAGCGGGCTCGCACGAAAGAGCAGCAGAAGAGGCAGCAAGCAGAAGAGGCGGCGGGAGACAAGACCAGGCCCCTCGCTGGTGCAAGTTTAGCGTAATTGGAAGCGGCAGTGGAGGTACCTGGGCCCCTGCCCTGCTGGGGGTACCGGGTACCATGGCCCCCCATGCTCCTCACGTATAGTGTACCGGCCGCGCAGCTCTGTCCCCGACATGGACGGCGCTACCCTGCAGTCGAGAGGGCTGCCACAGCTCACGACGGCGTCGAGGGCTGCAAAAAGACAGCTCAGAACCGGGGAATCCAGCGGCCTGCGAGCGCTCCGGCGCCAGAAAGCCGTGTCAATTCTGCTCGCAATGTCGTGATCACAGCCGGGAGATGGTTGAGGCATGTCGTGGGCGGGCGTCTGACACTTTGGGGTCGGAAAGTCCTCTCTACCGAGCTAGGGCGGTACTCCCAAGGTTCGATAATCGAGCGGCGAATCCCTGCTGGCGGGTTGCCCCATGACACCCACGCGCCTCACACCCCCAGTCCACCTGGTGGGTGTGAGAGGCCAGGCCAACGAGAGAGAATAGACGAGGACAGAAGTGTGTGTGGTGTGTATGTGTGTCTGCCCACGCATACTACAAGTAGGTACGGAGTACTTTGATACGCCCTGCCCTTGCCCTTGCCCTTGCCCTTGCCCTTGCCCTGCCATACCCTGTCCTGTCCTGCCCTGCCCGCCCTGAGCAATCATACACATACTCCGTACATACGTACAGCTGCTGAAAGGGTGCTCGTCCGTCCCCGCTAGAGAAGATAGTGTAGACATGGTCTGGCAGGAAGCCAGGCGGGCGGGCAGTCCAAGGCCAGCTTGGGGGCAAACAGGGCGATCGCCTCGACAATCGGCAGTCCTGTGATCAGCCAGTGGGGAGGCACACGGATCTCGAGAGAACCCAGACTGCCTGCACGGTACAGCATAGCATATATGCAGCACTGATACCTCACAAGCCCATGGGGCATTGCGACTGCGACAAGGGTGCGGGCAGCTTTTTGGTGTTGTTTTGGATGGGAATGCTTCGGGTACAACGCAGGGCCTATCGGGAGACTTGCAGCGACATGCGGTGATCCCCCCTCCATGCCTCCATATGGAGGGGGAGGGAAAAAAAGCTGCCAGGGTCGCTCTTGGGCCGCCACTTTTACATTGCATGGCATGACTTGACATGACAGTGCGCTACGAGCATACTCTCGCCCGCAGAACAAATGAGTCGAGCTGTGAGATTTGGAAAAGGACGACAGGCAAGAGGGGGGGAGGCAGCAGCCAGCAACAGCCAGCAATTGTTGGGCCAAGGTGAAGAAGGCAAGGCGCAGCTGCCATGCGTGTGATGTGAGAGCACTGTGCAGTGTGTGCAATGTGTGCAGTGTGTGCAATGTGCCAGTGCGTACAACGCGTGGAGTCCAGAGTTGGGCGGAGGCAGACTCAGAGACGGGAGTGCCCACAATTACCTTGGAAGCTGGTAAATAGCGTCATACAGGGATGACAAGAACGCCGTGCTGCATCCTCCTTGCCCACTGCCATCTGTCCCTAGTCCTACTGTAAGTGTGTGTGCAGCCCTGGCAGCCAGGCAGCCCAGCTCATCCCCCTCCTTCTCCTTGGTTGGGAGCTGCAAACACCGTACACCGTGGGCAGTCGATGGGCCACAGGATACAAGTGGCGATAAAGCCACGGCCGGCGGCGTTTACGTACTGTATCAATATGCAGTGTGGTGCAGAACGAGTGCAGCGTGTGAGCGCTTATTGTTTCCCGGCGACAGTGGACCGAGACTGGCTGGCTGGCTTCTCTCACCCACTCCTGTTGGCCCGCTCCGCTCCCATCCCAGAGCTGTCCACACACGCGGTGACTAGTAGTAGGTGAAAGGGTGACAAGGGGGATGTGGACGTGGATGCGCATGCGGATGCGGATGCGTACGGTGACAAGGGGAATTCGAGATGCTACCTACTCATTACCACTGCTATGTGGTGGTGGATGGAGGAGACCGAGATTGCTACCGTGTATATCCTCGCATAAGCAGGTGTTCGTCCCTTGGGTACATACATCTACATACATGTCGCCGCACATACAATGAATGCGCATCCTCCGCAGGTGTACTGCAAAGTCAGGGTCTAGGTCGTGGCCTGCCATCATCTCAAGCTGTCCCAACCTGCCGTTGCGTTGCAGATCCCCAAGGCATACCGTCCTGGGCACATTCTTGACGAGAGGTGCATCATGTTGGCAGAGGTGCCTGGGTGAGACTGGCTGTGTCGCGGCCATTGGCTGTAGGCCAGCCAGCCCACCTCTACACAGTATCTCTTTCTCTTTCTCTCTCTCTCTCTCTGTCTGTATGTGTGTGTGTCTGTCTGTGTGTGTGTGTGTGTGTGTTCGCTCTGGCCCCCCCTGGTTCCTGACCCTCGACCCTCGCCTGCTCTCTCTGCCACCCGAGCTCGAGGGGCAGCCATACAGGACCACGGTCAAATCAGCCGGTCAATGCCATGGGATGGAGCAACGACGCCAAGCATGCCTCATCACCGAAACCCTCTCTGGCCGGCCAGGATGGGCCTACTGCCGTCCCTCTGCCAAAACGCCTACCTTGGTTGCCCTACCTGGTAAAAAAAAGATGATCTATCTGCGTACCGTGCACTGTATACAGCCCACACGTTTCCCCAGCCTAGCCGCGACGGTTGCAGTCGGGTGACCATCAGCTGTCTCGTGTCATCGTTCATCGGCCTGCGGTAACAGCACCGCAGAGCACACAGATGGGGCCCCTTCCGTCAACTTCGGTCAACCCACCAAGCCTTGCCCTCTCACCGCGCCAAATTTGGCCCCAGTCGTGCCAAGCCGTCGTTGGCAACTGGTAGCCGCCGTTGTCAGGGGTTGGGCAGGGAGGCAGAGCGAGAGGGAAGGGAAGAAAAAGAGACGCGCATCCGCTGTTTCGTGTGCATGGTTGCCGCAATTGAGAAGGGGTGGGTGGCTGTTGGGATTACCTCCTCCCCAGAGGACCCCAGAGGGCGCTTTGGGCGGACGGCGTCACGTCAAAATGGGACACAAGAGGTCCCTGGTAAGCCTGGATCCCCAAAGGGCACGCCTGCCCGCCTGCCTGCCTGCACGGAGGACCCAAGCTCCAGGCGGGCGGGCTGGCGGGCTGGGCGGGCTGGCTGGGATAGGCAGGTTCCCGCCTCGCTGTCGCTTGGGGGGAAGTGGACATGGCAGATCCCGGCATTTGGCTGTCAGGCTAAGCCCTTTCCGATGAGACCAGAGGTTGCCAGGGCGCGGATTAGGGACGCTTGCAGGACAGGACCCCAGGTGAGATTTCGACTCTGCTGGCGGGCGACGTGCTTGTTGCAGTGACAGGCCTGACTGATTGCACTGTACTGTGCCATTGGCGCCTCTTTGCAATCGATCGATCGGTGTCTTCTTCCCGACAGTCTCCCGGCGAGCTAAGACAACATGATAGCATCCCTCGAGGACTCGTGGCGGGTTCCTCAACACGATACTGTTACGACGTGTGCGTGCAGCAGAGACTGCTCTGATGTTCTGTCGGTCACGGAGACTCCTGCGGTCAGGAAAGGGACCCCCAGCTCCTGATCGCCACAAAAACCTTATTGCCCTGGTGGGCGAGGGACGACATTGGCAGCGGAGACGGCCTTGCGCAACATGCAAGGGTCTGGGTCTGTGCAAGATGAGCACCCGCAGCCCCTCTTCCAGGGGGATGCCCAGATGTACACAGAAGGCACTTGAGACCCCTTCGAAGCCACAACGCGGCTTGTACACAGTATATGGCTTGTGGGATACCAAGGCGCCTCGTAGTGAACGCCCGTGCCGACCGCCGACGCCCACCCAGCTCTTTGGAGGGCTGCGCCGGTCTCTTATTCTGTCCAGGACTCGGGACGAAAGAAAACTGCTTCACTCTGTTGGTTCCAAGCTCTGACCCAGACAGTTGACATTCGGATCTGGGCCCAACCGAACAGCCATCGCCTCGTTGCGGACCGGCTGGCAAAACAACACGTTCCGTGGCGATCTGTACATGACAGCCGACACCTGTGCACACATACCAGCCAGCGTGGTTGGGTGTACACACATACGGCATGTAGCACCTGGCCCTGCAGGTCGCTGTGGCCGTCTTCCCTTTTTTGCCGGGAGCTGCGTCCACGGATGGCTGATCTGAGTTGGCAACTCACGGATCTAGCCAGATCTGGACTGGCCGTCACGCAAGCCTGCCACCGGCGTGGGCCAGAGCTGTCGCGGTGGTGCCCGGTAGATCACCCTATCCTATGGGCAGTCTACCCTCGATCTCTCCCTGTCCGTGTGCAAGGAGCAGAAAGCTTGCGTCGACTACCGCCAGCCCGCCGCCGCAACAGCATATAGAGTGGCCTTGATGAGCCAGGTCGACTGATGAAGGGTGGCAGGAAAGCCATGCAGATGCCACGCCGTCACCGGGCCAGGAACCGGGGCCGGCTTGTTACCACACAGTAGTAGAGGATTGGGAAGCCGTTGGGCATGTCTAGTGTACACCCCGCTGCAATATCACCCGGCTCGTGCACAAAAGCACGCACATTACGAGCGCGGAAGATACAAGACAGAGGCTGCTGCATCAAACTGTTTGGGACCTTGGGCCAGTTGGCACCGGCTTCCGCTGGCTGAAGTTGTTTTTAAACTCGACAATTGTTTCACAAGACTTCCTTGCGGCCTATTGTGGGGGCCGGTGACCGGGAAGCGAATCTTCCATCCTGGGCGATCCAGGCTCGGCCACTATCACCAGTGAGGTTTGAGGGGTCTTGACCCGCCCGGTCTTGAAATGCACCACGAGTCCCTCGTGGTCATGGTTAGGCGTCTCGTGTCGGAGCAGAAGGGAGGAGGTACCTGCTCCTGCCAACGATCCTACGGCCGTGACAGGTCATTATTTCCTCAACGCTGTCTTGCACGTTCGAGAACGGACAGGGTCGAAGGGTCAGGGGATCCCGCCCGCCAGACACGGGAGGGCGTCCGCTGTCAACAACCAGATCTGCATCTCCGCCTCCGCCAGGTGAGGATGGGGATGTCGTGCAGCAAGCGAGCCAGCAAAGCGGACGAAATGGAGACACCTACCGCAGTACTCGGGAGGCAATGGGCAGCCCTCCAGCCCTCCAGCCCTCCAGCCCTCGTCCGGACCAGCAAGAATCTGACACACCTGTTGATGTGTGATCGTCGCAACTCAAAATTAACCGTCGAGTCTAGGGGCAGGGTTGCTTGTCGATGTGCCAGGAACCGGGGGTCGCATCACACATTTTGCAGCTACCTGGCTCTCCCAGGGCTGGGACTCGTCGATCCGTCCCCAGGAGCCCACCCACTAGCCCGACTAGGCCGCCGTTTCTGGGCTAGGGCCGTGATCAGCGCCGCCCCAAGGAAGCACCTGCGGCGAAAGAAGCTTGGAGCGAGAGCAACGCCTTCCCGAACAGAAGTACGGACGAAGCTGGATGGGAGGTCGTGCGTGGACGGCCGCAAACACCACCTAGGTGTCGAGATGGAGGGCTCCAGGACGGCATTCAAAGGAACTGCTGGGTGGCCTGGGTCCCGGAATAATTGTGTGTTTTTGGTTGGCGGGCACGGTCATGGGCAGGCTCATCTCAATCTTCCAGGGGCCCCCACTGGCCAGTCCGAAACGAGCTTCATCTCTTATTCGTATGTTCCGTTCCTGTCCTCAGTGCATCAAGTAAGCTCAATGTCAGGTCGAATAGGGTGAGAGCACTGTAGCAGCCCTGGCGGCTGGTACGAGTTGCGGCGTTGGTGGTTGGTGGGCTTTGCAAGGCGACGCGAAATCGAAGAATGCTGTCCGGTACTACATTGATCTTCGGCCGGCGTATTTTTGACTCGGTTGCAGGGTGTTGGTGGTGGTGGTGCAGAGGTGTACACAGTACTGTGTAATAGGCGCGTGTAAGTGGGTACTAAACCAGATGCCTTTTTGGTCCAAGATGCTCCAAACAATCTTGTTCGGCTGCTGAAGCCAACTGCTCTTGCATGCATGTAATGTACCTGGAATTGCTCTGTTGATGAGCGAGCATACATACAGTGGCGGTTTTGACTCCAAGGCTGTGAGTGATCCTGTCGGTCTGAGCCAGTCGCCCCCATCCGAGTAAAGGGTGCCGTGCCACAGACCAGCTCACCTGCGCCTGATAGGTCGCCGGGGCCGGGTCATGCAGGACTGAAGCCTGGCTTCCTCACCCAGCCTGCCAGCCCGCCCGCCTGCCCGCCTGCCCGCTCACACGCGGACGCTACTGTGTGGTGTGCGCACCTGCGCGAGAGCGTGCGGCCCCTGGGCCCGCCCTGATGTCGCATCATGCAAGGCTCCAAGCGATCAGAGGCAATGGGTGACAGGCTGGCCGGGTAGACAGGCCGACCAGCAGGTGGTGGAGGGCGGATGGTCAGTGGGCGAGAGGAGAGAGAGCCGAGGCTGCACACGGCCATATAGCTGATACTGCAGATTCTCCGGTGCGCTGGCATCGAGATGTAGGGCTGAAGGGATCATGTGTCTGCGATGCAAGGAAGTGAAGGTGAGAAGCGTCGACCATGGGCGTTGCTTTGCGCACGCAAGCTCGACTAATTCCCCGGACGTGACTTCAGCCCTCAGCCCAGTCGGGCTGTGTTGCCGAGCCACTCGCCGAGCCCGCTCCCGACGTCACCAATCACGGGCGAGACAGGCCGCCCCAGGTGACCTCGGAAGCCAGCGCAGGAGGAGACGGGCAGCGTATCTGAGGTGCAACTTCGATTGTTGAACGATTGCAAGGCGACCAAGACAGACGCCAAAGAGCACCAACGAGCTTGCTACCTATCCTCCTGTCCGCCCACCTTCACAAGCTTTCTTGTCACCTCAATCTGCTGCCTGCCGGATCGAAAACTCGAGTCGCCCCATGCTCAAGAACACCCTGGTCTTGGGCCACTTCTCATCAACAGTATCAGCATCAGTATCACTCTTGTCCGTGTCACGACGCTGCCTTCTCATCTCGTGTCGTCGGGGCATTTCCACAACACCGGTCAACATGGCGCCTCCCAAGCCTGCTCAGGACTTCCTGGACTTCGTGAACGCCTCCCCAACTCGTAAGTCGGACCTGCCTGGTGAGCCAATATCAGGCCTCGGACAATTGCTCACACGACATCAGCCTATCACGCTGTCGCTTCTTCCGTGAAACTCCTCGAAGCCGCCGGCTTCAAGGGAATCAAGGAGAGGGACAACTGGTCCTCCGATCTGCAGCCCGGCGGCAAGTACTATCTCACACGCAATGGTTCCTCCATTGTCGCCTTCGCCATCGGCAAGAAATGGGCTCCTGGGAGTTCAATCGCAATGATTGGCGCCCACACTGACTCTCCATGCCTGCGTATCAAGCCGGTGTCCAAGAAGACCAACGCCGGCTTCTTGCAAGTTGGCGTCGAGACCTATGGCGGGGGTATCTGGCACTCCTGGTTCGACCGTGACCTGTCAGTGGCAGGACGTGTCCTGGTCAAGGACTCGGGCGGAAACTTTGTGCAGAAGCTCATCAAGGTCGACAAACCCATTCTACGCATCCCTACCCTGGCCATCCACCTCGACAGGTCTGCCAACTTTGATCCAAACAAGGAGACCGAGCTATTTCCCATCTGTGGTCTTGCGGCTGCCGAGCTGAACCGGACCGGAGCAAGCGGGAAGGAGGCAAAGAAAGAGGAGCCCTCCGAGGCTGATGGCGACGGCGAGTTTCAGCCCCTGAAGGCGATGACCCAGAGACATCACCCATATCTCCTAGAGATCATCGCACAGCATGCTGGCGTTGAGACAGATGGCGTTATAGACTTCGAACTAGTGCTGTACGACACTCAGAAGTCCTGCTTCGGAGGCCTGAACGACGAGTTCATCTTCTCTCCGCGGCTCGACAACCTCGGAATGACGTACTGCTCCGTGGCAGGTCTTATAGAGTCGGTCAAGTCGGAGGGCGCTCTGGATCACGAGTCGTCCATCCGCTTGATCACTTGTTTTGATCACGAGGAAATCGGTTCCACCTCCGCTCATGGAGCCAACTCGAACCTTTTACCCGCTGTGCTTCGGCGCTTGTCAGTCCTGCCCAGGGGCCACTTTTCCGAGTCCGGCTCTGAGAAATCCTATGAGCATGTTAACCCAGACGATATTGCGACGGCTTTTGAACAGACGCTTTCCACTTCTTTCTTCGTCTCTGCAGACATGGCACACTCAGGTGGGTAAAGGGCCTCACCCGCGAATTTGGACGCGGTTGCTCACTTTCAGCAGTGAACCCGAACTATCAGCACAAATATGAGTCGAACCACCAGCCTGAGATGAACAAGGGCACGGTCATCAAGAGTAAGCTCCTCCTCGATCAATCTCTGGGGTGGCCCCGTTTCGAATGTGGGCCTCGCTGACCCAATCGTAGTAAACGCGAATCAACGATACGCGACGAACTCTCCTGGCATTGTCCTCCTGCAGGAAGTTGCGAAGAAGGCAGGCGTGCCTCTCCAGCTCTTCGTGGTGCGGAATGACAGCTCATGCGGCAGCACCATTGGACCAATGCTTTCGGCAAAGATGGGTGTGCGCACCCTTGATCTCGGCAACCCGCAGCTTTCCATGCACTCAATCCGCGAGACTGGCGGTACCTATGACGTAGAGCACGGGATCAAGTTGTTCGAGTCATTCTTGTCCAACTACACCGCTCTCGAGTCCAAGATCCTCGTTGATTAGAGGGAAAACGAGGCAATGCGAGCGGTATGCCGTTTGGCAGAACGTCTCTAAAGCCAGCGCTGCAGTTGCCCTTATGCAAGTGGCACCCTGCTACTAGCCACGAGGCCGAGTGTGGTCAGCCAGAGAAGAGGATCCTGGTTAAGTAACTTACTCTGGCTTTGTACAGTTTCATGTGGGATCGGAGACATACTGCCGCGCGCAGGACCACAGTGTGGACTCCAGCACTTATGGAGCTCATGTACCTACGACGGCAACGCAAGGGACAAGCACTCAAGCCTGGAACCGAACAGGTTCATGTGAATACATATAGCAATTTCCCTGTCTATTCCAACCGCATTCAACACAATATCCATCTCTTCTCGCACAAATGTAAAACTTTGAGTGACCCTCTCATCACTAACTTGCGTCCAACAAGAATCAATCCATGAGACTTCCTGCGGAGACTCTCTCCTACATCGTTACCCACAGGCCTGCTGACAGTCGGCGCGGCCAGAATTCCTCTTGTTCACGTGAACGACCCCCTTCTCTCAGATCCAACAACCAAAGCCCCTCCCCAGTCCCCAGGCCAAAATTAGCCTCGGGGTCAAGATCCCCCTCCACCTCGCAGGCCGTCTCGTGTTATCTTGCTCAGCATATGCTGTCCAAACCTCATTTGTTCCAGCCTGTGGAATGTGAAGACCTTATCTCGTTCTATGTTAAATTGCAATTTCTGTTGGTGACGTCCTCTTGTGGCGGGTTAATGTGGCGGGACAGCTTCGCACGAACTCGCCGAGCCACGGGTTGAGGCATATGTCCTTTCTCATTGTGGTTTTGTCCCCTTTTTCTTCCACTTGCGGCCGCGTTTGTGTCTCATAGCCCTTGGCTCAATTGGCGGCGAGTACAACAGCCCATCAACTCTCCTCGCCGACGTGCCGTTCATCTGCGGTTGGGCGACCGGCACCGTGGAGCTGGTGACCTGAGATGTCGGCTCATCGCTTCTTTCCTGATCGGTGGCGGCCGTTGTGATGACGGCTGCTTGATCACCAAGCCCTAGGGGCTGCTCATACGAGTTAGCAACCGTTTCCTGGGGGACCATGGGCGTGCTAGAGCCCTCCGCGTCTTGCGGGTCCGCAGCCTCAGCCCTCGTAACCGGCCGAGGGCTGTTTTCGATCCTCGGGTCGTCGTCGACCAAGCCTGTAGGGACTAGACCCCATGCTCTCTCGGGGTCCACATAGTCGCGCTCCCACAATTCCTCACTGGACCTTTCCACGGATTTGAGGAACTCATTCATGTGCATGATCCCCCACCGCTCGAAAACCTCTTCGCTAAGGAGCATCTCCAGCACGTGGACGTGGCTCCTTCGCAGCAGCTGCCCGGAGTGGGCGTACCACCAGTGGAACCTGCACAGGCTGAACGGGGTGGCGACCAAGTCGACCGCCCTCTTCTCGCAGACAGTGTTGACGCCCGGCCGGTCGTCAAAGTAGTTAACCGGCATCCGCACGGCATCCGGGTCGTGGATCCGGCAGTGGTCGCATGAGGTTGGGCGGCTCAGGCCCTCGAGGGGCTTGGGGATCCGCGCGAACAGGCCCTCGGCAGGGCCTGATGGGGCCCCATGTTTACTCTGCCACATGAGGTAATGTGAGGGTAGCTTGTTCTTCAAGAGGTCGTTAACTCCGTCTATCTTCCATCGGTGGAGATCCATCAGGATCACACGTTCAGGCAATGGGCGAGAGATTTTGGCCACGAATTTGTTTTTGATAAGTGCCTCCATGCACGCGAAGCCGTCGAGGCCGGCGAAAATCTTGCTCTCGTCCAGGTTGAGTTTGATGGGCACTACTTTCGCGCCCTCAAGGCCGGCATCCTCGCTTCTAATGGGCCAATCCGGGTGGTAGTAGGTATTTCCCTGCTCCCACTCCCATTCCGCGACGACGGGGGCAAGCTCCTTTCGGATGAATTCGACATCGCCCTCGAAGAGTGCTTTCAGCTTTTTCTTACGATCCGCGGCGTCTTTACTCCAGAGGTTTTCGTATTCGACTGTTATTGGAGGACCCGTGTGGTCGATGGTCGGGTCGGCCAATAGGGCAGAAAGTGAAAGGGGCATGGTGGATGCGTGTTCGGAGTCCACTGTCCGAATAGGTGTCTCAGAGGTTCGAGTTTGAAAAGTACGGACTAGTCTTCTGTTTGAACGCCTCTTACCAGGTTGAAATCAAAGTGAGGAAAAGGATTGAAAACTATAGAAAGGTGCTGGGGGCCGGGTGCGACTGCTTTAAAGCGATATCATTTCCTTCAATTTTATTACTGGGTTGATGGCTACCGACTTGGTCTCAGCCGGGCCTTTGCTCTAAAGTGCCCTAGGGCGGTGCGGTTGTCAAATTTAAAACTTTTGTTCGAAATTCACGGCGTGCAAAGAGGCCAGAGCCAGTCACGAATGATTTTGGGCGAATCCATTCAACTCATATTTTTAGCTGGACATAATTCTACCTGGTGCCATGCGCACCTATCGTATTCTCACCATTGTTATCGACACTGTATGTATTTTAAACGCCGGGTCTCAAGCGTTTACTACCATATGAAGGCACTATATATATCCTCAGACATATGCGGAATAGAAGCGAAACTAGATAATTCTATTATAACCAAAATGTTTCCTGTGGCCAACTCTTTAACACACAAAACATTTAAAGTCTCAAGAAAAGCAATCCTTGCCATTTGGATCTCATGGAACGTCCTACAGTGATGGTACGGGTCTTATAAATTGCTAGGATTAACTTCTTTTGGCCTTTGAAGACTTTTGGAACCCCGTCACTGTGTGTGCGGGGGCTAAGAACACTTATTGTGTCTAGTGTCTTGTGCTAAGCATCTGATGAAGAGACTACGGCAACTAGGTAGTCATAGCTTGGTGAATGTAACAGGGGCGGTTCTCATCGGGACCCTGGGGTTCCCTCAAGAAGCATGTGCACTTTACAAGGTTGGACGAGTCCAGCGAGACTAAATGAAGATTCACGAGCTTTTTACAACCTAGTACACTGTCGCTGCAGTCTGCCAGGCAGCTTTTGCTGTGTTGAATACCGCCGTCCAGAATTACTCTTCAACAAATGGTTTGTCATGATCCTAGGTACATTCTTTCATGCTTGACTCCCTACAACTTATCATAAGTTGGCTGTTGCACGTTTGGAAAAGCCACGGGATAGCTAATGATAACCTTGGAAGTGTTGTTGTACTGACTGATCGCAAAGACACTTCCAAACAAGCAACATAGTAGTGGTCAGGCACTAGAGAAACTCGGTTAGCCACTACCTCGATATATGCATACCTCCCCGTTAGCGAGACGACCGAGTCTTCAAGGTGCCTGCTTATTATTCATCGCCAGTTCTCCAACAGCGTATGATGATAAACAACTGTGTTGTGTAAACTGGATTGGGGGGATATCTTTTTTTCTCTATCTATTCATCCAAAGTAACAGATTCATCTGTTTCAACCTGCCTATGCTTGTGCTCTCTTTCTCTTTCTCTGTCTGCGAACCCACCGCATGTGCAATCAAATTTGTCCAAGCGCATGCTACACACCCATCCACACCAAAAGCTTGGACCGTGTGCTTGGCCCAGTACCCAGACTAAGTATGTGTATCGCTGTATTGCAAAACTGTAGAGACGAACACCGCTGTCCATCCGAGTTCAAGCTCGCTGGTAGCGACACGAAACCGCAAACTCGACATTGCACATGGACCTCTGCCTTTGAAGAAGCGTGAGAATATCCTACTTGCTCCCACTAAGCCTTGTCAGGTAGTTTAGGAACGCCTTCTTGTCAGTCGAAAGACACTGCAGGAACTCGTTCCCGTCTATTCCCAGGCTCGGGAACAAGCTTGACTGCAAGTGTCGGATGAAGGCCTCGCCAGTCTTGGCGTAGATGGTTTGCTCCAGCTGGACGATCTCGTTCATGACCTGTCGGGTCTGTGCGTCCGACGGATTAAATTGCGGGTCCCGCAGAACCTCCCAGCAGACGGGGTGGAAGCGTTCAATGACAAAATTGTCGAAGCCCGGAATTAGGGGCGCTGGAGAGCCTGTGGGCGGCGAGGGGTTGTTTGAGATAGTAGCGACGTCCGCACCACCCCATACAGATGTCATCTTGATCATGAGCCCAAAAGCCAACCTGCTTGTTGACATGTTGTTGTGAGAGACGGTTCTGGCAAGCGCCATGATGGAAGAGATAAGGGATTCGAAGTATCCTTGGTTCGTCTCGCTCACGAGCACTCCTCCTAGATCGTGCTGGAGGATGATTTGGACGAAGTGAAGGTACTCTCTCTTCAGCTCGCCCAGTTGAATCTCGTCATCAGTGCCGCTGGCCGGCTGCGACAGGCCTTCGAAAATGCGTTGCAGTAATGGAGTCAGCAGGAGGTTGAGGATGTCGAAAATTTCACCCTTGAAGTTAAAAACAATCTGCTCCAGCAGGCGCAGGAACATAGCCATCTCATCATGCGATGAACTCTGGGACAGCAATCCCTCAATCCACTGTGGCAGCTGAGGCAGCACAGTTGCTCCAAGCGCGCCCAGAAGTCGGGAGAAGGCCGAGCGGCAGGCGGTCCGGATTTCGCGGTTGGTGTTCAACTCCTTAAGCGCTACGAGGATGGCCTCTGCCACACGGGAGAACACTTCAGATATCTCCTTGGGTGGCGATGGCTGCTTGGCTAGATTGCCGCCCGACGACGAATCAGCAAACCCGTGGGCTAATATTCCCAAAGCTGTGATAATGTGATGGACTTGAAGAATAGCTTGCGCGTCGCCCGACTTTGCTCTCGGCAAGTTTTGCTCCATATCCGCAAATAGGGGCTCCATGATTGTCCGAGCGTATAATACTTGCTTGTCGATTGGGGTGCCACTGGTTGATGAAATGCAGCCAATGGCTTCGAACAAGTAGCATTGGTTCGTGAAGGCGGCATCCGCCGAGTGGTCAGATTCGTCGGAAGACATGTCGTCATCTGCTTCGTCGCCGGGCACTTCGGCCTTGATCGCCAGCAAATCACTAATAGACTGGATGACAGTCTCCGTCATGCCTTGGACCTGGGCACGCAGGTGCTTGACCAAGCGGTAGAACAAGTACCACGATCTCATGCGGACTCGGACGTGGTCGTGGTGGACTAGGCGGACGAAGTTCTCTAGAACTCGTGGTATGTACTCCTGGCGGTTCTCGAAGAAGACAGCATATCGAACGCAGATCTCCATGTACTGCAAAAGGATGGCAGGGTGTGGGAAATTGGAGATATCTGTGGAGTGTTGTCAGGATGCATGCAAAACTAGAGCGAGGGAACTTTACATGGCTTACCTGATTCTACCATCTTCGACATAATCACCAGGAGCCTCTCGGCGGCAGCGCTGTTGGGCTGAGACTTGCCGGCGAGCCCTGAGTTCGGCAGAGCAAGCTCCCCAAACAGATACATCTCATGCAAGGCCAGGTCCAGGTCCCTCCAGTCCATCTGGGAGCCTTGTTGCTCAAGTGTCTGGAACGTGTTCGCAACGAGGTTGCTCAGGATCTCCATGTAGACGTTCTGGTCGACAGCAGCCACGCTCTTTTGCAGGTTTTGCAACCGCTTTCTAAGTTCTTGGAATTCTGCCTCGTCCGTTTGCTCGTCCTCATGGCCCCATGATGCGGTCTCGTCGTACCTCATCTTCATGATGATAGCATTGAGGATGTTTGGGAGCAATTCTGAGTACCGAGGCGGCAGAGGGCTGATCTTACGGAAGAAGGTGAGGACATCGGTCAAGGAGGGGATGACGGAGGAGCAGACCTCGTCAAACTCGTCTGAGAAGAACCGGAGGAGCAGGGGAAGGAAATCATGCAAGTGCTGCTCGGCTTTGGGGGCGGAGTCCTCACTGAACGATTCAAGCACTTTGACCACGTCCACCATGACTACATTGACAAGCTTTGCCACAGCTTCGGCCAGGTCAGTATCGTATTTGGGCGTGCCCCTGTACTGGTTCAACGGTGGGCTGTTGACAAGCTCTGAGACGATTTGCTGGAGGCCGAGGAAACCAATCAGCTCCATCTTGTCGGCGGGCTTCATCTTTTTTGAGGTGATCTCTGTGTAGGCATCGACAGCGGCATCCCGGACCTTGTCGCCGTCGCCCTTGGTCCGGCCGATGAGAGGCAGGAGAAGGTTGATCATGTCCTGCTGGATCACCAGCGTGATATCAATCCACTGCACCCACTTCCCCAAGACCTTCAGGGTCATCTCGACGATCTTGTCGTTCTGGTCCTGGTACTGCGCCAGGATCTCCTGCCAAGAGCGAACGACCTTTTGCATGTCTCTTTCCCTCACAAGATCCTTGAGGTCGACATTGCGATTGGCATCGTCTGGCTGGCGGGAGATCAACTGGTCTGCTATCTCGTCATGGACAGAAAGCAGAATACGCAGGTACAGTATACATCCGGCCGGGTTGTCCCTCCTGTCGCTGCCCGGAAGGCTGGTCATGGACAAGAAATCGTCCATGAAGGTTTCCCATCCTTGCTTGTACAGCCGAACAAACAGAAACGTCAAGGTCTGTGTCAGCTTGTTCTGTATGCCCGTCGAGTCGAGCTGGTCCGGGTTGGAGGAGTAGCTCCGCTTGACGTAGTCGAGGAAGGTATCCTTGAGGGCGGCCAGCTGGCCCGGGTCGCTCTCGATTATGATGGCGTTGTTGACGACCTCAAGGCAGACGACACGGACGACCTCGATCGGTTGAGGGTTGCGGACGAACAGGGAAACGCAGGCCTGCCATCCTGACCGGTCGGCCCTCAGGTTGGCGAGGAAGGAGAAGGCCTGCTGCTTGAGAGCCTGATCGGACTGTGGGTCCCATGCTATCTGGATAGCATTCTCGATCTGTCCCATCATGATCTCAAAGTCAGTTCCAGGGTTCCAGGCGGCACGGAAACGGGGCACGAGAAGGAGCACATGTCGAGCTGGGAGGATATGCCCGGCGGGGGCGGGAGAGAAATCTGCCGTACCTGGCTCTCCATAGTGGTGCAAACTCCTCAGGGGAGATTCGCCAGGAAAGGGACGTCGAGCTCGGGAGGAAAATGGTCGGCGCACGAGGGATGCTATGACGTGCGAATCGTGTACGTTTGTAGGAGGCAAGCATGCAGCATTGTATCTTGGGTGGAGGCGGGGCAGCTATCAAAGGCTCATGCTGGGGCCGGATGAGCAGAAGAGATCTAAGGCAGCAGGTAGGGCAGCACAGTGCAGGCTGGGCGCGCTCGGCAAAAAGTCAAACCACGCAGCCGTGGGGCCTAGGTTCCCTGGCGGGCGGAGACGCAATTTATGACGAGAGGAGGGGCTGTTGACAGTTATTGGCTTGAACCGGCTTGGGCGTTGGAAGTGGACAAAAGCAGCAGGGCGAGAGGGTTGAGTTGGGCTGGGTTGGTTACGGAATATCTCCAATGGTGGCGGCGCTCCCGCCCTGCCCGCTGCCCGCTGCCAGACTGCCACTGCCCACAGTACCTACCTACCCTAGGGTAGGTACTTGGCAGGCAGGTTAGGTACTCGTCCTCGTTGGTGGGGCAATCAAAATAAAGGGCTTGCAGCGGCTCCGGGGCTGGGCCTGTCAAGCCTGCTATCCTTGCTCATCCGGGCATTCATCCCGCTAACCGTTTAGGCCTTCCTTTTTGACGGCACATGGCCACGTGCCGCATTGTTCATCCAAACATTTCCTGTGGTTGTCTACATAGCATCCAGGTGCAGGTCTCACACCAAGTGCCTGCACTTCTCTGCAACAAATTGAATTATTTGTATTTCTGGTCCGCTCTCCGCGCAGCGGGTCAGTATTAGGGCGGTTGTAGTGCAAGTTGCTTAAGACGCCATAAAAGAACTCGTGATGCTTATTTTATGGTGCATGTGATCACGGTGCAATGGCAGCGTGGAAAGTATCTTATTTGCCCTGGCACCGATAGCCTCGTGCGGGAACACGGCCACTGGTCAACTTTGCAAACCAATGCAAGCCCACGGTGAAGAAAAACAAACGTCCCCCATAGCGATTAAAGGTCTCAATGCTGCCCTGGACGGTTCGCAACCGTCACTGTATCCATAAAACGCCGGCCCTGACTTCCCCGAATCCTCAAAAGCGCAACCAGCCCTAGGCCGTCTTCTTCTTCTTCTTGGGGGGCGAGCCTGCGTCTTCACCGTCGCCCGCGTCGTCGTCATCGGCAACCCCGCTGTCCGCCTCCGATCCACTGCCGGATCCGGAGCTCTCATGGTCCGAGTCGAACTCCTCTGCGACGTCGGATTCTGACTCAGTGTGAAAGTCCTCGTCAACACTCTCCTCGTCCTCGTCTGCTGAGCCGCGGTCCGCCGCGCCGCCGACAACCTCCTCGTCCGAGCTCAGCTCCTGTGCACGCAGCGCCTGCTTGAGCAGCTTCTCATCCTCGTCGATCTCATTCTTGACACGCAGGCCCTTGAGCTTGAAGAATGACTCGAGTGCCTTCAGATCGTCCCGATTAATGTTGCTGAATTGCTGCGACCCGGCCCCCTTCATCTGTACTGTGATGTCAAAGGTAGAAAGAGCCGACACGGCGCCGCTGACACGGGAGAACGTGACAGACTGTGTCTGCTCGTAGGAAATGTAGGTGGCCGGTTTTGGCACGAACATGAAGGCCTTCTCCAACAGGTAGAGGAAGCCCTCGCTAGCCTTGATGGAGCACTTGATCGCCTGCTGTTGGCGGTGGCTGTTTAGGGAGTTAGTAGCCATCTTTCCCGAATCGAAACTTGGTCAACTTACGTCTCGAAGTCCTTGGCTGGCGTGGAAACCTTTTTGTTAGACAGACCCCGGAAGATCTTGGTCACCACCTGGTGCATAGGCTCCTCGTAGTGCGACTCGAGTTTACCATCATACTGCTCCTTACGCATTTCCTCGCTCATGTTGAGATCGATGGTGCTCTCGTCGTCCCGCTTGAACTGCATCACAACAAAAGGATACCGCGTCTGCCCCTGGCGTAGAGGAGGATCCAGGCCGATAGTGAGAAGGAAGTGGACGTCGTCCGGCTTAGGGAGGACCATGAACTTCTTGACAGCATCGTACTGCACCTTGTAGTCATATGTCTTGCCGCGAAGTCGGAAGGACGAGAGGTACATGTCGATGTCGAAACGGCCTCTGGGCGTAAGGTGCAGGACGTCCTGGAAGGTGGCGACGGTGTCGCCAGCCGTGTCGCCGATGTCCGCCTTGTCCAGCAGGGTCTGATAGAACAGCTGAGCAGCTTGGACCTCCTCCTCGTCGGCGTCACTACCAGCCTCCTCGCCCTCGGCCTCCTTCTTTGTCGTTGTTCCTGGGATGTAGAACCGCATCTCGACCATCTGGTCCATCCCTGCGGCTGCCTTGCGGCCCTTGGTGGCAGTGCCGTTGGCCTTCTCCCCGTCATTGTTGGCGAGCTCGACAGCGATCTCGTTTCGGCCTGCCAGGTTGGTGTTGGCAATCTCTGAATAAGGGATTTCGAAGGCTGGTCGGTTTTGGACGCTGAATGTGAGCTCGCCCTTCGTGAACTCGGCCTTGCCCCAGTTCCAGCCCCGCAGAGAGTGGTCCTTGGTGTCGAGGGCGTGACCATACCAGTTCTTGAAGATCCGGGTCAATCGCTCGTGATCCTGTGGGGTTTGTTAGGCATTTTCAGACCGTGTGAGGGTGTCTGTTTGTGTGGCGAACCTCTTGTTGGAAGCCGTCAAGCTGCATCACCTCGGAATTTCGCTGTAGAATTTTGACCTCGTAGCCCTTCGAAGCTCTACTCCAGTGTGCGCCTGCGATATTGCTCGATTCGAGAGTGACTGCATCACCGCCGCCCGCGGGCTTCCAACCGAGACCGGCGTCGGAGAACCGGCATTTGCCGCTCTCCTTGGACAGGTCCAAGTAGATGTTGTCGAAGCTCTCCCTAAGGTCGGGCATCTCGTATTAGCTCGTCTGGCCATGCAAGCGGCTCAAGCGCCATCGGGATCAAGGCAAGTTGGGGGGGGGGGTTGTTGAGGATCCCACAGTGGGAACACGTACATCGACATCTTGAAGCCTAAGATTGGGTTGATGAATGAAGATGCTGGAGGGTCGCTGTGGACTGCCGTCGCAATTGCGGGAGAGAAAAGTTGGAGTTCAACCCGAGTGCTTGCATGAAAAGATGCCCGCCCGTGGTGCAGCACACGCGCGACGCGTTAAATGGTTGCTGGTAGCCTGCAGGGAGCCGCCACCCGCTAAAGCTACAAAGGCACGGGCCAGCTCACCCAAGCTCCCAAAACACCTAGGTAACCAACCACCTGGGCAGGTACCCAGGTACTGGTGAGCAAGGATACATGCACCAACAGGTGATGGTCCCAATATGTACGGGTGAATCTGAGCCCGTGTTAACACGCCCAATTGACAGACAATTTCGTTCACCGGTCTAAATCTTCCTGTTCGCACCCACAATGTATCTACATTACATGGTATGCAACTGCTTCGTATCAGCTGACCGTTCTATTTCAGCTACCGGCCTGTGTCCTGTTCCGCCATGCCACAGCTGGTAGTAGAGCCAGACTCTGCTGAAATACTGACAAACTTCTAGCCCATGATGGGCAAACCACCCTACACTCACCCTGAACTACATCGACTTCCCATCCTTTACCTTGAAGCTCCTTGCCCTCAGTTCCTTCTGTTTCTCAGCCCACTGGACCCTAGCCTCATCCACAATCTCACCAACGTCACGGTTGAGGTCGGATGACAATCCCGGGCCCACCAACGGCTCGTGGTCCCTGCTCCCTCCGGCCGTCAGAGACTCGGTGGAGGCCGACTTCCTCAGCCGGACGCCTGCGGCGGAGCTCCGTTCCTCGATCTTCTTCTTCAGGAATGGCTTGGCCGGCGACGCGAAGAAGCCCATGCTCAGCGCGACGCCGATCACCGGGTAGAAATAGACCCTGGCCCAGACCTTGACGCTGTCCGCGAAGCCAAGGACCAGGAACGGGGTCGTCACGAAGGAGAAGGCAGTCTGTGTCACCAGGTAGGAGAAAAAGTCGTAGTAAGGCTTGAGAGAGGTGGGCTTCTGAGTGACAGGGTCGATGAAGAAGGGCCTGAAGTACCGTCGGAAGTCTGTTGCAACTTGTCAGCACACATTATCCCACCCAGAATGCATGATAACCTACTCTTCGCCACGGTCTGTACGAAGCTCGCCAGGACAAACGTGAGGTAATATCCTGGGTAGAAGCCATGCCAGATCGCGCTCGTCGTAAAAGTCGCCAGACTGGCCCTGAACCCGGGCTTCTTGCCCCTCGGCGTGACTCGCAGGTAGATATAGTGCCGCAGCCACAGGTTTGTCTTGATGTTCCAGTTCTCAAGGTACGCCCTGGTGTTCTGTGCACTCTCCACGCCCCAGGGATAGATGTTGGTCAGCCTGTTCCAGCTGACCTTGCCGGTGACGGGGTCAAAACCGTTGTAGCCGAGGCCTGCCAGGATACAGGCACCCTCCGTCATGGACCAGACCCCGTAGTATTTCATGCGCGCGGTGAAGTTGGTCATGTGCAGCACCCATAGACGCCGGGGGAGGCTGTAGCTCATGTAGCTGTCGTCCAGGAGGAGCTCCGTATTGTACCAACCCGAGAAGTTGAGGAAGCACAAGATCCACACAAGACCAGTCGCCAGCTTCCACATCGAGGGGGTGGCGCTGCGCGGGATCTTGCGCTTCTTGCGCGTCGGCGGCTTCTTGGCCGGGTCAGCGGTCGCGGGCACGTCGAACATGCTCAGGTCGAGCCACCGTCTGTACTCGGCAAAGTCCATCGCCGGCCCGCACAGTAGCGATGGGAAGAAGAAGACATAGCCGGCGTAGTCAAGCAGACTGGGGAGCTCCTTCAGGACCCTGTCCTTTTGGAAGTCTGACATCTGGTCCTCGGGCAGCGTGCCATCGGCCACGTTCCAGCAGAATGCGCTGAGTTTCATGACCAGGACCATCTGGGCGCCCGTGATATCCACGCTTGAGGGATCGTTCGCAAATTGCCGGTCCAGCTGGTTGATGCTCATGTGCACCATGAGGAAGACGAAGGCGACCCAGGGCATGTAAGGGCTTCCCCGGAGATAGTAGGCGAGTCCATATGCGCCACCTGCGGCGATGAGAATGGTGCGCAGGCCACCCCACAGGTCGAAGAGACCAACCAGGTAGAAGACTCCCACGCTTTTAAGGAGCACATACGTTAGTAAACAACCTCATCCCCATCTTGACGGCTCTGGCCAACCGCCTCGCGAGGCTTGAAACATACGCTGCGTTGAATAGGTTCTTGTAAGCCGGGTTCGAATCGGGGACTCGTTTCAACAGTCCGGCTAGCGGATATGAAATCAGGATTGAGAAGATGAGTTTGACTATGAGGGTCATGTAAGCATCAACACTGTACAGAGCACTCGACCCTTTGGTCTCAGGGGCATCAAGCTCACGTTCATCGGGTCCGGCACCAACAAGGCCCGACAAGTAGACGAAGGCTGTCAGGTCATCAAGTCAGCACATGCCAGATGCAAAGGGACAGTATGTCTCCAAAGCTTACGAGCATGTATGTAGGGCAACATCCTGGATGAGGGGAGTGGACTGCAGCCGTAGATTGGGCAAGTTTCGGATCAAGGGAGTGGCCGTTCTTCAGTCCATGCCTCTGAACAGACGTGCAGTGTTTATGTTGTTTATTTATGAAAATGAGAGGCCCCCAAAAAAGAGAGCTTGGCTCAAAGCAGGTGGCCACGGCAGGGCTAAGATTCAGCGTAGACAGTTCTTGGTAAAAACTTAGTTCCAGTTGTTGAGGAAGTTCACTGTAGCCTCACGACTCGGCAGCTTTTTGAGCTCTGGGCCTGGGTAAGGGTGCACTTTGGCTGGGGTGATGTCATGTGCCAGCCGTTCATGCACCGGGAAGTGGTGGGCCACACTACCAATAGAGTAGGCTGGCCATCCGGTCTCAACCATGCTGCCTATTTTGGAGTGGCCGCCAAATCAAAATCATCTGGACAAGGTGAGCATTACTGACCAAATTTGAACACATGTTTTTGTTTGTGATTTGGATTGGGCCACTCGGTCCAGGGCTTTGGATTTGGAGAGCCACAAATGGGCCCCATGCATTTGTCCTGTTGCCAACTGTTGAAATTGATCATGCACATGCATAGCACAGGTAAAAGGCCAACCCAAAAATCTAAGCCAGTCCAAGTATCATAAATGTCATAAATTAATTCTAGTATAAGCTTCATTTGGAGTATGCATGTACGCATTGGGCATTCTGTGAGTCTTTAGACACACCAGCCTCTCATGCCTTGTGATCATTTCCTTCTTGGCATTCCGGTCCTTCGCCATCAGCAATGACGTGCCAAAGGCCGTCCCTTAAAGTGCACCCCGTCCATGTGTGGCATCCATCATTAAAAGTGTAATAGTCATACACGTGTTCGTCGGCTTAATGGACACAGTCCGTTTGCCCAGTTGTATCCCAGGAAGAAACCAGGAGGGCAAGAATGGGAATGGGTAAACTGATATACAAGGGTGAAACCAAGATATGATGTCCCAGTTTTGCCTGTTCCGAAATCGCTGAAGCGCCCATGGCTCCTCACTGCGGGCCCCGCACTCACGTCAGTTGCAAGCTGGCCGACCGACGTGACTGATGCCCTCAGAGAACAGTCGCTTCTCGCTCTTCTATGACATCGAGGCATCCTTGTTGCTCTGAGAGCTGGCGCTCATGACTGGCTGCTGTGTGGGGAGCGAATTCTTGGACTGCTCGGTTGATCGGATCTTGGCCCAGGCGTACACAATGCCACTGATGAAGCCCAGGATGATGGCCGAGACACTGCCGAACGTGACCGGAGCAGCGAAGAAGATGAGACCCGACACAGCAATAGGCAGCTTGTTGAGGGCGCCAACCATGGAGTAGGTCGTCGAAGAGGTAACACGGATGCACCAGGCCGAGCAGTAGGAGATGAAGATGGCGGCCAGACCGGAGTAGATCATGCCGATGATCAGCGCATTGCGGGACTCCTCCGGGAAGTTGAGTTGGAGGTTCGCAGAGCTCCAGTCCTCAAAGATGAGGGAGGCAACGATGAGGGTCGGGATGGTAAGCAGGTTGTTGTAGAACATGGCTGTAGTATACTAGTTAGTTTTTTCCGCACTCATGACGGCGGTTGGGGGTCCACATACAATCCCAGTCCTTGAAGTTCATCTTCTTGATGACCTTGCGCATGGTCAAGACGTATGAAGCAGTGCAGAACACGTTCATTCCCATCCACGCGTACCCGGCGTTCAAGGTCGAGACGCTCACAGACGCGTCGTATCCACCTGACAAGGCAGCCTGAATATCCGCCCAAGCAGCGATGATGGAGCTGAGAACCATCAACCCGAAGGAGAGCAGGGCGATCGGCGTCACCTCTCCGCCGAACCAGAGGACTTCTCCGTACGCAATGACGATGATGGTCAGGTTTTTGAAGATGGTGTAGACAGGCACAGAGAGGAACTGGAGGGACTTGGTGCTCGTGTAAATCATGCCCACGAGAAGCAGAGAGATCGGGTACCCTGGATGCTGTCAGCCTCTGGTATGTCTCCAGCTCAACATGTATATCCGACGTACATTTCTTTGCCTTTTCCGTGTCGAAGGGGGCCAAACTCGTAATCATGCCCACGTTCTTGCAAATCATAATGGCAGCGATGCAGACGATGGACTACCCCTTTGGTTAGTAAGGTCTTGGTCTGCGGTATTGTTATGCGGATCGACCCATACCTGGACGGCCAGATAGAAAAGGTTCAGGTTCCAGTTCTTGCCGGAGACGCAGTACTTGTTGACCACCGTCATGGAGATGGACGACAGACAGTACGCGAGGATAGATATCCCGGGGTTGTTCTGGACCTTTGCGAGCTTGTCGTGCAGCGCCGGGGCACTGGCTCTGTGCGACTGCCTTCGCTCGAGAAAGCTGTCCTTCTCCTCGCGGAACGAGTCGCCCCGCTCGGGCATGCGCAGCACGAAGTCATCGCTTTTCTTGTCCGACATCTTGGCTGGCGCGGGTTTGTCTTGCCGGGACCAATGCGCACGGGTGTCGACGAAGGAGGGTGAACGACGATAGTCGAGCGAGTTCAGGGGTTGGTTGTATGTCGTCGACCAGTGCACTCACTGGGGGAGGCTTTGCTCGGATGGAGAAGGGTAACAGGGCGGCGGCCGAGACCAAAGACTGGCCAGTGATTCGGGCGTCAGTTTCGGTGGAGCGGGCAGAAACTGGTGACAAAGGGTGGCTTTTCTCTTCGCTTACTAGCAAGTGAGAAAGGGAGACGCGTCAGAATTGGAGGCGGCGCAAAAAGGGAGCGGGTTGATTGCGATACCTGTTAACAAATTATTCCAGGCCAGTCTGCTTGCACGCATGCACGCCCCTTTCTCTTCCCCAGCACGTACGGCCAGATCGGGGGAAGGTACCCACGGAGGGCGCCACTGACAGGGCCTGGCCAACACTGCTAACAAGGCGGGCGGATGGGTGGCTACCTCCAGGGTTACAGGGTTCCAGCCTCGACCGCGAATCTCTGGGCGGTGCATAGTAAATTTAGCAATGTCTAGGCCCCCCATCACAATGAACACGAGCCACTTCGTTGTAGTCAGTCAGTCAGTCCAGTCCACATAGTAAGCAACATCCTGACCGACAGTTGAACTGTAATTAAGCCCTTTTCTCGTTGCAGAAACTTTATCACACACCCCCATAATGAATACGACGACGAGATCCGCATGGCATGGTCTGCGGAATATGAACAGTAGTGAGGTGCTGCGAATAGATAGATTGTCATGTTCTCGTGTCTGTCTGAACTGCTGTGTCCCACGCGATGCATCCCCTTCGAGACGTGTCAGTGTAGAGAATGAGTGCGTCCATACAAAATTTCTGAAACTCCAATGGTGATTAAGCATAGTAATGTCCACCCGTTATCTCGTTGCTAGTTTTGCGTCCTGTTTGCCGTGTTCTAGAGTCCTGTCCATAACCCCTATGAAGCAGCCATGATAGTATCCCCCTGATCTGTCAATTCAGCGGGGTCTTCGCCCCTCTCCTCGCCTGCCTCCTCCTTGATGGGCTTCTTATCCCCAGCCTCAGGCGAGCCCTCCTCCCCCGGCGGCACGGGAAAGTTCAGGTGCTTCCAATCCTCAATCTCCTCCGTCACCGACCTCAGCCTGTCCCGGATGCTCTCGATCGCGTAGCTGCCAAGCAGCAGCCTCAGCGGGGGGTACGAGCAGTGGCCCAGCTGCCAGACCAGTTCGGCGCACTTGACCGCACTCGTGGGCTGCCTGTCCCCCAGCCATGTCACCATCCTTTTCGCGTGCAGGGCTGGGGATGAGTCCTGGCCATATGGCTCGCTGGCGGGCTTGATAAGAAAATGACCCCAGGTCGGCAGCGGGTTGGTCTGCTCGTCCGGCTCGTCCCTTCGGACCAGGCCGGGCTCTACCAGCGTGGCCTTGAGGTTGAACGCGTCGATCTCGTACAGCATCGCCTCGATGAGGCCCTCAACGGCGTATTTCGTCGCGCAGTACGGGCCCAGCCCGGGCACGCCCAGGGCCCCCGAGGTAGAGCTGAAGATGAGGTAGCGGCCGGCCTGCTGCTGCCGGAAGTAGGGCAGGATAGCCTGGAGGATATGCAGGGTGCCCATGAAGTTGGTCTCAAACTGGTTGCGGATCTCGTGCTCGTCCTGATCCTCGCACGCGCCGATGACGCCGTAGCCGGAGCAGTTGGCCACGATGTCGACGCGCCCGAAGCGCTCCAGGGCGCGCTCGTAGACGCGGGACACCGAGCCCCGGTCCCTCACATCGCATTGCAGGTGGAGGCAATGATCCTGCAGGTTGGGGTCGCTGGGCTGGGGTGGCTCGAAGTTGCGCCCTACGCTGACGACGAGGTCTCCGTGTGAAAGTGCGCTCCTCACCAGGGACCGGCCCATGTGACCGGTGCCACCAAAGACCTAGTCAGGCGCGTCAGACAACGGCCGTGATGTGCCACTGATTCCCGAGATTCTGCGAGGACTACTCACCACCCATACTTGCTGCTTCGTGGGACTGCCTGGTTGGGGCGGGTCGCAGCTGGCAGGCAACTGCAGCTTCCTCGCCTGCTCCGAGCTCAGGTCCACTGAGCTCCCCGACGCCATTCTTGGGTGACCTTGGAACTACTCCTGAGGGTGGGCGCAAGCAGACGTTCGGGTCTGTTTGTGGGTGTGAAGGTTTAGCAAGCACGGGCGCAGGGACAGAGACATATCCTAATTGTCCACCGTCGGCGCAGAATCGCAGTGTTGCATTTAGATAGATAGTAGAGAGGCGCGATTGCCGTGAAACTGCTGGGACCCTGCCTCGAGCTCGTCTGTACTGGATACTGGATTGGCTGTTCAGCTCGAACTCGGCACAGCAACCTTTCGGCAGATCGCCCTTGGGGTGAGGGATTGTTGAAACAGCCGGTGAGCCGTTCCCTTTTGCTGCGCCAGTCTGAGGGTTTCACGCCGTGGGACCAGGAAAGTAGATCTTCATGCCGACGGGTGTGTTGCATCATCCCACCTTGATGGCAGCGTGAGCGGTCGTCGGAAACTGGCTGTTTGCCGGGTGCCCGCGCTCTGGAACCACAGCGACGGGTCGGCACTTGCAGACGAAAATTGGAGGCCTGTCCCCGCACTGACTGGTCTGGGGGTGACTGGTCTGGGGTGAGGAGCGGGTGACGGTTTCGATGCCGAATTGCGAACAATTCTATATTGTGAAGTCACTATGTACCTGCAAAAGATGGTGCCGCGTCGTCTGTGAAGGGAAAGAAAAACTCCACTCTAGAGTACAGATGATCTACGGTTCCTGCAAGTCATATTTGAACCCCAAACACGGCCGCCATCTGTGCCCTATACAGGGGGGAAAGACCCGAGAATGCATGAACAAGAGGCGGAAGATGCCTTTTTGGCTTGTCGCCTTGATCGACCGGAGATAAGCACCCAAATCCACCCCCGCCGACGTCACATTTCTGGGCGAGCACGCCAGACCACCACATTTTCTGTTGCGACCAATGAGAGGGGTTAAGTTGGGCATGATTCCATTAGTGAGGCCGACAACACTCGCGAAAGTCTCTCATGAGTGCTGAGGCCATCTGAATATTGCCCAGGTTTGGTCATTGCACATAATTGCGAATTATTTGTAGCAGCAGCCTTGTATTTACTGAGCCTTGCATTTGAAATTTGTGAACCCACCGAGTGTTCCCGCTCGCATCAAGCATCGCAACCTCAAACCCCCGCAGCAAGGACTCATTCTCTCACCCACACAAGATGAAGGCATACCTCTACGACAACCAGCCGGTGAGTCGCACCTATACTCACCCAATAATCACAGCCGGACCTCGCCCATACCACAGCCACCGACGACACGCAACAGCAGCCATACTGACAGCCACCCCCTCCCACCATCTAGGGCGACCAGCGCCAGCCTCACGACTCAGGCAAGGCCGTGACGACGGACGCGCTGGCCAAGGTGGGCGTGCTGTACCTGCACGCGCCCTCCCTGGCAGACGTGGACGCGCTCGCCGCCGAGAGGGGCTACAAGAACCGCGACGAGGTCAAGGTGTCGCCGCTCACGATGGGCGACGTCTACGAGGAGAAGGTGCGGTCCTTCTTCCACGAGCACCTGCACGAGGACGAGGAGATCCGCTACATCCGCGGCGGGAAGGGTTACTTTGACGTGCGCAACGAGGGCGACGAGTGGGTGCGGATCGAGCTCGAGAAGGACGACCTCATCATCCTCCCGCCGGGCATCTACCACCGCTTCACCACGGACGAGACAAATGTGAGTGTCCCCCCAGGATGATCTCGCGGGTGCGACGTTGCTGACCGGTCGATGCGCACGACTGCAGTACGTTCACGCTATGCGGCTGTTCAAAGAGGAACCAAAGTGGACGCCGCTGAACAGGAGCGACGAGTTGAACGAGAACCCGCACAGGAAGGGCTATGTGAGCCAGTACCTGAGCTGAGCCATCTTGGAAGTTGAAGAGGAAGAGAGTTCGCCTTAAATCATGAAATTGGAATTTCGCATTCTCGACCAACACATCAGTGAATATGTCTCAATGGAGCCGGTGCTGCTTGACTTCACATTCCAAATGTCTCTTTGTTGCAGGGTGGTCCAATATGCAGCCCGTAAGGGGATGGACCCATGACATCTCGCTTTAAAACGCTGAATAGTTTGTTCATGTAAGTCTATCTGCGCTGGCAAAATACTCAGCCGACAGGCAGTCAGGGTGAGGACATCCAAAATGGTCCCTTTTCTCTCCGCGGATAGAAAATCCGGCCTCCGACGTGTGAAAGAAACGGAAACGCCACATAAATCAATGTCTTCGATGATTGCTTGAGACTTGATGTCCGGCACAAAACAAGCCCTGATGTCCCCCTTTCCGTAACGCCGTAACAATGTGTGTCCGAACAATGAAGTCGCATTCACAATAACCAAGATAGAAAAAAACCTCGTCTACCGCACTTCGGGAGCGACCTCAGCGCCGGCGACCGCAATCTCGTGGTTGATGGCGTTCGCCGTGTCGTCGTTCCTCCTGCCCTCAAAAAGCCGCCTCCACCACATCGGGGGGTCCAGCGGCCTGGAGCCCTGGTGCAGCGGCGGGTAGACGTCGCTGAAGAAGTACCAGATGTGCCCGATAACGACGCCCATAATCTCGTCCTTGGGAATGGTGCCGTGGAGGATCAGGCTGAAGCCCATGAGCACCCACGGCAGGTAGGGCGCGGTGAAGACCAGCAGGCCCAGGAAGCTAAGCCGGGTGTCCGGGTTGCGTCGCGACCAGATGTAGACGAAGGTCGACGAGAGCGGGTGGCCCAGGAAGGGCATCGACACGAGTGGGGAGAGGCAGATCAGGCTCGTCATCGCGTAGAGGAGCAGCCATGAGAAATGGGCGGGCCCGCCGGCCGTCTCCTCGAGGAGACGCGAGTACCGCTGGAGGAAGTAGACGTGGAAGAGGAGGTCGAGGGACAGCGGGCCGAAGTAGAGGAATGTTGTTAATAGCCGCCAGTACTGCGGGTCAGAGTGTCAGCAGGAGCGCGCACGGCTCGTGGCAAGGGAGTCAGTCAGTCTTACCTGTCCATTGTGGAAGACAGAGCGGAAGCTATAAAAGAGCTGGAAGGCGTTTACGACCTGGCACTGCACCAGGGCGCTGGTGACGACGGTCGCGGTGGTCCACCATCTGGTGCAAACGGGCATTTCCCAAAACCACTGCTCCAGCGGGAAGCGGTCGCCTTCTCCCATCATTCCGTCCATTTTGTGCAACTTGCTTCTTCTCTCTCTCTCTCTGTCTCCTACAGGCAATTCCGACCACGGGTGGGTGCGCTGGTAGAGAGTGTGTCGTGGTTGACAGGTGGTGGGGGTACTTGTTGTACACGGCGGGTCGACTGCGCAACGCAACCGGACAGATCGGAGGTGGGAAGGGAGTAAATGCGAGTGGGCTGTGGGAATTCGCGGCGCCGAGGCCGTGGTCAACGGTTGGCGATTCTGATGTTATGAAACCAGGAACCAAAGGAGAGTGGCCTGTTGGCTGTATGGAATGCTGCCAAATAACTGGGGTCCATGTAAGTGTGAGATGTTGAGGTGTCCTTTCAGGCGGGCGGGCGCTCAATCATGACCCGAGTTGCGGCTGCTTAAACTGAATTGCCTGGGCAGGGCGGGATGACATGATGCGGGACACACCCACCTCGGAATGACGAAGGCTGATGTGGCCCCTTTTTTTTCAAGGTGTCCCCTAGAAACCAACGGCTGCAAGCACTACTACTACTCCGTAGACCGAACCACCTGGGCTGGACTAAAATGGACCTACCTCCGTGCGTCGGTTACCCGTGGACTGGAACTACAGCCACAAGTACGACGGGTGTTGCGTTCGACCGATTCAGTCTGTTAATTATTTCTACATCCTCGCACCAGGGAACAAAGTACCATGCAGACCAAGAATTTAATGGCTTGATATATCTGGCTGCAACCAGGTGCAAGCATCAGAATACCTGCATACTAACAGAAACATGGGGCGCCACAGTGCACGGACCTCTGCCGCCCAGCCACCCTTTTGCTCTGCTCGTCCCGTACCTGGATTTTGGTGCACTCAATTAAAGGGTCTGGCGCGAAAGCCCACTTTCCAGACGCGTCCAGCTGGGGCGGCCATGCGCGTAGAGAGCTTCTTCCCTACCTGCGGAACCCGCCCACCACTTTCTCCCCTTTCAAAAGACAACCTGAATGCGCAGCTTCCAGCCCCCCGCCACCTTCTCCTCCTTGCTCCCGAGGTCCTCTTAGCAATTGACGACAACCCTCTTCCGAATTCCTCATCCACTTACTTGACTTGATTCTCGGACTCGAAAACTCGCACTACTAGACTCTTCTTCTGTCGCACAGGTCCCTGCTCCGCGCAGCCCCTCGCCCCGTGCGCTCAGCTAGCTTGCCTACCTACTGCTGCTCTGCTCCGAGCGCAACCCTCTCCGAGCGCAACTCTCTCCGAGCTCAAATCTTTACCAGCCAACCGTCACAATGCCTCCGAGGAGACGAAGGAGCGGCGACGTTCTACGTAAGTTGCGCAGCTGTCACTGCGCCTCGCGCCTCGCACCACCAGATAGTGTCCGATTACTGACCATGCGCACACAGCTGGCGACCCCGTGCCCATGGGCAGGAGGTACAGATACCGACCAGGAACCAGGGCGCTGAGGGAGATCCGGCAATACCAAAGAACTACAGACCTGCTGCTGCTGAAGCTCCCCTTTGCCCGGCTGGTAAGCCCTTGTCCCCCTCCTGCTCCGGGCTGACCAACCCGAGGTCGCATGGAAAGCCCGCCAGACACTAACCGCTGGATATACAGGTTCGAGAGGTAGCAATGTCCTTCAGACCGATCGGCGGGGAGTTCAGGTGGCAATCACAAGCGATCCAGGCCCTGCAGGAAGCCGCCGAGGCCTTCCTCGTCCACCTCTTCGAGGACGTCAACCTGTGCGCCATCCACGCCAAGAGGGTCACCATCATGCAGAGCGACATCCAGCTAGCGAGGCGGATACGCGGGGCCTGGGGAGGCGCCGCCGTATGATATCCCAAACCCCGCCATGCATGGGAAAAAGAAATTTCGAACGACGAACTGCCAAAGAATGAAGGGAGTTATCTGTTTTGCTGGTGGCGGCGTTCCAGGAGTAAGGAGGAATCGTTTTTTTTTTGTTTCGGAAATTCCCCGCCACCGATGCCCCGTTCCGCACGACATTGGTGGCCTTCATACCCCGGGCATCATATTGTTTGCCTTCGAGAGGACTCTTCTTTTCGAGAGGAAATCTCTCGTAGTTCGAGGCTAGCTGGCACCTTTATTGCATCAGCGTTTTGGCTGCAGGGTTACAAAAGCCATGCCATGAAGCTTTGTGGGCCGAAGCAGGAAGGTCCGGTGGATGTGGCCATGTCTGCTGGAGGTCTTCTGTTTAGCTGTATATAGCAGGAATGAAATAAAGAAATATCATCAATTTCTGAGCGTGTTCTTTACAGTCCTGGAAGTCTCTGTGCAGTCAGGTAAACACTGTCTGGCATGCTGCAATGATGAGACCATGTCTCACTTCCTTTAACAAGATCGGGCCAGTCTACAACCATAGAAGCAATGAGACAGAGGTGTTGCTCAATTAAGAGGAAATCTGGGTGACAAAGCCAAATGAAAGGCTTGCTTGAGGCTGGGCAATGTTGATGACTTATACGTGGAATCTACCTACAGCATGTCCTGCAAATTTGTGCTTGGACAATGTTGTGCAGCAGATACAGACACTGCTTCGGGTATGGATTTGCTAAATCAATGCAGTTCAACATCTGTTTTCTCCAGTCATGTGTTAACTATTTGTCCTGGCTCATAACAAAGTTCAAACTCAGGTCTGATTTCTGTGCTATATACGATAACAGACGGACCACAGAGGGTCTGCCCATATACAATTGCTTCAGAGAACAGACTTCTTCCTCATTGATCAGGCAGCATGAAGCTCGTGGATCTTGTATCAAGCCTTGAACTTGAACACAATGTGAAGTGATTACTTTAGCTTACTGTGTAGTGGCTCTCTTCATTGCACACAAACGTTGTTGAAGTTGTCACTTCTAGAGCAAGATTCCGGTTTCCGAGCCTTTTCTAACAGACAGATGACTGCCGGTAGACTTCAACGGCTGTTTTACATCTGATGCCATGTTCAATGCATCCAAACAGGTCGGATCTCTGTGATGTTCAGTTTGTCATCGATCCCGTACGCAGCATATTGACTGCCACGACGCCAACCACACACCTACAGATAGGTGTGCCGATGCGATACAATTTGAGTAGGGCTGTCGTCTTCAACTGTCAACCCTCAATTCATATCAACACTGACACCAGGCATCGACCCGGGCATGGAGCTGGGCCCTCCGAATACGTCCTCCGCCCTGGGCCGTCGGCGATATCTCAGTGACTCTCGCCTCGACGAGTCCGGACCCCACTCGGCCCTGGCATCCTCCTCGGCCTCCACCTGGCTCCTCGCCTGGTTCCTCATCTCGCGGCTGATCTCCGCACCCCTGGCCTTGCTAAGGGACCTCTCCGCCTCGGCAATGACCTCGTCGCCGCCACGCGTGTTCCTCTTGCGCGGCCACATGCTCGGCAGGGCGATCTCCTGGAAGCGCGGCTCGACCGCCCTCTCGTCGAACCACTTGTGGAGGCGCGACTCGACCAGCTGGGCGATCTTGGGCACGTCCTGCAGGCGCGACCGGCTGCCCAGCAGGCTGCGGATGGAGAAGTCGAGGCGGTAGTCGTCCAGGAAGCTGAAGGTCATCATGGTCGGCGTCGACTGGGACGGGTTGCTGGGGATAAAGGAGATGGAGAGCGTGCCGCTGAAACGCACGACTGAAACGGACAGTGCGACGGGGAGCACAGCGGAGAGTTTCTTTGGGTAGTTGAGAAGCAGCTTGGTCTCCAGGGCCAGCGTGATGGCGTCGCTCAGGTCGACATCCATGCGCGCCTGCAGCCGACAGCCCTCGCGCGTGGCCATGTTGACATCGAAGGGCCTCCCGGGCGGGAAGGCAAGCCCATCTTCATCCACTGGTATTATGCGACAGTTGCTGAATATCGGGAACTCCTCGCCCAGGTTGAGCTCTGTCACGCGGATCTCATCGAGAAAGTCGGGCCGCGTGGGGCTGTTGAGGGCCTTGGTCAAGGAGCCGAGGATGGCATCATCGTGCTGGGCATCGCTGCGGAATTGGGCGATGGTCTGGGCCACAAGCACATTGAACCAGTCGAGGGATTCGGGCTGGTGGCTGTCGACTTTGTAGTATGTTTTGTTGAGGATGGACCCAATGGTCAGTGTCGGAGGTCCCGAGCGAAGTATGCTGGACTTTTTCTTGTTGAGAGTCTGTGGCTGCTCACGCTGTCTGCTACTTGGTCGCCCGGCGGTCCTAAGGCTGAGGAGAGATTTCTTATGTGCGAGGGTTCTCGATCTCCTCTCGGTGGCTCGTATGGAGGCGGTCACCTCGGCTGAAGGTGGGTCGCCGAAGATGAAGAATTTTATGAACGCTGCGATCAGGAGGACAACTGAGATCTGGCCCAGGATGAAGCCCTGTGTGAATGAAAAACTGCAAGGGCTGAGGTTAGCTTCTGCGTCAAGTTGCGCTTGTAGTTGCAGCAGTTTTCTTCTCTCGGGCTTGTACTGACGTCGGCTCAGGACGAGTGGGACAAACATCTGATGCCATCTTCAGGCTTGGTGTGACCACAGACGTTGTGCGATCAAGGTTTGTTAGTTCATGTCATGTCATGACCCTGCCATGGTGCTTCTCGTGATTGTCGTTTTGCCCTGTGCTACAGCAGATGGGTCTGGTTCGGGTGATGAAGTCAGAAAAGTGGGAGATGCCGAGCAGGAGCTTCCCGTTGACCTGAGACCCACTGTGCAGCAGGGGTGGGGATGTGGGGGTGCTGGGGTGCCAGCCGGGAATGCCTGCGGCTGGGTGTCCTTGGGCTGCTGAGCCGCATCTGCCTGCAGCTCTAAACTCACTTCACCTCATCTCACCTGCAGCTCTCATTGTCATACCAGCCAAACCGGATACCTCTCATATTTCCTCGGGGCAAAATAGCATCAAACCACAAACATCTCACCTTAAAACGAGCTGCTGCCGTGAAGGCTCCACTGTATCGAATCGCTCCACCCTTGGCGCCCGGCCACTTGTCCAGTTGATGAGCTGGCGACGCCCCTGACCAAGGGCAACTACAGCCAGGCCCCAAGTACAATTTGGCTTGCCTTTTCGATATACCGCTGCTCCGGAACGCCTGGTGACCTGGTGGCCGACTGAAACCAATCGAATACATCTTCACTCGCCAAGATGGATGTTGTTCAGGCGGTGGCCGGGTCCGTCTCCAAGATGGTCTCGGCCGGAGACGGTGCCAGCGCTGGTGCATCTTCCAAGATGAAGATCCTGTTACTGGATCGAGACACTGTACCGATCGTCTCCACAGCAATCACTCAGTCCTCACTCCTAAACCACGAGGTTTACTTAATCGATCGGCTCGAGAACGCCAGCAGAGAGAAGATGCGCCATCTGAGATGTCTGTGCTTCGTGAGGCCCTCATCCGACTCGATACAGTTTCTCATAGATGAGCTTCGCGACCCAAGATACGGAGAGTACCACCTCTATTTCAGCAACGTTGTCAAGAAATCAGCTCTGGAGCGGCTGGCCGAGGCAGACGATCACGAGGTGGTCAAGCTGGTCCAGGAGCACTTCGCCGACTTTGTGGTCATCAACCCAGACCTCTTCTCGCTGGATATCCACGTGCCCCAGCACCGGATATGGAGCACCACTCCAGACATGTGGAACACGGACAGCCTATCGCGAGCCACAGAGGGCGTGATAGCGGCACTCCTGATGCTGAAGAAGAGGCCACTCATAAGATACGAGAAGAACAGCTTCTTGGCTAAGAAGCTGGCGACAGAGGTGCGGTACCATATCAACCAGGAGGACCAGCTTTTCGACTTCCGGAAGGTGGATACACCACCTATTCTCTTGATACTGGACAGGAGAGACGACCCTGTAACTCCACTTTTGACGCAGTGGACGTACCAGGCTATGGTGCACCACCTCATAGGCATCGACAACGGAAAGGTCGACCTGAGCGATGTCCCAGAGATCCGACCAGAATTGAAGGAGATTGTGCTTTCTGCGGATCAAGACCCCTTCTTCAAGACAAATATGTTCCTCAACTTCGGCGATCTTGGTGGCAATATCAAGGACTACGTCGAGCAGTACCAGTCAAAGACCAAGAACAGCGCCAATATTGAGTCCATTGCAGACATGAAGCGATTTATCGAAGAGTATCCGGAATTCAGAAAGCTGTCAGGCAACGTCAGCAAACATGTCACTTTGGTGTCGGAACTAAGCCGGAGAGTCGGTGCCGAGAACCTTTTGGAGGTCAGCGAAGTTGAACAGAGTCTGGCCTGCAATGATAACCACGCCGCAGACCTTAAGGTGAGAGGCCCTGCAAGGATGATGCTCATACGAGACGCGCAGGAACTGACCGCATCTTAGAACGTTCAAAGGCTGATCTCGTCACCGGCGGTGACCGTCGACAACAAGGTCGGCCTGGTGGCCCTGTACGCGCTTCGTTACGAGAAACATTCGTCCAACGCAGTGCCTATGCTCGTCGACCTCCTGTCAACAGTTGGTGGCGTCCCAGCCAGGAGAGCGGACCTGGTGACCAAACTGCTAGCATACCATTCTTCCTTGCAACAATCACAAGCTGCGGGAGGAATCACGGATCTCTTCGACTCTGCCGGCATCTTCTCAGGGGCTGGGAGCAGGTTCAAAGGGCTCAAGGGCGTGGAGAACGTCTACACACAGCACTCGCCCTTGCTCGAGACGACGCTACAAAACCTGGTCAAGGGCAAGCTACCGGAGCGGCAGTATCCCTTTGTCGACGGGGGAGGCACGACCAAGGATAAGCCACAGGACATTATTGTCTTCATAGTCGGAGGAGCAACATACGAAGAAGCGCGGAGCGTTGCCACTATCAATGCATCGACCCCGGGGATCCGGGTGGTGCTGGGCGGAACGACTATCCACAACGCTACTACGTTCTTGGAGGAGGTAGAGGACGCGGTGTCATCATGGCCTGAGCCACCGCCAACCACCACGGCTGGGAGGTTACGAAAGGAGATCGGAAGGAGGTAGCATTTCATGACGGCTTTGGTTATGTTGCGCACGAACAGCGCCGCCGGCGACGGCGTACCTCACAGAGGCGGGCAAAAGGGCAGGTCTCAATATTCCAAATCCACACACGCCCGAGCCTCTGACATGGAGATACTACTACACCGATAACAAGGAAGAAGTTTGGTCGAGTAATCTCATGGGTCAGATCTTATTACCGTTGCGGGTGTGACTCTACACCTGGGCAGCCGCATCCAATCGCATGGGTCCCAGTGCTGACGCTAACCGTGTCATCATGTGGCAATGGGTGAAGCGGTGGGTGAAGAAGGAGGTAAGGAAAAGTGAGCTTCCGGGTCAGGAACTATTTGCATTCCATCCCATCTTGACCTCGTAGGTGAGGCAAAACCGCAGACCGGCAGCGGGATCGTGCACATTCTCGCTCATGGTCATCTGACGCGAGGGATTAGCCCGTGTGGTTATTGGTAGGGGTCAGGACGTCACGGCTTCCTGTCAGAATCGAACCGGGGTAGGGGTTCGGGCCATCTATTTCGATGTCATACCTGGCAAGATGTTCCAACTCTGGCCCTGTTTTGGCCTCCTTGGTCTCGAGGGTGTGTATGTAAAAGAGCTGAAACGCCTGAATGAGTGGCGTCCAGCTGGCCTGGGGTCTGGAGAAGCGAAACCCACCCACGCGCGGTTTGTTTACCATGGAGGCTTTGATGGCACCATATCCCGCATCCTGTTCAATTTGCGCTATACGATGTGCCAGGCAACTGCCGATGTGAGCAACTCCGAGGCTTTCAATCCCCACAGGATCCATACAGCCTTAAAAACAAATAATGATATACCTATCGTACGATGTTGGGCTCAGGCCCATGTGGAAAGTCAACCAAGCATTGCATTGCCGTGGCCCTGGCAAGCCTGGGTCTCTTGCGCACCTGTCGGCACGCGTTCCACCGCCAAGCATGTCATGGGTGGGCAGGGTGGGTAGAGAGCAGTGTGGATGCCTCCAAGGATGGGATTCTTGAAGAATGCCACCAAGTGCCTGACCCCGGCCCGCGCAACAATCGACATGGCTCGACTTATGGGCAGACAGGCAGAATGGGATTGTGCGAGGGGCTGGGGGGGGGACCAGGAGGGGAGTGCGAGGGCACCTTGCCCCCTGTGTCGATGCAACCTCACCATGCGGCCGGCCAGCTCTGGCCAGCGACGATCTTTGCACAGCTCGCCATTTGCATGCTGCATGGTACGCATCCAGCCTAGGCATGTTTGTTGTGTGCTGCCAATTCTGCCCAATGTACTCCATGTACATGTACGGTCGTATTCCTGGGCTTAGCCTCCCCCGGGGAGTTCTTCCAAACTGTGCGGGATGTCACATTTTGACCCCTGGTCTGTTTTGATTCTTATTTCGCCTCACCTGTGTCAAGGGATTCAGCTCGCTTGGCACTCACCGCGCGCGATCTGCCAGCTGGGGTTACGGAGCGTCAGTCGTTCATGTGGTACGGGGTAAGCCAAGCCTATCTGATAAGGTAGTGATAAGATATGGATAAGATAAGATAAAGATTTTGGCGATAAGCTTTTTCGGCTTCACGTCGATGGCGAAACGTGCGAACAAGCCGCACTACGAACAGACATACTCGTGCTCGAGTCAATGTTGGCCTTGATTTCACAATGATCAAGGCATGGCAGCCTCGAGGACTGAGTAGGCCTCAACGGCTGCTCAGGGCTCCAACGGCCCCAGCAACACATCTACGTCTGCTGGGGCGACAGAGAAGCTTTGCCACAGTCTCGCAGGACTCAAGGTACGCGGACCATCCCAGTTCACGCGTTTGAACGCCATCGAGCGGTGCTTGACCACTGTGCCTGACACTTTCTACGAAAATCCAGGCCTTTCGATGTTGTGGTGATAGGTGGCGGTCACGCCGGGTCCGAAGCATGCGCCGCTGCCGCCCGTTCCGGCGCGCGCACCGCCCTTGTCACCCCCAAGATCGACAACCTGGGCGTGTGCAGCTGCAACCCCTCCTTCGGCGGCATTGGGAAGGGTATAATCCTACGGGAGATTGATGCATTAGATGGGTTGGCCGGCCGAATCATCGACAAGGCGGGCGTGCAGTTCAAGGTGCTCAACCGGAAGAAGGGTCCTGCTGTTTGGGGTCCCCGCGCGCAAATCGACAGAGACCTGTACAAGAAACACATGCGGGAGGAGCTCGTCAACTATCCTGGCCTGAGCGTGGTGTTGGGCAGCGTCTCAGATATCGTAGTCGGGCAGGTTCAGGACACCGACGGACACGCCAGTGGCACCAAGAGCAAGATCACGGGAGTCAGACTCGAGTCAGGCGAGGTTCTTCCTACGAATAACGTCATCATCACCACGGGGACTTTCCTTGGTGGGGAGATACACATCGGCCTCGAGGCATACCCCTCAGGGCGCATGGGAGAGGCAGCCACCTTTGGCCTGAGCAAGTCTTTACGCGAGGCAGGGTTCCAGCTCGGGCGGTTGAAGACCGGCACACCGCCCAGGCTCGACAGCAAGACCATAAACTACTCTGCCCTTGAACCGCAGCAGGGCGACGAACCGCCCATGCCCTTCAGCTATCTCAACGACGTGGTCTCTGTCCAAGACCAGCTGCTCTGCCACGCAACCTACACCAACGGCGCGACACACGACGTTGTCCGCGCAAACCTTGACAAGACAATACACATCCGGGAGACGGTCAAGGGACCCAGATACTGCCCCTCTCTTGAGGCCAAGATCGTCCGATTTGGCCACAAGGATAGGCATATCGTCTGGCTCGAGCCCGAGGGTTTTAACACGGACGTTGTATACCCCAATGGACTATCCATGACGGTCCCCGCTGAGGCACAGGAGCAGCTGCTGCGCACCATTGTGGGGCTTGAGAACGTCACGATGCTGCAGCCCGGCTACGGCGTCGAGTACGACTATGTGGACCCGCGCAGCCTGCGGTCGACGCTCGAGACCAAGGTCATCAAGGGCCTGTGGCTCGCAGGCCAGATCAACGGAACGACGGGGTATGAAGAGGCAGCCGGGCAGGGTATCATCGCCGGCATCAACGCAGGCCGAGCATCGCAGGGACTCGAGCCCGTGAGCCTTACCCGCAGCGACGGTTACATCGGCATCATGATCGACGACCTGGTGACCAAGGGTGTATCCGAGCCATACCGCATGTTCACAAGCCGCAGCGAGTACCGGCTCTCGACGCGCGCAGACAATGGCGACACGCGGCTGACCGCCAAGGGCCGGCAGTGGGGTGTGGTCTCGGACAGGCGGTGGTCCGCACACACGGACGAGCAAGCGGCCATGGCGGACCTGACCAAGATCCTGCAGGGCCACAGCCTGCCCTCGCAGGCGTGGCTGCGCAGCGGCTTCCGCGTGAAAGAGGACACGGTGCGGCGAGACGGCACGGACATCCTGCGGCTGGCCGGGGTGACGGTGGAGACGTTCGCGGAGCGCGGCGTCATCCCCGAGGTGATGGGGTTCCCCGCCCGGATCCGCAGCAGGGTCGCCATCGAGGCGGCCTACGCGCCCTACGTCGCCAGCCAGCTGCGCAGCCGCGACAAGCTCGAGCGCGACGCGGAGCTGCGCCTCCCCGTCGACCTCGACTATGACGCCATCTTCGGCCTGAGCCTGGTCGAGAAGCAGATCCTGAGGGCCACGCGGCCCGAGAGCCTCGCGCAGGCCAGGAGGCTGGAGGGCATCACCCCCGCGGGCTGCATCCGGCTGCTGGCGCACGTCCAGCGGGGTGCCGCGAACCCGGCCGTTGAGGCTCTCACCACCGAGTTGGAGCCCCTGGCCGCCCCCGGGGAGGACCAGGAGACAATGGACGCGAAGGCGAGGGTGGCTGAGCTATAATGAGGATGACAGCCACCCCCAGCCCCAGCCCCCACTCCGCCAAAACAAAACAAAACAAAAAAGAGCATCCGTTTAAAGATGCTGGAATGATACGCATGCAACAGTACTGCCAGTGCACCGGAATGGAACAGTTACAATCGGAAGACCCGAATCCCGACGGCATGTTACGCGCAGCACGGCCTCCAGGGCCCGGACTGTTGATAGAGTGTACAAAAAGTGTACATACATCCAAAGACCTAGACTGGGACGGCGTCAAGGACGAGCGCCAGGGAGACGAGAGCCCACGGCCCACGGCCCACGGCCCACAGACGGTCAGCCTAGGGGCGAGAGACGGAAGAGACAATGTCTCGGGCCAGGGTAGAGCTAGACGACTCCCGTGGGCAGGTCTGATAGCTGTCAAGGCCACGTTAAGAGGAGGCCGGTCGTACGAACATGGCTAGAGTTGCCTAGCTCGTACGCTGATTATCATGTCTCATAACCTGTAATACCTCCTTCGCGTTATACGTCTGTGCATACATGTAGCACAGCGACTATGGGATTCGTCTATTTAGCGGACGCAACGGCCAGCTTTGTACAGAAGAGGAACAGTGGCGCTCACGCCCAAGGCAGACAGGGCCATACCCAATATCATAGTCCCCTATCGGCAGATTTGTATGAGAAGGTTTAAGCCATGAACCCGGGATCTTGGAAACAATCAGATGGCTGAAATTCTATATATACAAGAAGATTAGGTTAGGTTTCTTGGGGGCCGTTGAATAACCTACACACGACACACACACCCCGCGCATCCAATGCCTTTGATATTTTACACTCTGTATGCATAGGTTGTTGATATAATCACGGAAGGAGGCCATACTCCACGGAGCAGATCGTCACGAGTGAGACACACGTACAAGAAGGCCTGGCTGATCTTCGGATCGACATCGAGGACCGACTACCTAAGTACCGGGCCCGCTGTCCGCGCGGCCCCACCTGCCGGGCTTACACCACCTGTCCACCACCCTTGCCCAAACCTAGCAGGCCGCGCCCTTGGGTGTTTGGTGTTTCGCCGGACTATTGCAAGAGCCAGCCCTAGTGATTCCATGCGGACATTATACCAGCGTCTCACCGGTCGCAAGGGTCGTGGCGTCCTACGCGAGGGACAGGATCAAACAGAGGGAGAGAGCGCGCGCTCAGGCGTACCATAGATGTGCCGCCGACTCTAGCCCTAGCCTCTGTTCACCGACGGACGGGGCACCGCTCCGGGGATGAAGCCAGAAATCCCCCGAGGCCCCCCTCGCCGATCATTCTCGCGTATCGAAAGATTTTCGTCTGGGGTCGTGAAATTTGGTAGCGAGTGGCATGCAAGGGTAAAGTGGCCACGGACGGACATATATTGGGGGACTATACAATATCGGAACACCGCCATCAGTCTACTATAGGCGAGCCCGAGCGCAGGGAGGCTAGCCCAACCAGGCCTGACGGGAACGTGCCGCTAGCATCGCATTGAGAGCTACCGCCTCTGTGGTCATGTCGAACTCTTTCCGCGACAGCCACGTGAGCATTGAAAATCATTCGAGTAATTGTCCACGCGGCCGGCATCTGGTGAGTGTCAACTGAATAATATCATGCGAGACAAAGTAGGTAGCAAAAGACTGTGATGGGCTGCTAGCGTCAGAGACTGACTATGCTCCAGGAAAGAGATGCACAAGACATGGTTCAGTACATCTAGTGAGCCCCGGGCGTATCCTTTTGGAAGTACAAGACCGCCTATGTGTTCAGACTCAACAAGATCATGGGTTGAAACAAGGGCCGGCCGGTTTGCTAGATATCTCGTGTACACGAGCTCTCCAATGACTAGATGGGGTCGATATTGCGTCGCCTGTGCCATAAAGCGGGTCACATACATAGACATTGGTGTGGCGAGAGCTCGACTGCACGCCGATTCTCCTGCTATCTCTTGTCGGTAGCTGGTTGTTCGAGAATCGTCCAGGACCCAGTGTGTTGATCTTTCTGAATATGCGACTAAACTTCCGGGGGACTCGGACATCTAAGATAAGCATCCGTCATCTCATAGTGGCCTGATATTATCGTCGGTAGCACTCAGCAGCACGGCCGAGCCCTAACTCCTTGCTTGGTGATACGCCTCGCTTCCGTCCGTCACGGATGCTTGTCTCCTTCTTGTCTCTCCTTGATCTCGTCATGCGACAGTATCTTTACTGCGTCCTTGCTATACACATAGCTTGCCCCGCTCCACACTGTTGTAGTGGCGACAACATACCTAGAATAGTATCGCGTTAGTAACCATGCCTTGTGTAGTGCACCCATTCACGGCTTCGCATTTCCTCGTTTAAAGGAGGGCGTGGACATTATAAGGTACATGGCCAGCCGAGAATGACGCCATGTGGACTTGTGAAGCCCTACCGCTCTAGCCCCGGGCTGGGCGAGAACGGATCACTTGATCTAACAGAGCGAGGCCGGTCTTCTACCTCCGGTCTTGATCATCACCACATTTCGGCCCCATGGTGAATTGCTCGCGGCCGCGAGGAGAGAAAAGTCGGGTAAAAGGAGTTCCACAATCACTTACTGCATCACCGTCAAAGGCGTACCAGCCACGACTGGAACCAGAGGCGCCATTGTTGTGAGACCCATCAGCGCAAGCTGAAGGAAAGTGTTATACTTGCTGATTGTTGTCGGGTGTACCTCTGCAGACGGCAAGGAGAAGTCCCAATACCGCATGAAGGTCTTTGGTGGGGGCAAAGAGATCCACCGGAAATAAATGGCCGAAATGGCAAGCCCAACATCACGACCAAGGATGATAACAGCTAACCAGACTGTAATGTGAAGGCATGCATGTTAGCCCGTACCCAACACCAGCGTTGACGGAGATGAGCTCTGATTGACAGGACTTGGCTTGCAGGCAGTCATAAGCGGAACCCATGAGACGGTCATGGGACAGCTCATATTACATACAACAGGCGTCTTCAAGCTCTGTTGCGGGGCGAAGTAAACATTGACTCACCAGGTAAGCCGCCCTTCATCGCCAGAGCCACAGTCAAGACCGTCATGAGGGTCTTGTCAGCCATGGGATCAATGATAGTGCCTACGACAGTGCCCTGGTTCCACTTCCGGGCTATCCACCCATCCAGGAGATCTGTGATGCCTGCGTAGGCGAACAAGCCCAGTGTCCAAGCATGATGGTCATGAAGGATGCAGTAGCCAATTACTGGGGCCAGAACGAGCCGGGATGCAGTCAGCAGGTTAGGGATGGTGTAGATGTTCTCATGAGTTGCAACAGGGATTGCCTTTTTGAGCACACTGGCAATCTTTCCCGGCTGAGATGCCGGTGAGGATGGCAAGCTACACGAGACTTGGATATTAGTAACGGGTACGAGGAAAACAGTACGGCCTCAAGAGGAAGTGTTGGATCGACTGGTTACGGACGCCATCGGCAGGAAGTAGGACACGGTCATGAGGACACATCGCGCTCAACTCCAATGCAAATACCGACTGCGATGGTCCTCCAGAGAGGCGGCTCGACATATGCCGGTATGCGGTCCGGCCTGGGGAGGGGGGCGGACCGGGATGAGAGAAGAAGTGGGTGGAGGGACAGGGAAGACTGAGGGGTGAAAGAAGCACTGCCTTACCCTGGCTCCCGGTCGTCTCTCTTCCGCCGGGGCCGTGTGACGGAGACAAATGTCCTCAGGTGGGTGATGCCAAGAGTAGTGGAGGAGGTCGAAGCATCAGAAACCATCCGGGTCGCGGAGCAGTACGTGGTGGAACATGTGAACGATGCCGCGGGGCCCGACACGGCAGCAAGAGAGTGCCGCGGAGAGGTGCTCGGCAACCTGAGACAGCGAGAGCGCTGGAGGCCCTGCCCGGCAATCAGGGCGCGGGCGCCCTGGCATGTGATCCTGAGGGGCATTGTGCAAAGGGACGGCGGTGTTGGCGGTTGCCGGTGGGCTTGTCTGCCTGGACAGACCTCCTGGCGTGCGGATTTCAGCCGGCAGGGACGGAGCCGGGCACAGGTGAGCAGTTGGGCGGTCGGTAGGCAGGGCGGTCAGCAGGGCAAGAGGATGGCGAGGGTGCAATTGGGCATCCAGAGCGAGCTATTGCATCCCTGCTCGGGATCTCGACCGTGGTGCTGGGGCCGTTGGGTGTTTGATCTGCCAGGAAAAAAAACACCCCCAGAAAGCCAAAAAGGCTAATAGTTTAAATGGAGGGCGTGGGGATGGATTGGCCGTGTCCCAGCGGGTGGTGGAGCAGGACAGTTCTGCCGCAGATTCGAGAGCAACTTGAAACAAACAGCCAAAAGCAGGACCCCACCACATCCAGGGCGCAGGGCTGCGATAGGTGCGGACGGACGAACTGCAGCTGTGCTATGTCACGGCCAGCTGTGGGCGTCTGTGCGTCAAAGGAGCACACGGCAAGTTACGGCTGCTGACGTTGTTCGTCCCAGCTGCCCAGTCACGTTCAGTGGTCAGGAGTAAGGAGCAGCAGTGGGATGTCGGTGCCGCTTTGACGGTGCCTGCATCAGAAACAAAGCGCGTGCGCCAGGCGATTGGAGGAGACGTGGGTCGAGGTGGTGATGGCACCTCGGCGGTGGTGGTGATGTCGTGCGAGGATCCTGCGAGTATCCCGTGCGTCTTGACGTGCTCTTGACAGCCTGCCAGCCAGCCTGGCCTGCCTGCCTGCCTGACAAGCTCAGCCGCAATGCCACCCGTGTGCATGCGCGGGCACAGATTTTCTTGACACCGTTTCTGTCACTGCCAGTCCCCTTGGCCCCTTGGGAGCCCCTGCAGCTGCAGGTGCAGACCGTGACGGCGTCGAGAAATTGGGCCGAGGGCCGGACCACGGCGGGGTGCGCAGTGTCGGTTCTCGCTGTAGACCTAGCACCTTGAGTCCTTGACTCGATCGTCGGCAGCTTATTGACAGACGTCAGACGACTGACACCGTGACCGGCCAAGCCCAATGGCAGGCCTGAGATCTGGCGGGGTCAGGAGGCGCCCAAGATGCCAGGGTTCGCGCGAGTGGCCGGCGTGCATGTAGAAATCCAACAAGGAACCGTGTGTGGATGCACGTAATGGTGGTACGGAGGTCGTACTGTTCGCACACAGTAGCAGTCCAGATGTCGCAGTCTGATGGTGGAGGGCCAAAAAGTTACACCTGCAGATCTGGTCCAGATTCAGGCTCCGATTCAGGTACGGGCTCGTCAGCACCAGTCTCAGTGACGCCGAGTGGCTCAAGATGTTGACACTGTATCGACAGCGACTTATCGACAGCGACTTATCGACAGCGACTTATCGACAGCGACTTATCTTCGCCGTCGTCACCCAGGAGGGGGGGAAAAACACGCACACGCGACGTGACGGAAAGTGGGCCACCTGGCGCGGTCTGCAGTCTGCGGCCCCCACCAACGCGGGAGCCTCATTGTGGTCCGAGACACCCCTGCTGCCCTCCTGGGTGACTGCTCCGTAATGTGGCAGTCTTATAGGTACAAGACAGCAGTACCTGCCGCGCTACGGAGTACAGGCTGTGTACTGTACTCCGTACCGTGGGCCGGCATGTTCCCCACATCCAATGCATCGTCAGGCAGGAAGGCACGGTGGTGGGTGAGGAGGGAGCGAGAAGACACACAACGTGCATGGAGTCAGAGTTATAGACCTGCCTATACTCCTGTATGTGACTGTACTGAGTCTGCCTGTTGCCCATATCACCAGCACAGCGCAGCACAGCAGCTAGTCACAACAAAATCATCCGACATGAATAGCAGTGCAACTGTACGTGGTGTTAGTGCTAGTGCTAGTGCTGGCCTGTAGTCAGTGGTCAGTGGTCACCTCTTCCTTGTGTCTTCCAAGGTTGTTTCTTGGTCTCCTTGGACGCCTGGGCTTCCCGGCAAACCTTCGCATTCGCTTGCTGGCTGATGGAAACTCTGCTCAAGATTTCTGCCCCGGGCTCCAATCACACTCGTCTCGCTGCTCCCACCTTCGACAGCCTCGTCCCCAGCCCGCTGTTCACCCGACATGCGCCATAGTCCACAGTCCCAGAGTCCCCTGCAATGACGGGGCACGCCAGCGTGGTAAAGTTCCAGATCGGAGCCAGCAATACCCTCGCAATCCCACCAGACCACGCGGTGCAGCCCGCCGTGGCCTGCCGCCATCATGCAGCCTAGCAGCAGAGCAGCACCACCAGCGCCGACAGGGCCCGCGAGAAGCCGCCCACAGTTCGCACCATCTCACGAAGTTGCTGCAGGCCTGTAGGTCCGTGAGCCCGACCGTTGCAATGACAATTCCACCCTACAGAGCAAGTCCATGTACCTGCAAATCTGCAGCCCCTGATCCCTGGGTCTGCCCCTGGCGCCAGGCCAAACAACCAAATCAATCCAACGCCATGTCGCCATCAATTAAACCTCCGATGTCGTCAGCACAGACACGCAGAAGAACACACCATCTACTGTTTGTTGTTGTTGTACCCAGGGCAGCCAGGTTGGCCACGCTGGCCAGGTCTTACCGGCCTGCAGGGGCCTGGCTCATCGGTCTTCCCTCCATCTCTTCAGCGCATGAGGCGCGTGTTCGGCCTGAATAGCCTGCGACGACCTTTGCCTCCGGTCCAATATCTATCCCAAGTGTCAATACACCCGTATATGTTTTGTCGGTGTACGGAGTATTGAATGCGAGGGGGTACGAGGCCGGGGAGTGGGGGGGGCGTGAAGCTGAGGCTACTGCAGCCGCGCCTGATGCCACCGGATCTGAAGCTAAGCAACCATGCCCGATATCATGCCTTGGGTGTCCCATAACAGACTTGCCGTCAGACCGTCTGAACAAGCCTACTCTCGTACAAGCATGCAAGCCTGGACCCGGATGCCCTAAAACGTGCAACTCGGCTCCCCCAGTACCTTGTCCCCGACGCTCCTTGAACCAGGGCAACACCAGTGCTGCTGCCCTCTGCCAGCTATCTGGACAGGCCAGGAACGTGCAGGCGCGCCGTGGTGCTGCACCAAAACAGCGCTTCTCAGCCATCTGAATCGTTCTTCGAGGTTGCCAATGTGTGTGCCGACACGCCAGTCCAGGATGCGGTTGTCACACTCCAAGGCCCGTAGCCGTCTCTCAGCCCTGCAGGCGCTTGAGTTGACGGGTCATTTGGATCGATCGTGTCTGACAAGTCACAAATTCCTGCAGGTACATTGCCGGCACTAGTTGCTGTCTTCGGCTACGGCTATTCTCTGGGTCAAAGTCGGCCATCGCCTCGATCCGCCATGGGAGGTCGCAGTTGCAGGACAGAGTCGCAATTGTCCCACATCCGCAAACACGGCCAACAGAGTGCGGCTTCACTAGCACAGCAGCTAGGCCGTACGTCATGTTACGGTCGCGATCCCTCCCGGCCCCCCGTTACCTGGGATACCTTGTAGGGGAACCAGACAGATGTTCGCATTAGGGGCCAGCCACGGGTTCCCATGCTGATCCCATGCACATCAAAGTCACTACACATGTCTAGCGGGCCCAGGTCCCCTGGAAGTGGCCTGATATTACTAGCTCGCCTGATATCCCTAGCTGCCCTGACCTTGGTCGCTGTGCAGAGCCAGACACACCTGCTAGCCCGCCATCGTGGCCGCTGACCTGCTCTCCGCACCCGCAGACGCAAGGTCGCGCGGCGGCAGGGCGGATGAGGTAACAGGATGGGCGGGGAGGGGGTGTACGCGAGGAGGTGGGGGAGACCTACAAGTGGGCTGGGTGTCATCGGAAACACAAATCAGAGGAGATGCGAGCGGATGCAGCACCCTGTCTGTTCGCAACGGCGCTCCTCTCCGCCCTCCAACCACCAACCCACCCGTTCAAAACCGCTCAACTCTATCAGCCCTCGCCCGTCTAGCCAAGTCGGATTCTGCCTCACAGGGTCCCTTCTACCGCAGCAGCCGGGACCCAGCATCCATAATCCAGCACCACAGTAGTACCGGCCCCCTAGAAAGCGGTGCCAGGGCCCTTTGTATTTGCACACAGCCAGGGAGGGGTCTGACCCGGCTGTCCTGGCTGGCCTGGCTGGCTGTCAGCGGAGCGCCAAAGCTTAACCCGGAGATGCGAAATGCACCCCTCTGACTTTTTTGAGTTCCCTCGCCAGGTCGCAACCCCCAATGACACTGCTTGGTAGCGTCTTCCGTGCCCTTTTGGGCCCGGCCCAACCCCTGATGAACGGCGCGCTGGCTGACCCGCGCGGGCAAGGTATGCACACATGGGCAGCAAGCACAGTCTTGAAACAAGGGAGAGGGAGGCACAGAGGAGGAGGGGGTGAGCAAATCACAATCGCGAGGAGACTCCAGTCGGGCAAACCACGGCTACCCAGGTAGGTAGCTCGAAATGGCGAGGCAGTTCCTCCCGCCATCCGCGGCCCGAAAACGAGGTGCGAAGGAGTATTCAACCCCAGATATAGGTGAACTCAAAAACTCAACGTAGGAAAGGCTGCGAATGCGAACTAACTGATAGGCATGGCCCTGCCCTGGCAACTGCTCGGCCGGCCTTCGCTGTGAGGGATATAGCTCCTTGCGCTCAGGCCCTTCACCACTTCACCACGTTTACGTGTGTGAGTGTGTGAGTGCCGGTAAACAGTTGACGTTGATCCCACTTGTGCTCCTGGTTCGCCAGTGCACCCGTCTTTTCCCATTAGTCGATTCACGTACACACCACACCCCATTCAAGATAACAAAGTTAGTTTCTTTTCGTCTCCATAATAATTGGCCCCAGAGTCTGGAGAAAGAAAACGATCATGCCACTTACGTACGTACTACCACCTACAAAAAGTGCGCGCGTTCTGCGAAATTCAGGGATGGATGGATATATATAGATTCGACAGGGCAGCAGCTAACTGCGGCAAACAAAAAATCGAGGGGGAGGTGGAGGGGGGGGATAAAGCTTGCGAACACAATCATGAGAGGACAAATTTCGGAGCAGCCTCGCAAGAAAAGGGAAAATGAAAATGTCACTTTCATACCCCTTGGTTTGAAATGGGCATCTAGTAAGGGTAGCATACTGGCTAGCTGTCTGATATTCTGGACTAATAAGGCGGTTATCGGTCGGCATAACCCGAGCGCATTTCCTTGGAGGAAGAGTAGGCACCCAAGTTGGGTCTACACACACGTTTTAGGGGCAAGCCCGGCCGAGAGACCAAAACGGGAATTGTAGGCAGGACATGTCCCTCTCCTGTTACACCAGGTATTTTGGTTTGTCTAGTTATGCCCAGGGCTACTGGCTGGCTGGCTACTAGTAGTAGTCCCGAAGTCTTTTCCTTAATTCCTGCCCAACGTGGCAAACAGCCGACATCCCAGTACACGCTTCAGCCGGCCTTATGGAAACTGCATGTATGTGACCTTCCCGTGGGAAAGTAGAACAGCTGTCCAATTTGTCGGTGACGCCGGGTCCAACATGAAGATCGGATAGATTTTCATATCCTGCAGTGTGTGAACATGGGTCGTGATTTGTCCTAGCTAGAACCCACCCCCAAATACCACCCATACCACCTCGGCCCTTGAGACATGTACATCGCCTCTTGAACCGTCGTCTGCCTCTTCATGACAAGAGGAACAAAACTCCCCTATTCCACCAAGTGGAAGTTTGAAGTGAACGAGAAAGTTTGAATAATAGACAATGCGGCAGCCCTCCAAATTTGATCCCCTCAAACCCTAAGGGGGTTCGGTTCCCCTTTCCCCCATCAATGCACAATGTTTAGGGGCACGTGCCCCTCTCAGCCGGCCTTCGTCCCGTATCCCGTTTTGGTGGTAGCCGTCTTTCTGAAAACGCCGTTTGGGGCGAAATGCCCTTGACCTGCCCTTTGCCGCCGCCGTTGTGTTGTGTTAGGATGCGCACTCGAGTGAGGCGTCACTCGAACTGGTATCCCTGTTCCCTTGATATTTCCCAACCGGTGTCCACGCCAGAACGCCAGAATTGCTCAAAATGTCTTTCCCATACGCCCCAGCAGTCGCATACTCGCAAAAAGCCGACCCATAACCCCCAAGTGGAGGTCCCATCTTCAAACCAAGAATCAATGGTTGCCCGAGCCACAAAGTAAAACATCCGTACATCCAAGTACATAAGAAAAAAAATCACGTTCGGGTTGTGAGCGTGTCGTATCCACGAGCTGAATCGTGAAGGTTGCGTCAGTGAGCCATGCGGCTCAGGGCGACGTCCATGCCCTCACCGGTGGGCGCCAGACTGGGAGGCATGAGACCAGGCACCGTTCATAGATCTTCCAGATGCCGATAAGTAAGAGCTGCTGTCGTGGGTCGAACTCCAACTGGCGAAGTTGGGCGAAGAGAAATAGTGGGAATCGCGATGTCCATCGATGGCAGTGCCCGCGAGTGACGGTATGGAGGTCAGCGATACCCCCGGAAGTCCATCAGCTAGAGGTGTACTCACTGGAGGTGCCATTGTGGTCACAGACGGGGCTGCGAAGTCCATCGTTGTAATCGGTGGGTCCGAAATCGCGCTGGCGTGTGGTGGGGGCGCCATGGAAGTTACCGATGGTTTGTATTCCACTGTGGAGTCGGGCCCCATGGTTGTCGACGGCAGTGATGGCATCGTGTAAGATGAGGTTGCTGGTTGATAGTAGTGGTGAGCTGACCTTGGCACATCTGCATGAGTCATGCCGCCGGGTGAAAAGAGGTCGTCTGCTGCGCCATTAGAACTATCGTAAGCCTCTGAGCGTCTTCTCTTGCTACCATTGTCCATCATGTGTGGCAGGCCCTGGTTCGAAGGATATGTCGGCAGGTTGATCGACGGCGCGCGAGGCCGGTCCCAGGGGACGAAGCCGCTCTGGGAGTGACCAAAGTGGCCTCCGAGTTGTAGGCTAGATCCCATGGGTTGGTGCATGTGCATGGGCATGTGAAAGTGGTTCTGTGTGCCATAGGGCTGCATCATGGGCATCTGAGGGAGGGACATTGTGCGCTCCAGGCCAGGCTGAGCTGCGTAGCCCATCCCAAGCATAAGGGCTCGTTCGTCCATGATCCGCGGGTCCTCCTGCTCAACCGGAACGCGGAAGTCCTGTTGTCCGAGCAGCTCATGGCGGGGCCGGATGCTGAGAAGCTTGGGGTCTTGTGATGGGGTAGGCAGGTTGCCTGCACTCGCGTCCTCGAGGGAGTAATAGCTGACAAGATGGTGCATCACACCCTGCCACTTGATGCTGATAGTTTTCTTAATCAGGCCGCCCTCCTTGAAAGGGTAAGAATCAATGAGCGATCCGAGCAGTGCTCGCTGCCGCTCGTCGTTGATTGAGCCGGGCGAGGCGGTCATGTTAGAGTTCCCATTTGAAAGTTCCGGCTTGCCGTCTCTCTTCCTCTTGATGGCTCTCTTCTTGTCGCCCGGAGGGAAGTTCTTGTCCAGCTCCCGGTAGATGAGGAAGTTGCCCAGGATTCTGCTGGGGCTCCAGTTCTGGCCATCAGTCCACCGTTTTATACCTGAGGAGGACTCCTCGTAGACGAAGACATTGCCGCTCTGGATCAGGGAGTCGCGTTCTCTGTCATGTGGACGACGGGCGGTGTGCATGAGTTGGCCGTTGAGACAAGCCTCGATGACCCGCAGGGCATCGTATGTGGTCATCACTATGCCACGCCAACTGGGAGCGAGGACATTGTTGTTGGTCGGTGTTGAGGGAGAGGGAAGGGGTTGTGGGTGGTGTGCTTGCTGGTGTACAAGATCATCCATGGCGGGTGGCAGCGGTGGTTGACCCTGTTGGAGAGCAAAGTCGGAGGGCATTGGTGCAGTGGTCAGCGATATCTGTCAAGATGCTGGCAGGGCCTTGTGCAGACCACACCGAGCATGGAAGTATTCCGAAGGGATTGCTGATAGCAGACAGTTGCAACGCCGGAGAGAGGAGGGCTTCGGGAAGGACTAGCTGTCGGCACTGTGGAGGGGATTATGATTATATGAGTGTAGACCACGTCGCCCTAGTAGTCGAGAAGATTTTCTGTACAAGTCCTGGGGTGAAGGCAATGGTATATAATATAAGACCCAAAGACTGAAGAGAGTGTAGAATGACGACAACCTTGAGTGAAGAGAGTGGATGAGAGAGGACGGCGGAGGATCGGCGTGTTATGTACACTAAAGTGACAATGGGGCCCCTGGTTGAAGCCTGACGTGCCTTCCAGGGTGGGTAGGGTTGCGGTTGCGCCTTGTTCTTGGAGTTCCCAGGTTGGCTGGCTTGGCCCAGCGGCGACGAGACGTACACAGCCTGGGAGCTGGAAGTAGCTGCAAGTAGCTGAGAGCTCAAGCTGAGGCAGGCTCGGCTCGGGTGCGGGTTGCGGGTTGCGGGTTGCGGGTTGCGTGCGGGTCGCGGATGTGGGTGCTGGTCTCAGAGGAAACACCACCCGTCCGTCAACACTCAAAGTGGCCGCTGTATGTCGTTATATCAAGAATGTCGTCTGCGTGACGAACAACTGGCGGAAGACTTGGGGGGTGTAGAGTGCTCCTGGACAGAACGGCGGGCGAGTGTCGGTCTGTCTTGTTGATGAAGGAGGAGTTGAGGAGCGGTGAGGTGAATCTGGGATTGGACAAGAGAGACCAAGAGGCAGCAACGGCATAGAGGAGAAGAGGCCTACAGCTTATTAGTATGCTGTGGTCCAATGCTCGTGCCTGTGCAGGAAAGCTCTGTGGTGCGAGGGAGTGGCCAGGGCATGGGAGCATTCACTGCAGTTTTTAGACTTTTTGGGGGGGGGGAGCACAAGGCACGGGCAGGTCCCCTGGGCTTTTTGGACTTCCCAATGTACTCGGCGGTGGGTACCTAGGGGTGTGAGAGAGCGAGCGAGTCCCGGGGGGGTGTGCAGCGAGAGACGGGAGGAAGGTAACTTGGGTATACAGTGCCGTAGTACCTGGACTTGGACGGGGACTTGGGCTTGGGCAGGACATCGTTGAGTTCAGGTTCCCTTGTCGATGGCAGGCTGGCAGGGGTGGAGGGATGACGCCTGGGTGGGAACTTGGGGTAGGCAGAGAAGAGACGCCTCGACGGAGGGCGGAGTGGGGGACGACGAGGATGTGCTTGGGTGGGAGTGGACGGGGGGGGGACGAAGGGCTTAGCGGTAGACCAACCAACCTTGGAATAATGATGAGGTGGACGAGACGACTGGGCCTTTCTTTTCTTGTCCAGGTCCAGCCCGGTGGCCGCCAAATTAGCCTCCCGCCCGCTTAGCAGTAGTAGCAGCAGTAGCAGCAAGCAGCAGTACTAGGCGACGTTGCGAAGTAGCCCCCAAGTCCTCTCCAACAACAGAGCCGACGGATCGGTTGCTTTCCGGCGTGGATATTGCCAAATACCAGCTATCTTCTTAGCACCGCCACGTCCCACGTCCCAAGTTCGCAACCCAAGAAAACGCACCCGTCGGCCGGCCTTGTGGACGCGAAGGAGGAGGGATGGTGCGGCTTCTGGTGAGGCTTGATGCCACTGTGAGGAGGGGGGAGGGAGTGATTCACTGATCAGTGATGAATCGCTTGGCAGGTTCTGAATTTGCTCGGGCGTGATAAGGCCCAAATGAAGCGACGATCATGTGCTGTTGTGGAGTCTTTTGGGAGCCAGTAATGCTGTACGTGCTAGACCATCAGAGGCTCGAAAAGGGCAATGGATGACGGCCGCGCGCGTTGTCATTACACTAGTGAGCAATAAGGGGCGATGAGCGGAGGTTGATATCTGGGATGCAAGAGTGTGTGTATGTAAACAGCAGCTGAGCGGCACTGTTGACTGGTCGAGGCCTCGTTTTGTCCCCGACCAGATATGCTTGCCAGTTCAAGCCCTCAATCGCCCGAGATTTAACCAGGCTGCTTGATCAGTCCTGTTGTTGCGTTTGGCCCGGGTGGTAGGAGCACCGGCTCCGAAGGAAGCACCGAACATAGGGCCATGTCCGACTCATGAAAGTGGCAGCGGCCGTCTGGCCGTGGCCCAGCGCAAGGATACGTGGTTTGGACCCAGGGTTCACAGTAGAGACGAAATTGCTTGGTGTGTCCGCAATTGAGTAGATGGCTCTCATGAATTGGCTTCGGCAATGCGGGTCGACTATAGGTGAATATTGGACCACGTTGAGGAAAGCATCGCGGGAAGAGGAACTGGGTGATCCTCACCAGCGTCGCCTCAGAACGGAGCGGGTAGGCTAGGACCAGGAGCATAGCGAGGCCTGAACTATCCAACAGCCAGCCCGGGTAGCCCAGGCAGCCCTGTAGCCCGGTCCCCCTCCCCCTTCCCCTGGACAGACACGGAGAGGGCAAGATCAGATGGAGGCCACCTTTTACGAGCCGCAATCTCGCGATGCAACAGTCATCCTGCTAGTGTCCATGTCCAGTCCGGATCATCCTTTTTGCCTGATGCCCGATGCCTGATGCGCGATTGCTGGCTCATCTCATGGCCGTCCAAGGGACCAGGGAAGATGGTGGCCATGCTCGTAGTCGCCGACCTACAAATGACGGGCGGTGGAGGAGGGGCCAGGGAGGAGGACGAGGAGGAGGAGGAGCACAAGCTCGGGGCGGGAGCACGGACACGCTGGGGTCCGCCGGCAGGGACGAGCGCGTACGGAGTAGGAGAATTGTGTTCCAGTTCGTCGTGGGTCATGGGCCGTGGAGCATCCACCCAGTGCTGCAAAATGAGCAACAGAGTCTATTAGGTAGCATCGGTGTGGTTTCGTCAAAACACGTGGAAGGGCTGGCTCCAGCAGAACCCGCCTCTCCCCTTTCATCTCCTCTTTTCTGGTTGCCTCTCTCCCCGCGGTGCTCGCCGCTTCTGTCCAGTCGCGTCCTGGAATGTCCATTGTCCAGTCCGTAAATGTCCAGTCCCCGTTCTGTTCTGATCAGCCGGCACTTTCCGGCACTGAAAACCTCGCAGGATGGTACGCGATCGAGTCAGTTATTCTGCCCGGCGACATGAAGTCGTCGGTGGGGCAATATGATTGGCCAGGGACCGCAGCATTTTTTGGCCGTCCGGGTCCAGGTCGGCGATAGGTCTCGCCGATAGTCCGATTGCCCGACTGTCCGGCTGTCCGGTGGCCCGGCCAGTGTGCCTTTGCCAGTGGATCTTGTGTGCGGGGGGAAAGGTGCTGTTGTGGCATCGTGGCCACGGGACCGGGCAGGGCAGGGCAAGCCAGTGCCAGGCGGCCGCGAGCATCACGCGCTGCGATAACGTTTGTGCGGCTGCGTGTGTGCGTGTGTGTGGCTGCGGCTGCGGCTGCGGCTGGCGGGAAACCTGAGGGAGAGACAGTGCTATGCCGTTTTGGACGCAACCATGTCATGTCTTTGGATGCCACAACATGCTATTTACCGCACGAGGGAGGACCCTTCCTGCATAAGACTCCTGCGTCTGGCATCTGGCATCTGACACCTAGAATTGGGCATGGGCCCGTGTGCCTTGCTCGACAAGGGCCGCCATCGCATGGGGTAAGCGCATGCGCAGGCGTAAATGGGAGCACAAGCACAGGTGCACACGCCTGCCAACTCTTGAGTAATCTAATGCACGATCGCGATATTAGCACCTGCTCGCCCGGAATCGCTCACGCCCCTGGTGGGGCTGCCGTTGCGGCCAATCTGTGATACGAGTGGCTGCCGTGGTATCAGATGCAAAAGGTGGGGACCTGGGAAGCGGGCCCGCCCTGTAGTGCACAGTATGTAATACATGTAATGGTACACTGCCATAGCAACACATGGTGAATCGAGCCCACCTCCACCCCCGGCCCCGGGACATGGTGGAGGGCACGGAGTAGTGTACATGAGAGGGTGCAGGGGAGTGTGGTGGAGGTGGCAGTGCTTGGCAGCTTGCTAGAGGAGGGAGGGGGTGTGTAGATGTGCAGGTGTGTAGGTGTGTAGGTGTGTAGGTGTGTGGGAATCTGGGAGTCTGGGAGCCTGGGTGTCTGGTGTGGGTACTTCTGTTGATGCCCGGGCAGAGAACACGGGCATTTTCGATACTGTAGCAAGATACGGTGCTGACGGCGTATTGACTGCATCGCTTCGAACAAAAGGGGGCCGGCCATGGGTGGGAATAGAACTGCTAGGACGCCCACCGGGTCGCTTGGAACGGATCTGTTTCTAATGTTTGGGGCGTCGAACAACGGCCATGTCCGTGCTCGCCGCTGGGCTGCAGCATCTGTGCTGGTGAATGATGCCGATGTCCTCTGCCACTACCAGCGCCAGTGTCGAATGTAGAGCGCGCGCTCGTCCCAGACGGAGTGTGACGGGTTTCCCGGTAAAGCCTCCCGGGGGTGCATGGCCATGGCCCTGGAGACTGGCATGGACACAGGGGCGCAACGATACAGGGCATGATGTGCATATCCATGTGCATTGCCATGTGCAAGCCCTGTGCCATCCCGTCAGCCCGTCTGGAATCGATCTTCGACTCTTGTCGCCAATAGACCTACTTCAGTGCCCAATTTCCCAACCCAACCACACCCTACCTCGCCTCCCCAGCCCAGCCCAACAGCCGCCGCTTAAGGGTCGCCGCGTCTGTTTCACACATGGCTAGCCCTTGTGAGGCTACATAGGCGATTTGCACAAGTCACGATTCCCCCCGTCCCATCCTGATGTTTGTCGTCCTCGCCCCTTGCCCACGACCCCGTCCTGTCTTCTTGTGTCCTCAAAACACCCGCAGTTGCCAGTGGCCACGGCGATGCTGTGCCATGCCACGAATAGATCATGCTGCGAGTGCCAAGCCCGGACGACCCGCTTGTCGCTGTTTCGTTCGCATGCCTCGGCTTGGCATGGCTTTCTGGTCATCAGCTGCTTGTCTTGGCGGC